ATTCATGTTTACGAATCTTATACTTCTAACCCTTTAAGGAGCTAACTCGTAACAGTGCTCACAGAAACAATAGACCATCCACTCTGTTCGATTATCACATCTCGACGAGTTGAATGTGCGCGGTTCCGCTTGGAAGAGGAAGAGGAAGAAGAGCTCCTAGAAGTAGCTAGTTATCAGAGGAACTGGTGAGTTATAACTGCGCATTTCTACTTAGGCTACGTAAACAGCATATATTTCCTCTCCGAAGAACACGCCGAGCTATCTCTGCGAATTATGTGGAGATCAAGATTAAGAACTTAGAGATGAACATCAAGGATCTTCATGTCCTTAGTGTTAAGGTTAATATGTAGAAGGTGATATATTCATACGAATGTGTGTTATTGTTATGGCATCTGGACATTTTTAACAGACGAGCGTTTGCCATAATGGGATATATACAAATTGACAGATGAAGAGCATTTCATTACGGCTTCAATTATTTTTATTATGTTATCAATAGCCATTTACGTATGAATTATACTACGCAGATCTATAACACAGACAAACCTTCCCCACGAATGCAGCAGCAGCAACGAATGGCCCAAGAGTAGACGTGCTGAACCCACCTAGCTGCGAACTGCTTGCAGGCAGTCATGATGCACGTACCGGCTTTAGTGGGGTTGTGAAGATTGTCGAGCGCGATATTCTTAACAGTGAAGTGCTAGACGGCTAGGCCTGGAGGGAATATATCTTATGGCCTTTGACCCGAGTAAGCTATCTTTCTCACCGAGGTAAACTTATCATGACTAGCGATAGAAACTTCTAGTAGAATGTATGAAACAAATCCGCAATAGTATCGCTAAGCTATACTTCCCTATCAAAACCTCCAGTGCACCTGAGTGAAGCTTGGTGGACTGCTATCGGCTATAGTATGTATGATCATAGGGTTGACTACTTACATGAGAACTCGAGTATCGAAACCATGCTCAAGCATAGTTGAACCCTTCCTATCAATAAAGATGAGCTACAGCAAATTATATGCCTCACCGTCACCTACCAGTAACTATCTTAAGATAGCACACTATGATAGCCTTGTTAACGCTCATATTTTAGGTACCTAGGGATCGATGGGGGACTAATCGACTCCTAGTGCCAAGAGATGGGTCCTTACGCAGATAACGAATGGTTGGCGTTTGATCTGATCTGTCCACTCACGAGGAAATATGTCTGGAGTTAAGTCAGGCACTAAACCCGTTGAAATGGAAAACTTACAAAGCTTAGAAATGGTATAGTATACCTACCTCCAGATAGATTTTACTCTTAGTTTATTCCACCTTTGACTTCAGGTAGCTCTACGTCCAACTATATAGTCTTCGGATCTTAGAGCAATCCTTCGTAGTCCTTATACGTGGTAATGTATCGTAGGCGCTGAATCCGAAGATATAAATGATACGACAAAGTGATAGATATGTAGTAGGACTTTGGGAGGAGTCAAGCTCTTCAATACTAGGCTCATTTTTAGGTAGCGGTGAACTAGAAGATTGCTTGAGCGTTAGGATGTGTTGTGAATCCACGTCTCCAATGCGCGCAACTTGTATAATTCTGGTTGCGGAGGAGCTATCACCGTAGTGGCCCTTCAGCGGTCTGTGTTATTGAACAGCACTCATCCATGTTCCGTGAGAATTATAAATAAGTAGACCAACGTTATCAAGCGCTTGGTAAAGTCTCACGAGGACGGAGGAGGATATGGTGCAGGGGGTGATTCCGAAGAACGGATGCCCAATTTCCAATGCTGAGTTTGGTGGTTCTGTCTATACATGAAGCCCATAATTCTACAGATTGATGTAATAAAGGCCATTCGCCGCGGCTACAACGGTGCCCAACTACACGACCATATAACACCATTACGTTTTCGGGTGATAATATAGGTCTAAATGGTATTACTTTTGGCGTTTTAACGTGTTCATAGCCATTTCTATGAGGCCATCTTTCGCCTCGCTATCCGGGAAGTCTTTAAGAGCTGCGATAGCTTGTTGTGAATAATCCTCTGCGAGCGCCCTCGTCTGCTCGATCCCGTCGCTTTGGTAGACTAGCTCTCGTGCCTATAAACGAAGTTAGTATATCAGATTACAATATAATGGCCGGTAATGTTGGTTACCCTTTGTACATCGCCCTCTTGTCCAAACTTCCTCCCGACCAATACACTTAACTCGGGCGTCGTCTTCCACGCAAATAACAAAGGCGCAGTCGCAAGACCTAACTCTAAGTCGGCTCCGGCAGGCTTTCCCAGATCACTCCCAGATTTGGTATAATCCAACATATCATCTACTAATTGGAATGCGAGGCCTAGATTCTTTCCGTAGGAGTAAGCCGACTCAACAGTAGCCGCATCTGCTCGACCGAGAAGTGCTGCTGCGCGGCACGACTTAGAAATTAAGCTAGCCGTCTTAAGATATGTCTTTTGCAAGTAGTAAGTAAATATTTCCTCGGACCATTTGGGGTTTCGCTCGTCGCGCGCAGTGTTTTTCAACTGCATGAATTCGCCTTCGACTAGGTTTGCGATCACTGTCGCTAAGAGTTCTACAACCTCGGCATTGCGCAGTCGAGCCAAAGCAACAGAAGCCCTTCCCAGAAGAAAATCGCCAGCCAAAACAGCCATCTTATTTCCGAATTCGAAGTTGGCGGAAGGAGATCCCCGACGCGAGACAGAATGATCTATAACATCGTCGTGAAGGAGTGACGCGGTATGAATGAGTTCTGTAATCTCGGCTAGCCGGCGCTGGGAGGGAAGGACATCGCTATCTGAGCCGGGTTGCGACGAGAAGTCGACGTGGGGTGAGGAGGGGTTGGCATCGGCAAGGACACTGAGGGGAGATATCGAAGAGTCTATCGTGACAGGTAGTGTTTGTGGCGACAAAGTCTCTGGGGATTTAGGACATAATGAAGTAGCTCTTGACATAAGTAAAACTATTAAAGGTCGCACATGTTTTCCTTCGGATTGTGTATAATATTTTGCGACTCGATCTAAAGAAGGATGTCCGGAACCTAAAAGTTGCCGTATATTCCCTGTTAAATGTTTCATTTCCTTGGCGACAACTCGTAGCGGGTCTATAGGTAATTCGGACTTGGTAGCTCTAGTGACAGCTTTAGAGACCATATTTGAGGCGACGGAAACTGCAGCTGCCCATGCTGATGATCTTCTAGGACTATTATGGTATAGAGATCTGGATATACGTATCCTAAGATCTAAAGGTGTTGCTCTCCGGCAATCCGAGCATGACAAAAAAACTGAAGATGGTCCGCCGGCCGTGCGTACTTTAGAGAGCACTGAAGCTCCCGTTCGGAGCTGCATAATGTTTGATTTCCTGGCCTTGGGGTTAGTTCGAGGACCCAATTGGTTTATGGAAGTCGTAAATTAGGCGGTCGTAGCATTGGCGATATAGTAATGAGTTAAAGGTTATACTTTTTTAGGTTTACTTTTTTTTTTCGAGGTAATTGATGCTGACTACAAGATCAAAAATTCACATAGATCGAGTGTGGCTGTTAGTAATATTCGTTTGTGGCTGGAGCTATTGCTGATGTCAGCCTGAATTCGTTCTAGGTTGGTGCTAGGGCAGGTGCAATTTAATCATGCCTGGTAAGTCTAAAGCTGTAGTTCGTCGCATTCAACTATTCTATCATAAGCTTATTTCTACAATAACATGTTCAATACCAATTTACATCTCATAACATGGTACTCCTCACTATGACTCCCTCCATAGTGGAGGCAGTTGATCAATTGTTTAGAGCCGGATTTGATGATATTGCAACAAACAACGATGAACCTTTATTAAAAGATCCTTTGGTTGGAAACCCAATAAGTCACGGGCAGATAATCGATATATGGAAACGTCTCAAGGATGAGAGTAATAATACCATAGGACTAGAACAATTGCTTCGAGGTGCGATGGTCTATGTACCTCCCCCGCCACCGAAGCCAGAGCCGGTCCGTCTCCTATACCTTATCACTATCCATATTACTAACACCCTGATACCTATAGACCGAAGAGTATAAAGCATTAATGACCCGATTACGTCACGAAGAAGAAGAAAGATCATACGAACGCATGTTAAAGAAAGCTCCGCCGCGAGAATCATTTGCTCCAAGGTTTCCATCGGGTCCCATGGCGCATTCGTTCGCTGAAGTCAATCGACCTTTTAGGGCTTCGGACATAGGCGAAGACATCGAACATGGTGATATACAAAAGCAGATAACCCTGGTCATTAACTTCCTAGTTAGTATATTCGGCTGCGGTGCTGCGCTCTGGTTAGCTGCCAGGTGGTGGAGTGTTCCAGCACGACTATTCTTAAGTTTAGGTGGTAGTATCATCGTTGCTATCGCTGAAGTTGCTGTCTATTCTGCCTACACATGGAGAATGGCAGAAGGGGAGAAACAGCAAAAGAAGGTGAAAGAAGTGAAAAAGATTGTTCAAACATGGGTTGTTGGAGAAGACGACAATGTTAAAGAGGGTTCCATCATCGAATCACTTATACCAGAAAATATGGAACCCGATACGAACCTCCGTCGAAGGACAAAGGGGCCAACATAAGTTTAGCAAAAGATGCTTGCTACCTTCTGTCTGAATTATAAATGCATTGGTCTAGTATTATTATCATTTTGTCTTGTACAGTTGTGATGGTGAAATTGTCTTTTCAAAAATGAGGTGGACAGCTGCTAAATTGGTGATGTCACCTGCTGACAGTCAAGTAGGGATGTTAGGGCGGGATGTATGTACTTAATGTACGAAATACCCCACATTCGCGTTTTTGAGACGCGTCTATTGAATTGGTATCAATTTACGCGTCTCCCTTGATATCTTTGATATTCATCCTCCACTTTGGATATTTTTTTTAAACTATCGTCATCGGAAATTGAATAGGCTCTACCACTGACTCAATTCTAATATTAACAAATTTACCTCTCCTTTTACTACCTCTATATTTACCTGATTTGAAAGGGTAATCTCTACATACTAACAGTCATGGACTCGCCAACCTCGAAGGCACAAACCGAATCGAGGTACGCATATCTAAATCCAATTGAGTACCTATCTAGTGTGCTAATGTTAGTATCGCAGAGCCGCGACGAAACCCCAACGCAAGTTAGTATATTATGACCATTTATATATGATCTGCGCGCTAATTTGCGTAGTCGAGTTCTTCGAACTTATGGAAAACGCAGTTCAACGAATGAACCCTTACAACCTACCTCGAAAAGACGATGCATTGAGATTATCGACACAGCTACAATATCAAACGACAAGGCAATTGAGTCGCCTTGTAATACTAGCATTCCCCTTTCGCCTATTTTACCTCCCATACAACCTATAAGAAAAGGCACGATCATGAGCTACTTCAAGGTGGTTTCTTCTTCATCGAGTTGCGCGCTGAACTCGTCAGAGCCATCCTCGGAGCCAGTTGACCCCATAAACACACCTCCATCATCTCCTCCTATACGGACCCTACCCCGGAAGAATCGCCGAAAACTTACCACTCGTATAGCATCTCGAGCTGCATCGGAAGAATCAAACACAGAAGAGACGACAAGAAGGGGCGGAGAAAAGGAAATAACTAATGATGTTGATATTGGGTCTATTTTGTCTATCGACTCGCCACACACTTTATCTGAGGTTTCCTCGGCAACACTCAACTTGCCGGCCACAGAACAAAATATTCAGCCAGACACCAAGAAGCGGGAACGGAGCATGAAGAAGGTTTTTAAACCCGCCACAGTACAAACGACGTTAAGTCTTTCAATCGAGGATAAAGGATTCATCGAATGCAACGAATGCAATATGCTCTACAACCCTCTACACAAGCAAGATGCGAAATGCCATGCTAGGCGTCATGCAGCAATGCTGAAGGCGAAGTCGAGCACCTATGACAATGAAATAGTGGATTAAATAACATCATTTTGTTATGAGGAACCACACCGCCATTCAAACGTTGCATCATAATAATAATATGCAGCTTTAGGTTATCCAACCTCAAACATAGGCTAGCCAACGAATACACTTAACTACCTACTTAGGATCTGACAGTTTTACCTATGATAAGAGGAATACGCGTTAAGTAGTAGAACAGACGTTGTACTGTTTACTAAGTATGCGGTATCCAAGTATTCCGGTTCACCCTCTGTTCGACTCAGAGAGATTCGCAACTTCTTGGGCTGCATGTTATATCTAAGTCGATATCACAGCGGACGGAGCGTCCTTCCTATCGGAATACTCAACGTTATTGTTACCAGCAGAGTCTAAGGTCATCTTCATCCCACACGATTATCCGCAGCAGAAAGTTTGGGGGAAGGCAAAAGTACCGCAAAGGAGCGTTTGCACGGTTTGACATTCGTGGAAAGATAGCGGCCTCCGAAATCGCTCAGAAGTCTGGATCACATAATCAGCAGTACCTATATATATGAGATAAGTCACGCATGTACGATGGCCTTCTCGTTACGCGGCGTTTATACCCGTGCAGATCCAATGGAATATCGCTCCTTCGGAATTGTTTTCCAAACATTAGTCAAGCCAAGGGCCTGAGTGAATGCAATATAGAAGGTCATAGTCACCAGCATGAATACCTATTTACCTGTGAGGGGCCTATGCAAACTGAGCAATTGAGGTCGGCATCATGGTCTTCAAAGTTCAGCCGCAGCACGATCAATCTAACGATAGGCGAATGTTAACGAGCCGTTGACGAGATTCCCCCCTGGCATCATGCCGGTAAAGCTTGGCATAAATTGTGTCAGCACTGGGTCAATATTTTATCGGCATTCCTCTTTTTCCCAGCCGTCGATCCAGTGAATGTCATTTATTATAAATGAAATCAGTTCGTTCCTTGGAAAACCCAACACCATTTTCTCCACACATTTGAAAGCCCATGCCAAACCTCCGGATATTGTGATCATGGGGCTTTTGGTTGGGACGGACGGAAAGCAGGCAAATTTGCCTCTCACACCTTTTTCCCCCTTAGCTTATCAATTACTTCAACGCTTTACATGGTGAATATAAACAAAAAATGGTCTAGTTTAGATATTTAGATGATCATAACCCCCACTAAGAATCATTGCCGGCTGAACCTTGACCTTGACCTCGTGTAAATTTCTACCCGACTACCACATTGTCTATTAGTCAGTCATAAAAATCGCCGGTATTATTCTTCCATATGATCTTCACCCTCATGGCATTAGGCCACTACGGGTTTTAATTAAAGTAGTAGGTAAACTATTAGCAGCCAAGGTATCCATGTTCATATGCTAAAGGTGTACGCAAACTGTGAAGATAGTTTTCATGCCACAGGCGTCATTTTCTTCATTACGTCGTAAGGCCGCGCATTTTCAGATCAACCCCAGCGGGCTAAAATTTAGTAAGAGATGACTGAAAAGGCAATATCATTGCGGTTGATGCGAATCTACCACGGCAATTCGTACGGCAACTCCTGGGCGTCAAACAAATGAGTCGCTGGGATGAGATACTGAGTACAACTATTGTTTGAAATCAAGTACCTACATACCTAAGGTACCTAATAGACAGGATTGAATTGGGGGAAACTTGTTGCGCCCACGTGCTACCCGCGTATCCGCATCAGGAACGCGAAGTATGAACATGTGGTGTTCCTGTACGAGGTATGCTAGTTCTAGTTTTAATTCACCCGAAGGCGATTCCATGTATAGGTACCTAGGTAGGTACCTATACATATTGCGTATCTCTATCACCATCTAATATGCGCAATGCATAGGAGCGGTGTTAGATGTCCTCATCATGCAGATAAACGATTATCAGTATAAGTGACCAAAATGGTTAATAAAAATAAGTTAATATAAAGGCGCCTTTCTTGCTCAACATATATCAAGCCGTGGAGTTCTAATAGTAGGCCAATATAAATGCATATAATTCAGGCGATTATGAGCATAGGTAGGTACCTAGATTAGGTGCGGTACGTTTTCTTTGTAAGGCTGTTGAATCGCGGGGTTCGCCGTCAGGGGGTTTACGGGCCGGCCATGTGGTGTGGAATGTGTAGTTCCGACAAGACTCAAGTCCCATATAACGTGCTGACTGCGGGTGTAACACGTTCCTGAGAATAATATGTAACTAATGTTTAGATATTGTTATCAAAGAGATATCAAGCAACTTTACGGTTCACGTACAACACAAGCACCTATTTTAACCAACCTACCAACCTACCAACCAATCTGCCGGTGACCTATTACTCATTAACTCGCTAGTTCGGATGAACCCATGAGCCCATAAACTTGAGGGCTTTTGTAAATATATTGCGTATAACCCGGATTGTGGACACTACTCCATAACAATCAATTAACAATCAATCAAGCATCAAATGGATAACGCGGTCCAGAACATTAATTCCTCGTGCCCCTCTCCGTTGAACAAATAGTTAATTACCTAAAAGGGTAAATTCAGATCCAAAGTAGCCAATCACGTTGAGTGACCACTAAACTATCCACTCAGCGTCTGATATCGGTAGTTGCGTGCCCACTACATCCCGTGTAACTGGTATTTGATATACACCCAATATCATCTATGTAGGATAAGAGGTACCTAAGGTAGAATCAACAAGTAGGTGTAAATATTGGTGATGTCAGTATATCGGCGCTAAAGCAGGTACAATTTGCCGTATGCCTTACACCAGTAACCTCAAGCTTGAATAGGTACCTTAACTCTTCTCAACTGTGAGACGCCTTTTACATACAAATAGCAATCATTCATTATGTGTTGGTCACGAACATTAACCTTTTGGGCTCTTCATTTAAAAGAATACAATTTTTTCCCACTGAAAATATAATATAAGCCACATCCTACATATCCGGGAATTATGGAAATCAAACCCCTTTCGTTACATCCTACAAGACCACCATCATCTATCTACTCAATTTCTCTAAATATTCCTGCGACTTCACTAAGATATACTCTATATCTAGATATTACTTACAGCTACCTTCCATTCAACCATACATCATTCAACCATTTCATATAGTTATGCATCGGCCGTTTATTGCCATACATATCTAAATCACCTCCCTTATTTTACGCCGAATAATATCGGCTTCCCGTTATTAGAAGATCCCCACCTACTCCGAGATACATTCCCATATGTGCTATGGATGTCGTTATATACTTTATTTCTACATAGCTAAAGGTAAGTAACATCGTATATCCATGAAGTCATATATGTGTCATGCCGCACTTCGTGATGCAGGTACAATTCGACTACTGGTGTCCCTAGGGTAGACTGATCTAACATATCTTCTATATCTAAGGATAGGAAGCTAAAATAATCATGCGTGCCACTTGGGACTTCGTTATTAGAGCCTCTTGGGTTCTTATGGTCGTCTTACCTGGTGTTTTAGCTCAAACGCCCTTTTCCAATTTCACTATCTATCCAAATACCGCCGCCGCAGCAGATGCCCCAAAGTATTACCCCCTAAGACCACCAGCTATCCCCTTGGCTGTCAGGTCTCCTTACACTAGCGCTTGGTCATCTACTGCCGGGCAAGGAGCGCTGAGTAATCGAAACCCCATATTCTGGTTTGGCCAGGGTTTAGGATGGGAAGGAATTGTGGTAGTCGACGGCAACTCGTTCGAGTACATGGGCACTTCTATTAATGATTTTCCGGAGCTACCATACTTCAATACAACGATACCTCTTGAAGTAAGGTTCGACTCTCAATATTCCAACTTTACTTTCTTAGCTGGTCCGGTAATTATTACCGCTAGCTTCTTCTCACCAGTTACGCCAAAGGATATCTGCCGAAGCTCTATTCCCCTTAGTTATCTAACGACCACGGTCCAGTCAAATGACGGCCGTCCGCATAATGTGAAATTCTACTCCGATGTGAACGCCCAGTGGATTGGATTGGGGAACGAATTCGATATTATAAAAGAGTTCCACACCGGCCCTCTAAACGGGAATGGAACAGGAAACTCGACTGATGTCCCAACCAGCTGGATCCTACGACCGAGGTCTCCCGCACTTTTCGCCGAGGCCTCACAGGTCCCGCGATGGGGAAATTTCTCTTTCACTACAAGCCCTGCTAGAGCTGCGAACTTTTCGTACCAAAGCGGGTCAGCTACGAGCGTCCGGTTTGGTTTCGTTAACAACCGCGCTCTCAACGACGATGCTGGCTCGGCAGCTCGCGGCTTTGGGAACCAAGAGCCTGTCTATGCTTTTGCTCACGACATGGGCGATGTGATAGAGACTTCTGTTCGCTACACCATCGGTTCAATTCAGAACCCAATCGTGAGATATCTTCACAAGGGTGGATTGTCAAACTTAGCGCCGTGGTGGGAGAAATGCTACGGAGAAATGCACGATATGATACGTTTCCATTGGAATGACTTCGATACTGTCGCAGCATTGGCCAACGAGTTTGAAACGCAGCTTCGAGCTGATGTCGATGCTTTCTACAAAGGGAGCGAGCCTCCGGTTTATAGCAATGGCACAGCTGTTGTTTTTACCAACGACTCGTCTTATACGGCGCGAGATGTTCTAAACGGAACTGATCAGTATGGACAGCAGTATAAATTTGATCCTGGTTCGGCTTACGGATTCCTCGAACCAACTAATGCTACTGGTATTGCGGTTCCTTTCGTCTCCGAGGCCGAGTCATACTACGCGATTGTAGCGTTGTCAGCCAGACAAGTTATGGGAGCTTACGTTTTTGCTGTCCCTCCATCAGTGCCCAACAGCTCGAGCGCAGATGATAACGTAGAGCCACTCATGTTCCAAAAGGAAATATCCAGTAATGGCAATATCAATACTGTCGACGTTCTTTATCCAGCGTCACCATTCTTCCTTTACGCAAATCCAAATCTACTCAGATACATATTCCAGCCTTTATGCGAATTGCAAGAAGGCGACTTCTATCCCAATACCTACTCGACACATGATATCGGCGCTCATTTCCCTTTAGCAACTGGTCATGTCGAAGGCACTGACGAGTACATGCCGGTGGAGAATAGCGGAAATTTCATCCTAATGGCCTACGCATACTACAAATTCACTGGCGATTCGAACTGGTTAGTAACTCACTACGAGTTATTGTCTCAGTTTGCCCAATATCTGATTGACTTCTCGCTCGTCCCCGCGGCGCAACTCAGCACGGACGATTTCGCCGGCGAACTCGCGAACCAAACAAACCTCGCCATCAAAGGCATCGTTGGCCTACAAGCCATGTCTTCTATTTCCAGAGTTGTCGGAAACCCAACCGATGCCGCCAAGTTTTCCGACAAGGCGATATCGTACTACGACCAATGGGAAGATCTCGCGATTGATCCGTCTGGGAAGCACACGCTCCTAGCCTACCAGTGGAGGTCTAGTTGGGGTCTACTTTATAACATCTACTTCGACAAGCTCCTGAACATGGGGCTTGTCAACCCAAAGGTGTACGAAATGCAATCTGCATGGTACGCGAGTGTGTCGCAGACCTTCGGTGTACCCCTGGATAACCGACACCACTATACCAAATCCGACTGGGAAATTTGGACGGCGGCTACCTGTTCTCCCACCACGAGAAGACTTTTCGTCAATGCCATTGCCTACTGGCTAAACGAGACTACCACCAACCTTCCCTTTTCCGACTTATACGAAGTAGTAGGGACGGGGGAATACCCGTTGCAGATAGACCATTTCAGTGCCCGCCCTGTTGTCGGCGGTCACTTTGCCTTGCTGACTCTTGGGAAGACCGGACAGCTTGCTAATGCTGCGGGCGGGGATACGACAGGAAGCTTGTTTACGAAGAACGGCACCGAAGCATTGCCTGCTCCTGAAGCACCAAAGACTCCTGCTTGGTATGCAGGGAAACCGTATAAACAACGGGCTGTCAGGAAGTCACCGCCTCGGCTAGACGAGTTGCGTTAAGGACACGGTATTTTTACTCGTGATAGTTCACCGTTTGCGCGATTGAAATTACCCAACGCATAGTCGGCGGTGCCGTTATATTGTGATGGGCAAGTATGATTGACTTTTAGTCTTGTTTTCATTTCATTTTTCCTAGTATCGGTTATCTATTCGCAAATGGTTGTTGCATTTACACGCATGTAAGAGATATTTTAAGTGGCGTTGATAGACTCGAAATATTTCAAAGTAAATATTGTCACTTTTACATCGTAGGCTCGCTAAATATAGGAAAAAATCAATACAACTTTTATTACACTTTTTACTTTGCCTTCATGTCCATAATCGTATCTTGTTGAATTGAATTGATTCTTCAACCTCGTTATGCTCCCGGCCACCTGCACGTCCTACTTGCAGCAGCGATTTTTCCTTAGGTATTGTTATATGGTTACCTAGGTAGCTAGGTATTTATTACAATTTAAAAACTAATATTTTGTATATCGCGTAGAGATCGCATCATAAATGTTCAAGTACCCATATATCTCGTTCAAGCGAAGTTCATCCTGTAGCCGAAGAGATGTTCAATGGAAGTCGAATATCCAATTCCAACGCCGCATTCAGTCATCATGAGCCCCGAGTAAAGACCGAATAATACTACCTAAGTCATGCTTTCGAACCTGACATCCTCAACTCATATATCTAACATACTTCTGATCTGCTGAGGCGGTCCAGTCGTGGACATGCCACTAGCCGTACTCGAACTTCTTTCGTTTGTCCCCGGGCGTCGGGGTTGCTCATTGGCAACCTCTAAGCCTCTGCCTCTACCCCCGGGTGTATTAGCATTTGCTCCCGGGAATAAGAGACCAGCGGCCACTTCTACTGTACGCTCAGACCTCCGCTGGTCCGATTTTCCCCCATAAGGTGAATACGGCGGCGGTGGAGGAGCCGAGCCAGGGGCTCCACCACCACGGGCGCTATTCGCGCGTCGAATCTCGTTCATTTCTATGCCACTATTTCGAGTTGTGGCATCAGATTCCATTTCCGCGGCCCTCCGCTCCGCCAGTCTTTCAACTTCCCTACCGGTGGGCCGTCCACCACCAACCTCACGGACGTTTCGCATAATCCTGTCTCGCATGCTACCAGCTGACACGTCGCCATTGACTCGGCGCCACCAAGCAGGCTTTCGAATGAGACCTAGTTCCTGGTCCAGCGTTTGTCCTCGCTCGCGTCGTTGGCGCAGTAGTTCACGATCTTCGTTTGGTCGCATAAAGCCTGCAATAATCTGTATGACTAGGATGAGAAAAGTTGGTGCATAGCCTCCAAGATACATTGCTAATAGATTAGTTTTGACATTTAGAGGCGAGAGACCGAAGTCCCAAGCACATAAGCCTTGGTAAGCAACGACAGCTAGCGCAAGGGGTATCATTAGTGTAAAGCGGAATGGCATATATCCTAAAAAGCCGATAATACGATTGAAAAAACCACGGTTTCGAGGCTCGTAATGTCGAATAGAGTGCCATAAAGAGACCATAATTGTACACCAACCAACGAATAAGCAGAATGTCCCTGCCTTGAAGCGCCCGTCGGTGGCAGCTGGTATTGCATTCTCTATAGTCTGTTCGGGGGATCGCTGGAGTTCGATTGCACCCCAGTTCCGCGGAACAACGAGGAAGAAATTCTTGGCGGCTAATTAACACATAATTCTTTGGATATAGTAAGATTATTATCGAAAACTTACCAGCCATAACCATAGATAAAAGAAGATGGGGAGCCACAACTCAAACATGCCTCTTTTATCGCTTTGTTGAAGGACGAAGGGGTTTGGGTCGATAAATTGACGTTCCATCCAACTACCCCAATGTCGAATACCCTCCCAGACTACCGCCATGATACCGATCTGCATAAGGTACCAGAAAAAGACATTTAGAACAATGGGAAGTTCTACAACATGGTACCGGTCGACATCGATCCCGGTGAAAAGACCAACGAGAGCGGTCGCGCAAACGAATATCGACCAGTACCATTGCCACCTCCTCCCAATCGGGTAGAATCTCTTCTCGGCGGGTAGATGTAATTCGCCATGCTTTTTCAGATTGACCAGTATAAAAATCAGACACAAGGCGAAAGCCACAGCAAAACCAATACCAGCGCGTGCTCGGTCCCCGATAGGATCTGTAGCCAAGTAACACCAAGTACTATTGATAAAAGTGCCATTGGTCAGTATACCTTTCGGAGTGTAAGGCGGGTTCATAAGCATGCACCAGGATCCGTTCGAGAGCGTGCCATTGATCGGATAATAAGTATAATTCCAGTAATTTAGCGTGGAGGCGTTAAAGTGGATGTTATAAAAGACGGTGTCGGTCGCGTTATCGCCCTTTGGGAAGCCATCGCGGGTGCTGAGGAGAAACATGGTAACGTCCGGAATAGGCGGCGCGGGGAGGGGGAGATGGTCGTCTTTTGTTGTTATTCTTCGGTTAAGGCGGGACGGATAGGAGCTTCGTACGGGTTCGTAACGAAGTTAAGAAATTTAGACCATCACGGAATAACGAGACGCGCGACGACAACAAGAAAAAAAAGAAAGGAAAAAGGAAAAGGAAGAAAAAAGGCGCGAGGCTTATGGAAGTGGAGGGTTCCGGTAGGTAGTAAAATCCGGAGCTTCGGATCAGATCGCAATGAGCGTTAAAAAAAAAGTCGCTCAGCGACCAGGTGATCTCCACAATTTTGTCGATCGGCATGCAGTCCGATAACTCAGATGGGTAGGATGAGCTACGATAAGAGGCCGTTAGGGCGTTGTCGACGTCATCCCGAGATGCCGAATGAAAAGCTAACAATATGAACATGCATACAGGTACCTAAGGTAGGTGCGGTACCTAGATGTCTTATCGATAAGTATATATTATATAAGTGGAACTACATAATGAATCTCTTGGCTTCAACTCATCCATGTACTCGTATTCTACCAACAGAATAGTTTTATCCTCTAGTTTACCCTCTAGTAACACTAATTTAATCGTCAGTTCTAATAAGTTATAATTAATTTAACAACTAATAGAAAACTCTCCTGTTGGATATCAATTAAACAGTATTCCCAAAAGCTCGTTTAAGCAGTATATAACCAATAATACAATTCATCGGCATCGCGAGACCTCTTGTATAAGCAAGGGATAAAGAGAGCCGTGGCCATGGACGACATTCTAGATCTAAGGATAATAGGATACCACCCCAAAACTCTTGGCTTTTGCAGTTGGTCCATCGACACCGCACCATATGTAAATTAGACATGGATGTGGGACAATCCCTTTTGACCCTTACTGAGGTTGTGGACACGATTCCCTCCTCTAAGGTGTTTAGTGTCTTGTCGCTATTCTCCTTGAGTTTTTATCGATTGTCCTACGGTTTTTACTATTCCTCTTCTACCCGACTCGTTAGAAAACTACTCGATAAACAATGCGATCGGGTAACGTGTTTTTATCGGCGTCTCTGGTTATTGGATATGTCTTCGGTCAGAATTGTCCCGGATATTCGAGTTATTCGCAGTCGCGAAACCCTCCTCTCTCATCCGGTGCCTACAAGCTTGCGTATCAGCGACCTAACCCCGAATGTCGTACTTTTAACTCGAGTCTGATCGAGGATGCTATTAACAAAACTAAGAGTATCATTTTCGATGCGGATCTATCACGTCTTTTCGAAAATACCTTCCCGAACACGCTCGACACGGCTGTTAAATGGCGAGGAGTTGCTGCTAACAACTCGGAAGAAGAGTTGGCTTTCATAATTACCGGCGACATCGATGCGATGTGGATTCGCGATTCGGCGAACCAGATAGCACCGTACAAGACTATACTGAAGAAAAAGACTGATGATATCGCTTCTGTATTTCGCGGTACTATTAATTTGCAGGCTAGATATCTAATTATATCACCATATTGCAATGCTTTCCAGCCTCCACCCGAGTCCAATATCTCCCCAGCGCAAAATGGGGGTATCTATTCTGTCACACCGTCGTACGATCGCAATATTGTTTTCACTTGCAACTTTGAGCTGGATGATTTTGGAGGATTCTTGCAGCTCTCGCATGATTATTATAATGCGACAGGTGACTTGGATTTCTTTGGCAAGTTCCAATGGATTCAAGCCGTGCAATCTATTCTTGCTACATCAGAAGAAATGAGGCAACCTACATATGGACCTGATGGGAAATGGATTCCCCCTGTATATACATTCCAATCGCAGACCATGACCGGTTCTGGCACTCTAGGAAACAATGGTATCGGAAATCCCGTTAACGAGACAGGCTTGGTACGCTCGCCATTCCGCCCGAGTGACGACTCTGCTACATTCGATTTCCAAATCCCGGCAAATATGATGTTGTCGAGATATTTGAAATCTACATCTGATATCATGGAACGACTACCAAATGCGCCAAAAGGGTTGGCGCAAAAGATGCGGGACATGGCTACCGAGATTAGGGAGGCTATCAATCAATGGGGTATTGTAACTGCGCCTAACGGCAAGAAGATCTTCGCATACGAAGTTGACGGGTTTGGCGGTCAGAATTTGATGGATGATGCCAATGTCCCATCGCTTCTCTCGGCACCATTTCTAGGATACTTGGACAAGAACGATACTATTTATCAAAACACGCGAGCTTTCGTTCTCAGCAGAAGTAATCCGTGGTGGTGTGAAGGACCTCATCTCAAAGCTATCGGTAGTCCACATATTAGACCGGGAGCTGCATGGCCTATGTCGTCTATCAGTATGTAATATTAAGTTCCATGGCATTCTCCTTATGCCCCCCCTCCCCCCAACCAACATTACGTATCAACTAGTGCTACAAATTCCTCACTCGCTGTTTTTTTCGGGCCCACGTCTTAATTAAGCTTTCTAAAAAACGCCTTACTAACTGCCCTCTTTAGTACGAGCGATGACCTCGGATGATGACGCAGAAATCATATCATCAGTTAAGGAAGTGTTGAGCACTACCGATGGATATGGTTTGATTCACGAAAGCGTCGATAGCTTTGACACGAGCAATTGGACACGTCAATGGTAAGCAATAGATTCAAAACGGGAGTCTCTTAGTAAATCAACTGACTTCTGATATAGGTTTACTTGGGCAAATGGACTTTTTGGCCAGTTAATTATGGATCTAGCAGAGAGGAAACCACATATATTGAAAGAGAACTTCCAACCCTTCTTCATAAATAAGAAATAGTACCACATGTGTAATATGTTCAAGGATCTTACAATATTATTATTCATCTAACTCCTATAAGACTGGATAATGCTGATATTGAGGTCATCGTTTACCTCGTCCTTTTCCAAGTGATACTTACCTTAACATTCGTAAAGTGTTGAATACATATCGCCATTTCTTTCTTATAAATTCATCTGATATATAAATTGCCACCGCCACTAATTCAATTATGAAACTCCCAAAAAGGTACCCAACCCGTTGGATCATCTAACGTCCGTGACACCTAAGGAACAGATATTTTAAGATTCTACTAACTACAACTAGACTGCAACAAGAATATTTTCGCGCAATGATAGATCAGGTACAAAACCTAACTCTAAACAGACCTCGAATGTCTAATAGCTCTATCATATTAGCCCTTTTTTTTCACATCTTACGACAAACCCTTTAGGCCACAATTGCGATAAGTTTTCCTTATCTGATAAAGTATTTGCCACCATGTAATATTGCACATCAATGAATTATTATTGCGAATTAGTGATGATGCGTATATTGTATTCCTAATGCGTGTGTGTACCTTAGGTGAGTAAACTCAGGGTGCTAGGTTGTTTACAATTTCGATCTCCCGCCCCTATTTTTAAACACCAACAAGTTATCCATACCAACTATCCCATCTGATTTTCCATACCAAGTAACCAAACTCCATGCCATTAACCGTTCCTAAGTATTATCTGTCCTCCTATAGAAAATAATCGATATAGTATATCTCTGACAATAGAGAAAGAGCTGCATCCAGTGCAGAAAGACGTCGTCGTCAAAAAGTCATATAAGTCGCATAATCCTGAATAATCATCGCTGTGTCGTTTCGCTGTGCCCATTCCCCAAAACTTGCCCGTGCTTAAAAAACAAATATCCCAACTAACTTAATCCTCCTTTGAGAAGCCTTTGTTCTTGCCTCCCATCATAGGCTTGAGCCTATGCTTTATTCCGGAGATCTAGCACGTCTGCGATTGTTGAATCCTGCGATCACTTGCTCTCTGCTTAGCAGGTCGACGTAACTAATCCTCTGTGCAAAATCCCGTAGCTTTTCCATCGAACGGGTGTCTTTAGGAAACGCCCGATATCCTTCTATAACGACAGAGACATATTAGCACAGGTGCAAATAAGCGGTAAATGATGAAATGGTGAGAAATTCAAGAGGTATGAGAGCATGTTGTAAGGGAAGATATTTGATTGATTACTTACCGTATGCCCGTGTCATAGAGGTGTATATAAACGCGCTGTCGATATATTTCAGGGTCACTAGTTTCTTCACCAGTTCTACCAGCTTGAATGAACCTGGGGCAAGGCGGCCCCCGTAATCGACAATGATCCTATTCAGCGAGTCGAAAAAGTTAAGCCAATTATTTAGAGATACTATACATAGATCTATTAGTTTAAAACTTCTACCAGAAAACAAAAAATCTGCGTAACAAAAATTATGTTTTCTTCAATCCTCGGAGGACGCCGAGGTGGGAGGAGAAAAAAAAAGAGGGGGGGGGAGAAGGGTAGACATTGTAAAATTACTTACAGGCTCTATTAGGGCTAGTATTTACAAAGCTTGACAACTCTGACTGCAAATAAGGTGGCAGATCTCTCGTTGTCAGGTCTTGTACTTTGATATCGCGCATGAGGACGGTGAGTATGAAGTAGAATGAAGGATAGTGCCTGACCAATTTTGGCATTCTCAACAACTCTTTTTGCGATATCTTAACGTTCGTCGGCAGCTGATTAATCCAAGGCGGGATTGTTCCTAGCACCTTTCTTATATCGGATAATGATAGAGAGCAGTACGTTTGAATAGGCTTCATGCCGAACGCAAAGTCTAACTCCGGTTGTGGTTGCATACATGATTGAGCCAGATCACTTGATGACGACGACGACTGAGATTTTACCGATAAACCTGTCTGAGGCCGTGGATGCTGCTGTGGGGGTGCATATGGGTAGCTTTGTTGTGACGGCTGAAGAAATGATTGCTGCGGAATATTGCCTAGCATCTGGGATTGATACTGAAGTGGTGCTTCGGAAAGTCCAGATGAGTACATCTTGAGTTCCTCATACCAAAGTTCATTATAGATTGCAGTATCGAATCCATTATGGCCGTAAGGAGGCGCCTGAGATTGAGGCTGAGAAAATCCTCGCATCTGCATTTCCGCCTGGAGCTGCTGGGAAAGTTGACTAGGGGAACCATCATAGATTCCTAGCCCAGAACGTGCGGTTGGCCACCCAGCAGCCATCGAGGGTTGAGCTTGAGATTGTGTCTCAAGGAAACCTTGTGGTTGCATCGCTCTCGCGTGATGGTCCATCAAAGATTGGGAATGAGGTTGTCCTTGTAGTTGGGTCTGGGTATTCTGGGGCAGGGGCTGAATATATGGATATAGCGTAGGATCTTCTAATAGTGTAGGATCTTCTACTAGCCTCATAAAATCTATATCAAATTTATTTTGAGGTTGTAACTCGAAGGGGTCTTGTAGTGGGAATTGAGGGTTAAATTGCTGCAATTCCTGTGGCGTAGAAATGAGATTAACATTGGATACTCCTTCCGCAGGCTGATTTGGCTCCGATGACGACATATTCATATTACTCGTAGACCCGGGAAGGTACATCCCGTTTATTTTTTGATCCTGTGACATTGTGGTAGTGATGAATATATCGCTATAGATAGTAAAAATAGTGTTGGTATGTGAAAATGAAGATGTAAATGGTTTACGGAGGGAAGTTTTGAGTGAGGGAAGACAACATGGGCACGAGTTTTTTTTTAAATATATATATTGGTATTACAACTACCTAGCAACTAGGTTAGAAGTCCAAGCACTGGCATTATACAGTTGAATCGGATTGCGAATAGACAAATCCAAGCCCGAGCTGAACTCTGATAGGCGCCTATTATTGAAGACTAAAAACTGTTTAAACTGTTTATATCTGCTTCCCCAACGGTATTGCCCCTCCAACAGCCTCGCCACCCCTTCGCTATGTTAAGCATTAAAGTAAATAAAGTAGCAAGGGTAGTTCAAAAGGAAACTTGTTTATAGAGAGGGGCCTTGTAACATGCACATCTAGGGCTCGTTCATTGACTTTGACAAAGCAAGAATCTAAAATATGGTATTATTACGGCATGGACCTTTTAGATCGTCACTTCCTATTCCTGGATCATCTTTGTATAGGAAACAGTTATAGAGTTTCCCTGAATAGGTTATTCTACAAGTGTATACACCTGCCCACCAAAATTAGTAAAATGACATTTGACAAAGTTATTAAAAGAGTAGTCTTCAAATAAGGAAATTAATCTCTGAATAGTGGTATACATTCTGTAAATAGTAATATGTATACTGTATTTCCCAGCCAACACAACACTATAGGTACCTAAGGTAACCTTATACTAAAAGATCTTAGAGCCTTATATTACGTAAGAGGCCTTGAATTAGGGACCTCAATAATAGCCTAGTAGTTGTCCGGTATGCTAGGTTTAGCTTACGTGCACGATACAAAACAAGGCTTCTAGAGAAACGCCTTTTAAAACATCACAACTATTATACTAGGGTTTTATAGCGTAGAATACCCAGAAACGATATTTTCGAAAACCTATAACAACCTTATAAAGCGGTATTCTTACAAATACAATATTATTGATTTATGTTGATTTCCTATTGTAATTGGATTAACTAACCTACAGTGGGTAGAAATTAAAAACGTCCAATGCCCATTTTACACCCAAACTCACCAACTTTCAATGGTTATAACTTAACATAATTATATAGAACCAATGAATGAAACTTACAAGGCCTTTTAATAATTGAATTTCTATTACTTCTACTGATTTTGATTAATTTTTGAGATTTTATTCGGGTGGGAAAATAGTATGGAAGTTGTCATATTGTAAAAAATATCACTTTTTGTATGGGAAAAGGTAATATTTTCAACTTTTAAAAGGGTTAACTTCGTAAATATACTAATATCTTAACCAACATATTTATTACAATTATATAAATGGTATTTCTATAATTCTCATGAAATTCTCTATATTAAATTGATTTTTATTCTTTTACTTACATATAAATGTATTGAAAAAATAAGGATTAAACATCGGAGGTTAAATATGGATATATTTATTACATCTTTCAATTCTAACCTCATTTCAACACCTAAATTTTTGAAAAAACTTCCTAGCTATTTAATAATGAGTAAAATAAATTTTACAATTTCTATTTTATTTTTACATTGCGATTTGGTTGAGTTGTAATATATTGAAGTTGATGTAGTAAAGTGTAAAATGGGCATTGGACGTTTTTAATTTCCACTCACTGTACCTAGGTAGTTTGTTTCATGTTTATATCAATGCGAGCAACTAACTTTAAACATTGGTAGGTATTTAAACGATATGCAATGGGCCGATCCCGCTAAACGCTCGCCTTAGCATGTTAACAGGTAGGTACCAAATTATAATTATAATTCAATCCATGTTGAGATATGGATATGTTTATTCAACGCCATTAACAACAATTATTTATCAGCAATACTATAAAATGTATTCTCGTGACGAAACTGTTAACGCTATCCTACGGCTTTATCAGGAAGTTATCCGCCACCCATATTTAAACGATAGTACACTTGTTTTACCCCCTCCAGGTGGTTGGCGTTCTGTTAACATCCGAGGAAAAACCCAAACTGTCCTTGATCTACTTCGTCATCTTCCATATCTCCGTCCAGGGAATCCGTACGAACGACTCCTTATATACTGGGAAACAGTTCCCATATGTTATACGGACGAACAAAGCCACCTTGAAATCTATACCCTTCCAGCTCACTGTGCTTACCTTACCCATAGCGTGGACCGAGAGGGCACGTCTTTGATTCTCGACACTAACGAAGGTACCATAACTGAGTTTTGTCACACCGGGTCCTACATTACAGTGTCTGAGGAAGAATACGAAGCGCTGTCTGAAGAAGATAAGTGGAAAGCCCATCGCACGTCGCCTATCAAGGGGTTTTTAGACGTTTGGACGCGACGATACGAGAAACTAGTATGGATGATAATACCAAACCCAATTGGTCAGCCAACTACGGGAAGGTTCTATAGCCGCGCTGATACAAATGCCGAACATGATGAATTGACCCTCGAAGAGCAATTGAAGCCGTGGCATCTTCAGGATGACGATAACAACTTGGATTTTGGGAACGAGTTTGATAAGGCCCAGTACGAAGACCGGAAAAGTATGAGAAAGCATGTAGCAGTATGTTTGCTTAGAGGCTCAGCTCAATTGCTCTCAGGTTTAATGCTAACTTGATATTTGTAGGACGTATATAATACGTATCTTCGGCACGGATGGCCTGATCACTTTGACAAAGATCGGTGTCGTAGCGAATTACTACAATTAGAGAAGTTGAAAGATGCGGAAGATAGACGAAAAATGGACGAACTGAATCCAGATGCGTATCTTTTCGATTGAGGCATCATCATAGTATAGGTATTTGTAAGGCTGTTGCCTCGTTACAGGAAGCACATGTACACAGAACAAAAATCTTCTTATATTAGGTAGGTAAACTCTATATAACTCCATCACATAGGAAGCCATTCCCTTGGTTAATTATTTGATCTAAAAAAGTGTGTAATACTATACGTTTTGGAGTTTAGCGGAGTCGGTAATAAGCTTTAGGTTCTATATACTTCCTCGTAGTACCTTGGTGAGGCTATTCCTATTATTTTTTAAGACACTAACATTATATTATAGCAATATACAAGTCTTTCATATTTTTTGATACAAATCTTTGGAACGCTGTATTATGGAAACTATGCAACCTTACTACATAATTATTATCCAAGCGTCGTCATAAGAAATTATGTCATAATGTTTTTCTTAAGTTTTTGCCTCAACATAAAGTCAATAATAAACTAATAATCAAGTGGCCTGAGGTCCTTGCGGCTGCCCCTACGCAGCTATGGCTGTTTACTTATAGGCTTATCTATGGCACGCTCCTCTTCTTTGTGGAAGCAATTTTTTACAGCCCAACAAAAAACTTCATATATTTTATGCTAGTTACTCGCTTTATCTAGCTTTACTACTATCTTCTTCGTTTAATTTATCACTATGTAAGCTATAGGTCTCACGTAAAGCGAATATTTACTAAAATAATCATGTTCATAAGGTTCTCGGAAGAGGCAGTTTATATTATTTTCACACATGTCTTCTTAACCTGGTTATGTAATCGTAGAAACAAGGATAAACGTTATATCTTTTCAACGCTTCGAATTGAAATATTCGGAGCAAGCTTAAATGTATTAAGCTTATTTGACGGACCATAGCGGTAATATCAAGTCAGGAGTCGGGATAAAATTCATAAGACTCACTAGAAAAGAAATTGTAACTAGTAGAAAATAAAAACAAACTCGTAACATTAAAGATTACAAGTTATAACGGTATGAATGAACTTTGATCAATTATATTTTCGGCTCTAACTTCTACTCATTTTTCATCTCCTTTCGTTGGATAATAAACTTCAACGGCGTGAGGCTAAAAACCCCGCAGAGATGCCGGCCGCAACCACAAGTGTAGTATTAAGAAACAGAATATGGGTCAGTATATTAGTAACGTAGCCTATCGCCTCGACCAATATGTTCATGTAATGTTAGACTGTCACATGTACATGAAAAAAAGCAAATCAAACCGCACTTCCTCCGCGTCGTCCGGGCTCTCCCTTTCGCGGCCCATTTATATGATATAAGAACTCGGCCGACGAATCCGATAGTCGCAGGCTGGGTTAACAAAACCGAAAAAAAAAAAAAAAAAAAAAAAGAATAACTATAGGTAGTATAAAGAAAAGAATGGTTATTATTTATGATAGGGTTAATTACATTGGTTACTACTTGGGATGCGGAACCCAGCACTTCCATGCATGCCGACCACGCTACTATGTACCACGCCACACATACATATATCGCGAAATGGGGTGATAGATACGTTAGTATTATAATATTATTGGATTAGATCGCATATAAAGCGATCTGTGAAACAAGGAGGCGTTGTCAGCCCTCTCAAGTCTCCGGCTTGAGGGTGGGATAGCAATATTGAATACTGATACTACTCGTTTAGATGGCTTTTAGTTAGATAGTGTCGCGCAAGCGGGGCGGGGGGGAGTCCAGTCCGCATGGGTTCGTTGGAAGTGGTATGAGTAGCATGAATAAGGTCAATTAGTAGGACATCGTCATATGCGAGCAATGTCGAACGCGGCTGCGGTTGGGCGAGGAACAAACTTGAACTCGCGCAGAATTACTACATACGTCAGAATCAGGCACGCGTCGGGCGCCGTCCGGATCTCTGGATGAGGTTGCAATACCTACTGCAATACTGTAATAGGTACTGCAATGCGTACGCTTGTTGGACGTATAGCACACAAAAAAGGGGGACAAGGTACAATCATGATGGCTACTTTGGGTCATCCGCAAGTGGCGGTCAACGAGAAGATAGATAGTATGTAAAATATATATTATATATGGTCTCGCCTCCGTCTCCGATGGCTACTAGTTTGCCTCAACTTTCATTAGTTAGTTGTACCAAGTAAGACTTTAACTTTTTAGCGGTCTTCAAAGAGGACATGAATCGAGAGAGAGAGAGAGAGAGAGGGGTGGAGTGGAGAAAAGAGTCTAACCTTACATACTTACACTACATACATTAGGTACATACTTTACATATATGTACCTGATATATGTACCTGACTAACATCAATCACTCATTACGCATATGTAGGTAGTTAATAGAAAGGTGTCGATCTACGATAGGAACAATAGTTGAAATTGGAGATAAGGGGAATTCTTAAACGTGGACGAGATAAGTTGCCGGTGGTAACCGGTGCGGGTAAAGTGGATGAAAGCCGACCTACGAGGGAACCATCTTTTGAATTTGGCTACTGTGTATCGTGCCTTGCATCCTGCAGGACAGTTTTATTTTAGAGTAGCGCGTACAGGACCGTCATATTCTAATTATTCTTTCAAGGTATGTACAGCTGTAAGACATGTAACTAACAAACTTTGTCAGATGTAGGCATTGTATATTTACATATTATACCTACCTGGTATGACTTACATGAGGTGCTAAGCTACGAAATTGCTATTGCATTTAAATATACCTACTGAACATCGCCTTGCCAGAACAGATGGCTGGTGCTTACCTAGGTAGGTAGGTACCTACATAGGTATATTGTCCCCTTGTGGCTTTTTAAGAAGTGATCCGAACTGCTGGGGCGTTACACACATAGAAATAATAAAATGTATTCCTAACCTAGTAGGTTAAATGATTGACGAACGACGAACTAATCTGGGTATACCTAGCTCGTTTTCCCCTCCAAAGGATGATCCAATCACATGCCATTCAAAGAGGAGGGCATCCCATCAGGATGTAAACTCGTCCGGTAACGGGTATATTATTCTCTGCGCCTTTGCTAGTTACGTATTCAGTATCGTCACCCGTTGCCTCTAACGCCGTTAAGATATTAGTGCGCCAGTGTGCCAGTGCGTAAGGCCCTTTGTAGGCTGCGTTTCATCTCAGCCCTGTACCTTGGCAGGGTCCTGGGATCGATTCTTTCGTTCGCCAGGTACAGATAGATGGATAACTAGATGTATATCTTAGGTACCTCTTAGGTGGTTTGTACAGTATTGTACCTGGGGATGTGGGCTGACAGCTTACGCACACGCACACGGTGTCCGGCGATAACGGGCCTGGACTTACACAGACGTGGTAGTCATCTGATATACAGCCCTGCTTCTGAGTTAATTATGCTCCTGCAAATGCCCCAACCGGGTAATCGAACCAGGTAGAATGAGGGAAGTAATTAGCAACATCAGAGATAATTAAAACCAGGTAATATAGCCCGTAGTCCATAGTCCATAATCCATAGTCCGTAGCCTGTATAATGTAACCTGTACATACCTTGGGTATTGTAGTGAGTCGAGATCAGCAGTATGACGCCACCTGCATCCATCACCGACTAGCCTGGCTCCCTGTAGGGCATATCGATAAAGGATTGTCGATAGCGTCAGATCATAGCGGGGGAGGGGTGAAGATTGAAAGCGAGGGGGGGGGGGGGGGGGGGGTCTGGCCTCTTTCAGCCAAGGACCTAATGATTTAGGATAGGATATCTGGATATCTGGATATGTGAAAATCATCGGACGTTTTACTCCCCTTGGGCACTGATTGATTGTAATTCGTATTTTGTATTGATTTTGTATTGCGGTTTAACAGCTAGACTTTGCATAAGCGTTAAAAAGCTGGTATAGTTACACTAATAAACTTATCTTAGGTACCGTAGAAAGTTTGGCGATATCGTGTACGTAAAACTGCTAGTATCTATAAAGATGATTTGGTGCAACGCTATTTCGCACGTCCGAAAGAGTCTATTATGTAGGAGTCAGATACCAAACTTAATAGAATTTTCGTCCGCACCGACAGTTCAGCTTCGGTGAATTAGGTACCTATGAACAGCCGCTATCCGTGGAGCTGGATCGTAGGTAGTTTTAGGAGTCTTACATTTGGTACATTTGGGTGTCACAATAGTAGGGCAGGGCGGAACTTGTGTGTTATGACTAATGCAGATAATAATGCTGCATACGTGGTAGCCGGGCGGTGGATCATCAGGTACAAGAACCACGATAATGGATATAGGAAACATCGTATACATGTTACACAAACATACCTAGGTAGGTACGCATGCTACATGTCCTTTGCATTTTATAGGGCAGGGGAGTAAAAGGGTTTGATGACATGTTCGCGTATCTTGCGACGGAAAAAGCTACGAGCTTGAGGGTTGGCCCAAGTTGTAAGTTGTGCATGAGATGAGCCTGTGCCTGTACAGCTGTATCATGTACATAAATAAATATGTAGGCAAGGGAAGAAGGGAAAAAAAAAAAGGCTCCGGGAGAAGCGAGAAGCGAGAAACGAGTGGAGAAAGGCTGATGGTGGTGTACAGGTAGGTATTTGCTGTACAAAGTACTGAGATTTACACAATAGCAAGGAGTAGCAAGGAGTAGCAGTCAGCTGGACGCTTATCCCCCCCAAGCATTCTATACCGTCAATCCGGTTGCGATAAAATAGTAGGAATGCGGCAAAGCCAGTAAGATCTCCGTGGACCCGAGAGAATCTCTACTCGATATCCCGATGACACGATACCCCTTGGCAGGATGTGATCCTTTCTTAAGTGCCTACATAAGCACATCACAGGGCAATCTAGGCTCGAGAATATTGACCGAGTCAACGCGCCTGCGTCCATCATAGTGGACAATCCCCGGCAATAAAAAATGGAGGAGAGCTGTTGAATATAGATACTGGATAGGCAGGCGTTGCGTCAGAGAGCCGAGATAACGCAGATCATAACCTAACAAGGTTTAGCTCACAGCAGCTTTCTCCTCAGAGTTGCAGAGACCCGGCTGTTGAACAAAGACATCGTTTAAAAGAAAGCTCATATTATTAAAAATGCATCTTCCCTTCATCGTATAGATTGAGTATATATTGAGCTTATGAACGGCTCGTCTGCCTCACCGATATATTTTTGAGAAGCGTACATATGGGGCACAAAATGTGAAAGATTCAGAAATAAAGAGGGGACGCGAGGACAAACGGAACTTTCTCTTCCTACGTAGACTCGAGCGAATACTTACGGTACTCGCGTGGGTTTAAACAAGCTTACTTTCTTGCTAATATCGTAGGAAGAAGAAAAAACGGACCAAGTTTGGAAGTTTTGGCTAGTCTTGTAAGACCGATTTATGTGAAAGTTGCCCTAAGCCAGTGCCAAACCGTTATGGAGTTAGGACCGAACAGGAACCGGTTGTCTTCGGATGTGCCTGGTGATGTCTAGGAAAAAGGGTTGACGGGATTCAACCTAAGTAAGCGGTCAGACTGGTTGTGCAACAGATGACCACGCCCGCCACGACGGTGACGAATATTCGGGACAGCCAGGGGCAGATATTTTCTTTATTTTCTTTATTTTCCTATGATAGTTAATGGCAATTGTGATGAAGATACCGCCGATGAGATGCATGCGCCTAGTGGTTATAGTAGTTTATAGTAGTTTATAGTCCAACTCAGCACCTTTTATGCCTTGCAAACTTGCAAAAGCTGAAGCGCCAGAGCCAGAGTTTTATACTAATGCAACTACCACAACTAGTATTTCAGCAGTCTAGGTGAAGATCCATGATGTATGATGCCTGCGAAGACGGCTACTTGTGGGGTCGGAAAATGGGGAACGATGTGCGATGAACGATGAGCAAGAGATGGATATATGGATAGATGGATAGATGGGCGGTTTAAGTGAGGAACATCCATAAACTTGATCCCATGATTCCTTTCTCCCATCGTACCCGAATCCGGGGGCAGTTTCCCTGGAACATAAGACCACGCTAAAGATTAGACCAATTAAGTCAAATGGTTGTTTTTTATAGAATGAACGTACCCCTGTCAGCTACCTTAGGTACATTATGTAGCGTACATATGATATGTACACTAGGTACACTAGTGTAATCGTTGCAGGTGCCTTGTCTATCTTGTCCCTGTCCTGACTTCCCTAGCGCTAGAGAACGGGTACCGCATAGGTACCTCGCAGGGTTCATTACGCAGACGCGACAGGGAGACGTACAGAAAGACATGGTTAGGTACAAGGTAGCTTGCCTCCTAAGCCCCTCGCACCAACAGTGGAATATGTAATAAATAAAAACGGGATAGGCTCACAGGTAAAACCCCTCCTTCCTCCTTCTGCTTGCCCCTCCTTTGCCCTCTCCAAAGCTCTTTTTGATTAATAGATCCATCCCACCAGAAACAAAAAAAAACCCACTTCGGAGTGAGCAAAAAGGAAAACCGTCTTTTATTTTATTTTATGTGATGTGATATGATATCTATGCGGCTGGAATCCTCCACGACCGAGTCCGCAACTTTCCGATAAGACAAATCTAATTGTCGTAATTGTTTTGTAGATTTTCCTCTCTTACTCTTCTACTTCCTCTTTAATTTCTTCTCACTTACCAATAAGATCATTATTCCGTCTTCAGTCTCTCGCGTGTTATTGCGAGAGAAATGTATGACCGCGAGACCGATCCCGCTATACAACCTACCTAGCTAGGTGAAGGGCTTCTGTCGTTCGATGACCTCACTAGCGTATCGTTGTTGTCGACTCGATGGCCATTCCCATGCTACTAACGAATAAAGCGTTGCGATAATAGCGATAATAACCACATCAGATATCCACTCTATTGTATGTTCGTCCCTCTCTAATCCACTTTACCAGGCACACACACACGCATACGCTTCGTATAGCTCTTCATTCGTGCATATTTTCATACTGCCAAGCCTCCTCAAGTGTCAACTTGTCCCTGTCAAAATGAGTAAGGCCTTAGGTGGTCTTTTACAACAATATCCTAGTGTACGCATAGTGCTCCCCGTATTATAACATGGCAACATGTCAACATGGCTACATACTTGGGTACACACATATGGTCTATCCATCCATCCATCCATACATATTCATACATACATACACATACATTTATTACATTACATCTTAATACATACAAGAAGAAGAAAAGAAAAAAGAAAAGAAAAAATAAACATACCTTATACACATACATGTGTCTTTCCCGACTTTGACTAGGGAACCCCATCTATCTGGGCCGCAACCCATCACAAGTAAATCACTGACAAGCCGACCATCCCAACCCTCCCTCCTCTTGTCTACCTACCTACCTATCTCATCATCTTGCTTCATCACCCCTCCAACATTTTTTCCGCTTCAGATCCCCTCTCTCTTCGCCTCATCCCTTGCCACTTACCAACCCTATTATTCTTCTCTTCCCTTGCGCAATATCAATATCAATATCTTTCAATATCATCTAACAAGTCAAGTTTTCAGTGGTCTTTAATCCCCCAAAATTATTGGAACAAGTTCTTCGGTTAGTTCTCAAATCGGAGACCCGCACGAATTTATTCGGCTTTCGTCCACATTCAGCTTGATCGACCCCAACTCTTACTTCTGGACCCAGCCTCCTCGGTGGTTGGCTAGTCCCTGGCCTAGGCTCTCCCTGGCTCTTTGTTCTAACTCGCCATTCGGGATGAATGCGCGCTCGATAGAAGCAAGGTAACTGGTTAGAAAAAAATAATAATAACCCACTCGAAAACTATATCTTCTTTGTTGATGCTATTCTAATTGCATCCAACGTAAAGATAATCTTCAAATTCCCCCCCTACCCGTGGTCGCAACATTCCAAGGACAAACATTCGTCATTCTTGAGCTTGTTCCGTTCTAAGCCCACCTGTCTCAGTTTCAGCCGTTGCCCACTCGACCTGACTCGAGCTCCCTCCCCACCGAGAATTCCCGGCATCTTAGCACACATCACTGGGAACACAACCAATTTCAGAATATCAATACCCGTTGGGTCTACGAGGAACAAAGATTGCGAATGAATTATATCAAACTTTCATCATTATCTCCCTTTTCTTCTCCCCTTTCTTCTACAACCTCAGCCGCCGCATTACTCCCCTGTCATTTTGATCTACCGCTATTCGTCCTCGTCGTTTCTACTATTTGTCCTAAAAGGCTCGCCTTGGATATCTAGACTCGGAGGAGTTAGGGTTCCAGAAGCAATATAAAATTATCGGCTTGCCTACTAGGGTCGACAGCTACTTTACCTCTACCGAATATTGGGAAGTGTGCTATGGCGGCTACTTTCCGCCCTGTCAACACACCTATGGCGATAGAAGTGAAGAAAGATGACGGGGCTGCGCGGTCGCCCACAACACCGACCCCGACGAAAGCTAGCTTCGGCCAGCGACCATTACCTACATCGCCGTTTCCACAAGCAGTTCAGATTCCAGAAAGTATCGATGAAAGGCAGACTCCGAAACAAACACCCAAGCGAGAGAACTCTCAGCATTCAAGAAAGTCGCGAGGAGGCTCCGAAGATGTCGATATGGATGAAATAGATGAAGAAACCCACGGGGACGACGGCGCCGGATCGGATGATGAAAGCGTGAATGCAGATGGAACAAAGTCTAATAAGAAGAAGAAATCACAACGATTTTACTGCACCGAGTATCCACCTTGCAACCTGAGCTTTACGAGAAGCGAACACTTGGCTAGACATATTCGGTACGATACTACGACTTTCTTTAATTTAATATCGATCGTGGCTAACAATTTTAGGAAACATACCGGAGAACGTCCATTTCAGTGTCATTGTTCGAGACGATTTTCACGGCTAGATAACCTGCGGCAACATGCACAGACTGTACATGTCAACGAAGATATACCGATAGATTCTCTTGCCGCTACGGGTACAAGGTTTCAAAGACAAATTCGGACCGATCGAGTGCGACAACCTGGAAGAGCTCGGGCTTCTACAGCAGGGAGCATGGGTTCCCCGCCTCGAGGCCATGCCAAATCTCTTTCTACTTCGAGTATTAGTTCTGTTGGTTCAAATTTCAGCGGTCGCGATGATGTGCGCCGACGGCCACCTCCTTTAGTCATGGCGGATCCGCGATCTCGGCTTTCCATTGAAACCTACCATAATACCGAAAGCGCATATGCCTACCGACCACCATCTCCGAGCGATTTCAGTACACCAACCTCGGCAACCTTTTCAACTGGCCAGAACAGTCCCCGATGGGGATCCGCCATCGCATCACCAAATTCATCTCATCCCCGACCTCAGAGCATGTACGCCGGCCATAGAACACCAGGCCGTCGCCTAAGTGTGCCGTCTGGTGGTATACCCTTTCAATCTCCTCATGGAGCTCCCTTGGGTCGCCCTCTATTCGGCCCGGGCACCATGAACACTTCCAATCCCGGTGCTTTTTCTCCAACTGGGAGCCTGTTAGGATCTCCTACCTCTTCCATATTTTCTTCGAGGCGTGAATCTACATCACAGACAGAGGATTGGCGTCGCCGCACATGGCATCCCGACTCAACTAATTTCAGCACCGTTAACAGCAGTAGCCGCTTAAGCAACGTCGTAACTCCATCGCAATTTAATAACCCTGCCCCTGTCCCTGTCGCGCCACAGCAGAGCACGACACTGCGGCTGCCTGGGATCGAGTCGTTCGGTCCCCTCCCTCATCGCCCAGTATCTCCTATTAGGCGGAACCCCTCTCCTATGATTGTTGACTCCGAAGTTGCTCATCCACCAGCCATGCTTCCCCTAACCCATTCCGCAGATCCCGAAGAAAGGCGCAGTACAGTCCACTGGGATATGGGTTTACATCGAGGTCTAACTCGCTTGGATATCACGTCCAATGCGCCGTCCTCGGACGCGGCCGGTACTTGGGCCCGTGAAGCGAACCAAGCTGTTGAGGCTGAAGTAGACCGAATGAGAGTAAACCCCCCGACAGTGCGGTTTAACGAACCCGTAGTGATTGAAAGCAGACCACCAGGTGCTGCGAACTTTGCCAGGGCGTATCACCAGCACACTATGTCAGCACCTTCGATCGCTACTTCAAGAGAGTCCAAACGGCGTGGTTGGTATAACGGACCCGTAACAGTTCACGCCGATGCCCCTCCGGAGAAGATAGCGCGGGTAGAACGGATGGTTCATCCAAACATAAACGAATTCACAGGTTTTCCGGCGAGAGAAAATACTACAAACTCCCAGCCCAGACAGGAAAATGCTGGTGAACGGGATAATATGCTTCGGTTACAGGCTCTAGTAGCAGTCGCGACAAGCGAAGGAAATGCGACGACCGCATACTAGACAATATGCTGTCTATGCCTATAAACTTAAGGCTATAACTATACCAGATAAACTACGCCCCTCCACCACCACCAAATACAATACACACACATCGAACCTTTCGCCTGCAGATCGCGGCGGGTTAACGAGACTTATGATTTCTCTTGATATTTTGTTTTCTTAGAATCAAGCATTTGCATGATACACGATCGCTACTTGACTTACGAATATACCTTCCTGCACGGCTTGCAGTTGCATTTATCATTGGACTGGGTTATATTATGGCGGTACGGACTGGCGTTGCGGGTGGAGGAACTTGTTTGCGACGGAGAGATAACGAGAGTCGGCCACGTTCATTCGTTGCGTGGCCAAAAAAAGACACCTCCTCTCTCCCGTATCATGTGTGATTCTTCAAGGATCCTTTCGTTTCATTTTGCCTTGGATAGGTCGGCCGCCATGGACTTACACAAGATAGGGGCTCCAGCGATGATTTTTAAGCTGATGATTGATGACACGAACCTGATACCCATTCATTTCAAGATGAGGGGAATCGCAAGACGGGGGAATTAATAATAGTCTTTCGCATATCCTCTTTTGCGTAGTTGCAAGTATAAAGTCTCTTTTAGAGCTTTATTTACCTGCTGCTTCGCTAATTAGACAAGAGCAGAGACTTTTTTTATTTTTTTTTTATTTTTTGAAAGGGCCGGGGCAGTCTGGATACTTGCGTCCTGATGGATTGATACCCCAAATTTCTGTTGGATCCTGTCGGATTTATCATCTCCTTCGCTATTATTCTAGTATATGATTTTGAATATACTTATTAAGACTACTCAAAGTTTAGGACTGGTAGCTCAGATAGATAATCACAGCTCTCGTTCGGTATTTGATTTGCCTATGACTCTATGTTTGTAGTAAGGATATTATCAGTTAATATATCTTAACCATTTCGCTTCCCGTGGCATTTTAGTGTAGTGGAAATGCAGTGCTGCTGAGCAGACTTTAATTTTTGAGATACCAAAAAAAAAACATTATTGTTGTATTGTCATGTCCTTAAAGTTGACGGATACTATTCCAGCGAGGCTTCCCGCCAATAACAAAGAAGGATAGAACAGCTGTAACAGCTGATATAACAGCAAATACAAGATTCATATTGCCATATCCGATGCCGTCACGAAGAGCTCCTGCGACAATAGGACCGATAGTAAGCCCTGCGCAGAAGAATAGTGAATTGAAGCCATACAGCTGAGCGTATGGACCGTTAGAACCAAAGAACCCTGGGTTGGCCTGATTAAATTTCCCGACAACGTCGCTAGCCTCGACCACACCAGGCGAACCTATGATGGCTAGGCCGACGCCATTAAGGGATAGCATAGCGCAGTATAGGATAACGTTACTTGTTCCAGATAATAGGTTGTCCGATGGGAGTCGGAGCAGAATAAGGGAGGGAACTAAGTATCCGAATCCAACGACGGCAGCTAACTTGGTGCCATATCGGTCCACTGCCCACCCAGCTACGGGTCCTAGAATAAGATAAGGAATATCTAGAGCAATAAACAAAAGTCCTGCCTGTAGCGAGGTGAATTCGAAGAGGCTCTGCGCTTCTGTCGGGATGGTGGCATCAAAAACGGCTAGAAGAGAAGCTTGGACGAATGCTAGGGCCATCCCTACAAGGAGTCTAGGGCTCCGGAAGCAAACCAGTATTGGAAATGCTCGGACGATCCGGTTAGGTTCGTGTCGAATCTTGTATATTTCGTTGTCTTTATGGTTATTATTACGCAACAAGGCATCGTGCTCGGTAGCATCTTCACGATTATTAGCGTCTCCAACGTTTTCACCTCGGGCTGTTCCATAGTCTTCATGCGAATCTTGCTCCTCGTTCTGAGAATCTGGTACTTGGCCAACATTGTACTTGGCAGCCGTCTTCTTCTCTACCACCAAGAGTCGCATGAGAAAATCAAGTCCCAGAACACCCGCGGCCACGCCAAAAACGCCCGAATATCCCGTCTTCTCATAAAGCACGCCCCCGATGACCGGTGCCATCAGTTCGCCTACGGAGATGAAGGAGAATATAGAACCGACGACTTTCCCTAGATTCTGCGGGCCGACGGTGTCCAAGATCATGGCAAAGCCGACGGTCCAAACGACTGCCGCGCTGATTCCTTGCAGGACCCTGGCGGCGAAGAGCACGGGTATACTCTGTCCCAACGCTAGCATAATGGTGGCTGCTAGTAATGCGGCCAGGCCGCTTAGAAACGGGGCCTGGCGCGAACTCGTCCGATCCGCGATCCATCCAGCCGGAACGGAGGTGACGACGGAAGCGCCTGCGTAGGCGGCTAAAAGGTTAGAGACGTAAGATTGTATCTCATCTTCGGGTATGGATAATCTATCGCGTAACATGAAGGGTAAGACGGGAACCACTAATCCGTATAAGAATAAATCGGTGAAAAGTCCAATCGCGACAGTCGCAATGATGAATAACGTATTAGAACGCCAGTAGAGAGCTAAAGGGGGGCTCTTATCAGACGCCATCTTGAATATATATATATATATATGTGTGTGTGTGTGTGTGTGTAGTTTATTGTTTATAAGATGTAGTTACGGAGTGAACATCGAAGGTTGCTTATTGGATAACTTCTTGAAGGTATTTTGTTCCTGCAGATCGATGACCTCATAACCGAGAACTAGACAGCCACAATTATGTCGCCTGCATCAAGAAACCGTCATAATTTAAATCTATAATTTAAAACAGAGAATTTACTTATCGCGTTACTCAATTTTAGCTTCCGAGCGTCGTACCTATAACCATAACTGTATAAGTCCTTCTACAATATAACTAGGTAATTAATATCATTATCTCTTTTTACTTATAAGAAAGTCGCCTTCCCAAACACACCCAATCACTTAATCCATCTTCATCCACGGAGGTAAAGTCTCGTACTGCTCCCCCCATTCGACAGGAATCTTCATAACAGCAGAGCGCGTGAAAATATGCATCTTCCCGTTCCAATCCAAGCCTTGTATGCAACCGCCCTTGATACTAACAGATGAGCGAGGCGTCCCGTCTGCGCTTATGATGCGGTGAATCATGCGCGAGCCGCACTCGGAGCAGAAATAGCAGTCCGAGGAGCGTCCGTTGTTGGTGGGCCGCCGGAAAGCTTTTAGACGAGACTCTAGCTCGGGCGGGAGAGGGAATAGTCCCTCGGCTGGGAAGATGGCGGATGTGCCGAAGGCTGACCCGCTCTGTCTTTGGCATTCTGTGCAGTGGCAGTGGAACATTGTGATCGGCTTCGCTGTCGGCGTTGGGAACGAGACGTAGCCGCATTGGCACTGTGCTGTGAGCGGCTTGGGATCTGATGAGGCCATCATGGATTCCTTTCTATTATATTAGGTGTGTAGTATTTATTAGGATGTTGATCTTGAATATCGAGGACTTGAATGATATATATATTATATAGGTATATATACATACTAAAGGAAGCTGTTGTGGAATAGGTATAGTTTGAATATCTCCAACTTGAGGAGTTTCGGCAGTTAGTGGCTGAGGTGTCGATCTGGACTCTCTACTTAGGAAACGTGTTATGTCCCTGAAAACATTGGATTAAAACTTCCAATATTTATTCATAAATGACGTTATTAAACTTATCCAGTTGTAGAAGGCTACCTAGGTAGTTATGTGACACTGGTATACTTGTAATATCTTGGTAAGGAGCAAGGTCAGAGTTGGAAGAAACATCCCAACTTATGTAGGTAGTCACTAAGCGAATATATGAATAAGCGGGTTGTCATATATCCGTGTTATGCAGTTATTCCAATAGGGGTAATTGGGTTGGAGTATCAAAGCCATATAGTAAAATTGCAGGAGTAGATGTATAGATACAATGATAAATAGTTGTAGTTAATTATCTTCTAATTTTCAGATATATTTCGTAGTAAAGTGATATGGACTTCTCTCTTTAGTAGCCCATCTATCCTCCGAGTCGGAGTCAGATCTCAAAGTAAGACCACAAAGCAGTGCAATTTAAATCAAACCTCTCTCAAACAAATCAACACTTCGAATGTGTCCTAATTGATTATTCTAGAATACAAATCTGTAGTACAGACCTGCAAGATGTACTACGTACCATGTATTTAAAATGTAAATATTATGAAGCAGTAATAAAAAAATAGGGGGTGGTAAATAAAGGGGGATGCAAAAGGGGTCGGAAATATTCTAAAAAAGAATTGCAAAAAAAGCTCGGCCTGTGTGTTGAACACAGAACCTACGAAAAACTACTTTGTAAATGTCGTACTGTCAAGTCACGGGCATACCGGTCCAGCATATGACACCACGGTGCAGTTTTCTCTAGCCTCCAGTCACCCAGGGTTACTTCCTTTTTGCGGGGTCGGCTGAAAGATGCTTTGCAATTATGTCTTATAACCTTCCTGTCGCGGGCGCCCTAGGCAACCGTGGTAGCTGCATGTACTTCGTTGCTAAGATACAGCAAGTAGCAACCAGGTGTTGTCACCAGCTGGCAAGTCCAGTAGCCCACCTTCGCTTCGCCGTGCAGCCTCAACCATAGACCGCGAGGATCACGAGGCTGCGAGCCCGTATCATGAAGTGTAAATTCCATATATTCCGATTTTAATCAATATAGAGCTTCCCTTTAGGTTCTTACATGTATGACTTCTAGGTAAATCTGTTGGGTCTAAACACTTCTCATACGAGATTTCTATCTAACAGTTCTCCTAGGATATCCTCCTTCTTATTCTCCCTTCCCGTGTGTCTTTAATATTCCTGCCACGCCTCAGATGGAACATGTGGCAAATTACAGTCGTTGCCGTGAATATTCTATCAAGTGTTTAAGAACAGATCTTTGCGAACTCGGAAGATTCTATTTTCCATAGAAGGATACCGGGCCAGTCTTTATCTTAGGGATAATACGTTATAATAATTACAATTATATACAATTTATCTGCGTATATACTATATATTACCTGACATTACACCATCTCCGTAGGTAACTATGCCTCGCAAAATGCCCCTTTTACCTCTGACCAGATCGAGATACAAAACTAGGAGCTATGAGAGGCTAAAGAAGTACGTAGATTAATCTCGCTTCACGCCAATTACACCTATCCGGCGCAGCCCAAATACGCATACCAGACACACGAGCAACATCCAAGCAAACATGGTCCAAAAAACAGCGCGATATCCGACTACGAGAGCGCCAGGAGAAGCCTTGTCTGCATATTGCGAACTATTAGTCACGGAGGCGCTAATTACGGAGGTCACGGTTAGTCCAATGGCAGTCCCGAGCTGTGCGCAGGTGTTGAACACGGCACCACTTAGAGCCTGCATGTGTTTTGGAAAAACGTCGGAGACTACGAGCAGGCCGACGGTGAAGAGAATATCGCAGCTCAGAGGAGCGAGGATCTATATGGATATGATTAGTGACATGGTCGAGTTGTGAATAAACAGTTACATATAGAGAGAATTATATCAGAGGTAGTGAAGGTTCTTACCTGTGCGAAGAACGCGTCGTACCAATACGGCCACTCAGGTCGGACGAGTGCCATTAGAAGTGGTGCGATGGTACTTAGTCCTGAGGAGATAAACACTGCCCACATGACCGGTACACGATTCACGAAGATACCGGTCGAAAGGTTGGTCAAGGCGCCAGCGATGAGAGAGGGAAGAATTCGTAGCGATGCCCCAAGTGCTGAGTTACCCTGGACTTCTTGAAAGCTAAGACCAGTTAGTGATTAGTTCGTTCATAGAAGGTAGGATAGATTATCGACTTACAATAAACTACAGAACAGCTCCATGCAGTTGGTGACGGAAGTGCTGAAAAGTACCATGACACAACTGCTGGTAAAGACATAGCTACGCCATAGAGAGTTGGGAATAAGTGCTGTGCGGTTATGCTTCACTTGATAATGCATCCATCCGATAAACGCAGGAATCGAGGCAGCACTGATGACAAGAAGAGCGATATTAGAGGCCTGGCGGATGTTGTTGATGTCGGCTGATAACGTTCTAGAAGTGGTCAGTTATCACACAGAGGCATCATTTAGGAGTCAAGAATTCTTACGCGAAAGCATATGATAATGTTGCTAGACCCGTGCTCGCGAGGATTGCGCCAACCCAATCAATCTCGGAAGCGAGGCGCTTCCAAATCGAGTGTACGGATCCCGGCCGAACGTCTCGCGGCAAAGCCCATATACCAATAATAAACAAAGCGAAACTGGCAGCACCGGCGAGATGAAATGCGGGCTGCCACCCGGTACTATCAACTAACACGCCACCTAATACTAGACCTAGAGAGAATCCGATCGGCGAGGCAAATCCTAGACACGCAAAGCCCATGTTACGAGGCCGTCCGTCCTCAATGCTCGTCGAGACAATAGAGATAGACGAGGGGACGATAATGGCGTTGGTGACGCCCTGTAGGGCACGAAAGGCAATAAGTTGACCTCCAGTCTGAGCCAAGCCACAGCCCAGAGTAAATACGGCACTGAGGAAAGATCCTACCATGTTCACTCTCTTCGGGCCGACGACGTCAGCAATAGATCCAGCCATCAACAAGCAAGATCCCGCAGTAAGATAAAATACAGAGGTGGGCCATAGGAGGAGTCCTTCTTCTAGGTGTAGAGTGCTGGCGATGGAGGGTAACCCAACAACGACAACGCCATTGCTGAAACTGCTGAAGAGCATCAGGCCCATCAACTGGGTGATGACAATGGCAGCCCGAGTTTTAGAGAGAACGGTTGTTGTGGTGTTCTCCGTTATAAGTTCGGTGGGCAGTGTTTCTACATGAGGGTTATGGTTCCTTCGAGGTGCGGCGGTAACGTAGAGGCCTGCACTTGATGCTACGGGCGCAATTGTCTCGAGCTCGGTAGCTGTTTGCGTCGCCATTTTGGGAAAACGTAAATGATATCTGATTAAGCGCTAGTCGTGATCATCAAAGTGGTCGTTGAATTCGAGAGCAATCTGAAGCGATGAAGGTTATATTTAGTTGCATATAAACTTATAATATCAATAATTAATTATGTATCTCTTATAAATCTATCTAATCCCGGTGTCGGACTCAAAGTTTACGTCAAGTTTTACGAGTCGAATATTAATCGGATTAGATCTGATAAATCAACTGCGCAATGCAGCCCTACGGCGCAGGATCTTTTTACAGGGATATTTTTGAGGGGACCCCATGAATTAGTTCAACTACGCGATATCATTATAAGTGTATATAGACCTGGTTTTCTTTTTGGCTTGTTTAAAGGTTTCTTGGATATTAGTTTTATTATATGTATTTGGAGGTATGTATATGATATTAATTAGAAGCTGTGTTATAATAAAAGTAACTTCTATATTCGTAATTATGAAAACTGCTAAAGCTTAGTTAGTGAGGTCTAGCAATAATGAGCAAGCTAAACACTAACCAATTTCCGAGATGATCGAGTAAAAATTACGAATGATCTTAAAGTTCTATCTACCAAGTCAACTATATCATAATGCCAAGCAGATAGCAATTTATTTTCCTCGCACAACTTGAAGCTACCTTTTAGGTTATACAGCCTTAGAGCCTCTCGTTGTTGTACATACATAAGCCACGCATGCAGATGTAGTGCAACATCGACGCGTGGGCTAACTTATGTAGGTACATAAGATAATAGTAGTAATAAGCATATTTTATACTGTAAGGTCCACCAGAAACATCTTAGGCAATTTATCAATCAACCTCATATTCTTGCTAATTATATTATAACCCTCAAATGTTAAGTCTTAAACTCCCCCTGCAATCATTACCCCTGACATAGATATCAAAATATTACAAGAAATCCGGTATCCAACTCGTTCCTAAGCTATACATTTATCCGTTCCCAATTCGGCAAAACCGAAGTTCTCTTGTTCGTTCCTGAACTAGTCAAGGATATAGTCTCGCGGCTAAAGGCCATCGTGATTCTCGGTGCAACATGAAATCCCCTATCCCCACAAAGACAATTTGACCCCTCAACGCCGAGCCGGGGTATTGGAAGCCTGGTCTATAATACCTTGCTAAATGGTGATTCCTGGAATATTGTAATAGTTACCCCACAATAAGGTCTAGAAGTGAGTATTGAGGCGGAATTGTCGTACTAGTACTATATGCGTTACAACATACGATATTACCAGGTTCCGGACGATCTAGCCGTCGCCGCCTAGTCCAGAGAGATATATATATTGATATAATTCCTAGCAATTTTGAACTTGTGAACCTTGTCTTGTGTACTAAGAAGTTGCCCATTCTCGCCTATCTAAAATGTTGTTCGAGTCTATGATCACGGTGTTCGCGTTCGCTCTCTGCGCTTCTGCTAGAGCTGTCCCGAACCCCGTCGAGGTTTTCAAGCGTGCGCATACACCCGGTGTCGTCATTAACAAGTGCTCCAAGCCTGGTGTCCTTGCATTGGCCTATGATGATGGTCCATATCAGTACACCTCGTCGCTAGTAGATACTCTGGATAAAGCAGGCGTAAAAGGAACCTTCTTCTTTACTGGCACTTTATACGGTACGTAAATCATGCACTATTATATATGTACATAGACTAATGAAACTAGGCTGCATCTACAATCAGAAGGCCGCTGTTAAGAAGGCCTATGATTCTGGACACCAAGTTGCATCTCACACGTGGTATGACTATCTCTTACTATTTTCATTCTGGGTTATGAAATATTTGGAATATCTGCTAATACTTCGTAAAGGACACACCCCCACATGGGAAGCATGGGTGCTGCCCAAATAAAGAGCGAGATGGAGAAGGTTGAGCAATCATTTGTCAACATCTTCGGCAGAAAGCCGCAGTACATGCGTCCTCCATACCTCGAGACCGGAGGCCAATTCTTGAGCGTCATGAAGGAGATGAACTACACTGTTATCACCGACGATGTAGACGCCGGTGACTGGAACAATCAATCTCCGCAGCAGAGCCAGCAGAAGTTCCAACAAGCCGGTGCTGGCGGGAACGGACACATCCCGCTCATGCACGAGACGTACCAGGGCACAGTTACTACTCTGACGAACTGGCTGATCGACTGGGCCAAGACTAATAACCTAAAGATCGTTACAGTTGGTATGTATTGCTCGTGTAATCCTTAAAAAGTTAATAGCTAATATCATTCCAGCCGAATGCCTCGACGATGCCAACGGTGCTTACAAGGAGGGAACATTCCCAAGCAACGGACAAACGTCCTGCTAAAAAGTACTCTGGGGTTTTTATGCTTGGCGAGGAACATCCGATTCGACTATTTATGAGTGATTGGTTTGGTTTGAATGTCTTGATGGTCTTGTCATAGTACGATCGTATGTTGCTGGCGGACTATAATAGGCGTCTAGAAAAGGTACACATCTTGATAGTTGAAATTTAACCGATAATCTGTCTACCTCTTGATATCTTGGGTAACTAAGGTGATCTAATATGTCAGTGTCCTATTTTAACAATTTCCTTATTGGTGAATGCTATCCTGATGCATATCTAGTTGAATCTAGTGCTTATAGCAATATATGTAATAGTAATGATTGACTGTCTAGAACTTGTTGATAACCCTGCCAACTATCCTTAACGGTAACAACTTGTGCATCCTTATTTTCCTTTATACCAACGTCATATCCTTTACCCCATTTTCATCAACAGGCCATGATTCCCCGTACATAATTCCGTGAATATAGGCTGGTGCTACGAGTTGGTAGCGATCACGTCCAACTTCTCTCACCACAAAGGGGACATTCGATCCAGCCAAAAGCGCGACTTTATCACCTTCTCTACAGTTGTAATACGCTCTACCAATGTGACCGGTTTCAAGAAATAGAAAAGCCCAATTAGCCAGCTGGAAACAGATCACAAAATGAAATATGCCTGCACTTACCAAAATTTGCTTGACGGCATCGGATACGGTGTCGCCCGAAGATCTAATATTAGCATGGTTCAGAGCAGCTTCTATGATCTCCGAGTAATCTACCGAACTTGGATCGAGTTGCGCGACCGCTTCTATATCTTGGGCTGTGACAACATTGCAATCCGGGTATGCGAAAACGTCGGCCCAACTTCGAAACTGCGCTTCGGTCTGCTCTAACTCCAAACTTTCCGCCTCGGACATCTTGAAGAATGCCAGCGTGTTTATCATCGCGTTTGCAGGGACCTCCTGGCCTTGGTACATATCTGCCTCCCAGATCGAACCAAGCTGCATTAACCATGCGCGACACGCAATAACGTAGTTCACAGAAAAGTTTCTTTTTCCAACTAGCTCCGGCTGTTCTCCAGCTGTAGATGACACGATGATTTTTTGCACAGTCCCCACAATGAGACCTCTTACTTGAAGCTCTCTGGCGGGCGTAAAGTTTGGGATAGTTGCCAGACTATAACCGCTGGCGCGATACCTGTCACTCTCTAAGTGGAAGTTTCCAGTGATATCGACGACATCTGGTCCTAACATTTGAGACATTTCCCAGTTAGGCGTCCAGCTTGGTAACTCATCGTAGCCTCGGGGCTTGATGCTGATAAGTAACACGTTAAGTTTACGGCTACGCATTCTAATGAAGCTCTTAGCAGTGTCTCCATATACCTCTTGGACAGTCTTTTTATAGTCGACGTCCGGCAGCTCAAGTCCAGCGGCCCTGAAGATCGAGTATAACCCATAGACCTTATCCTGGGGAACAGAGCATTGCAAATTTGCCATTGCTCTTATCCACACTGAGTTTATCAACTCAGACTGGGATTTTGGGTTGGATGGCATTCCGTCCTGGCTGGTGGGAGACGTGTCTCCCACTTTACTAATTGCATCCTTGTATTTTCGGATTTGAGCACTCGCAACATTTCTAGCAGCAGCTAGCCACGCTATCCGTGAATCTTCAAGATCACTTTGCGTGCGTAATAGTGCCCAATTAAACAATGACCAATCCAGATGGTTATCATCACACAGAATAACACACTTTCGAGCAAAAACAGACTCCTGCATTGTCCATACTCGAAAGAACCATTCATTATCTAGAAGGTATCTTAGTCCCTCATTATACCTTCCTGATTCTTTGCCAGTAGCTAACACAATGTTAACATATAATCGTCAATATGAATATAGCTTTTCAAACTACCTTGGAACCGGCGGGAAAGGGTCTTAACGATTAGCTTCTCAGAAAACTGCGCAAAATTATGCCTCCACGACCAGGACGCTATGAAGCCAATCATACTGAGCAGGCGAAAAACCGCCGGAGTAAATTTATGAGCCGGACCAAGCCAAATAAGAACTCTTGCCGCGTTTTCATAGATATCTCCCATCATCTGCACTTGAGAATTCCGTTCTCGGATTGCGCGATCATCGTCTCCTTGGTCGATGCATATGGCGTCTATCCAGAGGGTGCGTCGCGAGAACCGGGACCGTAGACGGCGCAGGGCATCGTAACAATTTGGCGTCACCAAAAGCTCCATACCTTTACACCGAATAGGTATCGTACCGGTTGGGGAACCCCATACATATGATAAGGCTTCGTAGGGCACCTTCGCTCGTTGACTTTGGAGTTCTACGATGGTGATATCGCAGCGTATTGGTGCATTAGGCGTCACTGAAGGGGCCAAGGAAATTAGCCTGATTGATCGCGACGAGGGCAACGGCTCATGAGCATATGCTTGTGCCATTGTGTATGATCAGTAGTTCTTGGAGGGTCAGGTATTAAACGAACATATGTTTACTTCAATCGCAGCCTTACGAAAATGCCACGTATATTATACGAGGTATGTATTCAAGTAGTTTAGTAGTTGATATTAATTGGACAAAAATATGTACGACATACGGCTCTAAGTTACATGTAAATCTCTCTTATAGGTTTATTGATGGTACCCCGGAGGATATATTTTACTTGGGTGCCTATTGTAGGTAACTGTTATTTAGTTCAAGTTGATATGTTGCAAATTAAATATTTATAACATATTCGCTCCCTTCACTCCGTTTAATGCCTATCTAAGTAGACCGAGTTATAACAATATATATCAACAAATGCGGATTAGCTTAACTACCAAGTACACCAAACGTCAAAATCCCTTGTAGGTACCTCTTACAGTATCCTTGCAAATATATAATGAGGCTCTTTAACTCTGACTTTTGTATACCTGAGTAGATAGATGAGATATCAGATATCATACATTAGGCTAGAGTTCCCGTCGTGGCCTAGGTAGGCAAAAGGCAAGATGGTTAGATCGGCAAGTCAAACAAATAAAATTTTCAACTATTAAGCATGAGTGAAAACTATTAAGAAATATATGTTAATACCAAGTTGCAAATCATAGGTAGCGAATGCATTAAAATAGTATAGAATCGTATAAGATTACTAATCTCGACTCCTGAGCGAAGTTAACTAATAGGTACCTGTCTATCAATCGAAAGATTCCATGTCAGTTAGAATTCCCGAAGAACATGACGTTTAAAGTTTAAGACGTGGGGGAATATCGATAAGGTACATACCTATGTACCTGATATAAGCGGGACTAAGGTAAGTGCAAACCATCCCGTAAGCGGGTAAATGCATCGACGATCAGTGGATCCCATATTGAATTTCCGCCCTTCCCCATGTTTTCTTTTTTTTACGTCTTTGCGTTCGCACGCGCATCCACCCATTTGACCAACTAACTGCACCGCATCTCACGAAGATTCGCCGGACATCCGCCGACAACTTGCCGCCGTTAGTCCTTTTCAACCGTTTGCCTAAGACCCGGACTATCTTATTTTAGATGGCATCATACCCAGAACCTTCCGAGCCTGCTGAACCAGGTACGGTTCCTCAACCAACCACCCCGTCGCATCATCACCACCACCACCAACAACTTCAAGACTATGATGGCCTTCAGTCACCTATACCTGCTACTACAGTCGCCCATCATGGACTTCAAGTCTTGCAAGCTGCATCTGCAGCCTCTACCGTTCCTGATCCCGCCGACTTAGCTCAGCAGTATGCGCAGTCTGCTACCTTGCAGATGGATGGTGCATCATTCTCTCCTCCTCTCGTGACGACGACTACGACGCCTATGTCTGTGACGACGCCTACTACGCAGAAGGTAACCCGACTTCGACGAGCTTGCGATATGTGTAGTCAACGTAAAGTGAAAGTATGTAATTCGTCCCCCTTTCTTACCTTTCTTACCTATCTCCCCTATCTCCCCTGCCTATCTACTTCGTTCAATAATTTAACAATCGTTCGAATCTAGTGCGACGAAAGTGGACCGCCCTGCAAACCATGCTCCGACCTTCAGGTTGAGTGTACCTTCAATAGAGCGATGAAGCGACGTGGTCCGCCTAATAAACATGCCGAAGCGGCGAGGGCTGCGAAACGATCTCGGAGTAACGATATCTCACCAGCTCCTCATCACGCCGCCGAAACGTTGGTTTCTATCGCAACTCACAACCCCCCTGTCGGTCTAGATGCCGAGATTATTGCGCCGTGGCCCATCCTAGAGCTTCTCGTTGACGACTTTTTCACTTATATACATCCTTTAATGCCCTTCCCGCATCAGCCGTCTTTTCGTGCCGCTTTTACCAATCGTATGGATAGGTCTAGCGGCGAATTCTTAGCGTTGCTAGCTAGTATGGTAGGTGTGTTGGTGGCATCTTTTCCTCGAAGTGCAAGATCGCACCTCAAAGCCCAACACAGTACTGGGCTCTTCCCCTCGGCCATTGCCATGATTGACCACTGCCGAACCATCGCGTTAGAAGCCCGAGGTTCTCATTTTATGATGAAAAATGAGATGAGCCCGGACGATGCCGCTACTAGTTATTTCTTAGGGATTGCTTGTGCGCATACGCTCCAATGGAGAATGTGTAAACGCTTCCTAACCGAGACCATGACATTCTGCAGAGAGCTTGCCGCCCGTCGGCAAAGAGCTATAACCACTGCTGAAGCATTTATACCTAGTCTTACCACAACACTTAACGCTTCGCCTAATAAACCTATCGACCATATCAAGGATCAAATTGGCAAGCGCATCTTCTGGGTTATGGTCGCTGGCGTCAGGTAGGATATCTTTCTGTCACAGTGCTATACCATTGGCCTAACTAATTATAATGCAGATCCATGACCCAATTAGGAGTATCAATCAATGAAATACCATTACCTCCCCCTACTTCTCAGGAGCCTTATCCTGAGCAGCCCGTAGAAGTCGACGATGAATATATATTCTCGGAACAGATACTACCCCAGCCGGAGGATACTCTCTCCCTAATCACAGGATTCAATCGCAACATTCGTGTGTACATGACCATGAATGAACTTGTCGGAGTCGATATGTGCTATGGAATCAACTTCTTCGACTGGACTGCGCAGAAGAATATCCTTAGCAATGGGCTTGCCAGTGCGAAGCAGTCTGCCGAGGACCTTCCGCCTGAGCTTCAGGTAAAAGCAGATAACCTTCAGCATCTTCAAAATCACACTTTGGGGTTTGACGACTGGGACTTGGAGTATTATCCACCTGCTATTCCTACTACACAACCGGCGAATGACCTGCGACGCGTGCTTGCAGAGCAACCTTTGCGCCGGCGTCACCTTCAATTCGAAATTCAGAAGGCAAATATACAGATGTCACAGTTAGCCACTCGCTCGTACTTCGTAGAACGATACCTTAACCTCCGAAATGCGCGCCGGGCGGATCCCAATTTTGCAGAAAGGTCAAAAACGGAGGATAAAGACGACCGAGACGACATGATGGAGAACGAGCGGGAAATTATCGTCCAGAATCTCGTCACTGTGCTAACATCCATCAGTCAACGTAACATGGAGCCGAATGGATGCTCGCTTATCAACAAGATTCGACAGGTTGCCAGCACACTCCTAGATATCAATGCGGAAGGCAAGGAGCTCGCAGTGGCTAAGGCACAGGAATATCTCAACGGCTTCTTAGATATACTTATGAAGTTAGAGAAGATGGGAGCTTCCCCTCGTGCCGAGACAATGACAGCTCAGGACGAGGAAGAGGAATTGCGGAATTGGTCTAGTCTAAAGGAATATCAACATCGGTTCATGTCGAGTGGTGGATTCCTTGGGGACGGTTACTAGTGAGTGGATGCGTTACCCTACCATAATTCACTTCAGCTTTTTCTCTTAGGCGGCCGTGTATATAGCTATTAATATCGGCTAAGCTCATTACTAAGGAGTAATTGCTTAGTTAGCAGTATACCGTAATGATTTACAGGTCAATGAAGGAAGTCAAACTCATCCGTTAAATTCGTATTCTCCTCTGTGGTATTTAGAAATGCACGTATGGCTGATATCATCATCACCTCATGGGACGTGTAGAACCATAGATACGATTAACATGGAATGATCGTTAATGAGCCAATCGCAATTCAATTTTAACCAAATAAGGGTCCAACGGAGTTATGCATTAGGTATTTGGTTGAAGCACTGAATAACCCTGATGACCATTTACTAAACCACAACTAATTAAATATTTTATGATGTCTAGCACTTGCGAATATCTTCATTTTCAATAATATCTTACCCATGTCTTACCATTGTCGCGATTCGCTTAAACTGTGCAAAAACACTGGGTTTGTATTCTCGTCGTCATAGATAGGTAAAAAAAATAGCGGCGAAATAGCAAACGAAAATACGTACCGAGGCTAATTCTTCTTATACGTCACTATCATGATGTATTCCGTTCCACGAAGTTATTAGGTAGTTTGTAGTCCCGTAATTACTTATCTATTTCGTCATACTATTAATACCGGGTTCTTGAGCCTGCTTCTCACATGTTGGCATTCTTTATTTTATTCAGTATAAGTATTAGACAATGCATCTCTTTCTCAACTGCATTTTTCTAGTTAGTCTAGAAATACGTTTATTGGTCAGTTCGATTTAAGCATTACGGTATTGCCGAGAGTAATTTACCTATTTTAATTCAAGAAAAAGCTACCAAGATGCCTTATCCCGACGAGTTTGAAGGTTTTATGATTACCGAGCTGGGTAAATATAAAGACTTTAAAAGACAATCTGTAAGTTATTTCATGTACGAGCAATTTCTCAAACTGTGACTCTAACTTGATCCCTTAGTTTAAACCTAAGGTCTTCGGCGACAATGATATTGATATCAAGATTGAGTGCTGCGGTGTATGTGGCTCAGATGTACACACAGTAACTGGTGGATGGGGCGAAGCCCCGACTCCCATATGTGTCGGCCATGAGGTCGTAGGCAAGGCGGTTAAAGTCGGACCCAAGGTAAAAGACGTAAAAGTTGGCGATCGTGTCGGTGTTGGCGCTCAGGTCTGGTCGTGCTTGAAGTGCGTGCAGTGCAAGAACGATAACGAGAACTACTGCCCGAGTCAAGTTGGTAAGTAAAACGTCGCCTACATAATAGAGACGAATATAATATTTACATCAAGATAGATACATATGGCGCCCCTTACCCGAAAGAAGCTGATCCGAACGAGACGATCAGCCAGGGAGGCTATTCGTCACATATCCGCGCGCACGAGTATTTCGTCTTCCCGATTCCCGACGCCATCCCATCGCATTTTGCCGCACCCATGCTTTGCGCCGGGTTAACGGTATGGTCTCCCCTAGTGCGAGCAGGCACAGGCCCAGGCAAAAAGGTTGCGATAGTCGGGCTCGGAGGACTAGGCCACTTTGCAGTGATGTGGGCTAGCGCGCTAGGCGCCGAAGTGACGGTGATATCACACTCGCCGCACAAGAAAGACGACGCGCTGAAGCTCGGGGCGAAGCACTTCGTCTGCAGCGGGGACAAGGACTGGGAGAAGCCGCTGGCGTTCACGTTCGACTTCGTGCTCAACTCGGCGGACATGACGAACAAGTTCGACCTCAACGCGTACCAGTCCATCCTCAAGGTCGGGTGCCAGTTCCATCAGGTCGGGCTGCCCGACGAGCCGCTGCAGAACGTGACGCCCAAGATCTTCATGGCGAACGGCTCGAGCATGGGTGCCAGCCACATCGGGTCCCGCCCCGAGTGTCTCGAGATGCTGAAGCTGGCGGCGGAGAAGAAGCTCTTCCCTATGGTCGAGACGATACCGGTGTCGGAGAAGGGCTGCGCGGAGGCGATCGAGAGGGTTAATAAGAATGACGTGCGCTACCGGTTTACTCTGGTCGACTACGATAAGGCTTTTGGGAATTGAGCGTCTTTCGTTGAGATGAGGTATCTGGGTTAGGTATATTGTCTAGTTAATGGGTTATAGCTGGTATGGATTTTTATTTTTTATATGATGGATATATGATAGAGACTTGGCTAGTCAACTCTGTAAGATAATGATTAAAATGTATATTTCGCTATTTGAACCCCCCGTGTTGGAGTTGATGTTCAGGTTCTTCAGAATAGTAGTACTCCTCGAAGCATTGTCTTATACTACAAAAAGGGACTGACTCGCGACTCCTATTATAGCAACTTGGGAATGCTCTTAATAAAGTATGTGTTTCTGACTACATCTCTATATCGACTCTGCATTTCTTGATGTTGTCATTACTTCATGGAGATGACTGTTAAATAGTTTCTTAAGCAATACGAAAATGACAGGAATATAGAAGTCATCTAAGCCGTATTAAAAGACGATGCTTAAATACATATGAAATGCGGCTAAGCCCTCATTTTAGGCACCTATTTTAAGAGGTATCTGTGGCGGTGCGAATGTTTCAAAAGCCGTTGTGGCAAGGATAAGCACTAAAATTGGATTAGAGTGGAACCTGCAGTGCCTATCTAAGCTGCTAAGCTGCGCAACAAAATCGATGCACCAATTTAATTCAATGCACTTTTTCGTCAATCTGTAATCTGTTCAATCAATGAACCGGTTTGAAATGTTTAGACCTTACCAAAAGGTAAATTTGATTAAGTAGAGAGTGGCTCACATAACCATTGTGAATTACTTAACTCTACTAATCTTCGAATGTGTACTTTTTGTATTCTTTATTATTTTATTATTTTTTATTCTAGTTTTTACAACGACAAAGTCCTTTAAGTACCGACTAAGAGGAAGAAACCTTAGATCGGTCGAAAGTGGAAGATCGAACCGAGTTCACCTGCCTTTCAGTACCTATTCAGATCCTTACCGGGACCCCTAGTGAGCCTAGCGAGTCTAGTTACCGCTACGTTTAATCAATTTGTCAAGGGATAATTTCGGGTCCTCCATCACAGAAAATCTCCCCCCCAGCACCCCGTGGCTTGGGGGCGTCGCTATTGATTAACGCCAGATCCACCTTTAAGTCAGCCTCCTGCTACTATTGTACACCAGGGATCGTGAGTAAAGGAGTCAAGGAAAAAAAAAATAGTTTCGCGAGAACATCCCCGTTCGTAAACATCGGTGCTTACCCGTTTCAACCTTAAGCACCAACAACAATTCTTTAACTACCGAGATTAATACTTTCTAGCACGATACTCGGTATATTTTACGATCGATTATCTCACGCGACAATTTCAACTACACCTATAATCACAACGAAACTATTTCATAATATCGAAAGAGAGCAAGGTTCTATAATAATATGTCATCGGGATTGACGAGACGTCGCGGAGCTGGCGGTGGTACCGCCACCGATGATAGCAATGGAATCAATCGGTCCAACTCTTCTTCAAATGTGCGCGATAGCGCCCCTGAAACAAGTTACGAGAATAGCGAGAACGGTCACAAAATTGCATTCGATCCGCGCGACATTAGCGAAAGTGCCGAGCGCAGCAAACAACCTAAACTGACATTGATGGAAGAGATTATATTGTTGGGACTTAAAGATAAGCAGGTATGATGAATCCCAGTTAAATATCTCTCTTGGACAAGTCTAGGACGTGCTATGATGCTGATGGAGATTAAATAGGGCTACCTCTCGTTTTGGAATGATAATATCAGCTATGCATTACGTGGTTGTATCGTCCTCGAACTGGCCTTTCGTGGCCGCATTAGCATGCAAAAGGATCCCTCTAGGCGGCGATTCCCCCTCGCGGACCGAGCAATCGAAGTCATCGACGACACGCTTACCGGCGAGGTACTACTAGACGAAGCTCTAAAGATGATGAAGCAGAGCGAGAAGATGAGCGTGAGCTCGTGGATCGACTTGATGAGCGGTATGCTATGGCCCCCGCGCAGCCTATTATATATTGTCGGCTTGCTGACCACGACTATTTACGAACAGGCGAAACCTGGAACCTCATGAAGATCGGTTATCAACTAAAGCAAGTTCGCGAGCGACTATGCAAGGGCCTCGTCGATAAAGGCATCCTACGTACCGAGAAGCGCAACTTCTTGCTCTTCGACATGGCAACTCATCCCGTGGCCGACGGCGGCGCGAAAGACGAGATCCGACGGCGCGTTAGAAACGTTCTGACCCAGCGAACTGTCGTTTTGCCTGCGTCCCAATTCCTACCCGAGAACCTCGAGTTCCGTTATATCCGAACCATCTCTATGGTTTGCGCCGCATACGCTGCTAACGTCTTGGAGAATGCCTTAAGCACGCTGGGCCACGAGGCTCGGGAGAGGGCTTTTACGCAGACCGACGAGCTGCTCGCTGAGTATTCGCAGTGGCCGTTTGGCAGGAAGACTGGCTCTACCGGCATTGGAGCCAACCTACCGCAGGTCATATCCGAGGTAAGCTCGTTTCTTTCTCCTTGAGGATACACTCGAGAAAATAGCTGGTATGCTAACTATATTTTCTTTTCTAGGAAATCAATAATGGTAAAGACAAAGAGCTTCAGCTTGAGGTTGTTGCTGCCTGTTTGAGCGTCTTTACCCGCCTCGATTCGCTTCTATAGACATTGGGTTCGCCCATATTAATCCTTCTACTTTTACGAAACACGATACGACCAGCATCCAACCTCGTCAGCCTCACTCCCTGCCCTCCTGACACAAACCAACTCCCAACCCGGCATTGCTCCAACAGTGTTGACACGGTCGAGGGCGCTCTTCTGGATTAGAAAAAGGGGTGAGATTTAGGAACGTTTGCCACAGTGACTATGGAACTGGACTGCGAATGACACGGAAGAAAGGGGGAGAGGAGCACACTCGGATGTGCTACTCCTCGCTAGGATTCAGATAGGAATCCCATGAGGGAAGAAAACGGGGGGAGAGAGGGAGAGGAGAGCCAGACAATTACGGTACAGGCAAGGAATGGGTCATGTCATTTTTTCTCGACGGTGTTATGTTGTAATAGTCTAAAAATCATGGATTTCTTCTTTGCCCTCGGCGTTGGTCCCTTACGCTTTGCTTGTAAGTCGTTTTTTTTTTTGCGGGACGTCGTGATTATCTATATATATATACCGTCCTTTTCTATCAATATCTTTTTTTTTATCACGTAACTAGAGCTTAGTATATTACGACCTCCGAGTACATATTTGCTTCATTACATCATTACATATCATATTAGCTAACTTCTTCGCACGTACTCTTCCCGCATACTTAGCCCTCCTTTTTTTTTCGCTTTTTTTTTGTTGCTTCATTTTGCATCTATTTGCCCTTTCGCAAACGCTCTTTCCACCCGCCCTTCTCGTATAGCCATATCGCTTCTATAGCAAACACTCTTGCGCTACGGTGTCCTCTACCCTCCTCGGTTCCCGCCTCCTCATATAAGCTGCGCATGACGGCGCCATCCTCCACATCCGCCCATATGCCTTGAGCGACGGCGGCGTCTGCCCCGCCAAACTCGCCGCGCCCGAGCCGGTACAGAATGCGACCGAGAGTCTGGTACGCAACACACCTCTGGCCCGGAACGGCGCTGCGGCATAGGCGCGCTAGCTCGCGCACCGTGTACCCCGCGGCCTCTGGCGCCTCGCCGTGGTGGTGCAGGCCCTTGGTCACGGGGACGGCGCGCGCGATCCGCGGCGGGAGTAACGAGCCCCGGAAGTCGAAGCGCAGCACGGAGACGGGGAGGGAGTCCTGCTGTGGATGGTACGGGCTGTCGTAGTCGGCGGGCGAGTTGGGCGTCGGCACGGGCGCCATCCAGGCTAGTTTCGAGGGGTCCGCGGGCAGGCTTGGGAAGTACTTCTCGTGGAGCTTTTGGAGGAAGTCGGGGTCGTGCGGGTCGAGGTCTCCGGGTTGAGGGGGCTGCGGCCAGTGCGGCTTGGTTGGTGCTTGTTCGGGGTCGATAGGGTTGGGTTGTTCTGCGGGCTCTGCCGAAGGGGGATTCTGTGCGGCGGTGTTATCGGAAGAGACTTGTGAGGCGGGTGTTGGTTTTGTCTCCGGAATTGCTTTCGCTTCTTCCTCTTCCTCGTCTGCTACTGAGGCCCATCGTACATGTTTAGAACCGGCCGTAGTAGCTGGTTCTGTCTCGGTCTGCTCTGAGGGTTTCTCATCGGGTTTATTACTATTTGATTGAGCGGATGTATCTTCTACCAATATCTCAGGAGGATCTTGCGTCGGCTTTGCATCTGAGGAGGTATCCTGGGAGGTAGAATTAGGAGGAGGATCGAAAGGTGAGGGCCCAGTGGATTCGTCCAAGTTGGCGCGTTTGAGTAGCATTTCGAGTATAGAGGGATCCAGACCATTGAAAAGCTCTTGTCTAGCCGCCTCTATCTCTTCTGGTGACATGGATGCTATTCTATCATTGTTTTCGCGATCTATACTGTCCTGTTCGTTCAACTTGGGATCATCTCTTGGTCGCGTTGTCTGTTGCGCATCTTGACTTGGTGGGGAAAGAGGTTCTTTCGATCCTGTCGTGTAAACTTTTGGTGTCTCTCCTTTTGGCTTGTCTCCTTCTGGCTTTGCGGCCTGTCGCTTTTGCTTGAAGGCTGAGATCCGAGTTCGCTTCTTATGTTCGGGGAACCCGGTTGTAGTCGATTTAACCTGATGGAAGCTTGGAGCTGTCGGTTCAGTCACCTCCTTCTCCTGAACATCCGTAATCAGGAAGTTCATGGCTGCTGGTAGTGCCCTTTGACGGCTTGGTTGGGAGAATAACGGAAAATGACTTAAAAAGGATATTTGTTTGCGACAAGTCTATAGAGGGTTAGAATCATATTTTTTTTAATTGATGCGTTGACGTAACAGCCACTCAGCCCCACTAAGTTTAGTTCCTATCCTTGTGGCTGGTACATTTACTAGCTGCATGGATAGTGCAGCGCTAGTGCTGTGATATCCAACTTGGAAATTCCAGAAGGAGGACGCGCCAACTACCGCTTAGCGGGCCAATGAGACGTCATCGGCCCGCGTTTCATTACAACTGGTCCGGAATTTGGGCTGAAACTTAAAAAAAGGTACGTACTTGTCGGTTATGAATTGAAGCTTTATTCTTGACAGGTATGTACAAGTACTTGAGTTATTATAGTGAGTTTGGTTTAAGAATTGATAACTAGTTACTTTTAATACATTCTTTCCAAACTTTGGTCTGTTTGTTTGTTTGTTCGTCATATCCGGTTGGGAGATTTATACATATTAAGATGATACGACTATTGAAGCGACCAACTTATGATTATAGTATTCATACGATTAATGATAGTAATGCTTAGCTGAACTTAATAATTATGTGAGTCATGAATACATATGCTAGAAAGAAGAAAAGAGCTACGCGCTCTTTGAGGAAATTATAACCTACGCATTTGTTTTATACAATGTAAATAATGCAGCGCAACCCCCACCTACAAGTAAGCAGGATGTTCAATGTTATTTAGTGGAGATGTTGCTTGAAACAGTTAAATAAGTATTATGCTACTTTATTTATATGGTGAAATACAAACCCGTTAGAAGATTCTAGCTTAATCTTTGCCTGAATAGGTAATTTTAGATAAAAAAAGTCTTCTCAAAAACACGAGACATGTATTTTACCATATTATTTCGAGTATTCCGATACTTCCCTTTTTTAAGTAACATCTCCACTAAATAACATTGAACATCCTGCCTACTTGTAAGTATAGTCGTATGTGATAATTATTATACATACAAGGGGCAGAAAAAGAAAAGAAAGTATATACTTACCAAACTTTATTAAGTTCTTTCATTAAGTATATTATAAAAGCCACCAGCCCCGTTTGATAATTTCATAAGCATAAATGACAATTAGAAAATTCTCATGTAACAATATGCAAGTATGTCCTTTATAAAATAGGTACAAGTATGCGCAGTCTAATAATAGGCGTGATGCACGTTTTTTCTAATCCCTGCTCAGTATGTCTATCTTAGTAAGCGGCATTTTGCATTGTCTATGACCTAATAGGACCTTATAGGCCCTTGTCATTGTCGCGGCTATCTTGCGTTAAGCGTTGTAGTGGGTCCTGTGAGACGTTGAGAACTGAAACATAGGTACGTACCCCGCGGTATCTCTTCAATCCGCAGTTCGGCGGAGAGGACTGGAGGCTCAAGCTGCATGAAATTGAGCAGTTCCCCACTCGCCCTGCCTTTTTTAAGTTTGCCGACTGCTCGGCTCATCCAACCCGGGTCCTACCCATTCAAGGAAAGTACACTTCTGCAACTGTACCTGACCACTATCCTTTAAGTTACTTCAATGCTTCAGGTGAGACTTCCCATATTAATGATAACAGGTGATACTTCCCTGACTATGCTATCTATTGTATAGGAGGTATACCTACCTAAGGTATACATTTAATGACGGAGCATTTAATAATATCGGCCGATGAAACCCCATACAACTTCCATACCTTAACGAACAATTCCCGTCGGGTACAGTATTCAACCCAGTGCCAACAAAGATATAGGTACTTACCTCCTAAAGTAACCTTGAAGTAACTGATTTTCCGTATACGATGTATGATTCCATGTACCTTGAAAGCCTAGCCCAGCCACGCCTGGAACTTTTAGCTTGTCCATATCTAACGTAAGTATCTCAAATGGCTATGCGATCCGATCCTTCACTACCTAACATTACCTTACCTACTCTCATCCGGTTGCCTTTTCTAGCTAAGGTTCCAGTGTACCGAAAACCTCTCCCTGGTGGGTTGCTTCTTATTTTATGTGTTTACTTACTTATTACCTATCAAGAATACATCCTTAAAGGGCCGAACCTAGGGACACCTCATCAATATGAACTGTCATACGCCCCTCCTTGTTTTTCCCTTTTTTGTCTTTTTTTTTTTTGCCCTTTTCTCGTTGATTCTCTCTAACACATAGGTAATACACTACTTACTTTACTACACTACCTACACTACATTACCTTTAGGTAACTTACATAGGAGGTAATTAGTACATGCTACAATCAATTATCAAGGCCCCATCGTCATCTTTAAGCTTAGGCCAAGTCACCCACCCCCCCGTCGGATGACAATTCGCGATCTGATGCCTATGCGCCTAATGTATTCTTCCCTCCCCTTCCCCCCCCCAATTGTTACGGTTCCCCTTGAATTCCCAGTTGTTCCAATGACACCCCCAGGCTTACCTAGTTCCGATCTTCTAATTCGATTTTTTTAATAATAAAATTTCCCACGCAACTTTCATTTCTAGCTAGTTAGCCAGGCCCCGATTTTTCTCGCCTTGTTGGAGAATACATAATTCCCAATTCCAAAAAAAAATAGTAGCCATCCCCATCCCTCCCGCAATCTTCCAAAAACTCGCAATTCTCCCCCCTTCTCCCCTACTTTTTCTTCACAACAAAGATGATGTCCAAAAGATAATTTCATCTACATCCATCACTTTATCGCGACTTTTCATTCTCTTATTTACGTCATCTTGTGCATCTAAATTTAGTGCACATTACCTGATAAGTTTCAGGGTCTACTATCTACATAATTACCACTTTTTTCAAGTGCAAAGTTCGGTTCACCGAGCTACTTGCGCAACCTCTGCGCGATCTTCGTGAAGTTATTCAGACCCGGACTCTAGCTCCTACGGCGCACCGACCACACGATTTTGAGGTCACGTTACTCGATAGTATGTACTCTGGTACAACAACACTCCACTAAGACCTTACCACTTACCATTTTTGAACCAATAGTCAATCTGGTACAGTCGTTTTCGCGTACCTGCTTTACAACCTTAGCTATAGCTGGACCCACGTGCGTCTATTCGCCTATTCGTCTATTCAATAACGGTCATCAACGCTATACCTCATAGCATTATTGCGAACCTGTAAAAGACGTTATCATTGGCCAATGCGCACTTGATATCAAAAAGGAAGTTTATACAATTGCGATTTTATTTCCACAACTACACCTTTAACTATTCACACGTACAACTTATCAGATAATTACGGTTTATTTGTTCTGAAAAGCCTTTATTTGATCGGGTTTATTTATTCATCAAAAAAACAAATCTGTCGGTGCATCATCCTTAGCTCTAATTCATCAAGTATAGTTTTATCAATATTTGGTGTCTTAGATCGGGAATTTGTCTATAGATTCGCCAGGATGGCTGGGGGTTCTGCCAATGCCCCGGCTCGATTTAGTTCTTCGCCGGAACTGTCTGATCCCCCTTCTATGTTATCGGGACCTGGATCAACAAACGGAGAAAACAGAGCAAAAAATGGAGAACTGGATGAAATTGTGGTAGATCCTACTACTATTAGATATGATGGATCGGGTCAGCCCATGTTAACCAAAGATGGATTACCTAGGAGAAAGCCTGGGCCGAAACCTGGGACGAGGATCAACAAGCGACATAGTGCCAATCCCGAGGAAGGGGAGAAGGTTAAACGAGTGCGGAAGCAAAAGGACCCTAACGCACCGACTGTCTCGAGAAGACGTAAGGGAGTATCTCTCGAGGGCGAGGCGAGCGAACCAAGATCTCGTGCTGCTAGTGTCAGTGGAGGTGCAAATACTGGAACTACGGTATCACGACAGACCAAGATCACCGAGATAGCTACGACTCAAACCCGGTTAGAACCGCTTCCTCAAAGGGAAGTGAAACGTGATAGCATGCCCGGATCCATGTCCAGTATTCTAAATAATGACTCCGAACCTCTACAATTCCCTCGTCAATCACAGCAATCACCACAACAGCAACATCAACAACTATCACGACCCAGCGCTCCATCACGAACGAGTGGTACTAACTACGATCCAATTCGCTCATCGAATTATGATCCTATAAGGGAGACTATGGTCACACATACCTATTCCAACCCGATGAGCGGATCTCCTCGTGGACCTACCACGACAAATGCCATCAACCGCGCAAGCGCATCGCCTTCGATCGCCAGTCTTGTTGATCCACCTGTACCGAATATTATTTCGCCTGTTCCATCTCATACTTCTTTTGTTCAGAGCACACAATCCCAGCCGCCTTCTCATTCTCAACCGCGTATTCATAAGGAATCCAGCTCGATGCCGGAGTCCCCTAGTCCTTTCCGCAAAGATTTTATACCTCCCCCTGCACCAAAGCTACCCACAACTGAAGCCAAGGAGGGTAAGGAGACAAAAGAGGCTAAGAAGCCTACGTCAACCCTTGCACATGCAATTACCTCCAAAATTGAGATTCGTCCGACGTCTATCACTACGATTGGTGCGGCCGGTACGAAGAAGACATCACCTAAAAACCACAGCACCACATCGTCGTCACCTCGCATCAGCGCCATCAAGGATACGCTCGCTCCCCCTCTTCCAAGCGGACCTGAGCGTTCTATCCTGGATTTCGGTAAAGCGGAACCCGGATCTGAGTTTAATGCTCCATCGATTATCCTTAATATCCCTCTCAACGGAGAAACAAATAAGTACATCAACTTCATGCGAATGGCCGAGGATCAGTATGGCTGGGAAGCCCTTCATCCGCGCCAGGCTGAACTTAAAGCACGCAAGGCCCGCATTGCCGCCGCATCTGCCGCATTAGCCCAGAATGATTCCAGTCGTGAGGGGGATGAGATGTCAGTTGACGAATCAGAGAATGAGGACTCGAATGTCGAAATGGGTGGTACAAGCGGACCCGACAAGGCTGCCGACGACAAGCCCGCGAAGAAGAAGAGGCATTTCAAAGAGGACGAATACGATAAGGACGATGACTTTGTCGATGATTCGGAAATGCTCTGGGAGGAGCAGGCAGCGGCTAGCAGGGACGGCTTCTTCGTCTACTCCGGTCCCTTGATACCGGAGGTTGAGAAGCCTGAATCTGGACGGTACGTACATCCTTTATGTTCAATGGTTTGAGTATACTAATTTAATGCAGTGGCGAGGGTCAACCTAAACGAGGACGTGGATCACGAGGTGGTCGTGGCGGCACTCGTACGGCAACTACAGGCGCAGGACGAGGTCGCGGAGGAGGCCCCGGGTCCCGAGGAGGCGCAGTGAGAAAGCCACGGATGACGAAGGCTGACAAAGCTCAGATGGACCGCGAAAAGGCAGAACGTGAGGCGGCCTTTTTGAAATCGACGAACGGCGGTTCATATAATGTTCTACACCCCGGCAGTCCCCAATTTGCAGGCTTGTAGGCTGAGCCTAGGAGGTCTGACCCAGGAGAAACCCGGTATTGAGTAATAGGGGCAATGTAATATGTACACACGCGACATTGATATGATCGCCAAACAGCGGGCGTGGTCTTTGAAGGATTCACACGCAGGAGCGATGCTAAAGCTACGGTTTGTTTTGATACCACGATGTTCTTGACGCGTGTCAGGGGTTGGGGATTCCGGCGTACGCTTGGTGACTTCGAGGGACTAGATTTGCTTCGGCTCTAGAAGTGTATACATCGTTTTAATTGCATGAATCAATACTGTGGTCTGTGATCTAAATATTGGATTGTGAAATTTATTTTTCGTGTGCCTATCATCTCAGAATGATGAGAGTATTTTGGTAAGGGGGCGTCCCAAATTCTATGTTGGTAACTGACCTTGTTCTTTAGGTCCATGTTGATTGGTCTGATCCGAATCTGCCCCCCCGCCATCTTATTAGTGGATTAGATCCGCCCAGGATGGAAACCCCCGAAGCACGCACAAGGTGGACTCTGGCCTCGAGGCGCGTGCAATATGTCTCCTAGCTTATGGAGGGCTAGGTAGTATAAGTGTTTCGCTTGTAAGCCCTATACGTTATCGGCAGTATACGGCTTTCGCCAAGGCTTGCCCGTATTTATAAGAGAGACGCTCGCCCATCTCTTCTTTCTGACCCCTTTTCTCCTTTTCTTTCCTTCTTGCCCTATTTTTCTTCAATACCTAGGTACCTACCTACCTGGCTTCCTTGCAATCACTTCTACTCAGCTCCTACTCAGGATTATCACTTACTAAGATGGCTTCTTCTCATCCCCTTTCCGCGGCATCCTTGTTTTCGCTAAAGGGCTGGGTCGCTGTTGGTTGGTTTTCACCCCCTTTTTCTGTCTTCCCCTCTTTTACTGATTTTCCACGCAGTGACGGGCGGGGGAACAGGTGTCGGATTGAGTAAGTTTCTAATTTCAATTTCATCCCCCTATTCCTTCGTTTAGCTTTCTGGTCGTCTGACACATACCTCTCTAGTGATCACTCAGGCACTGGCTGCCAATGGAGCCAAAGTCTACATCACCGGGCGCCGCGCAGACGTTCTAGAGACTAGCGCCCGCATCCACGGTTCACCAGAAAGGCTGGGTCCTCTTGGGGGCAGCATCGTTCCTATTACCATGGACATTACGTCGAAGGATAGCGTCAGGGACGTTGTGGCCGAGATCACGCAGAAGGAGGGTTTCGTTAACGTGTAATACCATCGCAACTTCAACGCTTGTTACCTTTCTAACTGCTCTCTCAACAGTCTCGTCAACAACGCGGGAATCTGGGCGGGTCGACCCACGGCGAAAGCAGAAGACGGACCCGAGGCTTTTAGCGAAGCAATACTGGCCGAAAGTAATGAAGACAACTGGCAAAAATGTACAAGACAGTTCCCTCCCAGCCATCGTCAATAACATTAGTCTAATTAGCCATTCGATAGCATTTGATGTCAATTGTACTTCGCAGTACTTCGTCACGGCCGCGTTCCTCCCGCTCCTTGCTAAAGCTGTATCCGGCCCGACCGGAAGAGTGGGAAACGTAATCAATAATAGCTCCGTAGGCGGGATTCTTCGAATGTTAGTATAAACACTCGAGTTACACCGTCAGATGTGAAAATAGGGGCTTCTATACTAACAATCATGGTACTTGCCACAGGTCTCAGAACTGCCAGTTCTCATACAATGTAAAACGCCTCTCTTATATCTGTCCCATTTCTGGGCATAACTGATAAGTAGCAGGCCACCAAAGCAGCGCTGTTACACCTAACGCGCCAGATGGCGTTTGAGTTTAGCCACGAGAAGATCAATGTTCGTGTGAATGGCCTTGCGCTCGGTCAGTATCCATATTTCCACTACCTCTCAGTTAAATCATACTAATATGATAAGGGTACTTCCCATCGGAGATGACGACGGGTGAATCCAACGACGAGAACGAGAGCACAGCTTCGAATGAGCGTTTTGCGCTTTTCATGAAAAGCATGGGCGCTGAGAGGGTCAAGCGCATGGGAACACCGCAGGAGCTTGCGAGTGTAAGTTGATTTATTATCTTCTGTTGTTTGTTGGAACACTCCCTTTTCACCTTGGGATTGAATGCAAGACATGAGTAATGAGTTAAGGTCGCTAATTGATGATCCGTCGGTTTTTAGGTTATCCTTATGCTCGCTACAAATGACTTCGTTTGGGGCACCGTCTCGATTATCGATGGCGGCATGGCACTGACTGTCCCCGGAAATATGTAAATGTATGGTGGCTTACAGTTGCACACGTTACTCATGTTCAGAGCATTCTATAATTATTACTTAGCCAGTTTTTAGATAATTAGGTGCTCAAATATATAAAACTTTTCATTCTGATGTTTCTCATTCCCAAACTAATTGATCAAAATTCGTCTTATTCATAGTATTTACATGAATCTATCTTACAAAGGAAAAGCTAGAGCCTGGTTTAGCTAAGGGAACCGATTAATGTTCTGATACAAGATTTGCATAGCGACATAATCCTGTATAGCCAATATGGCTACTAGGGATAATTCTTAGGGGTGAACCCCCTTTTCGGTGATTCATTCCTAACGACTAAGATACTCAGAGGCTATTCACCGCTTCAGCGTGATCGTAGACAAGAGTCTGCGCTTCTTCGTCGTCTAGGTAAATAGTGAAGCCGTCGTTATGGTTACGACCGTAAGAGTATCCCGAGAAGCCGTATTGCCAGTACATATCGGCCATGCCCTCTTCTAGCATGATCTTCTGCCAGCCTCCTTCGACCTCCAATCTTGTTGCGTTTACGGCAGGAATTCCGTTCTGCTCGCGTACCTCGGGAGTCATCCAGCCGTACTCTTCGTGGACAACCGGTTTATCAGCCTTCTTACCCGCGGCTGCGTGATCACGGATCCATTGGTCGGCCCAGGCGACGGTCTTAGTCCACCAGTCGGGGTAAGTGTGGAACACGCCAAAGTCGATGTTAGGTAGAGCCAAGTTGGCGTCGAAGTCACCGCCGTCAGAGCCATTGTAGGCCCAGTCGTCCGATTCCCGGTTAAAGCCACCTTCCCCACCCCACGTTACTAAGTGGTCTGGGTCTAAGCTCTTGACGAATGTGCTCATCTCATCGATCCATGAGGTCAGCGTGTCTGCCGTGCAGTTGCCACTGACGGGAAGGTTGCGCACGGCATCAGCACCGCAGCGCGGTTCGTTGGCTAGCTCCCAAGCTAGGATAGTCGCGGAGTCTTTATAACGCGTAACAAACTCCTTGATGTATCGTTTGTATGCATCTTTAATTTGAGGTAGCCGGTAGAACTAAACTGTCGTCAGTATTATAGATATATCTCATTGAGTCCGAAGAGTATGTTTCTAACATACATCGTCATGGTACTTTCCACCAAGGTTGATAGTAAAGACATCCATGCCACCGTAGTCGGCCCAGTTATTAGTGAAGGTGACGATAAGTTTGATGCCGACTTTAGTGGCGGCATTGACTACCTTGTCAAATTCGGTGATGTTGACGTTAGAAGTACCATTAGCCCACCACTGAAAAATAGCATTGGTCGCGCCCGCACCCTCGCCACCATACTGTGGCAGGCCTTGAGGGTCATATGTGACATTCTTGTCATTGAAGCCCCAAGTGCGGAATACTTTTAGGCCAGCATCCTTAGCGGCAGCAAGTCCGAGTTCAACATCAGTCGTGTTCTAAAGCTATAATTAGAGTAAGTCTTTCCGGAAAGGAATGTGGGCGACGTACACTATCAAATGGAAAATAGTACGCATTACTCCCGGCAAAGTTGAAGTCTTTCCCATCGAGTTGGAACTTGCCTCCTTTAACGGTGACGAAACCCTCGGGAACAGCTCTACCCTTGGCTTTGCTTAAGGGGCCTGCGTAAACCCCTCCGCTTGCGAGCAGACCGAGCGACAGAAGACTTGACAAAGTGAAGACCATATTGACGATCGAACCACTCAGTATAGGAAACCACACATAGTCATTGTGAACAATCTGATGTTGTCCAGCATAAGGTACTTATGTATTTCGTCAAGGGCCCCTTTCCCCAAATCGGGTATTTCCGTTTTAGGAAAACGGAGGCCCTTAAACCGCGTTGCTAGGATCCCGCTAATTGAGCCTCTTGGTAACATTGACAACCCGCGCCGAACCACTTAGATACTGTCGTTCTATGTTTTCTACGGAGACTACGGCATTTATAGGTTAATACAGCGGTTCGAACATCTGTTTAGAGATTTGGTCCTGGTGTTGGAGACTCGGAAACTGGATCCGTTTGTGGAGAAGTGAGAACATGGCGGGATTATGTGCCCCGAAGCTTTGAACTTGTGATTTCATCATATCACAACTCTAGTATTAACTTATTAGAGGTATGATGATTGCTACAAGCATATAAACTTATACTTGAAAATATAGATTCAACATTTGTATACCTGAGATTCTAGAAAATAGCGATGCAAATGTGTAACCTAGTATGCTTAAGAAAAGGGGCTAAGGTTTTTCAACTAGTTATATTAGGTAACGTAAATCACTAGTCAGCGGCCCACACAAGTCAACGGCCCAACCAAAATATAACCAAAAATCAACATTTTTAAAAATCTATAACTTTACCAACTTTTAGTCAAACTTTCCCAAAATTTAATATGTATTATATAACTATAAAACTAATATATAAAAAAATTGAAAAAAATACTGTTACACTATAATATAAGTTATAAAATTTTGGGACATTTTTAAACCTATTTTTATATTTTTCATTTTTAATTAATTAAAAAAAATAGTATAAAAATAAAGAAAAATATTATTATTATTAAGATTTAAATATATACCTAAATTTAAAATCCGAATTTTAATAGGATTTTTTTAAGTAAAGTGCACGGTTACGCACAGACGTATTTTGTATGTATTTTCGTTGGGCCGCTAACTTGTGTGGGCCGCTGACTAGTGATTTACGTTACTTAAAATATCTTGATATATTACGTACCGAATATATTGCTTGAAATGGGAGATTAGACTAACCTACATATTTGCAACAATTAACTACTATCATATACAAAAGCACATTATAGCAAATACTAGACATAAGTTAAGCACCAAATATATACCTCTATAGATGTCATATGCTGTTTGTCCGTCCTTTTATCGATAAAATATGTAGATCAAGTGGGGCCGATCTTTCATCTCCATAAGTCCGGACTGTCCGGATCTCTATCTTTGCCGTATTAGTGGGGTTATGCATGCTTGAATTAAAAATAGAAGTGCATTCGTAAAAGAAAGGCATATTATCATCTACCATAATGATATCTTGTAATTGCATTATAGATTTATGACATTTGATTGTTTCTTAGTAGAGATATCCTTAATGAAGATTTCATGCTAAGGGATAGCTTCAAGTATTACCTCGTAATACAGTTATCAAATATGATGTAAATAAAACTTAGCTATGATACCTTAGGTAGGTATATTATGTAGTTTAATAAATCATCATCATCGACTTCTATATTTTGAATATCTCCAGATAAATAAATCTTATAAAGCTTGATGACTTGTGGATAGGTAGGATGGTGGATTATTAGATAGGTACATAGGTACAAGGACAACCATGTACTGCAGTGCAGATTCCTTATCGATAATGATGCCATCACCCCACAAGAACAGAACAATGCCTCATAAGGTAAGTCCCTTATTCAAGTGCCAAGATTTCGTAGTTGATAAGGTAAGCGATAACTCCGCACTAAGAAAAAAAAAATCCCACCAGCAAAAACCAATTCTTGTTTCATCCAATTAAAGCTCGGCCTCATCTGCTTTTTGCTGTAGCTCAAGGCGCCAGGCGTTTCTAACACTGGTACGACTGCTGCGGGCAAACGACTTTTTTTTTTATCCCTTAACTTTTTCTTCCATCTACCAATCTCCATCATCCAATTTTAACCAAGTCAATCACTCCAACCCACCCCCGTTTGTCGATTCGATAAATACCACCGGTAGTAGGAAGTATCAAGGATCATTTTACTTGATATCCTAGTTTAATAGGCATTATGGAGGACTCTTCGTTGAAGGTTGGTTAATCCAACAACCCGACCTGTATCGCCGACAGGATATCGCGTGCACTTGAAGAATGATAACCGACACCTTAATACGTAGGAGCGTCTCCTCAATTCACAAAAGTCCTTTGATGGACTCTTGTCTTTAATACCTGCCAGAATGTATTATGGAGAAGACACGACCGTAAGTCGCACTCCGTAACATCTCACTTAACTCATTCCACATTACTTACTATTGCGCAGGACCAATGGAAACGGAAGAAGCAGACCAAAGCTGAGGCCGCTGCTGCCCGACGTAATAAGCTCGACCCCGACAGCGCGCTAAACCGAAGTGTCAAAGAAGTTATGGACGAGCAGGCATTGAAAAAGCGGAAGCGCGATCAGATGCAAGATGGGGATGAAGAAGATTGGTCTGATATTGAAGGTGTTGAGACTGAGAAGCCTGGTGAAGGGTTAAAGAAGAAGGCGGTACAGGATGCCAAGAAACAGAAGAAGTTGAACGAGGAGCAACTCGAGCTAAGTGAAAAAGAACGGCGATCGCAAGAGAAGAAAGCTGCGCGAAAGGAACGAAAGGCAGAACGACAACAGCTACGAGAAGAGGAAGCGGCCTTCCAGAGACAAACTATCAAGGGTGTCAACAAGATCAAGTTGGGGTCTAGAGAAACGAAGACCAGCTCAGCGCCAAATGGTGATATCAAATCCGCCGACGCTAGCACCGAGACTGACGATGAGCAGCCAGAGGCGGAAGAAGAAGTTGATGCCTCGGACGTCAAACCCCTTGATGTTTCTGGTCTCGCTGACGCTACCGAAGAACAAAATTCGGTTTCTGCCCCCTCCCCCCCTCCATCGGAACCCCAATCCCCCATCTTCGACACCAACGGTACGCCTGCCGACTCAACCGGCCAAGCTCCAAGTACAACAACGTCTGTATCATCCTCCGCCCCTGCTGAAAAGCCAAAGCACATCAAGATCCCCCCTGATACCGCCGCTCTTCGTGCTCGCCTCGCGGCAAGGATACAAGCACTCCGCGATGCGCGAAAAGCCGATATCGATGGAAAGCCCATACGTACGCGTCAGGAGCTGATCGAGGCGCGACGCCAAAAGCAAGCAGAACGAAAAGCACACAAGAAAGAATTACGGCAAAAGGCTAAAGTAGAAGAAGACCTTAAGCGTGAAGAGGCTTTGGCATCTGCCCGCAACTCTCCAGGCAGCATTCTCAGCCCGGCCATCGATCTCGAGAACAACAACTTCTCCTTTGGCCGAATTGGATTTGGCGATGGCTCTCAATTATCCCATGACCTCTCACATGTTCTCAGTAGCGGCAAGAAGAAGGGCCCATCGGATCCCAAGACAGCCCTCGAAAAGCTAGAGAACCAGAAGAAGCGGCTGCAAGAGATGAATGAAGAAAAGCGAAAGGACGTCGAAGACAAGGAGCTTTGGCTTACTGCGAGGAGACGTGCGGAAGGCGAGAAGATCAAGGACGACGAAAAGTTACTCAAGAAGGCTGTCAAACGTAAGGAGACGACAAAGAAGAAGAGCGAAAAGGAATGGTCAGCCAGGAAAGATGGTGTCGCTAAGGCAATGAAGGATCGACAAAAGAAACGAGAGGAGAACATCAGGAAACGACGTGAGGAGAAGCTCGCGGGTAAGAGTGGCAAGAAGAAGGGGGCTAAAAAGCCTAAGAGTAGAGCAGGGTTTGAGGGTTCGTTTATAGGCGGCGGGAAGAAGAAATAAATTACTACGTGATCGGTCTATGCTTGAACAGGGCTTACCGTTTTACCCCTCTACTTGAGGTCTTTTGCATCATGTATATAATGTGCTTTGGGCAGACCAGCAGTTGGCGTATCTGAGTTATCCAAACATTCCAACAACCCTGTGGCCTTGATGTCCCTATTTTCTAAACCACTGGGAAGCTTATCGCAGTTGACTTGAGAATGTGAGCTGGTGAGAATTTAAATTTGTTGACATGAAGAAATATGAACTTGAGACCGGACCGTTGATTTAGCTCGAACCTCTTTGTTGTGGGTGTCTTAGTGGTTAATCGGCGAATCCGGACGTCGACCTCAAGTTCTAATACTCTCCAATATTGTGTTTTTGGCCTTATAGAGACAATTTCTTCAAATTCAAAATCCAAGCGCGTTTTCCTTCTAAGATACAAACTAGAGATTTTTATAGAAGTAACCACCGGGATATCCAGAGGAATGCATTTAATGAGGGTTCGGCGTAAGTAGTGTTTAAGTAGATTTGAAGATTTCCTCAAAATAGGGGTAGGCAGACACACTACCTTCCAACACGATAACAAGGTCGTACGAAATTACTAGTAGCTGTATTACGACCGGGCAAGTAACAACCTGTACATATATTTCTATTTCATAAATAAATGCATTAAGCCGTATGCAAAACGTATCAGTTTTATTCCTACTTCTTGATACTGATATGGTGAACGTGGGCGGCTCTGGCCCGGCTTAGGAATTTGTTATGACGCCATATTGTTGTTGCTCTTTAACATAACTGAAGGTGGTACATATTTTTGCAAGGATGGTTGATCTATACATAGGTAGCTACCTAAGCCAATTCTTTATGTAGACATAATATGATCATGAGTCAGGTAGGTAGTGCTTCCGGAGACTTCATCAACGTGAACTGATGGCTTGAAATACGCGCCACCATTGATAGATTTGCCGTCTTGGTCGTAATACTACCAATCATATTCATGGAAACCACTCTTTAAGCAATATCGGTATTGCTATACTTCCAATACGTTAATTCTCTTATACTATTGACAAAATGCTACGATTATGGGGATGGAATATCAAAATTGATAACTGTGGTAACTGGTGGGAAATGGTCCAATAATGATTTTCGTTATATATAGAAGCGGATATCTTGAGACTCCCGAATATTTATCCCAATGAGAATGTTTTTAGCATATATTCCGTCGGACTGTCTCATTCAAAATTCGGTGCCTTCAAGTACCCGTCGGCATCTTGGTGGTGCCCGTACTGTATGTCTTCCATCTACTTTGACATATGCGGAACCGATGACAGGTTCGAGTCATACATAGTCTTTGTTAAGCTTGATCAACTACTAAGTTGATCGTGATATGCGTGATCATTGGCCAATCGCAGTGAATGTACCTTTTATTGTCCTTTGTTGTATTTCACCGGAAGGTATCCGGTGAGCTCTCTAATCATCTCTAATAGGGTCGCAATTTAACACTCGTTTTAGGATTCGACGGTCTGGAAGCCGTGGAAGTTCTATAAGGTCTTTGTTGAATCGATCTAAAGGGTATCACGGGTAATGTTATAGCGCTATTGTTGGATTTCCGGAGGCAAGTCTAGAGCTTCATAGCCATGATGTTGGATTCGGTTAACTAACTTATGTTTACTTCTGCCCTCTTAATTTGAATCATCCCTTCCGACTTCATGAATCATTCAAGTTCGAAATACGCACGATCCAAAGATTGAACATCATGGACAGGAGAAGTCTACCTCATATAAGTGGGACGGGACTAGCCATATATATTGTAACCATTATATTGGCTCTGATCTCATCTATCATTGTATTTTTTAGAATACGCATCCAATGCTCTGAAATATCGTTCGGGTGGGATGATGGTCTGATGTTAACCGCGCTGGTTAGTATTCTTGTATTTTAAAGATCCAGCATATTACTTTATCTTATTAACAAGATACCTGTTGTAGATGATATATATTGTTAATATTGGACTTGCTTGTAGAAGCATAGAGTACGGCACCAGCGCCCCTGGTGTGGATATTCCTATATCCATGCAGGTCGAGTCTGGCAAATACATGACCATCTGGGCACTACTATACGGCTTATGCCTTGTCATCGTCAAGACTTCTATCTGCTTGACCATATTTCGGCTGAGAAAGCCCACGAGATACACCCGCTTTGCGATCTATATCCTCCTCCTAGCGATCCTTGCATCGTTTCTCGTTGGCTTTATAGGTCTCTTAACTCAATGTACCCCCGTTGAAGCTATCTGGGACAAGAGACTCATGGTTGACGGCGGGGCAACATGCAAAGATAGAGATTCCATGCTAACCATCTTGTTTACTAATGCGGTTATAACGATCATGTCTGATGTGGCATGTACTGTTTTACCAGCAGCTATGATGTGGAACACTGAACTCAAGTTAAAAAAACTACTAATCGGTTTGCTTCTATCATTCGGATTGCTTGCTGCTGTCTGCACGGTAATCCGCGTGTCTGATACTCAACAACTTACAGGCGACAGTATATATTGTGAGTTGCATGATAACCCCTACCTACATACAGCTCGGTTACTGTGCAGTTCTAATGTGTCATAACATATAGTTTGGACCATGAAGACTGTGTTGTGGTCGAACATCGAAACGGCTATTGGTATCATCGCAGGGTCAATGCCAGTGTTGCAGAAGATTGTTCTGAGCCAGCCTAAGATACGAGAGACTATCACATCATCCAAAGCTCCCGGCTCGACGCTCCCCCATAGCGCAACTATAAAGTCTCAAAGTAACGAAAAAGACTTCAGTAATCCGTTCGATGCCGGCGGCAATATAACAACAGTGTGCGCGAGTCGTCGATCTCGCGATTGGGACCGTACGGACGGGATATTTAACTTCCCCTTTATTCGTGCCGAGTATACTTACGAAGTTACGCGATCAGATTTCTCTACTGATATACCAGAAATGGAAGTATGAAACACCATAGTAAAACGTCGGACAAGGTCAGGTCAGTGTGTATATTGACAAGTAAATAATAAATATATATGAGAAGTTATTGTTCCACATTATCTTAATGGGAGGATCGCGAACGAAGATTCAATTCCAGGAGAGATAGAATCATGCTGAAATGACCGGTCTCGTGGGTTGTTTGTGCTCTTCTGAAGTTCAATTTATTATATCTGATGTGATTAAATAGCGTTACCAATCCCATTTTCCATTATTTCGTACTAATATCCACGTTTCCTATCTTATGGTAATTCGAATACGTCGATGTATCGCTAGGATCGCCAAGCCATTCGTATTCGACAATCTTGACGTCGCTATCCTTCTCGCCTACCAGGCAATATATCCTCCGAGCGTGACTGGCAACAATTGTCCCGCGGTCTTTGCAATCTGATAGATCGCTAACTTCTTGATCCACCGTAGTCCAATTATCTCCTTTATAATATGTCAATTGGACTCCATCATTGGTAGTGGGGTCCATGGTCAAAACCTGGAAGCCCAGCGGCTCTAGCCAGTTGGTGCTCGTCTCGTTGAAGCCTGTCGAGAAGGCAGCAATCGCGGTTGCAGGTCCTATATCCCGTCCTAGGTAATGCCCTACGTACCGACCATCGCCATTTACGATCTGAGATAGCGCACTGGTAATAGAACGGTAGAAAATATTCATGCTCCTGTGCCCGTCTACTGTCGCAGCGGCTACGTGTGCCTGGACGAGAGACGCGTTCTCGGCGGGTGCTGATATGTCAACTTGAATGACATTCGTGCTACTAGCCCATCCACTGGTGTCATTTTGATAGCTAGCTTCCCTTATTCCATCAGACGTTTGCCAGTAGAGGTATGTGTATTGGTTGCATAAATCGCATTGCTTTCCGTACGAGACGAGAGCCGATCCGGCGGTAGAAATGTAACTATTTCCGGCTTTCGAATCTACCCAATTTGCAGTTGGGATGGTCGACTGCGTCGAGATACCCTTGTCATTATTGTATGTCAGAGCCTTAATTGTAGCTAAACCACCGCTGTCAGGGAGTTGCCAGTATATGTGTATATCGCGTCTCTGGAGTAAGTATCAGCAATTTAGTTGGCTCAATATTTACACCATGTTTGATTCCTCACCGTATTGTCGTACGCGAACACGTCAAGTGATAAAGAGGTTCCATTCCTAACGCTATCCAAACCCAGATTATTCGTCTTGCCATCGACTATCGGTGATACCACCCAGCTTTTATGCGACGAGTTCCATGCTGATAAGTAAATGGCCTTATTATTTAATTGGTAAGCCACTAGATAGTTATCATTTCCGAACTCGTCTGTGAAATTGGCGGTCGCGAGGTTAGTGTTAGCGAACAAAGCGGTCTCGTCGTTCTGCGAACTCGCCGGATCCTGACTATTGCTTGAGTCTGAATCGGAATTACTATCCCTTCTTGTTACAACACCAGCAACAACTCCTGCCACAATTGCTACAATAGCAATCACAGCTCCGATAACAACGGCCCAGAAAATTTTTCGCTTCATTCCACATATCCTAGGTTCTGGTGCATCTGGCGCATCTAGCGCTTTCTCTGTTCCAGGTATGAAAACCGGTTCCGGAAGGGTGCGATCTATAACTCCTTTAGGGGCATCGCCAGCAACGCCAACGACCTCGGGATAATTGAAATGTTCGGTTGCATTGTGATTGACTTCCGGAAACTGTCCGGCGTGGGTCGTCTCGGCATATTGATTTCGAGTATGCGCTTCGGTGTCCAGCTCTAACGTGCTATATTCGTAGTTATCCCTCGGAGAACTCATGATTTGTTGGATAAGCGGACAGACTGATCTGTCGGTGCCGTACAAAATACATTGACCATGTGACGTTGAATCGCGACTGATCAAAGGGAAAAGGAGGAGAGGAGAAGGTAGGATCCATGATGAAACTAGTAAATAGTATAAGTAAGTGGCTTGTCAGCCCTGTTGAGCACGGTCTTAACCTTGACGCCTCTTCCGCGAATAGAAGGTCGGGGAGATTACGGTCTGACCCTGTATACGTTCCAAATAAGGCAACAATCCTCGTGTGGATAGGAATTCCGCATTAGTGACATATCAGCTTCTGGGCGGTGCTGAGACTACTGGGGTTCTGGATACGCCAAGGATGATTTACTAGGCCGTAGTCGAACTAGCCAAACATTTTAATAGGCCGATACCAAGGGAAGGATTTTCAGGCTAGGAGATTTAATAATGCGTAGGGAAAAAGAATTAGGCACAATACACGTAATAATAGTGTGATATTATTTGCTTTAAGAGCACCAAGCCCCCCCAGAGCGCTTATTAGAGATCGGCAGTACCCTATCAACGATGGAATATGAAACTATTTTGTGGCTGGAGTGCTGCTATGAACACAGTCAGCTTTCTGGGGGTGAACTTGAGAACGGTCTAGATGACATGTTAATAGATACCGTGGTGATATTATGAAAATTGTATAATAATATGGGTTACCTTCTTATATAACACTAAATGGTCTTAGCACTGAGTTAAAGACTCAACCTTTTGACTCTATTCTTTAAACATGACTTGGTTATATCCTACTTTAACCAATAACATTATAAATTTAGTAACTTAGGTAGCTACACAACACTCAGACTAGGTAGGTAACTAGGCTGAAATAATACTTAAACTTTCGCCTAGAAAACCTGTGCGGTGGCACTGGTAACTGCGCCGCGAAGATACAACCAATTACGATTCAGTCGCATTCCTTATTGGGAAAGCTCAAATAACCTTAATTAGTGGTTCGGATCGATTTACATTTATACTAAGAGTATACAAGAGGTGCGTATGTTGGTAGTTAGTGGAGATCAGATATTAACCTTTGCGAGTTATAATCCGCATAACTACCTGTGTTTAAGTAATAATTTGTTTATAGTACACGAAGTATAAGAATAGACTATAAGAGACTCGCATCACGAAACGTCCACCTTAATGTCAACCCCGGCATTAGACTCGCTCACAACCGTGACTTTGATACCCCAACCTGGAATAGTATATGAACTTGTCCCTGCCAGGGATAGTGGTGCATCGTTCAACTTATCGCCTGCGCAACCACTCGACCCAGGGGTTGTATCTAACACTCGAACAGGACCTTCTCCTGTTGCTGTCGTTGTCGAGACCGTGTAAAGTAGTACGCCGGTTGAACAAGATGCAGAGTCGAGGCTGCTAGCTGACCGTAATTCTGCCACCAGTACGTCCGTGCCGCTGTGTTTAATGACCACGGCTTTAGAGCCTCCTGGTTTCTCTAATGGAGTCAATGTATGTGTCGTTGAGCCCGTTTCCGCGACGCAGTCAATTTGTTCATCGGATAACCATCCCAGCCGCCACTTATCCCACGCAAAATAATCAGGACTCGGCCCACTATACGGGTTTAATCTTAGTTATAGGTACTGCTTTGATTATATTTGCTCATGTTCGACTCGACTCTTACCTAATAAGTCCCATTAAATCCCATCCTCCTATGAACAAACCAGTTGCGCTTCCGTTGAAGGGGTAGTAATCAGGCAAACACATCGTGTGACCCGTCTCATGGTTCAAGACAAGATACTTCCAAGTTTTATATGCGTCTAAGCCGAATGTTACCGACTTCTTGGCAACATATGTCCCGGCGCGTGTCTCGACGTCGCCCATGAATGTAGGCGAGAAAGAGATGGCGGCGGCGTTAGATGTTGGGACGATGTACAGCACATCAGTGGATGGGATGATCTTTCCATACGCATCTAACGCATCTTGTATGTACTTTTGATGCAGTTCGTAACTGAGGCCGCGCTGCCATCCGTAAGAATCTGCCTTGGCAGGCATCCGATAGAAACGCGACGTATCGGCAGTGACATTTAGTGTGAGCGCTCCGTATGACGACGTGGCATACCATTCCGCCGCTGCCGGTAAGAAGAAGTCGTACAGGCTCTGAGGGGTTTCGATAGCGGCTTGATCATCAAAATCGACGAATATCATGAATGCGCTCAAGGTACCAGTGCTAGGAGCGCAGTTCAGCTCGTATCCGAATCCCGCACTAAGGTAAACATCGCTATTGGCTGCCAATTTACACGCCGATATATCTGTTCTAGGGTGAGGGCGAGCATCTTTTGCCGAAACAAACGGTAATATCCATGCTATTATCGTATACCGTGTTGCTATCCTTAGCGTAGTTTCGAACAGCCGAATAGCATTAACCATTGTACCTTATATATAGTATTCTAATCCTTTGCTTATGAAAATTAAGAACTATATGGTTTGAATGAGCTGGGTGCTGTTTAATATAAACCAATTCGTTATCTACAGTCGTCGATACGACTGTCACCTCCCCAGTATGGAATATGCGGGGGGACACTGGTTTGAGTATAGCTCTTTGGTTCCATGCCTGCAAGTCTTATCTAAAGACATAGGTATATATCTCAAGCGTAAAGTACTTTATGGAAGCGGTTGATAGCTCCCCTGTTCCCTCGGTCGACATTTAGCCGAGTCATTTTCCTATTTAATACAATTTAGGGTAAAATATATGATAGGCCAGTCTGCTTAGAATAGAACTAAATGGTTCATAAGTGTCTTAAACTTTTTAAATAATAGAGATATGGATAGGGGTTTCCTATGGCCTTAGCCTATAATATACATACCTTCTAAGTATTCTTCTAAAGTTTCATGAGTTATCTTGAATTAATACCCGACTTTTACCTATTATCAATTCACACTTATTACGCAATTATCTACATATTCATATCCTAGGTAGTTATAAAATCAAAAGTTGGTTGAAGAGGATTTTGTTATATTTTCTCTACACCTTCTTGCTGAGAGGTACCTATTTAAGATCTATTGGCAATGCTTATTTCGCCCTGTACTGAGCATCTTAGAGTAGCTCTGGCGTTTGTTTCGTGCCTCAGCGACCAGACTTGATAATATCCGCAGCCATTTCCGCAACTCCATACACCGCTGCCTGCGTACCTGCGTGAGGTACTATAGGGATAACACTGGCATCACAGACGCGTAGGTTAGAACAACCGTAAACACGTAATTCGGGACTAACAACACCACCCATATCGCGCGGCATCATGGAGCAAGTACCAGTAAAGTGGATAGCTCCCACAGCGGTGTCACGAGCGTATCTGCGCGCATTATCCAGATCATCAAGTGAGAAAGCCGGGTTGCGTTTACCATCTGGCTTGATGTGCTTGGCTAGTGGCTCTGTAGAGACCAAAGACTCTATTAACCGTAGATGGTGTGCTAGAACCTCCAGATCCAGAGGATGCGTAAGGTACTTAGGATCAGTAACGGGAGATGTCGAACTGGATGCGGATTCGATATGGACTGAGCCCCGCGAGAGTGGATGATCGAGGAGCAGAGCGATCGTGAAATACTTTTCTCCGTCCTGGGATTGAGGTATGGATGTCCTTGATCCATCAGGATTGGTTCTACCAAAGCCGTGTATGGAAAGATAAGTGCAAGAGGCCTGTGTTTGTGAAAGTAGCACAGAGCGCACGAATGATCCGTGCTTTTTTGTAAAAGCCTCTGGTACCTTGCCTGTATGAGTCTCCGAGCCTAGCGTCTCCAGGATTTTCGAAACAGCTTGTGCTCCGCTTTCAGTTTTGATGTCAGGGAACGGAAGATATGCGGCGTGATTAGGACCACTTCTAGACAAAGGCCCAGTGTGGTTAGAGTAGGCTTCGATAGCTGCTTGAAGGGCATCTGGGTCTCCCTGTACAAGCTTGTCCACTGTCTCGAAGCCCTCTTCGTCTAGAACCTGAAAGTTAACGTAACACATGGGATGATTTTGTAGGTTTTCGCCAACGCATGGGTTGTTGATAACAACGTTGATGCCAAGTGACTCTAGTAAGGCTTTATCGCCCACGCCTGAAAGTTCGAGTAGCTTGGGCGAATTGATAGCTCCAGCCGTAACCAATATTTCCTTGCGCGCGGTCACGTTCTCTGATTTCCCTCCTTTATTATACTGAATTCCAGTTGCGATTACTCTGTCACCTTTATCGAAAAGAATCTTTTCTACTAAGGTACTGGACCACAGAGTTAAGTTCGGCCGATTTACTGCTGGCTCAAAGTATGCGTTCCCAGAAAAGCTCCTTTGCTTCGTAGAACTGCATATGGAATCAGGAATCGTAACACCACCATATATCTGGTCGGAAAAGGGATAATTGGCCGTCGGGAATCCCAGCGCACTTAGAGTGTCTCTCCAAACTTGTGGCCATCCATTATCTTCATCAGGAAATGCTAATTGAAGCGGGCCATCCCCCTTTATCTCTTTAGACGGAAGAACCGCACTATATGCTCTCTTTAGAGCTTTGGAGAAGTTCGACCATTCCCATCCTGGGTTGCCCAAGTCCGCCCATGAATTAACATCTGTTTTAGACGTCTCGATGAACATAAGGCCATTTAGAGCACTTGACCCGCCAACAAGGCGTCCTTGAGGAAAGTTGATTTCACGACCGCCAAGTCCCTCCTTATTTGAAAGGTGAGATAGTATACCGAAAGATGCATGGGTTTAGCTACATACCTGAGGGGCTGTCTTGAAGTTCCACGATGTTCCGGAGCCAATCAATTTTGACCACATAGAAGGAATTTTCACTCTGGGGTCGTCCCTTATATCCTCACCAGCCTCAATCACAAGCACACTGGTGTTAGGATCCTCAGAAAGACGTGCAGCGAGGACAAGGCCAGCTAGGCCTCCCCCAACAATAATATAGTCGTAGCTGCTGGAAGCCATTGGATGTATAATGCTAGTATGATCGTGGTTTTTCTGGACGAAGGGGGTAAGGCAGTACTAAGGGTGAAAGCGTTGAATATTTATGTTGAATTTGAAATGACAACAGCTCGGCAGGGATTAAGAAGTATAATTCTGGGTCGGAGGTTCCGGAGCCAAAGCAAAAGCAAAGAACCTCGGGTATGTAGTAGAAGCCGTGTAGCCAACCACTATTGCAGAATATGATTACTTTATCACCAAGTGGAGCAAAAAGCATAGAGATAACTTCGTTGTTTTCCAAGGAACTCTAAACCCGACTATAGAAGCTTGGGCTATACACACCGAAGGTATCCTATGTCCTGGAGGTTTCATATATAGCCCTATCATTATATTTACTCGTTACTAAGACTTTAGCTTAAGTTGATTAGACTTCGTTGAAGAAAATCGGTTAACTTATACTAACATATCCCCCGACGTAGGTAGATACTAAACCTGTTGATACATTTGAACTACTTAGAATAAGAGAAGTGAAGTTTATAATAAGATGCATATCAGTAACTTTATCGAGGGATATACGTATGAAGTAAATTGTCTATCAAAACACTCATAGCTTGCTTTATTGGGTATTTTGCTCTTTTTTCCAATTGGGAGCCAATAAGAGTACGGTGTAGTATAAAAGTATAGAAGTGCCAAAGGCTTGGACTATATATCTTCGTGATTGGAAATTTGTATACAAATGCTCGTAAGTGAACGATTTCGTATGAGGTTTATGCGTACCCAGATACCTAAGGCTTACTCATTATAGGGGCTTACAATATGATAGATATATAGACTCAAGTTAGGCATATGGAAAAGAAATTAATTAATTGCTTCGAATTGACAAGGTACTAATAAATCCAGCTTTACTTAATATTGAATAAAGTTTATTAAGGCTATACGGCCAGGTTCTTCCAGTGGATGCTTACTCTATGATGCTAATAATAAGGCAATCATTTACGGCGATTTCTGATCCCTTAATTGCCAATTCAATTAACCAACTAGTCTATTAACATGAATATCTAAATGAATCCCCCTTTACCAATTACACTATGCTAGATTCGGAGTATGCGATGGTACTAAGAATGATAAATGTTAAGAATAGAAAAATATATATGTATGTGATACTGTAAATATGTACCTCCTTATTTCAAAACCTATAACTGACACATCTCCGCTTAGTTTTATTGCCCATTTTTAGGCTCGTTCTCGGCAGGCTGGTCGTTCACGGGAGCCTCTGGGACGTCCTCTGCAGGTTTCGTCTCCGGCTGCTTTAAGGAAAGCCAATCCATAAAAATGGGCCCAATGATAGACAGAGCGCTAACAGCAACAGCGACGTAAAATGTTTGGGTGAGAGCATCGTTGTACGCTTCTAAGACGGCAGGCAATTGCTCAGGCGAAACAGTATCCCTCAGTGCGGTGGCACCGCCCCTAATAACAGAAGTAGAATCGACTTCGGGGGCTCGGATAACCAGATTCTTGATTAGCTGATTCTGGAAGACGTTCTGAGCCACAGCTAGGAAGATCGAGGAAGACAGCGACTGCGTGAAGGTTAAAATTGAGATAGCCATAGGCATATCAGCCATAGGGACGGCAACCTGGGCAACGAGCATGACGTTCTGAGCACCCAGACCTGCACCAGCCGCAACTATTATCTGGTACCCAAACCAATATCCGATGGTAGAATCAACCTTGAGAGTACTGAGAAGGCCAGCTCCAACCGCAGTGATGGCCGAAGAAGCAATGAGTAGCGGTGTATACAAGCCCAACACCGTAGCAAGACCTCCACCAATGATGGAAAAGACAACGAGACCAAGGATGCTGGGTAAGTTATCAATGCCGGATTGAGTAGCCGAGACCCCCTTAACCGCCTGAAACCAGATCGGAAGGTAGTAGGAAAAGACGAAGAGAGCGGCGCCCATGCACACACCATACCACACAGCGCCGATGATGTTCTTGTTCTTTAGGACTCGCAAGGGAACGGTGGCTCGGTCCTTCTGCCAGAGTTCGACGATCCAGAAGATGATAGCAAGAACACCAAATACAACAAATAACGCGATAATTCGACCGTCGCTCCAAGAATATGTCGCACCACCCCATTGCAAGGCGAGTAGAAGGCAGATGACAGAAGGGATCAGGAAGAAGCTGCCGGGAAGATCAAACTGCTTAACCTGTTCCTTGAAGGGTAAACCGGGCTGCGCCGGTGGTTTGTCTGGTAAAAAGAGAATGAGGAATAGAATGGTAAGACCGCCAAGAGGAAGGTTAATGTAGAAACACCACCGCCACGTTACATGGTCGGTAAAAGCACCTCCCAAACTACCGTCAAAGTTAGAATACGTGAAAAAAGCTTTTAGAAAGAGTATAGTTGCTTACATAGGACCAGCCACGCTGGCGATACCGTGCATGCTCGACAAGAGACCGGTGTAAATGGGTCGCAATCTCAGGGGTACATTAGTTGCCAAAATAATGATAGCCCCCGCGAAGATCCCGGCAGCGCCTAAACCAGAGACAGTTCGCCCAACAATCAGGACAGCTGAAGACGGAGAAACGGCAGCGATGAGGGAACCAATCTCGAAAACGAAGACGCCCACCAAAAACACCCATTTCACGGAGTACATGACGTAGAATTTGCCGAACATCAACTGCAGTGCGCAGACAGCGAAGAGGTACGAACTTCCATACCAAGCAACATCATCTAGGGAGTTGAAATCGTTGGTGATTCGGGGGATGGCGGTGGCGAGAATGGTACCATCCTAAGGAGAAAGTTAGGAGACTACGGCGTAAAACACATACGCATTTTTAGAGATAGTTGATGACTTACCAAGGACACGACGAGCATGGCCATGCAAAGGGCTATTAACAGGAGGACCAATTTCCAGAAGGCAGGATACTGCTGGTCAGAATCGGCGGCAGCAGCATCGACGGTGGGTTCGCTGTTTTCCACTTCTTGCTTTTCAACATCCTGCACTTGTTGAGGGCGCGATTGCACGGGGGCTTCTTGGTCTTGGCTGTTCATTTTTTCTTCTAGAATTGCGGAATTGTTGGCGGTGGAATGTACCGACACCGCGGTAGCGGCAGAAGAAGCGGGCGTATCGTCTGGAGGTCGCATCGCGGGCAGTGATGTTAGTAAAAGCAAGAGAGTGTGAAGTAGCCAAATTTCTACATGTCAGCTTGGTGTGTGATAGATTTCAAAAAAAAAAAAGAAATCAGAATTATAACTTTGGGCGGCTTCGACTTTAAGAATAACTACCTCCTATCTCATACGGAATCCACTACGACTACGGGCTACGGGACCCTTTACGGGATCCCCCTTACGGCATCACTTACGGCGTAGTGAGTCATGCCGGGGGATTTAAGAAGATCATCTTAAACACACGGGGCTGTGCGCCGTTCTCTTGTTGGAGGTCGATACGGCCATAAAATGAAAGATTTTGAAATTTTGATGGCACGTCTTTGTCGCGAAAACCCGATTGGCCAATAGAAAGTCTCCTTACTAAATTTACCCAAACTTACCCTGAAAAGTTTACGGCCCGTGCCGCTAACCTGCAGCTGGTGCTCTCCTAATTTAAGCATATTTACAGAATATTTCTAGGGGTACCTTGAATACCTACCTAAGGTACCTAGGTAAGTATTGAATTAAGGACCCTGCCGAGATTTACGGCATATAGATCCACGATACACCCCGACAAATTCATTTGAGATTTATTATATTGTACGTAATTCGTAGGTATATATTGGCTCTGTTGCTTAATGCCAGTCGTTCTTGGCCATCACTAGTGCGTAGTATAGCCAAGCAGCCCCGGCCCCCGGAGGCCGAGGGTACCGGCAGACGGCGTTTGCGTAGTAAGTAACGTAACATAATAAAAAACTCTAGACGTATTCATTATAGAAGTAGTCGGACTACTCTTATTTGTCGTAAGGGGGCAACATATCAACCTAGATGAAGACTCCAATAATTAAATATATTATAGACTACACTAGGTAGGAAAATAGTAATTACGAGGTTGTAGAGTATAACCTTATCAACGCCACACTGCGTGTTCCCGAATGATAAGTGACATGATATTTAGAGCCAATGGTATGAAGAATATGATGCTGCGAGTTTTAAATCCCGAGTGCCCGATAACTACTTAGGAGAGAAAATCACCACGAATTATTCATCCCATTGTGATCTTAATACCAAGCAGTGGCGAGCAAACATTGCCTATCAATATCCTAAGATGGCTATTAACCAATCTTCAAATACTATAATTCCAGTCATTAATATTTCTGGTTATCTGGCTGGTGATTTACCTCGAACAACCGAAATCGCAAACGAATTGAACGCCGCGTGTTGCGCCCCTGGATTCTTCCAGATCGTTGGCCACGATATCCCTGCCGAGCTGCGAACTCGTCTCTTCGACAAGGTTACCCAATTTTATAATCTTCCCATAGCTAAGAAGTCGGCATTGAGCCGCAGTCTTTCGGCCAATGGCGCACGGGGTTACGAGACCGTTGGGGCTGTGACATTAGAGGGTGGCTTCGTAGATCAGAAAGAGGGATTCATGATAGGCCCCGAAAAGCCGCCCGGAAGGTTTCTCCAGGGCCCGAATTTATGGCCAGAGGAAAGGGATTGTCCAGGATTCCGCTCCACGATGGAAGAGTATTTTGCTTCTGTGCGAGGTCTCAGCGTAAAGATGTTTCGACTACTGGCATTAAGCCTTCATCTCGACGAATACTACTTTGATGCTTTTGTGAATAGTCAAGACTGTTAGAATAAACTCGGTGTATTTGTTGGCTGATAAGTGCTAACCCCTTGATCATGTCAGCGATCTCGATGTGCCGCGCACACAGATATCCTCGAGGTACTGCTGAATCAGCAAAACACTTTCGAGGAACAGGCGCCCATACAGACTTTGGTGCCATGACACTACTACTCCAGGACGATAGTAAGAAATCTATTCCGAATTTCCTACTTGGATGCTGACAGTTTAGTCGGTGGCTTAGAAGTCTATCACCGGCCTAGCAGCACATGGAATCCCGTACAGTACGTCGAAAACGCGTATATTGTCAATATCGGCGATATGATGGAACAATGGACGAATGGTCGATACATGTCTACCCTCCACCGCGTAATTACCCCGACTTCGAACAAGGACAGATATAGTGTAGTGCTGTTCAATGAAGGCTTGTTAGATCAAGTGATCGAATGCATTCCAACGTGTATCGAACCGGGCGAGACTCCTCTATATGAACCTACGACGGTAGAAGAACATTTACGAAAACGATATGGGCATACCTATGGGGAAGCCAAAGATGAAAGAAACTAGCAATAAATATTGAACTAGAATGGGCGGCTATGGCCTGACAACCCTGTCGTATTTGACTTAGTAAGGTCCTTTAAAAACAATACGTTTTGGTTCCCGAATTTGCAAGTTTAGCTTTTGGGAATCTTTAAGACACATCTTAGGTATATTTAGAGTCGGTATTGCACCTGTGGCTCTCCTTCAAGCAACTAACTTTCGCTAGGGGCACAAGGCACTGATGTAGACCTGAATCTAGAGATGAGGTTTTATGTTAGTTAATCGTCTTCTTTAGCAGAATATTTGCTCGTAGTCTACAATTCTGCACCGTTACCTTCCCCAGTAACTATACATTTATAATAATTTGATGCATATTAGGTAACTATATCAATATTCTAGCGCTCTGGAAGACGATAGAGAGACCACGTACACCTAGGATATTCACTTAGGCACCTAATACGAGAAACACCACGATCACCCCCGTGGGATAAGCCTCACTGGTATATCTTCAGGCGGCGTGAGCGTAACGGGCGAACCACCACTGCGAAGAAGAGCTGTCCTGAGTGCGCGCGTGGCTTTACTGCCATCGCTGTCCGCGATCTCAAGCCTGTGGCGGTGGAGTAATCGCGAGATGAGAGAAACATATTCGACACGCGCAAAGCTACGGCCAAGACATGCACGCGGACCCTCTCCAAACGTTAGGAAAGTACCCTTTCGGTTCCCTGGAATGGCGGTGGTACCACTGCGGATCTCAGTTTCCTGCGCCGCTGTTAGCGGCTTGCATGGGTCGAACGAGTGCGGATCTGCCACAAGCCATCGTCGGGGTTCGATGATCTCCGGCCTTGGCCACACGGAGGGATCGTAATGGATGGCGGGCGTGTTAGTAATATAGCTCGTCTTTCCAGGAAGAGCGTAGTTTGATAATTGCTGGGGTTCAAAGGCGACCCGCGCCAATGTTGGTACGATTGGGAAGATGCGCATTACCTCGTACTGCATATTGTTAGCTTATAAACTACCTAGACTGCGGCGAGAGAGACGTACCATGAAGGCAACAAGATACCGGAACCGTGGGAAGTCCTCGGCATGCGACAGATTTGAACGGCCTTCCTTTGCGGCTTGGGCATAGACGGCGTCGATCTCCTCGATCAAACATTCTTGAAGATCCTTGTGGGCAATCAGTACAAGCATAGTGAACAAAGTCGTGTTTGCTGTTGTGTCATAACCTGTATTGTTTTAATATATAACTAGACATTTATACCTCATCGACTTCTTGGTGGGGCGTACCAGCAATGAGGAAAATATAGGCATTACCCCTAATCTCCTCGTTTGTTAAGGTGGAACGACCGATCGACTCGATATGTTTCTTATCATTTTTGGCGGCCATATTCGAGCGCAAGATGGCAGTGATTAGAGTCTCGCGTTGCGCCTCGGTACTGTCTACCAGCAGCTTTTCTTGTGCTTCGGCTACTAGTTCATCAATGTAGCTGTCGACCTCGTTGGCGCACTGATATGCGATAGGCCACGGAGACCAACGCAGTAGCCAGCGCGGTAGGAGTAGGATATGGGGTAGATATATGGTAACGTTGGTCATGGCATCGACTAGTGAGTATTGATGGGCTCCAGAGAGGTTACTGGACTGGTTTTCACTGGCTCCTTGTGCTTGATGCCCAAACCCGACTAATAACATGGTGTTCATGGTCAAGGAATAAATGCGCTTCTTGTTGCTGCTCTCTGGCTCCCATATCGCCGTTGTCATATCGACCTGCCGCGAAGTCTCTTCCCACACCAACCGCGCTACTGACTCTGCCGCCAGTGGTGGCAACGTGATGCCTAGATGGAACTTCCAGAGGTCACCCTCAGCCATAGATATGTTGCGGCCAAATGGCGCGAGTATTTCTGGAACAGGTTAGATCTTGAAGAAAAAGAGACTATAATATGAAGGATACTAAGTGGTAAACCTTACTCATCTTTTCAGGAGGCTTGATAACCGCCTTCCGGCGCATAAATAGCTGCGAGACCATATCTGGATCACTAACGTAACATATCAATCTGCTGGGCGTGACAAGTAAGAAACAATTCCCAAACTCGAGAGTTGCTCGCCTCCGGTCCTCATACTGCCAGTCAATAATCATAAAGCGCGCCCAACGTGGCCACCCCTCACCCTTATGCAGATGTTCTTTGTACCACCATCGTAGAAGCGCATTGGTGACCCAGGCAAGAGGATCATGTTCGCTCACTAAAGACCATGTGTAGGGAAGTCTAGATTGCTGGGCTTCTCGAAGGTTATTGAGGAAGCGTATACATCCATGGACTATCAGGACCCCTATGGCCGTAGTAGCGACGACCAAGTAAGTGGTAAACATTGCGGGCCGCTTGGGGAAATTCTTATATTCAGCATGGGTTAGCGAATTACCTTGGTTAAACAACCAAACCGGGCTCTCCTTAGGTATGGCTTTGCAAATTAGACGCAGGTTAGGACTAAGGACTACATAGAAAAGCCAGATAGAATGTGAGGGTCTTGCCTTGGACTTTTCTTCCCGCTACATTGAACACCCCCTTCATTATTCACTCATGATATTAGCTTGAATATTTGCGATAAATGACTAGTGCCGTAGGAATTGATTATGCGCCGTATCGAATATGGTCAGCATGCGGTAACACAAGTGGCGTAGCGGCAGCTCTTGGCTCTCATCTTGATAGCTTTAACAACGCATATTTTATACAATATTTACCTTCACCTGCTAGCACATTTTCCAGGACCTTTTTCGAAACAAGAATCCTTAATGAAGCTGTTTTAGAAAAGTCTGAGATATGGCGTTTCTGGCATACCTCGAATGAGTGATCGCACCGTGTCATGTAGAAAGCAGATGGGGAATGGGGGTGATGGGAAAAGAGACTAATGTCAAGATGGGTTGATATTTAACGTCTCCCTTAATGAATTATCGTTCGCATGCATCAAATCATGGAAGGGCATCTACAGTATCCCGCCGCCTAATGTTAAACACCTTATTAAGGGTGAGTTCTACGATACTTTGGAGAGCAGCCACAAAATAACCTACATTAGCAATGAACATGATTCAAATGTGCACTTGAAAAAGAAGAAATCAGCTGCTGCTTTCTCGGTCAAGGCGTTGAATGACTAAGAGACTGTTATAGGAGTATTAGAGGAAGCGAGAAGCGGTTTCCTACGAGGCCCAGGCCTTTTTCGAGCGTGTGTTAAGTACGTCATTACTATTATATCAATCACTTATGTTCTGATACAGGATCTGCAAGTAGGAATATAGAGAAACTTACATGCCTAAAGCTGGTATCTATCACGTGAAAATCCATTTACAAGGACAATAGTTGATTCATTATTTAATCAATAATTCTAGACCTTGTAGTTAGATCGAAAGCTAGGTAATTACTAGTTCACTTAGAATAGTTCCTCATTCTCGTCAAAACACCCTTAATTAAGACAATTTTAACTAGAAGAAGTAAGTATAAGCCGACATCAGCATTATTGAGTAGCTCCGCATATGAAACTCTCGGGTCGCTAAGGAGCTCTGGTAGATGTGGTTCTTATCATTATACGGCATCGGAGTATAGAAGCACGCAATCGCACTATTATTTCAAGAATATAGACTAGAGAGTTGGATTGATGTGACGGTGGGGGAGAAAACTAATAGCATACTACTAACCCCTATCCCGCGGGTCATGCCCCACTTTCACCGGCTTACCGGGGGAGAGAGGGAGGGAGAGGGGAGGATTTGATATCGTAACTTATCATGTTGATTTTATTTTCATGATCTCTATTGATGATTTTAACTCCAAGCTTATAAGGCGCGGCTAATTCATTATGGAAGAACAGCATATTGACATAGAAGACACATTGCCATCTACCGGAGGGCAGTCCCAATCTTCACAAAGAGTAGACTCGAGTGCTCCTGAACGGTCCCTTATCGTTCATCCCCAGACAAATAACTCGGGGTTCTTTTCAAGATTTCGATATCACTTGTTTGCAGCTGGATTTGCATTCCTGCTTAGTCCCCTCGCATTTATATGGCCAGGTCAATCTTCTATTGATCCGACAAACTACGTAGAGCGGACAAGGAGAGTCTTGAAGACAACACCGTGGGTACTAACGAACTCCCAATTTAGAACTATTGCTGATTTATACCTTTGTAACTATAGTTTGATTGATGGGCATAATGATTTACCCTGGCAGTTGCGCATAGAGTTGCATAATCGCATATATGATGGCCGAGTTGACTTGAATAAAAGACTCCTGGGCCATACAGACCTTCAGAGGATGAGAACAGGGATGGTTGGGGGTCAGTTCTGGAGTGTTTATGTGCATTGTGATGTTCACCAGCAGCACTTTGAAGATCCATCTGTGAGTTACATTTAAAAATAATTGTTACTTGACACTTAGCTACTGAATGCTGAGACAGCCGGACAGTGGATCGTAAGAGATACTCTAGAGCAAATCGATGTCACTAGGAGGTTCATCGACGAGCACCCCCAGGATCTCCAGTATTGTGATACGGCGGCCTGCGCCCGTAAAGCTTTCAAGTTAGGCCGTATATCTAGTATGATCGGCATTGAAGGCGGTCACCAGGTTGGGGGTAGTATTGCAAGCATACGGCAGATGTACAATCTTGGAGCGCGCTACATCACCCTCACTCATAACTGCGACAATTCTTTCGCGACTTCGGCTTCTACTGTAGCCGCTGGAGGACCCGACGATGGGCTTTCAAAATTAGGGTATGAGGCTATCAAGGAGATGAATCGGCTAGGCATGATAGTAGATCTATCGCATGTGTCGCATCAGACGATGAGAGATGTGCTGAGTGTAGCACGAGCACCGGTCATCTTTTCGCATTCAGGGGCTTACAGTGTAACTCCACATCTTCGGAACGTACCCGACGACGTTCTCCGAACGGTAAAGCGCAACGGAGGCATTGTCATGGCCGTATTCGTCAATCGTTTCCTGAAGATGAAAGACCCAGACCAGGCGACTATTCACGATGTTGTAGATCACATATTTCACATTGCGGAGGTATGCGGCTGGGACTGCGTCGGGGTGGGTAGCGATTTTTCGGGAACCCCTTATGTACCCATCGGCCTCGAAGATGTCTCAAAGTTCCCCGATCTCGTTCAAATTCTAATGGAACGTGGCGCGACCGATGAGCAGATCCGCCTATTTGCAGGAGAAAATATCCTCCGCGTTTGGTCAAGGATCGAGCAGAGAGCACGCGAGATACAAGCCACAGGAGAGAAGCCTGTAGAAGAAGAATATGAAGGGAGGGAGTGGCATAAGGGGTTAAAAGACTCGCCTTGGATGTTGAGAGGGAGTAGACAGAAAGCTATCGAGGCTGGCGCCGCGGATAAGCCGTACATGTTTAACGTAGATGGAGAGGGGAAGCATAATCCAGCAGTCAAGGGTGTATAAATCACCCAAGGTAAATAAACCAAGGGTAATGTTTTTCAATGTTGGAAAGTGATATTTATTTACCTGTCGGTATGAGTAGTTTAAAATTGTGTAGAATTTATAAAACGATAACTATAACAGATATAGAACTTGGTAGATGTAGATGCGAACTACGATACTACCCTACGTCTACATGCAGCGCACGTCAAATTTAGACGACGTTTCTCCCACGTGGTATACGCATCGTCTGTTTTTATTTATTTTTATCTACGGGTTGAATCCCTTTAGTCGGGTTTATGATTCTTGGAATCGCCATCGTTCTCCACAATGGCGTTATTTAACTAACTAGGGGTTATAGACTATCGTAACTGCGTAGGATTATGTACAAGCGCGGTATGCTATGTAGACCCGTCTGCCTGGATACCCCATTCCTTGCCGACGTTGGTTTCTACTCGGCAGGGGCAAGCCGAAGATGGTAATGCCTTTCATACGCACATGCCCTGAGCTTATGTCCGTCGTGAACGTGAGGGGCTAGTTAACTAGATGAGACTTGAGATATGGAGTTTCGCCTAATTACAAGGTGACTATATCGGAGGAATCATGGCATGATACGAAAATTGAAGATGTCGTGATTGTGGAGTTGTACTGCGCAAATCCTGCTCTAAAATAGACGATTAGAAATGACAACTTAGGTAACAGGTCTAACTCCTATAGTCTTGACAAGATACCACTCTTAGGAGGGGTACATCTGCAAGTTATCATGCCCACCTTAATCGTCTCGTAAGTCTGGGTTAGATGTAATAGTATTCTATCAACTCTACTCATGGGGTATACTCGATACACTATTGGATTCGCCGCTTCTCACAATGTCACTCTTGGAAATATTACCTCTCTATAGTATTAAATCACTCCAATATATTATCTCCTTGCCAATCATAGGGCTGGTTATTTACCTTATTCAGAATGAAATCGCTCGATATCGTAGTAGGATAAAGAATCTTCCCGGACCTCGCGGATGGCCAATCGTTGGGAATCTTTTTCAAGTACATAAACTACCTACTTTACTATCCTCATAACTCGTGTCTCCACTAACAACATCGCAGCATCCTGATGTAATACCCGCAGAAACATACCGAAGATGGTCCTTCAAGTACGGCCCTGTCTTCCAGATCCAACTTGGCAATACGACCGCAGTTGTTATCAACTCCACGCGGGCAGCTAAGCAATTGTTCCTCGGGCAGAGCCATGCGATGAACTCGCGGCCGACGTTTTATGTGTTCCACAAGAAAGTTAGTAAGGCCGTGACGAGCATTGGGACCAGTCCCTGGGACGAGAGTTGTAAGCGGAGGAGAAAACTAGCTGCGGGCGCGCTGAACAGGACGCGCGTGGATACATACGGGCCGCTCCTAAACTTAGAGGCGCGCGAGTTCCTCAAGGACCTGTATTCAGCATGTCGGGATGGTACTGTTGAGATCGATTTCCGGCCCGCCGTGAAGCGCTTCTCGCTAAACTTGAGCCTGACACTGAACTACGGGACCCGTGTGTCGAGCGTCAAATCTCTGACTGACGACCCGCTCCTGTCTGAGATCATCTACGTCGAAGGCGAGATCTCCAAGTTCCGCGACACTGGCAAGAACTACGCCAACTACATCCCCCTGCTGCGGTATTGGGAGCCCCTGGCGCAGTTTTTAGGGCTTAATGCACAGCCAAAAAACCACGCGGCGGATATTGGACGTCGCCGATTAGAGTATAATGATATCCTTTTGGAAAAGCTGAAGGATGAAGTTCAAAAGGGTGAAGATAAGCCGTGCATTCAGGGGGCCGTGCTCAGGGATTCAGAATCTGCGACATTGACGAGAGAAGAGCTGATTAGCGTTAGCTTAAGCATGATGGCGGTATGTCCTCTATCCTCTATCGTCTTACATTTTTAACCATACTGAGCAGTAGCTTATACGTTGATATTAATTAGGGAGCTGACTCGAACCAACCTACCCTTTCATGGGCCTGCTTGCTTCTCGCTCACCGACCAGATATACAAGAAAAGGCTTATTCCGCAATCAGAGATGCAGGGGTCCTCAGCTTACCATCAAGCGCATATGCTTCTACGAAAGTCGAGTACATCGACGCCTTAACGAAGGAAATCTCACGATACTTCGTGGTACTAAAGCTAGCACTCCCCAAGGCTACTTACACCGATGTGACTTGGGAGGGTGCCACGATCCCGGCGAATACAATGGTATTCCTAAACTCCTGGGCTTGTAATCGAGGTACGTCTTGAATATTCCCCCTACGACGTAAGCTTGGCTGTCCGCTTGAAACTAAATTCCCCCACTCCAGATCCGGAACTCTTCACTGAGCCAGAAACGTTTATCCCCGAGCGCTGGCTGCAAAATTCTTCTAATGTACACGCCCACCAATTCGCGTTTGGAATCGGTGGACGGATGTGCGTCGCATCGCATCTAGCTCATAATGCTTTATATACGGTGTTCTTGCACCTGATTGCGCATTTCCGTATCCTACCAGCTGAAGGAGAAACGATAGAGGCAATTGATCCGGTAAAGGGGTTAAAAGGCATGGCCTTTGTAGGCACCCCGCGCGGGTGGCGCGCTAGATTTATCCCGAAGGGAGGAGAAAAGCTTGCAGCTTGGTTAGAAAGCCCCGATGGTTCATGATGGGAAATTGGGAGCTGTAGCTGCAAGAGAAAATTGTACTTTATTTAGAACATTTAGGGGACATGGATGAAGACTCATGCATTACGTTCGATTTACTATATCTAAATCTTCGTATTGCAAGTGACTCAGCAGGTGCCCCTTTTCAGGCCATAGTAACAACTATATCTTCAAGACATTCTAAACCATTTTAATACGCAGCAGGCACAACGCCTAATCGTCCTCCATCTGTCACCAGCACATTTCCATTGATGTAGGCGCCAGCCTTGCTCACCAAGAACAGGATCGCTCCGGCAATATCTTCCTGATCACCAAGTCTCTGCTCGGGAACGACGCTCTTGGGCCACTCCTGAGTTGGTCGTTTTTGGAGAAGAGGCTCGGTCATTTCGCTTGGGTAGACTATCGTATAACCTGTGTTAGCAACCTATGAAGGCATTAGCCAGCTATTGAAGGGTCAACTTACATCCTGGGGCGATGACATTGGATCGAATGCCATACGGCACAAGAGCGGTTGCCAACTGCTTCATCATGTGGACCACTCCGGCCTTAGAGCTTCCATACGCATATCCGGCGGCCGGAACTCTGTTATATGCTCCAATGCTGGACGTCGCGATAACCTGACTCTTCTGCTTCAGATTTCCACGCTTGTTACCCTCGTCAAGAAGCTCTAGGAATGCAGCGACGGTGAAAAACACGCCTGTAGAGTTTACGGCATATGTGTTATTGAATTCTGCCGTATCCCAGCCGAAGACGAAGTTTCGGAAGTCCGAAATGCTGGGGTTTTGCGGCAATGCGCCCATAGTAGGGCCTGGTACACCAGAATTTGCTACTACAACATTGACATATCCTACTGCTGACTTGATCTCTGCGACGGCCCGTTCAAGGTCGGCCTTGTTAGATACATCGCCTTGGATTATACGAATATTTCCATGCTTCTGTACCAACGCAAGTAATAGATAAGAAAGTTAATAATGCATCCAGAAGCCATATTACTTGATGAGACAACGTACAGCAGTAGCAGCAGCTTTCTCTAAGGTCTCCTTGCGGCGGCCAATAACGTAGACAATCGCACCGTTGCTTTCTAGGGCATTTACCATCATGAGACCAATACCTATATTTTATATTCAGTTAATTCACTTATAGATAAGCGGACATGAGCCAACCTACCACTTCCCCCGCCCGTTACAACGACGACTAATCCTTTGACCCCGAAGAGATCATTAGGTTCTACCGAGGGAGAGGCCATTATTTTAAATAATATTCTTAATTCCTGGGTTTGAAAGGTGTAGTATTAAGTAATTATGAAGTGCTTCTTGTCTTGTAATTGTTGTTGAACGTGAGATATTTGTAGGTATGGAATCAACGGAAAGAGAGCTGAGAAGACAAGGACATTACTAAGAGGTACCTACATAATCTAAACCCTAGTAGCGTTTGGTCTATACCTACCTAGGTACATAATATAGGATTTCTGACTGCAGGTGCTTACCTGCACGTACATGCTGTGTGACGAGATGGATCTTATTTAGCTAAAGTAGGTACATACATACATTTTGTTGATTCTTAGAGAAGGAGTCCAATAGGCCATCCTTCCTTTTCATCAGTCATTATGTACCTCGGTACCTAAGTAAGTAAGGTGGCACTGAATCGAAATCGGAATCTTGGATGTAATAACTTTAGGTTAACACATTCCACCTGTTATTGCGATTTCAATTTTTCTTCACTCTTCACTTATACATATACCCCGCAACATCGTGTCCATCTACGGTGGACTATTAGTCCAACTATGCCAAAATCAAAAAAGTCAGTCGCACTATATCAAATAAGGTAATAATAACATTAAGATTATAGTATAAGTTCGGTTACTTCTACTATATACACAACTTATAAGGTAATACATACCTTTTATATGGAAATAATTTTACTAATATATATTCGAATTATTTAAAATTGGTATTAATATTTTTATTAAAAAAAAACAAAAATTTTAGCTTAGGTTTTATATAACTTAACCTTAAATTTGTAAAAATATTAAAAATATAAGCATTATTTAATATATTGCAAATTACTTTCCTTTTCTTTACAAATAAATAGAAATAATAACCTAAGATTTAACTTTTATTTTAACTTTAAATATATATAAATACGTAAATATATAAGATATAACTTATATATTACAATAATTTTACGAAAATATTATTTTAAAAATTATAATTAATATTATTTTATAGCTTTAATTAATGTAAAAATAATGATTTAAATATATTTTTTTTTTTAATTTAAAATATTATATTAATATTAAATATATATTATATAAAAATGTAAAAAAATTAATATATAATATTTTTTAAAACCACCACTTTAATAAATAAATAAATATTTTAATAATAAATAAACTATTTAATACGTATCTTATAAATATACAAATGAAATCATTATTTTTACATTAATTAAAGTTATAAAATAATATTAATTATAATATTTAAAACGTTATATTTATAAAATTATTCAAATATATATTGTATTATATATATATATATAATATAAATAATAATAAATAATATAATAATTTTTATATTTCAAGTATTTCGGGATATTATATACCTAACGTTATTTATTAAATTACCCTTTTTGAATAGCTCCTATCCATTTTCTTGATTTTGGCACAGTTGGACTAATAGTCCACCGTACCATCCCTGGAAATCCGTTGCGGGCAGAATGTAACGCCAGATCAGGATAGGGGCCCGGCCTACAATACGACTTAATACCAATAGCCATGGACTGCCATAGACTAGATACCCAGGACCCATTCAAGATGGCACATTGCAAAGATCCGGCTATTTACCTTCACAGACTTCTTTTCGCGAACCCCGAACTGAGTTGTGATGAATCATCCACTGATGCATCATGTTTCGCTTCAGTAGTGAGCTTCTCATCGTCGCCTTCGCTTGGCTCTTCTGCTACGTCGCAGGTCAAAGCGATAATCTAGGCCTCAAGAATGGTTATATCACGATTAAAACTGCCAATTTTAATGCTAAGATTGTTCGCGATGCTCAAGTACTCGCGTCGCTGAGTCCGACAGGAAATTCATTTGACTTCCTGCCCTTCGACTTAATTTCGGCTCGGGCTGGAAATGGCCAATATCATTGGGGTGATATTACATACCGTTATCGCGAAGATAATGATGGTCCGTGGATCGACGGCGACTCTGCCGCTTCCCGGAAGGTCGTCACCACTTACAAGGTCGGGACAGGTGTCCTAGCTTCTTCAAATCTGGCACCGACACTTCCCGGCGGGGGACCTTTGAATGTAACTCGCGAATGGATCGATGTCTCTGGTGATCTGGGTCTACGTTTCACAATCGAGAACTCGGGAGCGTCTCCTGTTGAGATAGGCAGTTTGGGGTTTCCTGCAGAGTTCAACAGCATTTTTACAAATCGTGCCGCAGGCGATACGCAGCGTCTGTGTTCACTATCCGACCCATATGTCGGCATGCATGCGGGTTACATCCGCGTCAGCCCCGTTCGCGGAACCGGCGCCGCGCTTGTCGTGACACCACTTGGGGATACTCCGTTGGAAGCATACCGCAATCTAGCCGAGCCTTCCTATCAGGCCACAGCCTACGGCAGCCAGACTTTCGAGGGCTTCTATGAGTGGCAAGTCCTTAGCCGCGCATGGGCTGAGAAAGAATGGGCAGGTGTGCAATCATGGAATGCGCCTTCGTCAAAAATCCTCCAACCTGGCCAAACACTACAGTTTGGAGTACGCTTTTCTGTGGCTAAAGGTGGCGTCCGTGATATTGATGAGACTGTGCGAAAAACCGGCACCCCCGTAGCTTATGGTGTTCCTGGGTACATCATCCCGAGAGGATCAACGTCGCAACTTTTCTTGAGCGCCGGATCGAATCCGATATCCTTTTCCAGCGAGCCCGTAGAGTCCTTAGCCTTCAGCCAGCTCCCATCGGGCTCATACGGTATAACCCCTTCTCCAACCTTTTGGGGCCGCTCAAGGCTCACTATTGACTATGAGGATGGAAAGACCCAAACGATACATTACTACGTCACTAAGTCTGGCACCGAAGCTATTGGAGATTTAGGACGGTTCCTTGCAACGAAGCAGTGGTTTAATGACACATCAGACCCTTTTGGCCGTGCGCCTTCGGTTATGAGTTATGATTATGAGACCAGTTCTATCGTAACTCAAGACCCGCGTGTCTGGATCGCCGGACTCAGTGACGAAGGAGGCGTAGGCGCATACCTCGCTGCGATGGCGAAGCAGGTTATCCAGCCGGACCCTGACGAGTTATCAAAGCTCGAGATGTTCATTGACAAGGTTCTCTGGGGCACTATCCAGACGAAAGACTTTAGTGTCCGAAAGAGTGTATTCTACTACGAGCCCTCAGTCGTCCCAAAATACACTTATAATTCCGCTTTCGATTGGTCTAGCTGGACGTCGTGGAAAAAGGACGACGCCTACGCAATTGATCGGGCCTATGACTACGTTCATGTTGCAGCAGCATACTGGTCTTTATACCGTGTGGCACGGGCCTACCCTGGACTAGTAAAGAGCCATGACTGGAAATGGTATATCAACCAGGCTTATAGTACCGTTATACGCGGGATGCAGTCCGACGTTGTATATAATGATCTTGGACTAATGGGCGAGACAATATTCGGGGAGATCCTTACCGATCTTACTCGGGAAGGGCTAACTACGCAGGTCAACACGCTCACTAAAGCTATGAGATCAAGGGCTACACAATGGAATTCTGAAGAAGTTCCTTACGGAAGCGAAATGGCCTGGGACTCCACTGGTCAAGAAGGGGTATACTACTGGGCCAAGTGAGCGATTTCTCTCGATATTTATAACGATTTAACCTAAGATCTCTACTAATAGAAGTTACCAGATATTTCGGCTTCTCAAATACAGTAACAAAGACAGTAAATAGCGTTCTGGGTTATATGCCCACGGTCCCCCACTGGGGATGGAATGGGAACGCTCGTAGGTACTGGGATAATATCTACGGTGGCAAACTCAAGCGCATAGAGCGGCAAATCCACCATTACGGATCAGGCCTCAACTCTCTGGTTCTCCTCTCGGCCTTCCGCAGCAATCCCTCAGATACGTACCTCCTTCAAGTCGGCTACGGTGGCGCCAGTGGACCCCTATCCAACATCAACGAAGCTGGATTCGCGTCTGCGTCCTTCCACTCCTGGCCGGATACCTTGAAGTGGGACGGTTACAGCGGAGACTACGGCCCCGGGTTTCTAGGTTTGGTTCTCGGCTCTGGCACGTACGTCGCGCAGCACGCCAGCTTCGGACTTCTCGCGTACGGCGGCGTGCTTTCTAGCACCGATAACAAGGTCAATGTGCAGATTAACGGCCCTGTGACCCGACGTATCTTCATTGGGCCACTAGGTGTGACGATTAATGCGGATGCGGGTAGTATAAGCAGTTTCAGCTACGCAAGCTCCTCGGGTGCTATTTCCGTCGTACTAACACAGCTTTCCGGTGCACCGAAGGCGGCCGCCGCGGTTCTGTGGGTCGATAAGAGTGGAGACTCGGCCTCCTACCGCGTATCGAGCCCAGAGGCGACTCGTGAGCGATCGGGGTGGCGGATCCCGCTGACAGCTAGTGGTAATGTAGTTGTTGAGTTAACGAGGAGCTAGGTGAGGAGTATGTGCTGTGTGTTTGATATATATATATATATAGGTGCCTAATAAATATTTACTTTGATCTCTTTAATTTGACCGTTGAAGAGCAATTTCAGCGGATTTGTAAGACCGTGTTAAAGAGTTAATGACACTATTCAGGTATACCGGAGTTGCCTTATTGTAGTGTGGGAAGAATTGTAGGGGCATGTCATTGTTACGTTGCTACAATGACACGGTTTTAACTTTTAATTGCATTGTAAAATAAGGGATGTACATTTTTCAACAGATACATAGCTTAGTGATTCTCGGGCTTGCCACTCCAATACTTACCTTACTACAATTTATCACGTATGCGGTCAAGACACGGTCTAGGTACGATTATATGTAGGTACTCAGTTCGATACACGGATCGATTCATCCACGTCTATGAACAACGCCTTTTCTTTTTGCGTCTAACGTACAGTGGTATCAGTCAGCCGTGCTCGCCCATTTTGTTCACTCATTTATTCCTCTGCACCCTCTGGCCCCGGACCTTGTCGGCCCATCTGGCGCGCCTTGAGCATTTCGTCGCAAAGTAGAAGATTAGACGCGATACTTGATGAAGAGGCTACGCAGTTCCTCAGTACCCTGAATGAATCGTAGACACCCTCCAAAGTAGGGTCCATGGGCTGGCCAAGCACTAGATCCAATCCGACAATGTTGCCATCTGCGTGCTCGTCTTGGAGCGAAGCAACTATACCAGGGTTAGTATAGATAAACTTAATTATAAAGGGTAAGCGTAATACATACGTGCGTCTTGGATATCGTGACCCGCATTCGCAGCAAGCGTCTTGGGAATGATTAGGAGCGCATCTGCGAATGCGTCAACACCCCACTTGGCCTTGCCCTTAACCGTCTTCTTGAAGGCATCGCTCTTCAGGTGGGCGGCACAAGCGACCTGGTAGGCACCGCCGCCGGGAACGACGCTCTTGTCCACGATCATATTGTACACGCTTCGTAGGCCGTCCCGAACTGCGTCCGTAATCTGTGTGATGGTGTGGGCATTGGGGCCCTTGATCATTAGCGTTACGGATTTGGGATCCTTCACCTCCTCAATGAAGGTGTATTTCTCCTCGCCCAGCTGCTGTTCATATACTAAGCCAGCCCAGCCGAGCACATCAGGGGACAAATCTTCCACACTGTTCTGCGCGACACCGCCGCAGATAAGCTGTAATCTCTCCATGTTCCTTCTCTTAGCTCTTCGCAGAGCAAAAATGCCGTTCTTTGCCAGGACATCTAAGGAAAGCGGGTCGATACCCTTCTGGTTCACGATGACGAAGCTCTTCTTGGGGTCGTTTCCGCAAACCTCCTTCTTCAAATCCACGATCTTCTTGAGCTTGGCATCGACGAATCGGCGTTCGCTCTCGACTAGCTTGTCGCGCTGTTCCGCGCTAGAATAGAAGAAACTCGAGTTGATTTCCGACTTCTCGTACTCCAAGCTAACATTCATAGTTAGGATGAACGCATTTTCCAGTCTCTTGGGCATATCAGGATGTCTGGCACCATGGTCCAAGGCTAGACCGCGGATGAGTTGGGTATCTGAAGCGGTGCGGTGCTGCATCTTCATGATTTCCACCATGTGTAGATCTGGCTTCGCAGGTGCTTCGTAAATGGCGAGGACAGCATCGACGATATCGGGGGTCAGCTTCTTAGCAAGGCTCGCGTTGAGTTTGGTAGATAGAGATGTCCGAGCGACGGAGAGGAGGAGTTCCCTATCAACTTCTTTCGGGAGCTTGAAGGAGTCCAAAAACTATAACAACAATTAAGTATACGGAATGTGCAGAATGAATATAGTAGCAAACCTTTAACGCCTCATTTTTGGCGATCTCAAAACCCTCTGTTATGATTCGAGGATGTAATCCTTCGGCAATATATCTGTCTGCTTGCTTTAGAAGTTCTCCCACCAACAAGACTACTGATGTCGTTCCATCTCCGCAGATATCATCTTGCGCAGTCGCGGCTCGAGCAATCATAACTGCGGTCGGGTTCTGTATTTGCATTTCCCTTAATAGGACGTTTCCATCCTTTGTCAGTTTGATCTAATCGGTAAGGGTCAGCTTGGTGTCGTATATTTTATATGGAGTGTCAAGACAGCTCGTACCTGTCCAGAACCATCGACAAGCCTAGCATAAAATGTTAGTATTTAGTTTTCAAATTAAATAATAATTGTTCATACATCTTAATAGTTCCTAGAGGACCCAAGTTGGACTTGAGAACATCTTGTAGACCTTCACCCGCACTGATGTTGACTCGAAGAGCTTCACCCCGCCGCTTGCCTAGAAGTCAATATAATATCTAGGAACTTTGGTTGACAAAACGTACCCGAGATTCGGCCTTGGGATTAAGAAGTTGAGCAGCAGACATTTTTACCCGACGTAATAGAACTTGCTGTATAAAAGTGCCGTGTTCAGGTAGAAATTTGTGGTTATCGTCGTCGTCGAGGGGCACACAGCGTTATTGGGAGATGAGAGCTTGAAGCGGGTCAAGAAAGCACCGACAACTTTTTTTTCTTGTATGGAATAGCCTTATTTTCTTAGTACAAGGTACATGGGCACGCCTAGGTAATATGAAATAATTCAATTTTATGGCAGCCTTGCCCCACGTAATACGTAGATACATGTAGTACCCACTGTAACCCACATACAGGTGGGGTTATTGTACATAGGTACCTCCTAGCTGAGACCTCGCAGGCTGTCATAACCCTTTTCCAAATACATATCATAATACACGATATCATTCTATCCGTTTCTTCCTCAATTCCCTTTCAAGGCAGTAAGGGGAACTTTTCATATAAATTCCTCATCCGAATACCTGATTCAACTCAACGCACCGTGAAGATTATTAAACATTAATCGTTGAGGAAACCACTGCATCTCCAATCTTAAATATGAAACCCTGGTCGACAGCATTCATTCGGCTTTAGTCCAACACCCTTATCCCCCTTACTCGTCCTGTATACATAGAAGCCGGTATCACTTGGCTGTGTTGCTAAGAGGTAGGTACCCAATCTTAGCCAAACTGAGAACTACGGCCATCATAGATATCGTATGCCAGAACCATACCTCGACGGTTAGAAATGACCTCCAGTCCATCATAACCTCTTCTATTGTTCCAGTGATGTGGCCCATCTAGAGCTTGATCTGGGACCGGTGTAGGTGTTCTGTCGAAAACAATAACCGGTCGAATCTCGGGCATCTGATCAATTAGTTTGCGTATGGTATGGTGGTCTCTGTCCAATGCTCGTCGTCGGCCCTGGAAGCCGAATTCGATGTCGGTAAATAGTTCCGACACATATTGTTCTTCCCTAGATACTCTCGACTGAGAGAAAAGCCACTGCTCCTCAAACAAGAACTTAAGGTCGCGATTCCATTCGGTGTGGAGGCGTTTCAGTAAACACGAGGGGCGTCTGTGAGGCACATTCTGTAGAAACTCCATCCTATCTTTATAACGTCTTCGGAGGGCATTGAAAATAGGACGTAGCATTGTAATGAGCCTCTTATCATCTAATCCCACGACGCCAACAAGGCCTCCCTCGCCGAAGGCATCATGCTCTTTATCCCAGCCGACACCGGTGCACTTGATAGTCAACATGGCAAGATCGATGGCATGAACACCTTCGAAATATCCTGACTGTATAGCCCACTTAAAGGCTTTGCTTGGCAGCCTGCCGCGATATTGGTCTTCAATTGTTTCGAGAACGTTGAGGATCACGGTAGCGCCATCCATGCACTTTTTCCATCCATGCCATCCCTTGAAGACGTGAATGCTTGGGATGTAAATTGAATCCCGTCTGCGGTCAAACCATTCGCAGTGGAGTGGCTCGTCAAAGCCACAGAATCGCAAGCCTATGCCCCATTTCGAGACGACTCTCTTAGATTCGCGGCAAGCCAAAGATAGTTCTGGAATGCCGAACGAAGGATAACTGATGATGTAATCGTTGAAATAGTCAAGCTGTGAGTGGAGGTAGATAACTTTGCCTTCTGGCACTATAATAACAAAAGTTAGTAATAATTTCATTCAATAAATAGCCCTTTAGGATCTTTTATCTGCGTGGTTTATAAGGGGTATGCTTAAGAAGAAAGTATCGGTAAAAATAGGAGATTAAAGGGGAAGTTAAACTCAATGTTAGATACGTACTAGCCATTTCCCAAATCATCTCGCGGATTTCACAAGGGAAAAGAGGGAAGAGATGGAAAGAATCGTGTATTTTTCGTTGCTCCTCCTCTACGCGTCTTTTTTCTATAACCCATCGGGGAGTTATCATTGGTGTGGCATCTGGGAGTACCATCTGCTGGCGAAGTGGATTGTATAAAAAGGCACTTTCAGGCGAAAAGTTTCGCTCGTTAGAATACGTTCCATCAGCATTCTTTTGGGGCCTGTTGCCAATGATTACAGCCTTTGGCTTTTTGTTTAGACGCATACGGCGTGAAGGGGCCATCCTATACGGTAGAAATAGTATCGGTTAGCTAACGGTATAGTCCCTCTTGTGTTTTGTGAACAACCATTTCAAGCCTAACAATGTAGCATAGATGAGACTTACTTGTTAAGTTCGGGGGAAGTAGAAAACAGTATTGTTAGTGATGGAAGGCGCCGATAAAGATAAACTTGTGAGAGGTTGGTTAAATCGGAATCAGTAATATAAGCCGTTGTATAGGTTTTTGAAAGGCCCTAATGACAACTATTCAAGGTAGATGAATGGCCGACAAAGATTTAGCACTCGTCGAAGGCAGGGAGTGCTGGAAGTGTTTGAGTTGCTGCTATAGAGATGAACGACGTTAAGTACGTGAATGAACCAAGCACCCAGTACCCAGCCCCCAGCAGAGTCTACACCTAAGGTGTCTAGATCTAAAGGGTCTGGGTAATAAATAGTAAATCACGAAGAAAGGAGTGTGAAGATTTGCAGTTGATTTAGGTAGCTTTGCTCTCAAGCAAAATATTCATGGGGAAGGAGATTTTTGTGCCAGATTTGACGAAGGAGTTCGCGTTGCCGGTTCGTGATGCCACTTCGCGTTGCCGGTGGATAGCACGACTTACGTACCTACCTCACATCTTGTAATTGATGTCAATCAAATACAGGTGGATAAGTACCTAGGTATTTTTTTCAACAATCCGCCAGGCGGGCCGACAACAATTTGGTTGACTACGTGATGCCGCTAGATGGAGATGTGTTTTCGTCGTCAAGTTCAAATTTTACCTGCCATTTTTCATAATGACGGAAGCGACGATCTACTCATTCTGTTATATACACCTCCAGGACAGATTAATACTAATATTTATAGTTACCTTCTAATCCTTTTTTTTTCTAGTTTTATGCAAAGCTGTGTTTATAGTTATTGAAAGGCAGGAAGGTTTGGAAATATTCATATAGAAATACTTAGGAGTAGATCATATAATAGGAGGTAATGAGCATAGTAATTTTTATAGGGATATGTAATACTCCTAATTGGAAACTATCTAAAGGATGACTGAAGAAGGTGAAGAACAGTATCACACGATAATTCAAAACCTCCCAATGGACTTTTATAGTTGACTATCTACCTAGAATATAAACTGGCAAATTTGCTATAGTTTGTACAGAGTCTATCTATGATCAGTGCAGTGACTGTAACACTTTTTTTCTTCTCAAATAATATGATTGCTTAGATGTATTACTCAAAGTACTTCATTCAATGCAAACGTGGAGCTTAAAGCACTAGCAACGTTAGAAAAGATAAATCTAGCATCTAAAATATCGCATTGTTTTCGCATCTATTACACCAATAATTTGGAAAAGGGGTAGCAAATTATTTAAACTCTAGTTTTCGTTATGCGCGTTTATAAATAATTTCGTATATTGTAATATCGCGATAAGAGAACTTTCTCCAGCCACAATGATGGCAATATGGCTCGTGCGTTCAACATCGTGGATAGTGGATGCCTACACCTTCACCGTCTGATCTATCAGTCGATATCTCCATCATCATAAATATGTCAACCAAATAAGAAGTTAAAATGCATTTTACATGTTCATATTATTTGGCGTGTTTATTAACACCATTCACTCTTGCTACTAGCGCCGGTGTTGTTGACAATCAACATGTAAAGCAAGTTGCAATCATAGGTAAGTTGAAATTAGGCAGTTATTTCATTGCCTACCTGTTATTTGATAAGGAGTCCCAATATCAACATTGAATCTAGCAAATTTAGCTTAATCACCTGCGATTATTTAACCTAAAATCAGCCATTGATATTATTCCCGGGATACTGTTTTATCAAATGATTAATTTCATATTACTTGTTACTGACATACTTCTTAGGTGCTGGCGCTGCCGGCTCCTCCGCGGCTTATCACTTGCATAAATATGCTCAGCAGGAAGGTATCGACGTCAATATCACAATCTTTGAGAAAACCAACCACATCGGTGGCCGTACTCTCACAGTAAATGTTTACGATGACCCTCTTAGTCCAGTCGAGCTGGGAGCCTCCATATTTGTCGAGGTGAACCACATCCTCTACAACGCTACTAGGGACTTCAACCTACTTGTTACCGAGCCAGGCACTGATGAAAAGGGGCTACTTGGTATCTGGGATGGCAAGCAATTCGTATACACGCAGGACTCGGAATCATGGGGATGGTGGAACCTTGCCAAGCTCTTCTGGAAATACGGGACCGCCCCGTACTACACTCATCGGCTTGTTCAAGAAACCGTAGGATCTTTTTTGAAGCTTTACCAATCGCCCTACTTCCCCTTTAGATCTCTCTCAACCAGGGCGTATGAGCTTGGCCTTGTGCAGATAACGGGCTTGACTGGGAAACAGTTTCTAGAAGAAAATAAGCTCGATGGACCGTTTGCTCATGATATTGTGCAAGCAAGTACCCGTGTGAACTATGCCTCGAATCTACAGTATATACACGGCCTAGGCACTATGGTTAGTTCTCATAACTAAGGTACTCTCAGTAACTTAGACAAGACTAATATTCGAGTTTAGGTTGCGATGGCCCCTGAAGGAGCAGTAGCTGTTGCTGGTGGCAATTGGCAGATATTCTCTAACATGGTGGCGGATTCTAAAGCTCACATCTCCCTGAACTCAACTGTGACTGGGATCACCAAGGAAAAGAGTAATGATTCTGGTTCAGTGCCATCGAAATACAGAATACAGACTGCAACGACCAGTGCTACCAACGATGAGGCAGAAACATACCCAGTTGCCTTTGATGATGTTGTCATCGCAACCCCGTACCAATTCAGCGGGATTAGTCACGATGACAATGTCATGCCCCACCCCGTGGACTCGATCCCGTATGTCGAGCTGCATGTGACGCTCTTCGCATCTCCTTACAAGTTTAGCGCAGAGTTCTTCAACCTCGAGCCTGCTTCCACAGTACCCATCTCTGTGCTCACGACGTTAGGTGAAGATGACGAAGCCAAGCCTGGACCAGAAGGAGTTGGCAGCGCTGGTTTCTTCTCCGCGACTTTGGTAAAGGTGGTCACAAACCCTAAGACGCACAGTGCCGAGTATGTGTATAAGATCTTCTCGCCTCATAAAGTGACACCCGAATTCTTGTCCCGATTGTTAGGCGTTCAGGTTCCGGATACATTCACTCGACCTGCCGATGCCGAGGAAGAGGATACTAGGGAGGGCGCAACGACTGTTCTCGATCCCATCTCGTGGTACCACCCCACCATCTTCCATCCTTACCCCCAGAAATACCCCCGCGTCACGTTCCAAGACCCCATTTTGGGAGATGGGCTGTACTACACGTCAGGCATCGAGAGCTTTATCTCGACCATGGAGACGAGCGCGCTAATGGGCATGAACGTCGCGCGACTTATTGCTGATGACTACCTGAGTAAATTACGCGTTGTTGATAATGAGGAAGAGCACCCCCAGAAAGTCTTGTCTGAGTGGCAGAATGAGACTGCGGCAGGACACGACCTGCCCGTCGAAGACGCGGAGGAGCTTTAGGGAATACCTCTTTTGAATATCATATTATAGCAAATTGAGTAATGAAATTTCTGTTATAACTTGTCTATCCATTTAGTTACACAATATCTTCTCTCCTCCCACTCCTCCCGTGAAGTCTATTCAAAATCCGTCTGAAGAGGGGTTGCCCAATTGATTTATTTGGTTGTTGAGAAGAATCGCCACTGGAATCACCGTTTTCATGACCGTTAGTATGGCCATTTCCCTGTACCCTCTCAGGTAGTGAACCATTCGAACTGTTCCCATTCTCAGCACCTCCTTGGTTGACTTCAGCGCGATTCTCTTCTTCCTGCCGTTTTTCAGATTTTCTTCTTAGGTGAGCTGCCCTGGCCTTGCTTTTTACACGATTAGCGAAGACATTCGCCTCATGGTGGAATTTCTTGCTTGGCCAGATAGTATCACGCCAGCGGGTATATATGCCAGAATCCACTATCAGTGTAGTTATAAATCTCTTCCACACGTAAAATAGGCTAGCACGAATCCATCCGCCGAAAGCAAGCAGCAAACTTAGGATAATGACTGCGGCTGAGATGGTGACTTGAGTATTTCGATAATATGTCAGTTATATATAGTTGCAGCAGGAATATCGTCTTACACATGTACAGGAACTCCCGATGTATGGACCAAGTTTCACTGGTAATCTCCATATTATTCATACCAAAGACGCTAGACATGAACGACAGGGGAAGCTGAAGATCCAAGGTTATTAGCACCTGTGAAAGCACATGGGGCCGGTTCAACTTACAAAAATGATTGTCACGAGTGTAAACATCATGATCGATTGGCTCTGCTTAATCGTCTCGTTTGATTGTCTAACAGCTTGCCACGCCTGGACGACACTGGCCTGTTGCTGTTTTAATTCCAATAAATCCTTGACCTAGAGTTTAAATTAGCCCGAATGCCTTTGTGTGAATGGTTATTATAGAGGATGCTGGGGGTCCGATTCTTACACTATCGGCTGTACGGCCAGCAATTTTTCGTAACTCTTCAAGTTCATCGATCCGCCCCTTGATAGTTTCCAAGAGCTCATCAGCATTGAGCTTGAACCAGTTGTAGTCATCTCGCCTTTTCTCGAACGCAGATTTTTCACTTTTTTCATCAGCTGGAACTTCTCCTTCTTTTTCATGCTTAGCAAGACTTTCTCCTTCTTCTTTATACTCGGCGAGACTTTGGGCGATCTTGTTCGTTTTTCCTCTTGAAGTATTGCTTATCATCTCCCGCTTCTTATTTTCGCCAAATTTTCCAAAGGGATCGAGCAAGTTTTCCGCACTGGAAGTAAATGCTAAAAGCATTTTCTCGTGGACCTTTGTTATGTGTATCATGATATCCAACTCTTCCACTATGTCCTTAATCTCCCGCTCAAGCTGCCCTTCAGGATGAATATCAAGAAGCGTGACGTGAAGCTCTGAAGCATCCCCATTCCCGTTGGATTTGTAGATATCACTGGCATTATCAGCCCAGCGCCAGAGTCTTTCAAAAGCTACGGTTTGCTTGTGCATCTATTTGTGTCTGTTAAAACTGATAGGATTCATATTTCGGCTGCAACACTCACAATATTCCCAATAGCTTTAGAGAAAGCATCAATGACTTGTGGCTGCCGACTTGTCGTTCTTGCTCGATTGAATAATGTGTTGATGCATTCATCAATAATAATTAAGCCAAGATCAAAAGCGGTACGAATCTGGTCGTGACCAATCTCCTGGATGCGTACTCTTATCGACTTGTGAACGGCTGAACTATCCTGCTTATTCGAACCGTATCGTTTCGGAAAGCAGGTAATAATCGTCTTTGCATCCAGAACCCACATCCACAACTGGTCCACCATGATAACACGAGATAGCTTTTGAATATTCCTTTTGCATTCTTCACATGTCCCCTTGATGTGGAAATCCTCGTGTTCTTGCCATGTCTTAGTACCCGGATCATATTTATGGAATTTGTCAGGTTCTGTAGTCGTATGTCTGTATACAACTTGATCTCTATCCCTTTCCCATGTTGAGTTGAGTGTCCAGTGGTAGGCTTGATCGAGAGTACGCCGAGGATGAAGAGGGGGGTCTTTAGAAATATATTCGCGGAGCAGTTTCTTATCCCGATAGTTTGACATCCCTTCATATAGTCTGGCAGCGTCAAGGAGGAACTGACCTAAACGATTCTTGATCAGAAATCGACCATTGTCATCTACTTCATGTAGACTCTTGATTTTATTTCGTTCCCTCATCAACTTCAATAGTCTGCTCATAGTTGCTACCTTTATCCTAGACCTTTGTAGTTTTTTCTGTGTCTGTGTCTGTGTCTGTTTCTGTGTCTGTGTCTGTGTCTGTGTTGGTGTGGGTGTTGGTTTCGTTTCTGGAGTATTTGAACTTTCATCTCTCTTAAGCTTTTCTTCTGCAATACTATCCTCAATTTCCACCGAGAACTGCTCATTCTTTCTTGATGTATCCCAGTGGAGGTATGGCATCTTTGTTTAATTTCTCTTAGTTTGGAGCATTCTCATGTTATGAGGGAGGAGAAACTTACGAAAAGGACCATGTTCCTGTGAAAGTATTTAATATTTTCTGGGTCTGTAGGTAATACCATCAGCACGTGTCTGATCAGGACCAGATAGGAATGGCCCGGTTACCTGACGATATCGTTGTACACATCGGCTTCATGTGCCTTGCATGTGCCGGACTGTGAGGCTGACTGCCATGCATCTGTCCTCGCCAATATTGGTCCCGAAGAATCATATACGCTTTTGTCTTTTTCTTTCGTTCCAGCTCGCGATGTGTAGCATGGTAGTCTGGCCTTTGTTCGTCAAAGTAGTGTCCAATAGCTTGCTGCAAGTTATTAGCTGATATAGCTATTATATGATGAACGAAATATTTACTTCGACCCACTAGGTATAGGTAATAATCAGCAGAAAGCTCAGTTTATAGTACTTTAGAGTTTAACTTACATCCATATTGTTGGATGGAATGTGGAAATATCTTATTAACCTGCTAGATGAAGATTCATCGTGGCGTAGTAGGTTGTTTTCGTTGTTCAGCAAGTTCCCAAGCATTATTTTCTGGTTTGGAAATTTGTTCCATACATCATCGTTCTGTATATTATCAGGCCTTCCGTCATCAAATTGAATTATTGGTACGGTTATATCCTTCCCCAGATCATAGTCTTCTGTCCTGATCTCTACTGTCGGGGTAGAGACGATCTTTTTACCTTGGTCTTCTCGTTGCTTCTTGAACTTTTCAATATTTTTCTTATATTCAGAAGAGTTACGCCAAGTTGCCAGACTTTCCTCCAGCATTATTACTAAGTGCTTGTCTTTATCGTCCTGAGACAATTTTTTGCGAAGAAACCCGATACGTTTTAACTCATTTTTGCAGTCAGCTTCCCAAAACTCTCTCTTTTGCTTGGTAAGGCTTTGTGCTTCATCATAAGTATGACCGAGGACTTCCTGTTGGTGTTTGACCTCGTTTTTCCAGATCTCGGATTTTTCATTGAAAAAATCTTCTTGCTGACAAAATTCGATGCATCCTAAATAGTGAAGTAAATGATCTTTGATGTCGCAGCCATGTTCCTTAGAGCTTAGGCAAGTGGTTTTAGGAACAGCGCTTTCATTTGTATCGAGAGTAGGCATAATGTTTGAGTAGGGAATTGTAGGAATTAATCTGATATGTGGATACTGAAAAGGAGAAAAATGTAAAAGTTCAAAGGAAAGGGGGTTTTATATAAGCTTAAGTCATTGGGGAGGTCAAATCTACGATTCAGAGATGATATCATGCTAAGAACCTACTAGATAGATACGTTATACATTAGAGGCTCATCTCAACTATTGACGAAGAGTGAGCGGTCCATAAAATTTTTCAATAGCTTCCGCGATGTGCATTGTAGCCTCACCCCTACAAGAGCGGAACTGCGATACCTATTGTCTAATGGAAATATTAGTATAATAAGCAGTACAAACTACTACGTACGATCTCCTTAAGATGCATGAAGGATTATGGGCAGCTGCATAAACGAAGGCCGCGTTTTTGCACTTTGCGCTGACATGCATCGGAGTCTCCTTGAAGACCTGAATTGGTAGCCAATAAAATATTAGTTATAGATACACATAGCGAAGCCGAAGCAACAAGAAACGGAAATATGTGGGGGCTGTTCTCCAATATTAGGCAATAGGCTGTGTTCGTTGATGCGGCTGAAGGTGGTCATGGAGATTGGAGGCTCTATCGGGATATGAATCGGCGAATGGACTCGCGTAAGACATACATACATACCTTAGGTAGGTATGCAGATATGTGCTTAGCTAGACCCCCCTTGTCCGGGGAACACCTCCCAGCGGACATATACCCGGCTGAACTCCCCAGCCTGCCTTAGGGTGGAGGAAATATTCAGCAATGATGTGCTGCGTTATCATCAGCTGAAATCCCTTTTCGACCCCTGAAATGGCTATGCCAATTCGACAGTCCCACTGTTGTGAGGTGTCTTCAATTGACTTTGGGGTCAGGTTTCCTAGGAACCTTTTACATCAAGGACCTATGTTTCAAGAGCAATTCACTCGTTTTTTCATCGGAATTCCTTTATGTACCTAGGTACTTAAGGTAGTCTTTATTACGTGACACCTATGCACGAAAGCTGCGGCTGTTGAATTTCACTATTTTCGTCGTCAACGCCTAATCGTTTTCGACTTCGGTGTCGTTATATATCACATATCATATGCATCAGCTTGCTAAGAATACATCGTAACCGAGTTCTTAAACCCCCAAGTCAAATCAATCGTATCGTTACCCACTATATTCTTGTATAGTGAGAAAAGGGGGTTAGGTAGACAGTTGCCCCTTACCACCCTATCCCTTCTTTTCTCTTCATTAAGGCATCATAATTTGTGGCAATTGTTGTGTATGAATTGATTTTCTGGGGCATGAAGTATGAACTAGAAAAACATTAATGCGAAATTTTTGCTCCTGCTTGACATACACTGCTTACTGCGCATCTACGAGGAGGTTAGATTGTCGACTAGCAAGGGTTTAACCCTCAACTCTGGTGATGAAGATCCTTCTGTGTGACGCATTTCGGCCAACTGATATCTGTTTTCTATCGCATCTCGCGTAATATTTGATCTTGATATGTAGTCCGTATGGTGGATTTCATGGGAAGCATTCCATGGGCTTGCCGACGATGATAGGGGCTTCGGCTGTTTCGTTCGCCATCTTCTAGGTATGAATCTCTCGTACATAATCTCTCTGAATGTTCGAGTAAGGCCAAATACTATCCATATTGCCAATCCAGGTGTTACACCATATATGTATCCGACAATGTTCGATCTGGCGCGTCCTGCGCTTAGGTCAGGCTGATCTGCTTGAGCGTCCTTGGCTACATCATCGCGCTGGGGCAGATGAGTGACTATACTTGCTACTATGAATGCACTTGTGACCATTGTAAGCAAAGCCTCTTAACTGGGAAATCGTCTGATATCGGGAAACTTACGATATGAGAACGATGGCAGTGAAGAGTCGGAACACCAACCAATTGCTATCGAATACCGATGGCAAGGTCCTAGTCACTTGGCCCCGACGTGGTCCAGAATTGCTCTCTGAGCTGGCAGAGTTTCTGAAAGGAAGACTCCATCTTCTAGAATGTTGCGAGACTGGTAAATACTTCCAGGAGAGTTTTGTCTGGACATATTTCCAAACGATAATGGATATGGCTATGATTCCAACTGCGCAACTCCCAACAGCTGTATAGAATCAGTCCATGAGTAGCCGAGGCAAGCCCCCCCCCTCCCCATATAAGAAAAGTGTACATACCTTGTACATTAGCTACGACCATGTAGACGAGGAAGCTGCTTTGAACTGCCGGTGTTTGAAGTAGCCCGATGGTGATGATGTCTAACACGAAAGGCACAATCCTACTGGCCACAGTGTAGAATCGCTCGGCAGATCGTCGTGTTCCCCAGTAACCGTAAATAGTCAAAACCATGTGGATTGAACTGGTTACAGCATTAGCATCGCCAGCATATTGAACGAAGCGTGGCTTCATACTATGTCATCAGGTAAGACGATTCTATGATGTAGCAGAATAGTCCTATTTGCATCGGTAAGTGAACTTGGAAGCAAGAAGAAGATTGGATATCGTCACATACGGATGATTGCTAGAGCTCTCATGAATCCGAAGTTGCCATTGTTGAAGATAACATCGGCATTCTCATAGTTCGCCTTGATATAGTAAAGCTGAGCCCACATAAGATCATTCCATAGGCTATGGAGATTAGTTACTACATTTACGTGGTAATTATCGGTCTTCATGAAAATCCTACATGTAATTGTATATCTGCTGCACGATGCTACTCATGGTACACAATAGGGCGAAGTACGCGATTAAGGCAACATCTTCATGGATGTTAGTTATCATGTGCACGGGTTTTCAGATGTCGATGGGAACACATAGATGAGCTTACAGCTTAGCCTTTCGTGACTGGTCCAGTAAAGCCATATGAGGAGAATATTGGTAAATAAGCAAATAAACGTGAACAACAGTACGCCTACAGCATCACCAACAGTCCCTTCTGGTAATTGAGGCATCTTGAATCGTCTCTTAGCCTGATGCGCTTGATAGTAAAATAGGGCTCATGGAGGTAAAATAGAAGAACTAATATCTGATGCCGTATTCTTAAGCCGAAGCCTTACGAATCGGTGGCATGATGATTGATTTGTTTCGCATACGATTGGAAGGGCTTTTCTTGGCGATTTCAATATGCGCCGTAATCACGGTAGCAAACACTTATGGCTGTTTGAGACTTACGAAGTACAGATAGGCTTGTAATTAAGCAGCTAACAGGCATTTTGCTTGCAGATAAGAAGCACCTTTTGCTAAGTTACCTAATTACGTCGCTCTCAGTAAAGGATTCATGTTCAATCTCATCAGTACATATTTATGAACGCGAATACACGACACCGCGCTCTAGTCACAATCCCTTTCATAAAGTTGACTTAATTTCCGAACTACTAGAAACACGGAATTCGGAGATTCTTTCTCTTAGATATATTCTATGTTATACTATCTCTACGATAAATCGGCGTAGGAGATGCACCAAAACGCCAAAACGCCGTCCGCGGGCGCCGAGCGGTGTCCGTCGGAGAGACATTTTAAAATGAGTCGCTAAAGGGGCACATCGTCATAATCCAATGGCTCCCATTTGGGGTAAATAAAACGGCGACGAAAGATGTGTCGTTTGATACTATCTTGGTGCGCCATTATATCCTTGATTTCGCGGTCGTCGTTGGAATCCATCAACTTAACGGACACGATCACGGTCGCGAAACCCCGCAGTCATGATCATGGACAGTCGTCTTAGTCTAATACAAAATACTGCATCGCGCCGACCCAGGAAAGGCGACGTTTGCATCGGAAATGAAACACCAAAGCTTCCCCTGGGAGCTCGGAATGGCCATGCGAGCTGGCCGATAGAGAAGAAGTATCATAAACGCAGAAAGTCTCGATCTCTCCTGCGTCGATCATGGACTTTGCCGCTGATGCTCACATTAGCGACCCTCTTTCTCTACGCTCTCAATCCGACGAACTCTAACGCTATCCATCACTTTCTCTTTCTATCTTACAAGGTAGACGATCTTAACGGCCCTGTACAGTACGGTAAAGGTCCGCGGGACCTCGCATTCGTGGGCTTCTATACCATACTCCTGTCCTTCGCCCGCGAATTCGTCATGCACGAGGTGTTACGTCCACTGGCTCGAAGTTTTGGAATCAAATCACGGGCGAAACAGTTGCGATTCATGGAACAGATGTATATAGTCTTCTATATCGCGTTCATGGGACCGTTTGGCATGTACTGCATGAAGCAGACTCCAGTGTGGTACTTCAACACGAGGGGCATGTACGAAGGCTTCCCGCATAAAACTCATAACGCGAATATTAAGTTTTATTACTTATTCCAAGCCGCTTTCTGGGTGCAACAGTCGATAGTCATGCTACTAGGCTTCGAACAGAGACGCAAGGACTTTAAGGAGCTCGTCGGTCATCATATTGTAACCATAGCCCTTATCGGCCTAAGCTACAGGTTTCACTTCACGTATATGGGCATTGCTGTCTACGTCACACACGATATTAGCGACTTCTTTTTAGCTGTGAGTGAACCAAGTCACTGTGGCTTTCTTTCGCATCCATTGAAGGGCTATCAAGAACATTTCAAACTAACTCATATGACCTTGTAGATATCTAAGTCGTTGAACTACATCAATAGCCCATATCAAGGACACTCGTTCGGCCTGTGTATAATTATATGGACTTATTTACGGCATTATATAAACCTCCGCATCATATACTCCCTCTTTAATGAATTCGGAACAATCGGGCCTTACAGATTTGACTGGGAAACAGAGCAGTACAAATCTCCGCTGTCAAATATCGTCACATTCATTCTACTCGCATCACTTCAGGCCCTGAACCTCTTCTGGCTCTACTGCCTTCTACGTAACGCTTACAGGTTCATCTTCTTGGGAATTGCGAAGGATGATCGGTCGGAGGATGAAGCGCCGGAAACTGATAACGTGGAACGCGAGAAGGATAACGTAGTTGATACTTTGGTGAGCCAGGGGAAACTTCCTTCCCTAAACAACAGCTCGATATCTACGTAGACGTTGGAGGATATTAACACAAAGTGTAAAGGTTGGACATCGATCCAAATATAATTATTAGAGATATAGAACTGCGTTATCATGGGCCGGCTACGGATGAACTGGGTACTAGATCTACGGTCTCCCGGCCTTTTAAGTACATAGCTGTACAGGCATTCTTAATAAAGAGGAAGTGGGTAATATCTTAACCGCATTCACAAAGAGCCATGTTGTACACAGCCACCACCACGTGTCTCGATACCTAAGTCTGCCTACACTGAAGCATATGCTGGCGTATACCTCTACTAATCAGAGGCCAGCTGTGCCGCACGAGGTGTCCATGGCAGCTACCTTAGATTTCCGAGTTCAACTTATACAGCCTACGAGTATTTCGGGGGCCGTTCTCAAGTCGACCTTCTACGAAAAGTCCAAAATGCTAGATTATGGGTAGTCACAGGTCTAATACATAACATCCAACTAACTTAGATACTAACACTATAGAGAAAGTACCACAATGCTAAGATATTTCTAAGTCCGTGAGCTAAGGTATCATTTCTAATAGGATCAACATTGACTTAACAATTTTGCCGATATTTGAATATGCCTTCCATCCTGACCGGAGGCTATGCCAGTCATACTACTCCCATGTCCTCGGCTTAAACAAGGCAGCCAGGTGCAGGTCGTCCGAAAAGGTCGGTCGGAATTATAACATGCGGGGGTTATCCCCGGAAGGATTGTGTAGCGCACGGAGGTTGTCCACTGCGGAGTTCGGCCGGGACGGACGAGGAAATACTTTGAGGCATCCAGCTACCCAATCGCTTTAGTATAAGTAAGTAGCTGTCCGATGTAGCATCAATCATGTGTTTACTGGCATATCTATCACACGTTCTGTTGAAATAGCATCCGAGGGTAATACAACATGAAGCCATCTACAGTGTTACTATCACTCCCTTGGGCCATATCGGTTGGAGCATCCCCTACCGGCCAACCGCATGCGCCACCCAAGTTCCAATGGACAGACCTTCCAGCTGTTGGCAATGGCGCCGCCATCCAGGAACACGGCACTACAGCGACCAATACTCATATCTACCTTCTAGGCGGCATTTCGCCTAACGCCAACGCCAGCATACCAGCGATCCAGTCAAGAGACACATTCGAGGCCTACTCGCTCGAAGAAGGCACATGGGAGACTCTAACCCCGATCCCGGAGGCTTTCACCCATATAAACGCCGCCGCCGTTAACGATAAAATCTACTTGCTCGGAGGTCTCACGGGTAATGGATCAGACATGGTATGGCGGTCTTCACGCGACTGTTTTGTCTACGACATCGTCGAACGCACATGGACGGCTCTACCCCCCATGCCGGAGGGACAGGGCCGTGGGGCCTCAGCTGTAGGAATATTAGGAAATACTGTGTACTTGGCTGGAGGGTTAGACCGGCTCGAAATTGGTGGCGACCAACTCACTCTTGATATAGTGAGCGCATACGATACCGAAAAGGGGACGTGGACAACGCTGCCAAGTATTCCCGCGCCGAGAGATCACGTCGGGGGAGCAGTCATAGGCCAGAAGTTCTACGTTGTTGGCGGTCGCGACCACGGGCAAGTGAACGTGCGTAACACGACTTGGTCTCTCGATCTCAGCGCGCCGTCAAAGGGATGGGTGGCCCATGCCGAAATGCCTACCGCCCGCGGTGGACTGGCGGTTGGTGTCATCGGCGACTACATTGCCACTTTTGGGGGCGAAGGCAATCCTGCGCCCGGGTCGAACGGCGTATACAACGAAACGGAAGTTTACAGCGTGAAGGACGACGTGTGGTTCAAGCAGCCGGCTATGCGACACCCGAGGCATGGCACGGCGGCGGCCTCGGTAAACGGTCGCATCTACATCCCGGGCGGTGGTATTGTCATGGGCTCGGGGCCGGTGGATACGTTTGATTCGTTTGAGCTGAGTCCCTGATAGGGTATCGAGGTTATGGAGAGGAGTAGGTGGATTTATTCGGCGAGAGATATATTCGAATATCAGTAGACACGCATAGAATTGAAGTTACTATATATTATCGAATCTTAGTGATCTCTCATATGGTGAGGCGTAAATACAATTCATGAAATGCTATGCATTTAATATAGATACTACATATAATTCTAATTTTCCTTAAGCAGAAAGGTTAAGTAAGTGAACTGTAACTAAATATTGTCTAGAACTAAGGGAAGTCTTCAGTTTTAAGGATGGTGAGATGGTACTTAAAACAACACGCTCTCAGGGGAGGGGTCAGTCATTCTTAAGACTGAATGTTACTAGCTCGGAATACTAGATAAAATATTAAAACTTCGGCGATATAGATATATGACTTAAAGGTTATAACCTCCTTTAACAATGGCTATTCCGATTCATTCTTAGCTGAAGCCAGTGATATAACCAGGTAGAGAAGCGGAATGTTGTGTAGGCTCGAAGTGTTCAGTTGATATAGTGGGGTGTGCTCATTAAGAGCATCATTTTTCACTCATAATTAACGATCCAAGACTTAATATTCCTATTATTTTGGCCTATTACTTCTTGACTAGTTCCTCCTTACTCAATCTCACACCACTAGGCTCTAAATCATAGAAATTTACTTCTCAATCTATCAATCGTAAGTTCCAATATCAGCCTAGGAAAACATGCCTTGTTCTCCCACTGGGCTAAGCCGGGCCTAGAACAGCCCTGCCAGCAATGAGGCAATTGTGGACATGGGGACAAGCAGCACCCTAACGGAAAACTACCTGGGGGTATGTAACTATTAGTTGACTTGGCATCCTCGTTATATCCGCACTAGTGTAAGCGAGAGTGACTTTCGCGATCGAGCAGAGACGACGTTCTAGCAAATTTTATTGTCCCTCACGATGTTCCTTTCGCTACGTTGAAAAACGAAATACTTAACCTAGTTGGTTTTACGGCGGTAACCATGGAGAAAGGAGCCGAACAGCGAGACGCGCCCGCCGCTCCGTTGCGGCATGTCGACACGGAGTCAGTCGGCGACAAGGATGTCGCTATCGCGATGGTCGGAGAGGAAGGACATACGGTTGATCCCGTCGTCGTCCAGCGCGCCGTCCGCAAGATCGATTGGTTTTTGATCCCAGCCATGACTGTTGGTTGTAAGTCTTGACCCTTTTATTCGATTCTCAGCAGCACATGGCTGACTTTCATATCAAGATGGGCTCGTATATTACGACAAGGTAACATCAATCATCTTCTATTTATTCCAGCAATCCCAGCACTTACACAGTTTTTAGGCTATTCTGGGATCTGCAGCCCTATTCGGCATGACGGCCGACTTGAAGCTCAGCGTCCCGGATCCGCGGCACCCACCCGCGGTTGACACGTCGCGGCTCAGCTGGGCAACGTCCATCTTTTATTTCGGCATGTTAGGAGGCCTTTACCCCATGTCATATGCTCTACAGCGCTTTGAAACAGGACGTGTCCTCGGAGGCGTTGTTGTGCTCTGGTCTTTGATCTGCATGCTCACTGCTGCGGTGACCTCTTATCAGGGGTTATATGCACAACGCTTCTTCCTGGGGTTTATCGAGAGTGTCATTCCTACGGGATTTATGTGCATCATCAGTGGGTATTATACGCAGCAAGAACAATCTCTGCGACAGAGCTGGTGGTTTTCCTCGACCGGGCTCTGGACGATTATTGGTGGCGCACTCAACTATGGATTTGCCCAGATAACAGGGGGTGGTCTACGCCGTTGGCAATACATCTACCTCCTAGCTGGATGTCTTACATTTATTTTCGGTTTATTCTGCTTTACCGTCCCGAGCTCTCCCGTCTCGGCATGGTTCTTGACTAAAGACGAGAGGTTCGCCGCAGTGGAGAGACTACGATACGGTCAAACTGGCGTTCGCTGCACCAAATTTAAATGGTCGCAACTGAGGGAAGCTGTGCTCGACATCAAGATATGGCTAATAGCTCTTATGATGGCCTCGGCTTATACTGTTAATGGTGCTGTCTCCGGCTTTGGTCCTCTAATTGTATCAACATTCGGTTGGAGTACTCTGGAGTCCATCGTCTTCCAATTTCCACTGGGGGGGTTATGCTTGATTGCAATTCTACTCACAGGCTGGCTTGGATCGCGTTACCCAAACATTCGCATATTGATGCTGATTGTATGCTGTCTTCCAGTCATAGCAGGTTGCGCGATTATCTGGAAGAGCCAGTGGACGTACCATGCTGCGGCGCCTGTGGTGGGTTATACAATTACAGGTACTTTTGGCGCTGTGGTAAGCTTGATTATCACGATCGGAATGTCCAACGTCGCCGGGCACACTAAGAAGAGCTTCACCTCGGCGACTATCTTCGTCGCATATTGTGTTGGTATGGATCCCTAGGTGACTAATTCTTTAGACCATGTATTCACTAGTATGTCAATAGGAAACATCATCGGACCACAGTTGATCAAGAGTCAGACTAAGGCGTCTCATTACCCTGAGTTATGGCTTGGGCTCATCATATGGTTAGTGTGCAACTTCTGATCTTCTCCTATTCTCCCCCCAAATCGCCTTCTAAATTTTCTGTCGCAGCTATTGCATCACCATCTTAGCTTCAGTAGCCCTCTTCGTAGTGCTCAGGCACGAGAACCGAAAAAAAGAATCCGCAATGGTTGAAGACGAAGCCGAGAGAGCAAAACTTGCGTTTCAAGATCTCACGGACAAGGAAAACCCGTATTTCAGATATGTCATGTAGGCTTGGAATGAAAATAGCTGATGAGTAGCGCAAAAACTAATCGAATCAATTTCCCAAAATTCCCTTCCTGCTATGTCTGTCTACTCCTAGCAAGTATCGCCATTAACATCTCCACCAATGATTCATCATCTGCGATGACTTTGGGTGTGAGCCAAATATACTTTTGAAGCGTGTGGAAAACTTTGATGATTTGACTTCTCCGCTCTCCTCGGAAACAGAGCCCAGACTCATGCGGCTACTTCTACGGCGTTTCACGGTATCGCTGATGGATTCGATGTCATGAACTATCGCTTCCTCTCGTGTTCCTAATTATTGCAGAGCTGTTAGTGAGCCTAGACCATTTACAAATAAACGAGGGAAATAGCGCATACGGATGTTACCAGCACCTCCTATTCCAAATGATCTGCGACGTTCATATCCTACCATGGCTAGTATACTTTAGCTAAGAGTGCGCGTCGTTGGGGATCAATTGAGGGATTATACATATAGATGTTCTGTGTGGAGTTGATGAGTAGTAGGTGAAAGTGTTGGAGTGGAGATTAAACCCTAGGTCTCCTTTGTTGTTTATAACGGGATAACGGCCGTTATAAATGTCGAGATGATGGTGTGTATTGATATTCCCGATGGCATGATGTCCTCTCGTCTCACTGGCGGCTTATTTCCCCTATTAAAGATAACTTAGCCGCCTTTCATTGGCTCCCCACGATTGACTCCAAGCTCGCATATCTAGAACAAGCATTTCATCTGGATCAATGTCGTCATGTTCCATAAAGCTTAAATGATTCGTGTGGTAATCGATCAACGTTGGAGATAGGAGCGCGGGGCGTTACTGGTTCCATGACACCAAATATCGCTGAATAATGAGATCACCTAACGGCTTTGAGTTACATAGTGTATTCCTAAAGGGACCGCCAATTCACAGCCGCATGATACGGGGAACTTAACCCGGCTGACTTAACCACAGGTGTATGGAATGGGGTACATTACCTGACCTAGGTATTTATTCCTTCCAGCGAATAATATTTAGGAGGAACTGGTTGCCTGATTGGTAAAAAGTACACACCGTCACGTTTGTCACTGCGGAAGACGAACCCCTAGGAATTCTCGAAGTAGTTGGAGCGACATTAAATAGATCCTTTCAATACGTCCGAAGTTAAACTCCGAGCCGAGCGTTATAGTCAATCTGCAAAGCGTAGGTAAGTTTCTGTAGGGGGTTGATGAATGGTTGGGCTTCGTCGTCTCTATTCCATACCATTCACTTAGACTTAATCATTCTCAATATTCCTAGGTATTCATATAGCAACCATCTATTGGGTATATCCTTGGGACGTCTCAGATATCTTAGAATAAGTATTAGTGTTTAGTCCCTCACATGTTACTCTCATTCATGGCTCATCTTGGGCAGTTCCAATAATATGATCGTGGCTTCGGCAGTGCTCCTAGAAGATCTGTATACCCCTTTTTGCGAACGTTTCATCACCCAATTTACTTACTTCTACGAAAATATTAACATTACGGAACCCAATTATATTCGAACCGGTGGTATATAATACTACAGCTTGTGAGAGTAAAATAGGGGGATAGGGGGATTATCTAACAACCAACTGCTTATTACTGCAAATCTGCCAAGTAAACAGTATAACAAACATTTGTTTTTAAATACTTTTATATAACTCCCTAATACACATTTGCATCACATTGACCTCAACACTTATAATGCATAGGTACCTAGGTACATAGGTACCTCACACCTAACCTGCCTCTAGGTGATTGGCTGCTTATTATAAAATGGATATGCTCGGATAAATTCGTATTGATGGATATCCGAATATGCTCTAATCAGAATACTATTAAATGCATACGACACTTTAACATATTGACAGCTTTGGGCTTTTGCGACTTGGTCAACATTAAATGTTAAGTCCTAGCAATAATCATGGCTATAAATGCGCCAACACCTTCCTACTCCCAGATACCTGATATCAGATTAGAGGACTACCTTGACGACAAGCTTCAATCCAGTACCGACTTCGAAAACCTCGACAACCTATTAGCAAGCGTAGAAGTTCAACGTAGCCAACTCCAGACTCAACTCGACGATGCGACCAGGGAACTTGAAGATGCTCGCCGTGCATCCCAGGACCACCAAGGGGGAGTGGCCCGGTCAATAAACGAGTTTAACGCGCTCCAGGAGAGCATCGATGTCCGCTTAAAGATAGTTGCCGAGTCTAGCGCACCTGACGAAGCCATCCGACGCCTCGAGCAACCTATGAAGCAACTACGCAAGGTCGAACTCGCTTATCAATACGTTTCGTTACTACACGATGTTGAGAACCTAAGGCTTGAGGCGCGATCTCATCTTCCGCAGAGTCCTAAAGCCGCATTACAATCCTACTCGAGGCTCAAGAAGCTAAGCATGCGGTTAAGGGAACTACAAGGAGCAGCAGATCAAGCCGCCACCCATCTCGTGAGCCATGTCGAGGGAACTACGGAGAATCTATGGGAAGATACGAAGAATACTATGTCTAAGGAGCTAGAAAATGTTCTCAAAGAGCGCAATTGGCCCCAAGGAATTGATACCGGTGCCGAGATGGACACTGAATGGCTACAATGCTTTGAGAAGCTCATCGATTTACAGGCGCCTGAGGTGGTCTACTCGAATAAAGTAGTTTCGCTATTGCCCTTTGAGGTGATGGCAAAGCCTTTTATCCTGTGGTTCCAATTCCAATTCATGGGTAACAACGCGACGAGTGGTCCCCAGTCATTTGGAACTTTCTGCGTGCCTCAGTTCCTAGCGCTAATCGATAAATGGGAGGGCTTCTTCCGAGACAATGTGGGCTACGTTCTGGCGTCCCGATTCCAAGATACTAAAGTGCATGGCCTGTCAGTTTATATGGATCCTGCCTGCGCCCTTATCACGGTGCTGCTCCCGGTGATGAGAGAGAAGATAGATACTCTGGTTCAACACGGCCTCAAGAACCCGCAATTTTTAAGCAGTCTCATGGTACAGCTGATGGATCTAGACGATGAGATACGATCAAGGTTTAACTATGACGGCGGTGATCCAGATCAGGGCTGGGCCGGTTTGACGTCGGAAGTCCTTAAACAACACTTTGACGATTGGTTCAAAGCAGAGAAGGATTTCGCTCTAGAGCGTTACCACGTCATTATGAACTCCCCCGATGCTCGAAATATCGATTATGATTATAGCGGTGCTGGCAAGATGAAGCCAACCTTTGGTGCAGTGAGAGTGACAGACCTGTTAAAGTCTGTCACGTCCCAATATGAGCGAGTCCGCAGGTTCTCCCATAAACTCCGATTCCTCATCGATATTCAACTTGAAATTCTGGATGACTATCACGACCGCTTCAAGGATTCATTGGACGCGTACTATACAATTACCTCCACTCTGGGTCGTACCCTACACGGCGTAACCAAGGAACAAGCCGCCGCATTAGAAGGCACCGGGGCATTTGAGACTCTCTGCAAGGTCTTGGGTAGTTCTGACCACATCATTGCTACTTTGAAGGACTGGAGTAATGAGGAGGTAAGTTTTGATTTTCAAGGTGCATTTATTGAGCCCCTTGCTGATTCTAGATAGTTTTTTGTATCCTTGTGGGAACAGCTCCAAATGAGAGCCAAACAGACTAATAGCGATGGTAACATTGCCACCGGAATGAGTTATGAAGATGTGAAAGATAAGACCTCAGCAGATATTAGCTCCGACAGTGACAGTGGCATCTTATTCGATGAAACCATCGCGGCATACGCTCGCCGCCGGAAGGCCGCCGAGGAATACCTAGTCGCAGCATTGATTGACTCTCACCAGAAAGCATTTCGCCCTTACTTCGCCAAGGCTCATTGGACTACAATTAGTGATGATACCCACTGTAAGTTCCATTATTCGAAACTCGCCGCGAGTCGGCATGCTAAATATTTCCAGTGGACACTTCCCAGCTTTCTGTAACTCCAGAGTTAGACGAACCTTTGAAGGTAAATATTTACCCTTGAATCATGAGTATCCATAGTCGCGTCTGACATTTCTCTAGATACTCAAACGAAATCTTACCTTCCTTACTTCTGCACTGAGCGCCGCCGTTTATCGTCGAGTATGGCGGGAGGCGTTGGAGAAACTACAGGATGCAATATGGACGACAGTGCTTATGGCACAGAGTTTTACAAGCGTCGGTGCAGCCCAGTTTGCAAGGGATCTAGAGGCTATCGCTTCTCTGATAGATCGTCACATCCCGGATGGTTCGATCGCGCTTAGTACACTACGAGATGGTACGAGGCTATTGAGCCTACCTCTAGAAGTCGCTGACGGGGCCATATCTCTGCAACAAGCGAGCGATCGTGCATTCACAGACAATGCCGAGGCCAAGAAACTTTTGGCTGAACTAGATATAGAATCCCTCACCCCGGCAAATGCCAGGAAGATTCTACAGAGGCGTGTCGAGACTAGCGAATAGATAAAATTTTGTCTGCCTTCTATAGGCCTCCAAATCTAGTTTAGATTACGCCCCAATGCCAGTCCAAGTGCGAAGTGTTGAATTGCTCCCAAATGAGATCTATCGTGATAAACCCCCCTATCTCACGCATCTTTGGTTGAAACCCAACGCCTTATCATATCACCTAAGCCCAGATTTTCTCAACCTCCTTGCCCTTAATTACCTACTAAAGTATTTCTTTTTAACTAAGAGCACGCATTGTCGCCTCCACCACGGCGAACGTACCCGCGCTAACCGGCATAGCCCTCAATAGCGTGGGACCAATGCCCTTCCAAAAGCCTCGCGCACCCTCGACCCTCCAGGTCTGCGAAAAGCAGTCCCGCATCGTCTTATACTTCATCTCGCTACCAAAACCATCGGTTTGCATCTTGCTCTTGACGACGTCGAAGGGATAACTAGCAAGCCAGAGTGCTTCACCGGCCAGACCACCGTACAGCGCAACCTTGTAACTGGGGATGTCGGCCCGCTCAACGCGGTTCCGCGCCGCGTCGGCCATCATCAAGTACTCGAAAGTCAGAAACCAGGTGCCGTAAGCAGCGGCCTCGCGCCAAATCGTCACCGCCTCGCCGCGGTACAGGCCGCGCAACCCACCGCCGCGCGAAGATAGCTGGCGCACACAATCAAGAGGGCCAGAGTACAGGCGCGCTGCGCCGTGGGGTTGCGTCTGCAGCCGGATACGCACGTGCTCGATAGGTCCCGAGATCACGGAGTTGGCGACGCCGGCGAAGGCGCCGGCTGCGAAGTACTGGCCGAAGGACAAGTCCTTGGAAGAAGAGGAGGCGGCGGCGGCATTCTGGGTCTCGAAGTAGCGGCGCGCGTACCCGAAGGCGCCGAATTGGATCGATACGCAGGCTCCGATACCAAGGAGAGGGGTTAGTGTACCCTTGTAGAACGCGAGGGGGCCCTCTTTGGCGTAGATGGAAGTTGCAGCGTCGAGGGCGGATTTGTATGCTGTGCTGGTTTGGAGTCGGACTTTGACTATGTCGAAGGGTTGGCCTGTGGAGGGTTAGCGATGGGGATATATTTTTCAAGTTTAGGTATTCTTGATATAGCTGTATCATCGTGTTTTCATCACTTATGGCTTAACCTTACAAACAAGCATTGTGACAGATAGCGCTACGATGAGAGAAAGATGGAAGGAATAACCTACCTATAAGAACCTGAGCAACTCCTCCGGCAGCTCCTGCAAACAAATCCTTTGCGGTATCAAGAGCACCGCCTTTGGCGTCGAGGTCCTGAGCTGCGTCTCCCATCCCTGCCCCGCGCACAGTTCAAATAGGTACCTATGAAGTTCTCGTATAACTATCGCTCAGAACATACCACGTCTTGCGTATAGAAAGCCAAATTAACTAATTAGACTTCAAGTTTGAAGTCTTAATTGGTTTGTGACTTGATGATTTTTCTATGAGACGAGATGTAACGAACTTGGCCGATATAGGAGATGAGATGAGATGAGATGAGGTAAACAATAAACGGCGAAAGTTCAGGTGAGAGATATCGGATTCATTCACCTTATCAAAGTATCGTTTTTTGGTGGGGCACTAAGAATATACATAGAGGTTACCTCTTATCGATAGTGGAGGGGTCCAAATATTTGCCCAAGCTCGTGCTACTGTTAGAATGTGACGCGATTCATTGTAGTGCAAGATAAACTTAAACTTCACACCAGGTGAGAGCTACTGAATCAAAATTGATATTTTATTAATGTGTTCTCAAAATTTTTTCATAAAAAGACAATTAATTATATAAGCCATACTTGTAGCAAGGTGCTAAACTCATTTTCCGTCAACACATTATTTTACTAGAGCCGAGTTTGGGAAAGGGGAAATAACGCTTCAATCCTCGGTATCAAAACTTTTGTTAAACCCGAAACTATAACACTTTGAATCTTTAAAGCATGTACCTATAAATCATACATCGCGGTTTTGTATCCTAATTATTACTTCCACCGAGATATCTATAACAAAGGATGTTGTCAGTGTATATAGCTTAGAGTTCCTTGCGGAACAATGAAGTTGTTTCCATGTTTCTCGCTCTACCTCAAGACAATGCACATTAAACAATTATTAAATTGTATAGCTACCTAGATACTCAGTGTCTTCCGGGATTTAAGCTGTCTTCTAACTTATTCTTTTATATTAAACAAACAAATCCGGACCAATATATCCTCTCTTATAAATTATCTTCATACTTCCCCCTTGCTATATGATTGACATGTTGATATTATCAGGCTAACAGTCAGGTAAGAACTATTTTCTTAATCGTATTCGTATTCTCCATTCAGCGCCACCACGATGGTTCACGTTATGAAATTTCGTACCAGCAGTCTCTGCAGAATTGATCCCCAACTTGGTGTTCTCGGAGCCACCGTCGCCTGTCGCATGACCCCAGAGGGAGGCGTCTACGAGACTTCTTACCATACTGTAAGAGATGAGTTCATAACAAGTCACAGAGTCGCAATACGTTCCATTATACTGGCACTAGAGAAAGCCCTAGAATGTTTCGAGAAATCGCCTCCAACGGCTCCAGTACAACTAATGATTCTTTCGGACTCTCAATATATTGTTACAACCATGATAATGTTGCTTGGCCAGTGGCATACAAACGGGTGGAAGGATCAATATAAACAGAACATCTTTCATTCGGACCTGTTTAAGTATGTCTACGGGCTAGAGCTACGCGCCAGAAAGAATGGGATTGTCAGATATGGTTATGTCCCAAGACAGTATAATATGGATACTTACGACCTTTGCAGCAATGCTTTAGATCAATTTCAGATAAATACAAAGAAAAGAAATGCCAAGGCCGAGGAAGTAGTTACTGCGATGATGCTTGCTACTTGGTATAAGACCTCATAAAATATCCTATGATATTGTTAGACATCAGCGTCACTAGGTAAATACCTAGCTCTATAGCGAAAGGGAGTAATTGATTTCATAACCAATATGTCACAACCAGATAATTCAAAATTTCCCCTGTGCTATCATTATTAGCTGTAACGTATAGCTTTTTTTTATTCATTCCATTCATAGAACATCAGATTTTATATACAGGCCAAAAGATTAAGCTATTACAAAAAGAAACGAGTACAATATAGATAAGCCTATATAACCTTTGAAGCACCGAACACCTCGAACGCTTCCTTCTTGGGCTGTAGACGATGCTGTTGGCGTAGTAGTAGTGCTCGAATCTGTACCTTCTGGAAGGGGCGTCGGAGTTCTAGTCGAAGATGCAGAGCTTAAATTTGTAGATCCCGATGTAATAGACACACTCTGTGTTTCCGATGCCGTGGCTTCGGTAGTTGTTACTCCAGAACTTGTCTCCTCAACAACCGTGCTTGTGCTAATTATGGTTGATGCAGCAGTGCTACTCGACACAGTTGTAGACCCAGATGTCGGTGTAGTGGCCTCGCCCAGCATTGATTTAACCCATTCTGCCGCTGCGCCGGAGTAGATATCAAAATAGTTCAGATGATGTTGGACATTGTATGTTCGTTTACCATCGCCCTCTGCGCAAATCGGATCATCCCCCTGACACCAGTCTCGGAGCACGCCTGCAAAGTTGTGGATACCCTCAAGTTGCTGGCCGCTTCGAGGGAATAAACCATTGACAGGTGCGCCTCCTAGTGTGTTATACGGCTGGTTGGCAGTATGACGGGTATCACCAAAAAGGAGTGCAGCAGCAACTACACCAGATCATCTGGTTAGAAACGGTACTCGTTTCGGCGCTGTGCCGTATACTACATACATAGTACGGGTGGGGGATCCAAACTTACTCGTTTTACCAGGGGCTGAATTTGGATCTAAGCCTGGAACCATAGGCGTCGTGCAGCCCTGAAAGAAAACGCCGCCGCCGCCGCCAAGGATGTCGCCCAGAACATGTGCACCCTGGGAGTAGCCGCTGACAACGAGCTTCGCATCCGGACATCGCTTGTTGTAGTCGGTTATCTGGGCAATACCAGCTTTGCGGCCTGCCTCCACGGCGCTGCAGTATTCAACCACCAAGGCATTGTTGAACGCAATGTCCTCGTAGTCGCAACTCTCGAGCCCCGAGCAGATAGCTTGCACGAGTTTTCCCTGACGACCAGGATACGGCTCATTGTTCCCTCGAGACAGAAAGACGTGGACATCGGTGCACGTGTCTAAGCCCGTCTCCTGTGCGGCGACGACAGCTGAGAAGACGAAGGCCGGCAGAAAAGTTAAGTATCTAAAGCCCGGCATGATGAATAGCTGCGGAGGAGACCATTACTAAACCATTGCCACGGAATTGAAAAACATTTATGATCGACTAGACTGGAAATCATCACCTTTTCAAGCAGTTAACGCATAAAGCTCCGAGCTAGGTTAAAGGCAACGACCAATGGCACGTTGGTGGATCTGGCGATAAGAGAGGTTACATCGAGCGAAGTGAAGATCTTAGATTCGCAGGTAAGTTCGTTAGCAACTAACTAACCTAACCTAGCGTCTAACGTATATTCTCTAAATAATTTTGTTGTTGAGTGTGGTTTTACTTGGCTTTGGTATTCGCCTAGTTGTCTTCGCGATTACTATTTAACTCAGGGGTTAGGGTAGATTAAAGGAGCATATTCTCTACTTGGGTAAAATGGTAATATAAACCCAACCATCCTAGATTTATCCAAGTTACGATCAAGTCATAAAAAACGCTATTTGGCCGATAAATGTCTATAGAACGAGTGTATCATCTAGTAAATACCATTCAAAACGAACGACAAGTAGTTAGTTAAATATCCAGAAGTTTTCTCGTCATGAACCTAGAAGTTATGACCGCTTTCCAAAGATATTCGAATCCAGACTCAATAATACCAGCGAATCCAATCAGTCTAAGTAGTCCAACATACTCCCGAACCAGGGCCGGGTTGGCATTGTATCCGACCACCATTACAGCCATAGCACCCGTTATCACCCAAACATTGGCACTTTCCAGGTGTACAATCGGCATGTTGCGTCAAGTATCCACTGCAGCGTTTATCAAACTCGGACTATAGAAATATTTTTTAGTTTATGTTGTAGTAAAAACAGTGATGTGGTTATTCGTTGGCAATATACAATGGCTAATGGTCTTGGAGACCAATAAATTAAGAAAATATACTCACAGTTTCAGCCACTCCGAGGAATGTATATTCGCCACTTGTGATGGTACTCAGTTCGACTTCTGGTGTGTCCCCTGCAGGATGAGCGATGGCATTACCCACAGCAACGGAGAGAATAATAATAATAGGTCGAAAGAGCTTCATATTTGCAGTTACTTTGGTTGCTTCAGGTTTAGAATAGTAGACAAAGAAAGCTGGATATATCAGAATACTGTCGGCTTCTATTATTGCGGTGTAGTGATGGTGACGACTTCGAAAAGACGAAGAACGGTACTATCATTGCTTCAACTTATATACTTCGCCTTTACGCAGCACAAGACGCTAATTACTAAAGGATTCGAGGTGTTGCAAAGGTCTAGACCTTAGTTGCAATCGTGGACGGCGGACAATGATGTTATTTGCATGCATATCCAAAAGAAATAACTCATTCTGGGACTATTTCTGACAATGTCTCAAACTCTCGTCTCGTACAACAGTTATATTAACTCGAAACCATAAAACAGCCTCTAATATCTCCCTCATCTCAATTATCCAGAGTATAGATATCTACCTATGTAGGTCTCATCCTTGTACTCGCCGAGAAAGGTCGAGTAACACAAGCGCTCTGTCGAAATAGCATTTCGTAAGGCCAGTCTTTGGGGGTACCTATTAAGCTTGGAGATTATTGGCTGTCTAAACGCAGCTACATATTGTCTCATCAATCATTGGCCTATCTGAATACGTCAGTAACACGGTTACAATTGCTCTAGGTCTCTAACTTACTGGTACACGAAGGTTATAAGTGTCATCTAAGCCATCTGGACTCATATCTGCATCTGCAAGGTAACAACATGTCGAGCTGATAACTACATCTTATCACAAACTAGCAATTTTTAAAGCTATGCAAGGATGTTATTAAAAGCTAATACGTTCCACGATCCCCTGATTTATGCCTGCTAGCTTGTTATACATGCTTGGTAAGATTGATCGGGAAGACTAGTGCCCAGAGTGATAAACACATGCATCTATTTAACCTGAACATGCCGTTATGGGCCCCCAATGCTGACTATCAATTCACCTGATCACCAAAACAACATTGCTCATATGACTAATTTAGTGATGGATATTCTTGCCACTCTTTCATTCAAGTCTCTAGTCTAAGTATATGCAAGTGACTTACCCTGGTATTAGGTATTAATGATTAGAACTCAAACGAGGCCGAGTCGGTGCGGGCGTGCGGCGCCATTAACATTATTGCTTTCTATGTCTGTAGTCTATATCTCTATCCCTCAAAGTCCGTTTTTCAGTCTATATCCGGTTCCGTTTCCTGTTCCCGTGCCGTGAAATCAAAACTTGAAATCAAAACCGTGTGCGGTACTGTTTTCCGTAAACCTGATAATCGCTAAACCCAAGGTATCAACTATAGTTCCTCAACATCGTCAAACCAGACATGACCGAGGGCTTCCCGCGCCGTGATTCTCCTCCGGGGATCAAAGTTGGTCATCTTCTTAATCAAATCCTTGAAGTCTGGGTCAAGTGAATCGCTTTTCCAGAGCGAAAATGGTCTTCGAGGATTCTTAGAACCGAATGAGTCTTGCAAGCGAGAGAGTTCGCCGACCCAGGGATGTCTTCGACCAAGGTAGTCGATGAAAGATTCGTAATCGTTCCACTCGGCAAAAGTGGATATTTGCCGCTCGAGGATGGCGTTGGTAAGATCGACATTTGGCGCGCTGTCGATCCGGAAGATGACCATTTTGAGACGCATGAATATAAACTATACCAGCATTAATAGTCGTGACACATAAGCAAAGGCGGTCAAACTCACCACTAGCGCCAAGGAGAAGATGTCCGAAGGCTTTCCGACCGCGCCCTGTACGTGCGCCTCCGGGCTGCGCCAAAATTGATTGCCAACTTTGAGCCCACGCAGAGCCTGTCCAGGTGGGATGTGAGTCGAATCTTCTAGATCGGATAACTGCACGCGATCTACAATGATTCCTTCGCTGGTATCGCGGTAGTCAACCATGATGTTATTTGCTTTGATGTCTAAAACGCCACATTAGATTAAAATCCGAAGCTTAAGTCCGGCGGGGATACATACCTAAATGCGCGATGTTCTGGTCATGTAAGGTAGCAAGGCCTCGTAGACTATCTCGAAGGACACGCTTTTGCGCAGCTAGGGAGAGGTCCTTAAAGGCGAAGTTGAGGAGATGGTCTGTCATGTATTCATTGACAAACATCTTCTGCTCGGGGACGGTGTCCCGCAGCGCCCGCAAGTAAGGCGAGTGATTAAATCTCAACTGCAGAGGAAGTGCATAATTGTATTCGTTCTCAAATAGACTTTTCAGAACGAACATCTTCTCATTTGCCCTAAAGACGATGTTAGTTGGTTCAAATCCGACCCACAAGCGCAAACGTCGAATGGGGTAAAAAAGATAAAGAAAACATAAATTTTCTACTGAGGTAGAGGAGAGCCTAAAGTAGAGCTTAGCTTACCTGGCGAGATAGACCAGGCGGTCTTGTCTGTCCTGCAGAACATTTTCAATGGTATACTCGCGACCAGAGTATCCCTTCAGAATAACGCCGGGCTCGAATTGCTGAGAGCCGAAAGAGCTGACGCTGTGCGGAACGGTGCTAGCTTTGCGAATGCTACCGCCGAAGCGAGCTCCGGCGCTGTAGTGGGAGGATGCGGTGGATAAATGAGCACGGCCAAATCTAGATAGGGGTTGTTTGAACGCGGTCAAAGCTGCCGAAGTGACGGCGCTGCCGCGCATCGTATCTCAATAAGAGGTAAAGAGAAGAAGAAAAAAAATAAAAACTTAAAATAAAATCTAATCGCAAGAAAAATCAACGAAAATAGAACGGCGAGTTGATAAAACGGATTGTGAGAGTTTCGTAGCTTATGTTGATGAAAAGGTCAAAAACGCAAGGGAAAATGTCGCAGGGCTTCTTCTAGTTAACTAACAGAAGAACTAACAGAGTTTGTTGAAACGCCGCAAATCAAAGAACGCGAGGTATCCACTTTGGTACGTTCACGTGGCGAAATTACAAACGGTGAAGGGTACCTTAGCGTTGTTGACTGTTTTTGACCGTACCGTATCTGTACTGTGTGGTCAGTTGATGCTTACTGTATTGTGCACAGTTCAATTCTGGGGTTCTAGGTTCTGGGGGTTTTAGGTCGTACAGTTGAAATTTACTGGGTTTAGGCCGGGATCGCAATCGTTTGTACCTAATGTAGTCGTCGCTGATTTGTTATGCAAATTGTAGTACGAAATGAGAGAAGTCTGGGGAGAAGGAACGTATTATTATAATCAATTTGGGCTTTGGTAAGGTACAAATTCCCGATATTACTAAGTCGAATTAATTGGAATGCACAATATTACACACTTAGCTCTTGGCCCTTCACCGAGAATTATCGTGGCGCTTCCTTCAAACTCCAGAATGATTATTATGATTTATAAATATCAGGCAAGGGGCGTCTTTAATAAATAATCATACTACACCGCATTATTCAACTCTTATGTTTATATTCTATATTCTTAAGTAAAAACTATCAAACAGTTTGGTTTCAATTCAATTCAATGACACAGTTCATCTTTAAAGTACACTTTCCTTATGAAGCATGACTCAAAATGAGGTATTTGTCTTACTTCTTAGTTATTTACATTCGTGCGGCGTGGGGGGTACACCAGGTGACCTACCGAGCTATCCGCTTTGACGCCTGGATGGAATTAGTAAAATTATATCGAATAGTTTACTACCACGTCGTTTCAGAATTCAGGTAAAAATTTTCAATTAGAGGTTGCCTTCTTTGTTTGGTTGGTAGATGTATATTTATATTTAGTTGCAGAAAGAAGCTTAGGGGTAAGGCTTTGTTAAAGCCCAAAGAGATTGTTTGAACCAATATGAAACGTTGACGTTACTAGATGCTCTTTATATTTTACGCGGCTATCGTGTTATAGGAGTCATACCTTAGCGTTAGCTTTAGGAGAATATGCAATTATATGATATGGAAACTTGACGAAACGGACATTTTAAATGAAGTTTACAATAGCTCGATATAGTCTCATTCAAGGTGACACCTAGTCTAAAGTTATAACAATTGGTAGTGCTCTATTAAAATTTCATTTTGACATGTTTATAATATCCTCATACCTTATCAAGTTGCTGCGCAGCTTTATCTTTAATATGCCAAATTACTTCAAGTTATTAATAATTAGCAAAACTATTTTACTAATGGCTCATTCTATAGTCGGCTATAATTTAAGTGCAGTGACATTCAAAACTACTTCCTTCAATCCAAAGAGAGAAAGAACAGTTTTAGAGTCAACCCCCGGAACTCATAAGTTGTTCTTCTTAACTAGGTGCACACAATATTTAAGTCATTATACATTGATTTCTCATTAAAGGCTAATGCGAGTTCTCTAATGTTAAATTTAACATCATTATATACTATAATTATTTCATGAAATATGTTTTTGTGGTCCGTCTTGAGCTATGATTTACCTAGGGTTGGAATAACTCTATATTCTTAACTGTATAAAACAGACGTACGTGTTTTATGGTTTTTCTCGGATGATAATATTCTCTCATCATTACATAGTTAACAACATCAAAGCTACCTAGTCACGAAGTATGAAGTCAATTATACAATACAGGATGTGGTCCCTTGCTTTTGAGCTAGTGCTTCGCAGATAAGGTTACTTAGGTAAGTTTCTAGATTGACATAGATGAGATTCAAACGTTGTATTTGAGAATCTGTTAGCATCACAATGGGCTTGGTGATACTTGTGTAGTTCTCATTATAAGATAGGCAATCTTATGAGCACTATATTTTAATACTAGTATTCACATGAAGTTGGAGTAGCTTGTAAACAATGTTTATACGGATATGAAAATTTTCAATTTTCATTCTCAAGAGTTACCTTTATCTAACAAGGCAACATCATACCCCTACGTGATTCATTCGTAGGTAGGTACCTAGCATCTAGCATCCAACCAGTCTATTCCACCATGCAGTCTATCAAAACCCAAGTGTTCTAAATCCTTCCATTACTTCATCCAATCATTATCTTACTTGTCTTACAGTATCGTACAGTTGGTCGGATTAGTTATGCTGTAATAACTAAGTAGCTTCATCCGTTGCGTCTCTTAGTTGGCATCCTGGACCACGCGCGGGATCTCCTGGAGTATCTGGCGCTCGTGCTTCGGCTCCCCGTCGGGTTGCTGCACGTGGTGCGCGGGTTGGGCACCGGCAGTAGGTTGGGTGTGGAGATGGCTGGTAACACCACTGGGCGATAAAATGCTAGCGGGTCTGCGGAACTCCTCGTCTCGCTTCCCATGGTTGCCCTGCCAGTTTCCGTGACCGTGGTCCTGGTTATCACCTGGGGGATGGTGGTGATGACCAGGTCCACCAGTAGGTTGTGGGAACCCGCCGGTTGGGTGCGGGCGGTGACCGCTAGGATGGGCAAAGCCATCCGGGGGAGGGCGTACGTGGTCCGCATTCCGCCTCAAAAAAATGTTGCTTTCAGGGTGTCCTGTTGGGTGAGGGAAGCCGCTGCTCGAGTGGCGATGATGGTGGCCAGTGGGATGAGGTTGGCCAGGCCAGCGATGCTCTTCATCTTTCGCCCATAAACCGTGGCTGTCGGGGCGACGCGGGCCACCAGTGGGATGCGGGAAACCGGTTGGGTGGGGGAAACGACCGGTCGGATGCGGAAATCCTCCGTGAGATATGGTAGTGGGAGGTTGTTGCTGGTTGCCGAACGGAACTGCTGAGCCGCCCTGCAACGAGGCTGCTGCTGCTAAGAGAGTAACGAATGACCGCATAGTTGATGTGTTGACGTCTAATTTGTTTTGTAATATGGATGAATAATAGGTATAACGGTTCCCAAGTATGGCTTATTTGACAAACGAATGAGTTGCAGCAGGCTAAAATAGTATGGAGTTGTTGTTGGATCTGAATCAATACTGATGGAAATAATTCTGGACTGAAATCGAGGTCAAGTCAACTCCCTTATATGCTCATCAAGTCCTTTGGAACGCTTGTGTAGTAGATAACTGCCACAATACCACTATTTCTCTCTTAACCCTGCCTCGAAGATCATAGCCTTCCACGCTGACTTCATGTTTATGTTGATCACATCGAATATGAATATACCGGACTGTTGTACGTAGTATCGTGGGTCAAGGTACAACGGGAACGCGGCATTTGGCCACCCCAGCCACTACGATTGACGTCGGTACCCATCATAATCCATTTTTAGTCGCAATTGACGACGAGTCAGGTTACTCTAACTAGCCAGTCGGAACGAATAAATTTTTGGATTGCTTGTATGTATTATGGCTTCTAAGGAGTCGCGGTAGAAATCCCGAAATATTTTCCAACCCGTAGGAATCAATAAAAGATCTGATATTTGCACTTTTACCTCACAACAATATGATATCAGCTTTTAGCGTAAAAGCAACACTTTTCAAGGTTAATTTGAGCCCTATATTAGATGGTTAGGTCATTTTAGGCGATCTTTGATAGATATGTCCATTCCTAGGATTTTGCAGAGCCCCTTGATATTGTGGTTTGGTTCACCAGGATTAGGCGACCCAGATCCAACGCTGTTCCAGCCACATAAACGGGGGCGGCTACGTATGCAGGTTAGAACAGTGGAACAAGAAAATATTCTACGCAATATCTCGACAGTTTGGCGTCACCTTTTCTTTAATAGTAAAAAATACCTTACGTAGTGTATACAGATTCGGATGAAGCAGGTTTTGATACCCCTGGATTAGTTTTAGTGTTAATGGTACGTATCTTGTTTATTGCAACGATAATATAAGTGGATTTTGAGCTAATCAAAACTAGAAACGGAGATACAACGGTACATGTAACTAGCGTTTCTACACTAGACTATACTTCCGAAGCTACTAAAATATATACCTAACACTGTATACATGACTTCACATGACGACTTGGTATGTGGGTGCTATTTAAAGCCTTTACACTAGACTTTGTACAATAATATACGTTCACGGAAAGACAGATCCAGATCAGTATTTAGGTACGTATTAGGATGGCTATCTGCCGATCGTGGAACACTTCAATGGGCCGATGCCGCCACCTAAGCAGTAATCAAGAAAAATAACCAAGGAAGATGAGATAGTACATGTGTGTAGGTAGTAATTGATACCCAAATCTTGAAAACACTTGAATGTATCACGCTTCTAGAACGCTCGGAAAAGGTTGGAGGTTGGGATAGGTATACTATGTACATGACTACATGCATGTTAGGTACATGCATGCGGGCAGTTAAAAACAAATAAGCTTTTCTGTCCCTGTATTAAAACCCTTGGCGTCCATTAGGTAGGTACTTTGCGCTAATTTAGGAGGATTCTTAATAACTAGCGGTATTACTTAAACATGGGCTACATACCTAGGTAGATTTGGAAATTCGTTGCGAAACATTCACAAGCTTACACCAGACTAGGGATGCGAAAAATATAATATCACTAGCGTATAATACCGTATAATATTATATAATACCGCATAATTGATCAATTATGCGCATAATCGGAAAGTGGCCTCTTTTTATCCGATATACTAGTACTAAATCGGAATAACGCTAGTAATGAAGCATCGTGTCTGAGGCTATTTTACGTTAGATTTAATCAAATTAGCTGATTTAATTCCATTTTGGTCTTTATTTTAGTCCTGATCTACTGCTTAAGTCTGAAATTTGGTCGCATTTTAAGCTAAATTGTTGATTTTATAAGTCAAAATAGGTGTTGTTATTGTTGTGTAAAACTATTTAATATACTAAAGTAGAGATTAAAAAATTTATATTGTAATTACATAATTATTCAATTATATGATGCGTATTATACGCATACTACGTATTATATGTATAATATCGCATAATTGGTCAATTATGCGTATAATTCGCATCCCTACACCAGACAAAAATAACCAGACGATAAGATTCAAAATGGGAAAAATTGTGGGCCAACACATAACAACATCTGCACCTGTGCGCGAGATCTACATTTGAGGTTACGCGACGGCTTTAAAGTCATACAACTGTAAGGATGGTTACGTCAGCCGCTTACGACAATCTCAATCCTCGAAGACTCGGTCACTTATTGTGTTCGCATAGTTATTCCATTTTTAGATACGTCCTGATAAAGAAATGTACCTGCATAAACTAATAGTTTAATGAAGATAACTAATTCATCTTTTAGGCTTAAGATGCTAATATTTAGAACTATTCAAGAGTTTGACCCTCTAATAACACCGAGAGGCGGCTTACATGAGTCGTGATACATATTAGAGCTTTATATCTATCCCAGATATATACGTCACATGTAGGACTTCGATAGGATCGCGGGTTACTATACCTAGCATCAACCATGATAGTTAGTATCATCCACGAATTCTCTATTAGTTCCCGTAACTGTGAGTAAGGTAAGATTGACCAAAAAAATCTAGTAGGATGCCGCACGGCGTGGAATCTATCGACTTTAGTAATAACCTGGGGCTAAACCGAACTAACATGATAAAACATATTGATCCTGCAATTCCTTAAACCCCGCTAAGCATCTCATATCTAGGACGACGTGGGGGTCAAAAAGACGGATCACCAAGAGGTCAGATCGAGCTTCCCCATGTCCGCTCCTATATATTAACCGATCTTCAAATTCCACTTTAGTACTCGTCAGTGTGGTTCTGGATATTCTCTATTACGGGATTTACTTCTTTACTAATGACGCCATATGCACAATTCTAAGCCAACGATCCGCTTCTGCTGAGGTCGTCTATCTGCCAAGATACGATTGATACCACTAGCATTAGTCAGTTATTAGCCGGTCGAGATGTTAGTGAACCTCTAGTGTTAATATACAAAGGGGGCTTCTAATGCGTACTCGGAATCAGCTACAAGTAGCTTCAGCAGAAACTACGTATTTCCGCGAACGTTTTAATTTATAACAGGTATGACTGAATTTAGGTACACTATTAATCACAATCAGATCCTCAAATCTAGAAACTGATCGTCATATTTATACATCACGAACAAGCTAGTCTGTCACTCTCAAGTGGATAGCTTATGGTTTCGTAGCCTCACATGTACTGGCATACCGTCCTTCGGGTGGACTGGTCCATTCCCGACACCGTAGAGGCGTCTGCCGTTTACAATGTGAGTAGGCGTAGCATTGGGACCTCTGTTAGGAGTAGTTGGATTAGTAACCATATTCACAAGGAAGATAATCGTTTAGACTGAAGTACTCACTGCTTCTTGTCCCACTCTTCCCATGCCTCCTCAATGTCGAATGTGCGGGCTATCAATATGGCGACCAATCTTAACTCGACCATCGCCAATTCCATCCCAACGCAGTTCCTCGGTCCTAGAGAAAACGGCACCCAAGCTTCTTTAGTAGCAACATAAAGAGGATCGCCCTCGGCGGCCATCCAGCGCTCTGGCAAGCATTCGTCTGGTCGTGGCCAATAATCGGGATTGCGCTGTACTCCAGGTGCACCCACCCAAGGTCCAAACCCCTCCATCGGATACCTAGTAGGCGAGCCTGGTACGCTGACTGAAAATCCTGGGATACTGTCGCTATCACGAACCGTCGCAGCGAGCGGATGCAGCCTTAGAGTCTCCTTAATAATGCCTAAAGTATACGGGAGCGAGTACAAGAGGTGAGGTGATGCGATCAAAACCTCCATAGCCTTCTCCGGATCAGGACCTAGGACAGAATCGTGCTCGGCCCGGAGTTTCGCTAAACAGTCCGGATTATCCTGCAGTATCTTCACCATGAAACAGATCGTCGACGAAGTCGTATCGTGGCCAGCAAACATAAACGCCTTCAAATTCGCTACGAGTCTATCGACAAACTCAGCATCGGGTTTTCCTCCGAAAGTACCAGCATTTTCCTTTTCGATGTACTTCATAGCGAGGTCGACGATTGTTTTCTTTTGGCTGGCGTTGACGTCTGACTGTAGCCTTTTTTCTATCTGTGGAAGTAGAAACTCGCGCATGGTGCGGTTGTTTCGCTCAATAGATCTCCGATGCCAGAGAAGCTGGCTGGAATGGAAGGCTTTTGCAGATTTTGACAACTTCCCCATCAACTGAAGTTGATCTACTAGGGCGGTCTTGAATGGGCTGCTTGATGGGTTTGACTGCTCATGTAATCGTAGATCTCTATCTCGTGTCAGTGTATCGAAGTATATAACCGGAATTGTGATGCTTAGGTAGGTATACTAACACAGATGCTCTCACAATAATGTCGAAAGTCAGGTTAATCGTCCTTTTCTCGAGCTGGAATACCGATCCCCACTCTCCTCCCTGACCAGCTTGATCCTTGAGCCCATTTGCGAATATCTGGGCCTCTTCGATGAGCTCTGGGAGCAGAGCTGTAAGATTCCGTTGGCTGAAACCAGGGTTGAACATCGATCGCCATTTCTTCCATAGTTCCCCTTCCGTCGAAACGATATCCAATTTTCCCGTCAGCGGCTCCATGTATTCGGGGAGAAGCGGGTCCTTGGGCAGACTCTTGACCTGCGTGCACTGAGCCGCAGCCATGGCGTCAAATATAAGTACAAGAGACCTTGATACGGGCCAAAGATCCAAATAAACCACTGGCGGTAATCTCGTATGGCCAGGGAAGTATTTATCGATATTTGCAAGGAGCCAAGAATAGAATTCATATATATTAACATCTGGAGGATTAGACGCTCGAAAGGCTGCGAAGACGGGGAGATGGCCGAATAGTAACGAATGTGGTAATATGGGCTTAAATGAATCAGTTTAATATCCTGCTATTCCTCTTGGTAGTTAGTCGAACTCACAATTCCTTGAGCCTTCAAAGTTCTTAGTCGCCCCCGTTCGATGTATGCTCTATACAGGAAGCGTAGCACAATAACGGCGAGCAGGGCGTAAATGCCCCGTACAAGTGGTAACACGACATTAGCCGCCATCATGTTGTGCCCTCAAGCGATCTCAAGGAGTCTTGAAGATGTAGGGGTATCTCGAGTTGAGATGCAGCCATGGATATAGGATGTAGATACCCAAAGTATTCACCAACTTATTCGATAGCTAACTAGTTATTCTAGAGTTAGTTATAGTATTTGCGGAAGTCGTTTAATAATATATAGTTAGATTATGTAAAAGTGTCTACCTGGTAAAGATCTGCGGGTCTCTCGGTTGAACTTCTGTTTTTGCCATTCCTTGCGTATATAAGTTCCTCGTTATATTAATAGAGACTCCTCTACTTCAATCCCTTACCTACCATTATATAGTGTGGAGCCTATATATGTTGTTGAAAGGGAAAATGTAAGATCACAAGGAAATTTCAGGGGTAGTAGCGTGTCTCTATACGAATACGTACGCGATGGTGCACTGATCAGGTTGCATCTGACAGGCTACAGCTGAACTTACCCCGCGGACTTCGCTGTAAATATCGCCTTATACATCTAAAATAGGAATATAATCGGACTCTTATTTCTAGCGAGTCAAAGGCTCCATATTATAAATCTCTCGATTTCGATTGCCCGGGATCAATAGCGGAACCCGGATTTGTCAATTTAAACATGGCGGTATCGAAAGCTGAAATTATCCTAGGCGGATGGATGCATGGCCTGTCCATCACTACCTAGGAACAAACACTAACAAACACGCGCGCCTTAATTATTCCAAATATTCTATCACGCCTTGTCTCTAATATTTCTTTGATATCTCGGGACTTCCAGGGATTTCGAGCAACCCTAATCATGATATTAGCAATTATTATAAATTATTCCCCATTTTGAAGTTTCTTCGATGACTTACAAGAATCGATGTCTTCCTGGACAGTCCTGTCAATCTTGCACTTGTTCTGGTTGGCAATTGACTGTGTGGTTAATGTAGGACAAGTGACATAACAGGGTGTATCCATGGTCCTCTGGAGAGCATCACCCTTCCAACCGAAGAGATAGTCACCGTGACTACCATAGCCAGTGCTGGAAGCCTGCGTCAGCAAATTCTCTGGACATTGCTTAGGATGCGAGTTACTTACTGGTCACCCATGCTCCAGACAAAGGGCTGGGACCCATCCTCGGGCCATTCGTTAGGGTCGTTAAATCTTTATAGGAACCATAATTAACTAAATGGAACATAACTAGTTTATGATAAGGCGAACTTACTGGCGAGTATCCCAGATAGTCTCGTACATGAGCTGAGGAACAGGTACGGGGTGACTATCCGGACAGGGCCCTTGAGAGTCGAAAGTACCGCTGGCTGGGTATGCCATGTGGCTCATGTGGTCCACGGTGTCAAGGTTCTTTCCATCCCAGCAACTACTATATGTTAGATGACTATCCAACAACTTCGATATACATATGCGTAGCCGACTCACGTTGGAAAGCGAATGTTTGCCATAATGCCTGCCGGGCACGGCTTGTTGGGCAGGTTCTTGGTCTCGGGGAAACGAGTGTTCATGTCTTGCAGACAGGTGTAGGTAACCTGCTTGTATTTGTTGGCGTCTTCGGCAGTTCGAGCCATCGCATCGCCGACAAGCATACGGAATCCCTAAACTAATTAGCTCTATATGTTCAACACTCGATATTCGCGGACAATGAGAGCCTTACAGGCTTGAAAGCGGTGACCTTGGACCGCTGCTGGTAGTCGGCCAAGCCGTTCTGCATGTAGTAGACGGTCATACCACCTTCGGCGCCGTCGAAACCGACATTAGGTCGGATAGGCACACGCTTAAAGGTGCCGTTACGAGACCTGAAGAAGAGAACCGCAGTCCAGTAATTGGAAGTGTCCTCGGTGAACTGGCAGGTTGTGCAAGTGGATTCGCCAGGCATGTCCTTAGTAGGGTCCATAGTCACATTAAGCGAGTTCTACGTCGATTAGCTTTACATTTACTTCTTTAGCTCGTCCAACCATAACTTACTCCGCCGATGATCTGGTGTAGATGCGGCGAGGGCGCCATGCCTGGATTCACCAATGGGTCGATACGGTCAACCACAAGCTGAGAGCATGAGAATCGAATAAGCGCGCTTGCTGGCGCGGCTAATGCCAACGCGGCGAGCGAGGTTAACTGCATCTTGTTCACTGGACTTTAGGTCAACTATCCGGCGATCGTCGTATGAATAAGAGTAGTAGCCGCGGGGGAAGACCACGAGGCAAGAGGGTTGCGGCAGGCCCAGTACTTTTATTTATTTTCGGAATTGTAGCCCTAAAGAACTGCCCGGTCAGCCATCCTAGTAAATCAAGTAATAATAGAACGATAAACACTACGTATATAAGGTGGTGACCCCATGAGGCTTAGACTTTGGTTGTATTCCACATTCTAATCACAGCAAAATCGACCAGTCCTTGGTTCAGTACTACTCTGTAGAAGGGGAAAATGGATGCTGGCAACTTGGAAATAGTTTAGCACTGTTTCCAACTGCCGAAATGGGTTGAATACGCTCTTCCCAATATTCCGAATATGTCAAGATTGATATTAACCGGAGTAGGGTGAGCTCAGTTCATTATAGCCTCCGAGGCCCCATGGGGTTTATAAAAGGCCGGACCAATCAAGACCTTAAGATATGAACCAAGCGTCAAAGCAGAAAGTGATTCCAAGCCTGGGAATATCCTTACATCAGTCTTGGCTGGGAGATACGCGTAGTCATCTTTATCATTTCATACGATTTTAGGGGGGGTTTTGAGAATGAAAAATAGAAATATAACTCGAGAGGATTGTCTAAGCTGCATCTAAGAAATCTCTAATAATGCCAATATTCAAATGATTCGATAGAAGTTTCGTCGGCAAGGTGGACATCTAGATACTAAGAGGGTACACTCGAGTGTATCGTTTCTTATCATAGAACATAGATAAGTCTCGATTCGATATAAATGAAGGATAATTTATGTGATGATGAAAAGCTTCTATGGTATCATCGGCTTAGTTGAGAGTCTAGATACCTCATTAGTTAGGACAAAGCGATACAATATCGAGTTATCTTATGCACACAAATCCAGTCCTTCACTTATTATCGAAAATGAATCGAGGTAGCCGTCCTTTAGTTTCATCAGACGAAATCACCACCAAGATATACGAAAGAATAAACCACATGACTCAAACCGTTTCTTAATAAGAGAGCGTTTAATATATTAATGTAGGCGCAAGATGGTACTAATCCCAAATCAATTGGCCCTTAAGCGCAACTGAACTAGCGAAATTCACACCAGTCTACCTACCGAAGGTATGATCCACGCAGGCCCAGCCCTTAACTAATATAAATCTTAATCTCATAACCTAAAAGGAATTGTGTAGGATTGTTCTCATATCCAAGGGCATGACTTAGTAAAGCTTATGAAGCTATCTTTTTATATTCCACGGTAAACAGGGTTCCAAATATTAATACACCTCGTATACTGACCCGATAGCATATGATATTCCATAAATATTTGTCTCCTACGTATGATTTCAGCCACGATAGCAACTTTTAAAATATTCATTATGTACCTCTCACGATCATAAAGAACATAAGTCTACAATCTCAAGTATAAAACTTCAACGCTTATGTGTGTATTTTATACGTTTTTACCATTAAGCTGTAAACTTTAAAAGCGCTTAGAAGATTCAATGCAAGAGCTTCACTTATATATTCAACTAGGAGCAGGGAGAAATAAGCCTAATCCATCATGAGAGCTTTCTCGGTAATATCACTATGAACTGAAGATAAGTTCCAGACTTCGGAGGGTCCTTGAATCTTTGATTTTCTAACTGGACGAAACACTCAACAAGTAAAGCATAACTGCACAACACCCAACCAGCAAGTCTAAGAAAAGGCGATACTTCAGGAAGCACCTAGTGACCGAGTCCCCATCCTATTTATTCCTATTGTCTTATTCCGCCTTTGGTATTGTGCATGAGCAGAACCTAATTAGGGAGGATTAGCTTTTACGTAACATCAATTAAAAGGGGGTTAATGGTTGAGAGTCTTACCTTGCAACCCGGCTCTGGACGCATGTGGGCTCACTTCGAGGCATCTGCTGCGTGCAAGAGAGGTATGCACAGTCAGCAGCAGTCTTGCAGGGCTGGTGAGGACTGGTAGTTCCGGTGGGTTGAGGGTAACTAGTGGGATGCGGTCTGTGATGGCCAGGTAGGCGAACACTAGTCGGATGAGGGTGATGCGGTTCACCAGTAGGTTGGTGGTGAGGGTATTGCCATGTTGGGTGCTCTGACGGGATAATAGGGGGACTAGCTCCTCTCCCTGATTATTCTCTATTAGCGTTTGCTCATTAACTTTACTGGACGACTTAGGGTCGCTTACGCCATTCTGGCATGTTGTAAGGTAGTTCAGCCTGGACACCTGCAAAGCAGATGCCTACAATGACGGAGAACAAGGATGTAGAGGTCTTCATATTGGGATCGTTATATTTGATGGTTTTTAAGGAGGCAGAAAATATGATTTGGTTAAATCAAGTTCATACGAGGTCGTTATGGTGTTATAACTCCACAAGAAATCTGGATTTTCGAGGAAGACGAATGTCCTTTAAATAAACTGAACTCCATGACGGACTTCTGAGAGTCGGGCTGCGAGTCGCGTTCTTACCTAAACCGCCTAATACTTTCAGCATGGCAATCACAGAAAATAGAGATGTAAAATGCTATTGGAAGGTATCCAAACAGTCTTCCTGGCCGGATCGCATATGCAGATGGCTTCTGCATGATCCTCCTAGGATCATTATTCCCTGTTAAGATCGGCACATTGTAGATCGTTCCCGCTGCTAGCTGAGTGCCTTGCATCAGCACCTACTAAACGCAGATATGTTGTAGCTGTCAACTTTTACTAGTGCTGATTATGCCGGCGCCATGTTAATAATCACCGAAGTTCGCCAAAACGCCATGTTATGAAGTAGACAATACGGAATTATTGGCATAGAGGCAGGCTCTGACCGAACTCCCGCAGATACTTAGCAGCGCAAAAACTATATGCTAACGAATCTATTAATATTAGATAAACACTGGACGGTCATCAAAGTGGCTAGGTTGATTTAACATCTCCGTGACACTACATCATCATGCGAAGGCGTACTCGAGCCACGCTCGGTGTAGGGCGGAGAAGGGAGAAATTGAAGTATGTATACCCATCGAGTCGTCAATACGCGCAAAATAACAATGCTTAGCTGATAATCAAGGTACTTATTTCAAAACTTGGCTTCATGCTCTTGGACTATCAACAAGTATTCTATACCTGAAGGACTTATCTTTCTGTTGATTGACGTCGAAAGGTATCATTGGGATGAAAAAGGATCAAGCCACACCATCCCACCTCTTCGGAACCCCCGCGCTTTTACATAGAAACATGGGTTTAGGTATATGTAAGTTAAGGGGTTACCCCCCATTCCCCACGCACAGACCCCAGAGATCACTTCTACAACCAAGCTGGAAGAAGAAAAAGGGTCTGTTCTATCTTTAAGATCTTGCTAAATAAAACTCACCAGTGACATCACTCCCGCTATATACTACCTTTCTCGGCGTGTCAGCCATCAGCTTAGTTAAGAGATACCAATCCAACACATTCAGCCTCATATAACTACCTAGGATGTAGAACCAGTCATATTACTATCATTTCTAGCTTGCGTATATTCGCTAGATAAACCCAACGATTTCTTCCTGTCTCAGACAATTCTTAATTCAACCAGCTACGAGTATACTCCCTGTGTTGCAGATACGGACCCCAGAAAGCACATTCCGTCAAGGCTTATCCGCCGTTTAGATCGGCGTCAGCGATCGACGCAGGGCTGACAAGTAAATACATTTCCATATCACGATCGACGATCTATGAATCGTATTAAAATATATCTAAACGGTATTTAATCCTTCCATAATAATCATATACAAAAATATCGTACAATCTCTTCTCAGCTCTATGTCCGTTCCATGTCTATCATGCCATCCCTCTACCAAATCTACCTTTTATGTAGTCGGTGCGCTTAGTACGAATCTATTAACCCAATTATTGACGACAGCGTCGGTCTCGTTAGGGAAGTCTTTCTGAACTCCTGCCCGTGCTTGAACTAGCAACTCCTCAACCGTCGGGCGATAAGTCGGGTTGTGGTACATGCATTGATATAGTGTTTTTCTAAGGTCTTCATCGACGTGATTAAATGTTCCGTCCATTAACAATGTGCAGTAGGATATTGGTAAGTTTGGATTTATTTCTCTAATTATATCGTCGATATTCGTTGCGCGCTTCCCGCCTGGTACAAATACTCCCGGTGGTATCTGAGGTTGAGGTGGTACTGGTGGTAGTTTTTGGGTTATGATAATCCACATCGTCTTGCAAAGAATTAGATGAAGAAGCAAACTATATGATCTATAAGATGAATCAGGTACTTACCAATGCGATGCCCCATACGTTCGTTGCCGAGCCATAGCTCCCCGCTACTACATTTTCTCCTGCCTCTGCTCCATTGACATCAGCGGGAATTGTTTCCCAATCCGCCGAGAATTGTTCCTGTAGATAGGTAGTATTCGACTTAGCATACATGCTCTAGAAACTATGAAACTAGGAGCGGATAACTTACAGGCGAGAGAAATGAACCCTTGCCAACCGCTCGCCTTCTCATATAGTAAACGCTATGGGTCTGTCAGCAGCATTATCAATGAAATCAATTAGGTATCACTTACTTTCGTTTATAAGGTTTAATTTGTTCCGTTAACCCAAAGTCTGCGAGCTATCAGTTGGTGGTTAGCAGCCATGTAACCATTCCTAGGTACGATTTACACACCTTTAGTTTTGGGATAAATAAATGCTCGCCGTCTGCCCTGTCTCTATGATATACATCATACGGTCGTTTAAGAGGTCCCTTGTCAGGACCTTGGCCCGTAGACGGTTCTCCGCGGGTTATTCTTACGTTCAACTGTCGTAACACTCCTGAGAAGTAACTCAAGGTTGCTGTAGGCGCATTCCTTGGAGTATATCCTTCCCCAGAAGATGAGCCCTCTTCAGCAGGAGATTCCGGCTCGTCCAATTCCGGGCGCTCAATATTTCCAACAAAAACTACATAGATAATCATAAGCTACCTGGTAATGCCTCGGAAGCTCCAGAGAAGGACTACCTACTATTAGTCGGGTCGATATCAAAGTGGACCCAGTTCTTAGCCCTCCACCTTTTGCGAGCTGGAGGGGCATCCTCAATCAGGTCCTTCCTGGCAAACCGCTCGGGGTGGAATTTACGAGGAGGATATTTCATCCCTACACAACCACGTACCACTACATTGATTAGAAATCAAAAGCATTGCCTATAGAGTATCTCAACTTACAGCAAAGCCATAATGCCCACTATAATAACGATAGTTAGTAATTACTTCTAACAATAACCTTAGGAGATAAGCCAGAAAGAGAAAAAGAAAAAAAGGGGGGATCTCGATAGTTCATACAAGTACTCTATTAGGGATTGGTGTGACTCCACCAATTGATGTGGTCGCCTCCGATATTTTATTAATCAGCATCCGGAGATCGCCTCCTTCAATATACTCGAGGAGTAGGAAATCCTTCCTAGAGTCTAATGTAGCATTACGGTAATACCACGTCCTATAGCGATCGGTGTGGCCTTGTATCCGTGCTCGCAGTTCCGCTTCGGGCCTAAGATGACGGGAAATCCGTGGAGGACGGTGTGGCTGACTAATACTTTCATCGCCGCTGGAGTCTTCTTCCTCGGAAGAGTCGTCCGACATTGGTCTCGGGTAGAATCGAGGTAGAGGTGGTCTACCAACATCTTCTGGGGGTATGATCTGAACGAGATGTACTGCTCCCATCATCGCCTGGATATATTGTAAGCAATCCGCATATGTAATTTTATATTGAGTTTACCTTACTTCCATAGCTTTTCCCTCCTGCCGCAAATCGTCTGATTCCCATGACCCGAGAGAGAGTTTTATGGCAATGTCTTTAGGGTTCGCTTGACCATCATACCTATAGTGAAGTGCCAATCCCACTACCGTCATTATTTAGGTTAGTAGCCACTCAACTAAATATAGTGCTATAAACCAGATCTACGTCTCCATCTTCAAAAGGTTTACTCACGACCTCCGTAACCTAAGACCTTCTGGTAACGCAATAGAGTGGAACCAAAGTAATATTTGGCATTTGCCAATGCATCTCTTGCCATATTAGCGTTTGCATTATGATCGTGTTGTGGGTTTTCTATATCTGGCTTCGATGATGATATTGCTGAAGGGTTGTGATATCGTCTCTTTTTCCACGCATCGGGCACTTCATTGAAGATGGGCGGGGGGCCGACCCTAGGCACCTGAACTTGTGACCAATACTGTCGGTTATCTTTTATGTATTGTTTATCCCAACTCAATGTCCAGCCATGCCTTCGAAACATTCGGAACTTGTAATTCTGCAATTGAATTCTCTCATGATAGTTTTTTGGTTGTCCATCGTCCTGATTAGCCATGGTGATTACTTACGGTTGATTAAACTAAAATTCATAAAATTAGGATATGAAAAAACAGATAATGTGTTTACTTAATTCGTTGTAAACAGCTAAGTAGAGTAGTTCAAGCTCACGGATGGTTATAAAGTGCAACATAATGAATGGCCGTTTGTAGTAACCACATATTATAACAAAGAATAAACAATGAGTTTAATTTCCGGAACGGGGTGCTATTCGCTCAAAGACAATATTATGTCCGTTATGCAGCTTTTTAACCTGTTAGCTTGGTATCATCATTACAATTTTATATTCTTGGGTGATGCATATGAAGCGCAATGTAGCTGATAGGCTTATAAGAGTTGAGAAGAACAACTAACTAACGTTGAAGCTCTAACAAGGCTTTTAACCATATGCCCATATATATGTCTATGTACTATATAAGAAAGAACATGATGTGAAATAAATTTCAATGTCACCTCGTAAATAATGATATTATCACTCCGGGTGCCAACTAGCTCCAGAGTAGCCTTTGTTATATTATAGATATTCTAACCAATTCAAAGATGGAGGGGACTTGTTTGAGTGCACGTACCAAGTGTCAGTCGAACTCCTATGTAATCCGTACATTTCTCTAACTTCATATTTCTTTTCATCGTATGAGCCAAGATCATGTAAGAGGTACTTGGACATATGTATACCTCTGATAAATCGGTGAAGAGCCTCAATGCACTATGGCGTCATTTATAAAGTGTTTAAATGACATATAAAAATATATATAAGATAAAAAAGTAAGGTCATCTAAGACGTCACTCCCCACTGAAGTTTTACCTCGGGGCGCAAAGATACGCATATACGCATACGACGATCTTTCGAACGACGCCTAGACCCCGCGCTATTTCCCCTTCTAGAATTATGTTTGGGCTAATTGGTTGGGATGTTAACCATGAATATAATTATGACATCACTAACCATCATCTTTGCCAATCCCCTCTTATAGCTCTTGTTTGCCTACGTTATTATATCTTCTACCGCTTTTCTATTCATACTTCACTTTTAAATCTACAATCGTCTATATTTGCAACACTACCTACTTAAATCATTCCAAAGCAAGAATCATTCAATCCGAACATAAATCGAGCTATCCGCACAAGCATTAAACCAACCATTATCATCATGTCGTTCCTCGAAGTTACAGCTCGCCGTCTAGCCACCACCTCCAGAATTGCAGTGGTCCCCGCCCCGCGACACTTTAGCACAAGCATCGCAGCACAAAAGTCAGTCACAGAAACTGCCAAGGACACATTAAAAACAGTAGATCGTAAGGTCTCGGACAAATTAGTTGACGGTATCAATGCGGGAGGTAAGAATCTTTACCATCACTTCATATTGTTATTATTCAAGTAGTGATAGTCTTGCTAACTGGTGATACTCAAACAGCCAACCTCGCATCGAAAGTAAAAGGCGAAGCAGACGCAGGCAAGGTAAAAGGTACCGCAGAGGAGATCCGTGGCCAAGTGAAGGGCGAAACCGAAGAGATAAAAGGCAAGGCGAAGGGTGCAGCTAAAGAAGCTGAGGGTAAGGTGAAGGGAAGTTTGTAAGAATTTAAATGGATTGGAGGACACCCATAATGCTGCACTTGTACACTGTCCGGTGTGTATGTCTGTATGATAATGAGATTATCTGAATACGGTTTGAATAGTACGAAATGCTAAGCTATTATCAAGCGTAGCTTAATTCAATTTAGCAATACTTTTCATTCAACAGCAAATTCAAGTGCACTGTCAATCGAGAAATTGGTAATACAGCCTTGGCATTCTCCCTTGGAAATTACACAATATTATTAAAACGGGTGTAGTTTAGTTGAACAACTAATTTAATTATGATAGTTCACAATAAGGTCAGTTACCACCTAGCGGCAGCTTTATAGTCGCCGTAGATTCGTGGCCGGGCACGACCATATAACCGATACAAGGACTTATGTAAAGGGGGTTCATGCGTCTGTATGTCCAAGTTTATTACGGGATTTTGGTTGCATCATTATGTCTAATGGGCTGTGTTTGGATATACTTTACTGCAGGGAGAATGTTAGGAATAGTTAACAGGGTTACCAACTAACTCTGCGAGGCTAGCAAAACAAGCCTTTATATGCTACTCGTTTAGGGGAGGAGCTATAATCTACCCTTTTAATATTATAATCGCTCGCTTCTTAACTACATCTATTATAACACACAATCTAACGATACTTATTATAGTGAGTACACTAGCCTAGTAACTTGGTGCCGTTATTATACCAGCTACTAGTTAGGTCTACACTAGAGGCCCAAGACCCCTTCGTACAACCCGCCACAAAAACTCCCACAAATGCGATTATGTATCAGTGAATGCCGGTCTCGTTGTCTTCTATTATGCGTCGACGCTTCGTAGATAAGTATATTTGTTATCTGCCGAGGGAATCTTCGAGCTTCCATTAACGAAGCTTTGAGAATGTCTCCGCCATTATTAGGGACACTCAGGAGATATTTAGCGCTAGAAGAAAAGGGAAACGGACCTGTTATAATTTATGGCCATGTCATTTCTAAGGGTACGGTGGTTGGTGATAATACTTACTCGGTTCATCATAACAAGGTGGGCGTGCGCTCGTATCTTGTATATACTTCTTATTCGCTTCTTGTCAATTATTCTTGATGCAGTTTCAAAAGTGTAATCCTTTAAACTTCATGAATATTAACAACCTTGATCAAATAGAAATACTTTCCCAATCCTTTCAAATACGCACCAGAACACTGGTTAACCCTTACAAATTCAGAGGAGGGGTGACAGCATCAAGGAAAGCAACAGACGACGCTTTCGCTGCCTTTCCTCTCGGCTCCCATGGATGCGCTGGGAAGCCCACGGCGTAGTTGGAGTTACGTCTAGCCCTTACTAATACTCTTTAGTATTATGACTTTAAAGCCACTCCTAGTAAATTTACTCAAGCTAGAGTAGGCCAGCAAAGTAAATTTCTTCTATGTAATATTTATTCGTCAACCCACAATAGACCATACTTGGTCTTTAAGCCCCGTGATACGTTCGTGGGGGACTTTGGAAATATCGAGTTTTCGGGTGAATAGCTCCAATGATATCTACGTGAATCATGTCTCTTTTAGAGTCGTTTTTATGATTCGTTCTATCAGCAACGATCTGTAATAATATGATTATGAGACGGTTGCCTGTCATAAGTCTAGCTGTAACCAAGTCATGCAGATATTTGACCAAATACTTGTATGCATGTGGAGAAGTCTATAAGAGGTTAACTTAAAAGACCAGCGTCATTAGGAATTTCTATAACTGGGGAAGGGTGAGATGCTACAACACATGTATGCTGTTAAGGGCTCATCAGGCCATTGAAGCTGTTATGTCACTATTTTTACATATATTCCGTTGAATCAATACCTAGGTAGACACCTATGTATGAATCATCGTGACATGTAAGTTTACATAGACTACGTGAATCAGATCCGACTACGGATTGATACAAGCATAAAGCTTTGCTACCTAACACTTATATAAACCGGTTTCTTGTTTCCCTTCCCTGTTAAACTCTACCAACACTTCTTCACCAACCCCATTCCTACCTATCTATCTACAAACCACTGCCTAGAGCAAATCCACCTACTATCAAGATGTCGTACGACAGCCAGGTAGCTCAACGCTACTTTGAGGACAACCGTACCCAGATCATAGATCATCTCCGCCAAGTCAGATTCGTCGACGATGTCCAACTCTTTATTTCTGAAGACCAGACAGCAATCCTTTCCGTCGTCCTTACTAGCTCATATGATCTCAGCGGCTTTCTTGACCTTATCGGTGACACAGAGGCGGCCTTACTATCGTTTAGCGTCTGCGGTAGCTGCCCGGGCACATTGGACGACATGTTTAGATTCGTCATCGTGCAGGAGACGAATGGTTTCCCCTGGAAATACACCAAATTATATTGGATTGAGGGACTTGCCGCGCCAAGTAGTGAATATGGAGGGGATTAAATCCTTCACGTAAGGATAACCAGGAGGGAGAGCAGGTCCCCTGAGGAGTAAGGGAGGCAACTATTAAGACTGAGTAGTACGGTAAAGGGTGCCTGAGGCTGTCTTAAGGTTTTAGCGTCTGTTAGATATTTTATTAGAAATTATGAACCTATGTTTTCTTTCGCATTATACATTAGCCTTTGTAAATGGGAGAAGTGCTTGTAGCCTCAGATAGCTTGACTCTCATTTTGACTCGCTTGTCCCCCTTTTTAAGCACACTATCTTTCTTAATCCACTACTACTTATTCACTATTGTATCTTTCCCGGGAAACCTACACGTAACGGCAAACTTAACAGTCATAGTTACCACAAATCTATAAGTAGATATAGTTCATATTACTTCTTAGCTGCCTTCATCTGTTCTCCCTTCTTCGCGTTGGCAAGGATCGCGTCCGTAACGGGCTTCAGAGCCCGGTGCGGCAACTCGTGCCCGTAATCGTCAATAATAACCAACGTTGCTCCCTCTACGCCATCTCTCAGAGCCTTTGCGTGGTCTACCGAGAACAGTTGATCCTTAGCCCCGTGGATAACGACAGTCGGACATTTAACAAGCTTAAGCGCCTCCCTAGGCCATCTCACGCCCGCCGCATCCCCATGATTCGTCTTACTCCACATCGTCCCGCTCTCCCGCTCACGATAGTACGTTATCTCGGACATGCGTCTCGCTTCGGCCCTCTCTTCTTCGGTAGGCGGTTTCGTCGCCATGGCGAGAGACATCGTCGTATATGTTTTGATCCAGCCCTCGTGATCATCCCTATCCGTGGGTGGGTCAAACGCGTCAGTGAGTATATAGTGTCCCTCCATCTGCAGCGATGGCAAATTGTCTTTCTCATCCTGTATGCGCCCTACCGGGCTCGTGAAGATGAGAGCCAGACTCTCAACGATGTCGGGCAGCCGAGCAGCTGTTAGCCAGGAAACTGGTCCGCCCATGCTAGTACCTATTACGTGTACACGCTCAAGCTTCAGATGGTTTATAAGGCCGACGATATCGTCGACTATATCATCGAACGTGTAGGCACGCTCTCCGTAAGGTGGCTCGGGAAAAGACGTCGAACGGCCAGTATCTCGATAATCGAATTGGACAATAAAGTGAGGATGGTCCGGTGGATTAAGCAATCGGACAAACGCATTAGATGTTTGTGTCATAGACATTCCGAATCCCGAGTTAATGATTATGGCTGGGTCTGAAGGGTTGCCGAATGTCTGATAACAGATCTTACAGCCTTTCGGTAAGGAAACAAAGAGTTCCTCGGACATCTCCATCGTTTCAGATAATGGTGCGAATACAAGCTTTGGAGTTTGGTACTATTAGTTACAAGTTTTAAATCGCCATATAAAAAATCGTTATTAATTTCGGCAAGATACACATGGGCCGCACTAAATTGAGTAAACAACATCCAGAATAAGAAGGCCCCCGCAGCAATCCTTCTAGCAAGCGACCCTGTTGAGTATCTCCAATAAAAGTTGACACAACGCGACTAGTGGGGCTTTCAGGATCAATAACCACCATTCAACCAGTTCAGCCGTAGATGACATGGAACCTATCTCTTTAACTACCCCTTCACTATCAAGTAGACTCCTAAGAATGCTGGTAAGACTTTGTCGTACTGATAGCCATCTTTAATAACCCTAAACTAAGCCAATAGTGACTCAAGAACCATATGTATAATGTAAAAACACCAATGTAAACTCATAGGGAAACCTCTACTAATATGAGGCGTATTCACTACTACGCTTAACATTTCCTATCGATATAGGATCGATATAGGTAAACAAGGGATTGAGGCCTGACACGTAAAACTCAGCTTCATTAGTACTATTTCTTTCAGATCAAATTACATAGATAACATCATTGAATAATTTCACAAGGTCGATGAATCTAACAAAGAACTTGTTTGTAGTTGTGGAAGAAATTAGCTTGAGTAAATTTTTCTATAAAGCCCGGATGTACACATCAAAAGCCAATGGTAAGAAATCCGCCAATTATCAAGTGCTAACCTATACAAAGACACAAACACCTAAATATACTGTATAACTACATGTACATACAAGTTACACATTTAGTTATAAATACGAGTCTTGTGGCAATTGCCGCATTTGCCTATCGAGCTAGAGTTTGATCAACTTACAACTGTGAACAATAGGTATTAAGGTGCAGTTTCAACCCATCATAAGACAGGTATACAACTATTGAATAACTAGTACATATTAAACTTCTAACCAAAAATTCACTTAACGATCAAAGATACCACTACACGAGTGCCAGCTTAGATATCATTGATACACCACTCTAGCCAATACTTAGTCACAGCATATTGATTATCCTACTGACATCAGGTACAGCGTTTCGTCCGACTGACATTTTCTTATAAAACAATACTACCCAGATAACTTTCCATCCCGGGTATACTTTAGTTAACATTCGATCCACCGTTTACCCTCAGCCTCGCAGCTCTCCGTTAATATAGGATTAGACCATCCACTTACAGCAAAAACCCAACTCGCGAATTATCCCGCCATGGCCTTAGAACTAGAGTTTCTCGACGGCGACGTTGTCGAAGCCTACTTCCGAACAAACAGGAACAAAGTCAAGGAATACCTAGGGAGCAAAGTCCAACACGTTGACGACATCGGATATTTCCCAGGAAAAGTCGGCCCTGCTTCGGTATTGTATCTCGTGATAGTTCTCGCCGAGGAGTATCCCGGCGACCCCGAGGACCCGTCTATAAACGAGAGTATTAGCAGCAACATTTCCACGGCCTTGGAAACTTGCTACCCCTTCCCCAGAATCCATCCTAACCATACACTTTCCACAATGATCCAGGACTTTGTGGTGGTAAAGAGAGACGCTACTGGATATACGAAGGTTTGGTGGCCGACGTGGATCCATGCGCCTAACGGCCAGTATGGATGTTGGAACTGTACGGATAGACATTAGGCCGGAGATATGGACGGCTAACCTAGCAGTTCTACGTGGTACTTACGGCCCTTAACAGCGGTCAGGTTAGGGTTCTTGCTTATCAAGAAACTATCTCTATTTTCATCTTAATACATTAATCATAGACTATTAGGTAGTGTATAGGCGCTTCCTAGCACTAATAATTCATATTTTACCCAATCTAGATTTTGCTATAGTTTTATTTAGCTTATATATAGTTAGTTGTATTGATACGAACTTGTGTGTGTGTGTGTGTGTATGTTATTCACTGACGTTTCTGCAGAGCTATTTATCCGGAATAGGTTAGATAGTGCAGTCTATCGTATAACTACGACTAATATGTATACTTTAAAGACTTCAAGCATGCTTACCCTCTCGTAGACTAATCTAGCTGTATGGGGGAACATGTATGGTGTGTATATTCGCTAGCAAGTGTCATAAGGTATCTGCGGTAAATATTTACAGATAAGCATCTCATATCTTCACTTCTACGCTCTATGTATTACAGCTATTATACTTACGGGTATCCTCTTCAACAGCCAAGAACTTCCACGTGTAGAATTTACAGTAATAGTGGGCGTTGATGGGTAAACGATTAGTGGTAGGGATATCTTAGCCTATGGCCAGGGTTTACTGTCGGTATTATATCGTAACCGTTATTTGGACATTGAATTACCCCTGATCGTCAATTCTTGGGTAGGTACATACTGTTACAATATCCGTACATATCTCGCTCGTTGTTATGTAGTATAAAGTTCGAATTGTCAGTCTATTATCGCGAACCGAACCAAAGCAAAGCTGAATTGGAGATATTTGGCAGAAGCATAAAAGATCGCTTGATAATTTAACACGCTTTTAATATCTCAGAGGGGAAGAACGACAGAACGGATACGGATTATGTAGAAGTTTTTCTCCAGTTTATGACTATCGCGTTATGTACCCCTATTCGGGAATCCCGACTGCTGAAATGAGTGGTCAAGGGGCTTGCTTCTGGGGTTGGTACATGACATCTTGGCAAAGAATACGTATATTCAAGATCCCTCCCCTCTCATATGTACAGATGACATAGCGAGTTAAAATACGGGTATATGTATAAAAACATGTAATTGCCGTTTAGCTGGAATCGTACCTTAGATCAATGCTCGAAATCTGCATCCATTGAATCGTATCCCTCTGTCGGGACCATCCGAGGGCAAATTCTGGCGTAGTGGGGAGATAGATGCCATCCATCATTGGATGACACGATGATAACTGAAAATCAGAAACATTCAGCTGGTACAGTTGAGCCCAAGTTCGCATATCCGGCAACGCTCTTCGCCTAGATAGGCAGTCAGCCCGATGCTTATGGTAACCATCGATTTGACGCGGGCAGCAAGCGAGGGTGGCCACGTCGTTATATGTTCTTAGAGTAACCTAACGTAGACATTCTATTTATCTATAGGATCAATTCGACAACAGTACGATATCGTAAACTTTACTCAGTTGGACACAATGCCTTCTGCGCTAAAGAACCTTTTACGCTTACTTGTGTGCTTTAATCTAGACTATCCTGTAAGGGGATAGGGATGGTAGACGAGTTTTCCTAACGACGTATCATAAGCAATTACCTATTAAACAACTCGTTATCCCTTTAACTAGACCCAGAAGTTAATTCTTATTGATTATCCTCGGTACGAACCCGGTTAAGTAATAATCCTAGGTCTTGATAAAGTGTTTTTCATGAAGCACATCTACTTAAGTCATAGACAGCATTGCGCCTAAATAAAACCCGTTGGTATCCGACGAAGGAATCTAGATCGCTGCATGCCACCGCCCCAGATAAACGTATGTAACGTACGTACCATATCGTTATAGCTAGAGTGACGGGAGACGGGAGCCAAGGGTCTGCGATGAGTCGATGGTGTTGGAATGCTACAACGATGTAAAGTACGCCGCACGTGTGAGTGGAAACGGCGAGTTAGGGATGTAAACCTCAACACCCCCCATATTATAAATGACATGATCAAGGAATCTTACCCCAGGCAATTAGACGAACTGGAAGCGTCAGAACAAGTCGGGACCCAATGAGAATCAAGAAGGTCCTTGTGAGTAAGACCATATTCCGTATATAGTGCATACCGTGTTACCCATTCCGACATTATCAAAGTCATGGCCGGCATACTCGGGTATATATTCGTAAGTCGAAACGAGGTCGTCGCAACCATTAACTAAGCCCAATCGCATCAGGTATGCCATTCGATACAGAATGCTGACCCTATTCGTGTTCTGATGTGGGTGAGAACCCCAGGTCTTGTCAGGAGAAACGCAGGCTGGGGGTTTCTCACCCTATTAATGAGAGCTGCCGCGTCATCGTAAATGCTCGATGCTACGTCTTTCTAACCAGGATAAAATTAGACGTTATAACACGAGAGGAGCCGACAATTGAATTAAGCGGTCAGTTCTTTCAAATCCAAGTGGTCGGGCCTGGTTAGGTTGGTTATGCGGCTCTGCATCTTATTTATGAAAATGTAAATCAATTAGGAAAATCTCAGTTAACTGATGATGAGTTGAATCTAATTCCGTTTAAAAGATGTTTCAAAAAGAAATCAACTCCCGGGCCGAACCTGGGGATGATTATTCAAGTTTCAGAAACACTCCCACTTACGTACCCCGATAATGTATGATCCTCAAGATCACCGCGCCGAAAGAGTCAAAACACACGACACGGCGTTTCTAAGCGAAGACCTATAATCTATAACTAACTAGTTAGTTAATCTATAAAATTAGAACATGTGATGAGCCGCAATCACCTGCAAGCCGAGACCGCCTTAGCCGAATCCTGCAGGCTGTAATTGCTGTAAATATTTTTTTTTCTCGTTTGTTCGCCTTGGCGGTACATCTTATTTGATATGAATACGCGATATAGAGAAATAATCGGCGTCATTCGGTTATGCCTGCTCGTAAATCGCCACTTTCATTTCTTGTGATGATACTACTATTTACTGGATACTACCTACTATCGCTGCAGTGCTGATCGAAGTCCACTTCGATTGTTCTTCAATGTGACATAGACATCTGATACGGTTTTTTCGGAACAGCTCAAGTTCCCGGGGCAGAAAAATCCGGGCCTCGGCGTCTCAGTTCGAGCTTAGCTGCATATTAAACCAACAAGATCCAACGTGGGGAATTATTCCTTTTTCGTAGATTCTAATCCAGCAAGGTGAACAAGTAATTGTGTTTTGATGCACTCGTTACTAAACTGTTTAGTGTATATCTCAAAATAGGGGCTTTATTAATATACTACATACTACATCGTAGGATGTTTTAGGGGAGATTGAAGCCGCGTCAGCATTCGAGCCGGCGTATTAGGCTAGCAATTAAACAATTCCATTTGGGGAATGTTATCCGCCGTAATTAGCAACCGTCTTTCGCACCAATTTTTGAGGGTAAGGTCTCGCCCTTTGTCTAACGTAGCCGCTATCATTTTCTTTAGTAACTCGCTATTTGGTGCTTTGCGGAGTTGCTACACGTGGATATTAACGATTATTACAATAATGATAACCCGTCTGAATTTTGGTTGGCGCCCGCATTGTTATGTCGCCGCATTGACAAATGATGCCAAGACCACTAGTAAGGTCGGTGAAGGCTTATGTTTCCGTCATTAGTTACCTATTAAGCAAGGAGTAGGATTTCAGTTAGCAAAGTTGTTATTTTCTTCCATTCCCTTAAAAGTGCCAGCGCGTGCATATTAACCATTTGTTGGTCCAAAAGTATGGGATCCAAACGTGAAACACTCGGTATCCAAAATTAAGAAGATCTTAGGTAGATAGATAAGCTTGAATCAACAACAGTTCGGTAGAATAGAAGAGAAGTTATAATATAGATATGCCTATATCAGATTAGGAGAAGTTGTTCGCCATGTCGATCAGTAAAAAAATTTAGTATGTTTGCAGCCTTATTGGCTGCAGGGTAATGCTGGCAAACTGCGGAAGGTGGTAAAAACAAAATCGTGATCTTCCTAAACCCCTCCAACCACGGCAAGACGGCTGGGAGACGGGATCGCAGTCTGATACCGGATGCGCTGCTTTTGTTTTTTTCGGAAACGGGGATCACTGGAAACTAGGAATTCAAAGAGTCTTGGCTATAACACGAGCTATAACATGAACTGGGTCGAATTTGATAGAGCGGAGGCGGCTGATACGACGGCACAAAAAATCCGAATGGGAAGGGTGACACAAGCGCACGTCAGACTCGTTGTCGTCAGGCCGCATGGGGAAAAAAGAAAAGACTGTCAGACTGTTAGATGCAACTCAGGCAAGCTCATGTTATTAGACAAGGCATTGGAAACGTGTGGCGCGGGTTTGGATCTCTTAGAATAGAATTGGGAATGGGACAGTACATCCACATCCCATGTAATCAACAGTGTTTTCAGGCATTTTCAACGTGTGGGACAAGTATAGAATAAGAAAGCCAAGAACTGTTTAGTTACACTGCCAAGTCTCTTGGAAGAGGCGCTTGACAAGTAGTAAGAAAGGCCAAGATTCTTGTCGATGCCGATTATCCGGGGCAGTGGGAATAGCAAAAGAAGCTTTTTTTTCATGTAGGTGAACATCTAATATCTTCAGCCATCTTAAAGTTAGAGGGTTTGAAGCTATCGCATCAAGGCTTACAAGTTTAGCCGCGTGTGGGGGAGGGAAAGTTGAGAATAAAATGAAGCAGAAAAGTCGTAATTGATTATGCAGTTATTAAAAGGTGTATGTATTATGTGGTACCTTAGGTAGTGTAATCAATTGTACTCTAATAGTTCAAGTTATTATTAGTCTACATCTTGTCTATTCATTCAAGAACAGAGCTTCCTTGTCCAATCATATGTACCCCTCCATTTTGTGGTACCTACCGGGTATGTACCTTCTTAGAAAAGGAAAGCCGAGGGATTCCTAACATCGGGTACCGCCTCTGCGCCGCTACATACACCTACAACATTAAAGTCCCCCACTGCATTAAAGTCAATCTACACTAAACGTTGCCGCATTTAGCTTTAGATACTTTAAGCCAGGATATATATCCTTTGTTTGCCCACTTTAGGACAGCTGAATAATTCCGTAATGTGCCTAGAAATATTAGTTTTTATAGTGGTTACTTTAGGTTATGTTGGAGGGTATTTTACCAACAGACTATAAGTATTACAAGAGAGAGAATTAATGACCAAATGGTTTTTAACAGTGATATGTAAACATGTCAGAAAGTTGCCAAACGCATAAGGGGAATCTACGAAACCACGAAACCAGCAACTACGTAACTCAACCCACTTGATTTAACCCCATTAAACCCCATTTCGTCACTGCCCCTGCTAAATGTACACTACGTAGGTACCTAACCTACCAAGTAGCCAATGTAGCCAATGTACCTGATCAAAAAGAGGCTGAATTGGTGGAGTTCCAATTACCTAGTCCACCTGCAAATGCCCAGTCACGCACGTCGCTTCCCTTTCTCTTAAACCACACCAAACAGAGAACCTTGGAAAGCGTCTTTCCCTCCCTCTCCAATTCTCGCCAAGCCGCCGTCTACCTTGAACTATATGGGGGATCCATACATCGATCAAATCACATCGATCCTGTTTGCCAAGTCTCAATCGTTCCGCCCCTTATTATATCTTCCCTCTTAAAAAATCCTCCAACTTCCCTTTTCTCTTCTTTCTTTGCGCCTCTTGCCGTATCTTTAAGTGTGTGGGAACTGACCTCTAATCCTGTCCTTCTTGTTCTTTCTTTTTTATTTCATCACGCATTTAATCCATCCGCCTTGCTTAACCTGTAAAAGGGAATTAACTAACCGAAGCGGTTGTGTATGCATATATTTATATGCTTGCGCATGGGCGAATAATACCAATCTAATATTATTCCTACTTATATTGAGACCGGTTGCCCTACGAGCCTTACGGAGCTTATCATTAAAAACATCCATCTCTAGGTCGCGTTCGTGTCGCCACCTATTGTTAATCAGCCTCTCTAGGACGCATATTAGTGAAATCTAGTCCCGCTTTTCTCTGTGCTGCGCGCGTCCAGAAAACACAACAGATCCGAGTCGTAACATTCCAGCTTCGCTCGTTCCCTTCGTTCAACCCCTTACTTAACTAGGTGGTGCATTCGACACGGGAGTACCTTGGAAACAAGATTCTCAGACTCGATAAGGTGTTGGTTACTTCCGACATCAGTTCTCTAGCTACACCAACTCCAACTCCGACCCAAATCCCTTTTCTCAAGGCATGACAGCGAAGTAATTATATCAATTTTGCGATTCCGCGATAACTCGTCATAATGGCTATTGGTAGAGAAGGAAATGTTAAATGGGTAGATGTAAGTTAACCAGTTTTATTTACGTCGTGAATGGGAATGCGACCGGCGACTAGAATGGATATCGATCGAATATGGCTTCAAAAATTTCGAACCTTCAAAGTTGCGATAAAGTTCGAAGCTTTAGCTGAAAGAGGCATCAGCCCACATGAAGACGGAATCTTCGGATGCTCGACACTGCGCCGAATCAGAATCATGGTTTAAACTAAGCAGGGAACGAGAAGGGAAAGAGAAGAGAAAGGCGAACTCTAATAATTCAGCTGTTCTTCGTAGCTAACAGTATTGTCCGTTTTATAGGGTCTTCGAGGCTTCGCATCCACTCTGGTGGTTTTAACTCATATCGCTAGAGCTTTCGATGGCGACCTTTTTCTTCCTGCTACTCATAACGGCTCAGCACCGCGGCCTATGCAACTACCTTTCCTACGAATCCTAGTTCAGGGCCGTATCGGTGTCACTATCTTCGCTTTTGTTACTGGCTATGTCTGTGCTCTTAAACCTATCAAACTGTACCGACAGAATAACCAAGATGCCGCCTTCACATCTATCGCCAAGTCCGCCCTCCGCCGTGTTCCTCGATTGGTTATACCCTGTGGTCTCGCAACTGTCATCATTTGGATAATGGCGAATCTAGGAATGTTTTTGGTCGCAAAGCAGAGTGACTGTTGGTGGTGTGGTAAGACCGCACCTGATCGCCAAGCGAACGTGTTCCTGTCTGTTAAACACTTGATTGAAAACATTATTTCAACGTGGACAAGAGGTCGAAACGCGTACGATGGCAATCAATGGACATTATTGCCATTGCTGAAAGGAAGCATGGAAGTTTATACCTTTATTGTTGCCACAGCCTATATTCGACCTCAGTTCAGGATGGTTTTGAGTTTGATGATGTATGCCTATTTTTGGATGGCGTCTGACTGTACGTTCTCAGTTCTTCTATACTTTACTTCAAAGCTAATTATATCGCAGCGGCTTTTGGGATGCAGTTCTTCTGGGGTGTATTCCTCTGTGACTTGCAAAACCATCCTCCTGCCACCGAGTGGCTTGCTCGTCGACCAAAGGTCTCGCAAGTTTTGGCTGCGATCTTCTTGTTTTTGGGTCTCTACGTTGCCTCGTATCCTGAAGGACACCCAGAATGGGCGGCTTGGTCACGATACCAATTCGAAGTTTTGAAGCGCATCCTTCCCAAGGACCCCGATTTCCCTCGATTCGCTTCCGGAATTGGCTTGGAATTGATTACCTTAGGTTTACATTTCAGCCCGGCTCTACGTGACATCATGTCGAGCAAATATTTGCTTTGGTTTGGCAAGCAGTCCTTCGCCGTTTATCTTTTACACGGTCCTCTCCTTCGCAGTGTTCTTTGCTGGATGGTTTATGGAATCCATGTGCCCCCGCCTATCACCAATGACAAGGGTGAAACGATTCAAGGCACACTCATGTTCCCGAGCGGGTGGCGTCTCATAGTCGCCCTACCATTTTGGATCCCTCTAAATTACGGCGCCGCAATGCTTTGGACAGGCTATGTCGACCCTTGGTGTGCGACTTTGACCGAGAAAATTGTGGGCAAAGTTATGTTGGCACGCGACGAGAAGGGTGCTCTCTTACCGCAATAGATACGTGGTATTGATCATCCCGAGAAACGTAAATATTGCGACAGCTCTAGACGGCCAAGACCATAAACGGGATATCGGAGAGGCAATAATGCTATGAGCAATGCCATTCGATAATCCCCGGTTCGCAAACCGACATTTACATTAGAGGGGACGCATTTGCCAGTACCGACAATGTTCAATACTTTTCACCAAATCCTTATTAAGAACTCTTCCCTGTGAATATGGTAGCTCTTTCTTTTCTACAATGGGTATTGGAGTTTCTGGAGTACAATAGGCTTGGCCATGGGATTGCATTCATCATTGTTCAAGGGGCATCGGGGGCATTTGACGGCCGAAGAGCATCATCGTACATACGCCCGGGGCGTCGTTATTAATTTCTACAGAGACGGTCGCAATATTGGCATGCATCGGGAGGTAGATAAGTCAGCGATGTTTTTGACTGGCTAGTAACGGTTGATACCCATGATGATGAAAACAGCCGAACTTAGATAAAGATGTCAGGACGATGCCGTGTGCATCGCTCAGTATACAGATCAATTCAGATAAGATTCTATCTGCGTTACAATTTGATAATTGTGATTTCCTGTTATTATAGATCATGTACTCAAATATGTACCTAAGATATCTTGATGATTATCCTACCTATCTTATGCTCATAATTTACGTATACTATACTTCAAAACTTGATCCATGAGAGTAATTTTACTTCCCTACCTGTTTAGGTAGTTTTGACGCCGAGTGAAAGATTTAGACAAGGTATTCCAATAAGTTCGCCCTGCCAAGTACTCAATAGCGTATACACATTTTCCCGCGACTTGAAAATACCAATGAAAAAGGACAATTGGGGGGGTGTTCATTAAACAAACGACGTCGTATGTATAGTTTGAAGTCGATAAACGAGATAGGCTATTGACTACCGACAAGATCGGCGCGCAACTTGTTTGTGGTCGTATTTCTTGCATTGTGACCCCATCCATGGTTTGCCGTATCCAGGTCATCGGGCCATGCAGTAAGAATTTAGAAACCTGCCTAAACGGGAAGTGTGGATGCAGCAGCCATACAACCCTTCTTTGCTGTCGTTTAGAGCCTTACGTTGATTAATGAAAAGGCTTAGTAAGTTAGGTAAGTACCTAGGTAGTATCTGTAAGAGGTAGCATCTGGGTTAGGTAGGTAGGTAGGTGGTTGTAGGTATATAGGTAAATATTACTTTCGTCGGTAGGTATCTAATTCATATCTGCTTGTATTTATTGTGTTATCAAATTTCGAAGGCATATAAGTAAAAGTAGAAATACCTTGAGTTTCGAAATTTTGGTTTGAGTATGATAACTGTTAGCAAATATTTGGAGGTTCGAATAAATAACTAGTAGCGGAACAAGTTATAGTGAAATCAAGGACACCTTTAAATGTAACATACTTACATCTATTTACCATTATCGTATGACGTCCTTAATATGCATTCGTAACACTTGGGTGCGACGCCATCATCTTAGTCTATAAAGATCCTCTTGTTATACAGTTGACAGAGCAGATTTGAGTTTCAGTTCCGGATGGGAAACTCGAAGTTAACAAGTCTTATCTCTTCCTTGATAGAGCGTTTACATGAGGTCAAACAAAACACTTACAGCTTCAGCATTAATCGCATTCTCTTCCGACTCGAGGGGTAGCGTAACCAGCATTTCTAAACAGGTTGACTTATAATCATATTTTAAATATAGTATACACCGACCTAGCGACGTCTAGAGTCAAGCTTACCTAGCTTAGATAAAAAGGCAAAGGAAATTCAACTAATTAAAATATCTATTAGTACTCTCTGAGCTATATGTTACATAAACATCCTTAGTCCGCAGGGTTGTATCCTGTAGTTCAATATCTCGTTATGTTAACACTACGCGCACATTATAACTTCCAAGCCAATAATTAATACTATTTTATAGATATAGCCATAAATCGAGCTTATACGTTAGCTATAAATGTTAGAAAATAGGAATTAAGACTAGTTAAATAACGAGGGTAGCTTATTAGATAATAGTTTAATGTCAGTTAACTACCTAATAAATGGGCATATAAGGCATGAAGGTGACTATAGTTTTGTAGAGGAGTAAAAATCAATAGATTTCTTCAATATATCATATATATTAACTATTGATCTATGTGATACACATACCAAGAGTTATATTTAACAGTAACTTATAGCGAGAGCAAACAATCGTATGAATTTATAAATCAGATGTAACTAATAGCTTTAGCTTGTTAAAAATGAGATTTCGTTTTCCTAAAGGTTCGATGTGTTTCCCAGGTACACACCCTTGTTCTCTTATCTATATCTTGTCTTATGTGTAAGAGCTTGTGTCGCCTTATTGGAAGTCGAATTATTCAAGTCTTGCGGTTATCGCTATGAATCTAGATAATGTCGCTTTTGCGTAAGAACATAAGGATGGCTCTGTTTGAGCAACCTAGGTACCTACTAAATGATAGGGACCTATATAAAACGCGCGGAATGAAAGAAGATTACAGTATATATGGCTACAAACTTCTATAGTCAATGTGAAAGTCGTGTTCCTTTAGTAATTAGGTTGTTGTTTAAAACTGTCAATAGGCCATCGAAATCTCAAAGTAAGCACCCAGAATTTCCTATTCAAATCAAATAAATGTTGTTAGGATTTTAGATGAAACATCTACAGCACAGTATGCTTTCAGTGTGTATAGCCAAAAGCTCCAATAACCAGCCAAAAGCCCCTTACGGAATAACGAAGTTGCTTCTATCCTTCTTGTTCCATCTCATGATAGGTATATGCCCGCCTTAGAAGTTGTTGTGCCTATGTAAAGGGCAGCTAACTACTAAATATGTTTCGGTGCGTAAGCTATATAATGCTAGATCCATAGAGAAACACAAGGTAGTTTTTAGTTTTTTTCGTTTGTAGACAACTCAACTCGGTATCTTCAAAACTCAACAATACGTGGCTCTTCTACAGTTCTATCTAGACTAAATTCTATCTGGACTAAATAATGCCAAAGAAGTCTGTGTTAACGTATATCAACACCGCATCTCCCCAAAATACGCTGTGCAAATTTGATAACCTGGAAGATAGGCAGCCAGTAAAACCTACCGGCACCACCTCCGCACGAGCAAAATATTCGGTGTAGCATCTTGTGTCATGCTTAAACATCTGTAAGCTAGCTGAAACGAGATGGGGAGATGCGCCGAAGCCGGCTACTCGGCAAAATACTGCATAGATCGTGGTTTGCATTGACTATACGACCGGGCAATTAGAACCTGAGTACAGTTTTGTTTGATATTCATTGAATTCCCGGTCTTCACAACCAAAGTTCTACTAATGATACTCTTTTGTCTAGAGTAATTATATCTCTAATCTTGAGAAGTTTAATATTTTTTTTGGTACATTATTCAACAAGAATTGGCGAGAAATTACTATAGAAGATGGAGGCGAAAATAAAGCCACAAATTATTAGTATTGTATGGGACTATGCAGATATGATGCTGAATAGGTAAGTCAGATAAATTTGCTTCGGTCATGTGTCTGGAATTCAGCCGTATACTCGTATAAGGAGTTGCCATAAGAAGAATCCATAAGCAATATTGAATGGATATTGGGCATCTTGAGAATCTATTCGTTTACACCCGACTCTCGTGAAACCCCATGATTGGGCAACCACCATACTGCAACCCAAGTCATAGGACTGACGGATAAGTATCTCGGAAGTCATTTCCGTATGCAACTGGCGCTTTGCAGCATTCTCACCAATTGGCAGTTTACTATAATACCAGGTTACGAATAATGTCACTAGAATGAAACATAAAGGACCATGATCATATGCATGCGTCATTACACACCCGGTAATTAATGGCTAAGAATTGCTTTTTGTTTCCCTTCGCCGCCAGAGTTTGGCACCCTATTATTGGCGTAGCCCTTATTTTCGAGTCAAAAAAAAAAAAAAAAACTATCCTCGTCTTCTCACCGGGGATCAAAGGGGGCGAATTAATAAGCAATATAGCTCGCATGACATCGTGGTTAAAAACCGTTGTGGTTTCAACAAGGGGAAGGACACTCGTCCGGCCTACCGCGCGCGCATACTATCTGATGTGGTTTGTATGCAATATGATTTCGTATGGAGGCCTCTAGATATCTGCCGTGAGATTTTAAGATAACAACTGGCTACCTGGGAGCTGTTCCCCGGTCTGCGAGGAGTCGTTGTTCGGTGTTACACAAGGCTGCATTGACTGTCGGCTGTGGGAGGCGTCAGATTTGATTCCTTGAGCCAGAAAAGACGTTACCCGTGGCCTTATAATTGGACCATTGACTTATGATATTGCGGACCTCACGTCAGCATTCGTGGAAGAATCAAGGAATATGCGTGACGTGAGACGAACTATCCGGGGACTTTCCTTCGGGAGCTTTCCTATGCCCGCCATACGTCTAATCCTACGATACTAGGATCGTCAGATCATGCTGTGCTCGCTTGTCCCCGGACGGACCGTCAGCCCCAGTCCCAGCAGGATGGGTCCCGAATCCCGACACCAAGATATGACGGTGGGATATGCACACCAGGGATAACTATCATCGTCGACGTAACCCTCCAACGGATTTCTACCCAAACGGATATCTCGTTAGTGGGGAACGGTCCGAAAGATAAAACAAAAAAAAAAGTAAGCACCTAACTTCATTATCCTAATTGCATACTTTTATAGGTGTAGTTGGATGCAATGCAATGCAATGACTGCGCAAGGAGGCGGTATATTTGAGGCTTAGGGCTTAGGCTTAGGACTAAAAGGAAAAGACGAAATGAGACCGGAAAAGAAAGAAAAAAACAAAAAAAGGAAAGGAAAAGATGTCCAACTACCCAATAAGGTTACATGCGATTACTCGTTTAGGAAAGTAACATGTATCTAAGTATTTTTCTTTTTTTTCTTTTTTGGCTTTTTGACTAAGAGTTAGCTCGTGCGAGTAATTCTGTGTAACAAAAAAAGGTACGGGCCACCTGGCAATGACAAGCCTTGGAAAAAGCAGTCGAGTCTAGAAGCAGAAGCGGCAGGGGGTTTATTGAATACGGAAGCAGCGGATGACTTCCAATCCACTCGATCTACTACGACGAACTTAATTATTATTATTCCCCGCCCCCACCGACGATTTGGAACCGATGTCTTTTCCATTCACCTTAAGAAAAAAGTACAAACTACATACATACATTAGATTAGGTACCTACATTAGATGCCTACATTAGGTACATTACACAGATGACACACAGACTACCTCACATACACATACACATACACATACACATACACATACACATATACACATATCATTACACATACACATACGCATACACACATACGCATACGCATATCTAACACATACACATATACACATATACACAAATACACATGTACAATATAGGACCTCAATGTCATGTCGAGTGTAAATTCTTATCATCTCCGCCTTGTTGGCGTCCTATCTCCAAACCCGGCGTTTTACTCATTTATGACAGAAAATACCATGCATATAAGTCATATATTCACTATGCATTTCATCTGTCGATCCCCTCCTTCTAGTCAGCCAACACATCATCGGCTCCGAGCCCGCGACCAACCATGGATCTCTTCTCGTCCTTACCTCCCGAGATTCGGATCATGGTCTGGCGTCATGCGGCCGACCTGATCTATGAATCACGCCCTCGGTGTATCTAATTGTTGACCTATCGTCCTCTTTATCTGAGCGCACAGCTTGATGAGTTCGCGTTACCTTATGCTGTCTTCCAGGTCAGCCTGAATCACACCACGAGGCTGCCAGCCGATAGTTGCTGTTCAGAGCTTGTAACTGTCCGAAGAGAGAGAGAGGGACGTGTGAGAGCTGAGATGGATGTCTTCATTTTCTATCATGACCATGTTAGTCGGGATGGCCTACGTTCCTGAATGGCAATTGCTTCATTCTGAAGGGGATAATCACGTATTTGCTTGGTCACCGACCTTCTTGAGGAAAGTCATCCTGCCTAGCGTATGCTTCACTCATCCGTATAGTGACAAGATTGTGTCTCTGCTCAGGCTCCCTTGTTTTACGTACCATCTACCTGGATTTCGGATACCCCCTGCTCAGTGCCGAACGTGAATCCGACTCGAAAATGTTCCGAGTCAAGGTTCCGCCCACAAGGATTAGCTAGTACGTGTTTGTGAATTCACTTCTGACTTCTTATGTAGTGAGTCCGGCGCTCAAGATATAACAGCTGTATCGACCTGACGTGTAAACTGACAAAGATATTTTCCTTAAATGGACACGCAATGCCCTGGAGAATGTTTTAAAAGGGTGGGAACCTCTCGCGCGGAAAGGCGTGGTTGCTATCCTAGTATCTTGAACTTTATTACGGCCTGCAAACGGAAATCTAGTCCGGCGCCCAGACCAAATGACCTTGCCCGTACCCTTGGGTGAGCGCATGGATGAAGACCCCAAGCCCTGCATGCGATAGCGCGCCGCGGCTCTGACCAAAAAAACCAACATCATATCTGACGGCTTTTATGGGCTCCCTAGCGCCATCGGCTCCCATTTAAGCAGGGGATTGTCGACGGTAATCATACGCGGTGGACGTGGAGTTACGAGGGGTAGTATCTGCAGCCAGCCTTTTACGGAATAATCAGCCCAACATTGACGTCTTTAGAAACAGTGGAAACAGCTTATGAACTTCTCACCAGGGTGGTCCAGCCTTCTTCTGGGTATTATTACCTGACCTGCAATTTGATCTCAGCTAGCAAGGGTCTAAGAGATCTTCATCTCTCGCAACCTTAGCTCTGCTTCTCGCTAATCGCCCCTCCTGGTTTTCGTCAGCTCATACATAGTTAGAGATATCATGCCTCGGGGCTCCCAGAGCTATACTATCGCGATGAGAAAGTTCATCGACAAGCGCATGAATATCTCCCAAGACTCTGATACTTCCTTCATACTCCAGCTCCAGCACCAAAGAAACTTACTCGCACGTACCACGTGAAATACTTTCCCCCTTCATCTTCAAGAGGCTAGCGCCTCATACCTAGTCACACTCATGCCTTTACAAGCAAGCTATCCGTTCACGATGCGTAAAAGGCGGTCACCGATTGGTGAAGATATAGCAACTACGCGGCCACGACGTCGCAACTTACAAAACCGGCCGCTCAAGCCACTCGCCAATGCTACTACGAGACGCACACGTTCACTTCCTGCAGTGAGCCAGCCATTGCCAATGCTGGATAAGGAAGACCATCTTGGTTGGCAAGAACCACTTTCGGTGTGGAACCAGAACGCACCTCGCGTTTATATATGCGTCGTACTATGCTTTCCGTGCGATAATCAGCGGCGGCACGACGCAGTTCGACATATCGAATCTGCTCTCAAACGTCTAGCGAGAGAACGACCAGTCTTCGCCGGTAGGCTTCGGGCTAATAGTAATAGCGGTAGCGTCTCACTTCACCGGTCACCTTTACAAGATATTCCTTTCCAAGTGCTCCCCGCGAGCGAAACGAGTCGACAAGAATACTCACGAATGAAGGATGCCGGTTTCCCACCAGGCGCATTCGTCGGTTCCCGGTTCGGTGTTTCGGGCATAGTAAGCTCCAACCTTGATTCGATACCGGTATCCAAGGTACAGGCAGAGTTCCCGCCCGGTGGTCTACTACTTTCTATGTTCTTACATCACGGGTTGGTGGATGGGGGCTCGTTGCGCGTCTTCCTGGAATGCTTTGCCGCTCAGACTCGAAACACTCCAGTTAACTTGCCTTCCGAGCAGACGTTTCCGATGTTACATCATCGCGGCCAGAGAGGCCCAATTACCATACATAACGACAACGGTGCTACATTCCAGCTTCTACTAAAACGATGTCCGGAATACACGATGCTACGTGACCTTAGCGGCCCAACGCAACCGCGAATCCTAAAGACTGGGCCGTCTATGGCAAACATCGAGAAGATAGGCAAGATCTTCGTTTTCAGGAACGAGCGACTGCAGGAACTCCGAGAGCTGATTCGGTCTCGAAATGGCGGGGTGGAGTCGCCGTCGGCTTACACAAGCTTGGCTACCCTCGCCTTTGCGCATATCACGAAGTCCCGCGTGGCAGCCGAAAATAACTTACCTGGGGTAGAACCAAGACGGAACGCCATGCTATGGAACTCGGTGAACTGGCGAACGAGAGCCTTCAAGGGCGCTACAGAGAACTACTTTGGCAATGCAGCCCTACCAGTTGTTACGAAGACATTAAAGACGCAATTAATTGCAGCTTGCGACGACGACAGCGAACTTGCTCGTCTTGTCCCGCTCGTGAAAGCATCTATCGACGCCGTCGACCAAGAATACGTCAGCCGGCGCCTCGCGATGCTATGCGAAGCGCCCGACCCACGGCTAGTAGGAGTGAATTATGACCCACGGATGCCCGAAGCGCTGGCATTCAACACATGGCGACATTTCGGCGCGGACGTCGAATGGAACATACCGGGAGTACCCGTAACCAAGGCGGATGCAATTAGGCGGGCTCACGGTTCGTGGAACCTTGGTACAGCTCTGATACTCCCGGCCAAGGCGGACTCGATGAAGCAAGAACTCTTTGTGAGCTTACCGGTTGATTCGATGAGGCTGCTGTGCGCCGACGTTGGGTGGACGAGGTGGGTTGATAGGATCATAGGTTGAATAATGATGAGGCTGCAACCACTATAATGTAATTATCTAATGCCTTTGATCCCTGCTCCTCGATGATCTACTCACTTCTCATTTCCGTGGCAGCTAGGTATTGGTTGTCACCCTGTCGGCTGTTGTATCCGAGGTCCAGCATAACCGGTTCTCGTCAGGCCTCCCCTTTCATCCCTGCTCCTTGAATGACATGTCACCTCAATCTACTAGCCTCGTGCACGACAGGACTTTACTTTTTCTATTCCCGGCTGTACCAAACTTCCAGGATAGAGGGGCAGCAAACCGCGGAACATCCGAGCCATATCCGGAACCAGGCCCCCCCTTCTCGCTCCCTCGGCGCCAAGATGCGCCGATAGGTACTACATACATCCGCGATGAGAATTTGTACAAATTAAACAGATTCACGATGGCCGGATAGATACACTACGTTATTTAATCGAAGGACCAACCCGCCCGCAACGGGACGGGCCGTTGCATTTAATGAGAGATTTAGATGGCGATGGGAGGCTCAAGGGCACGGAATAGCCTATTGTCTATTGTACAAGTCGTCAATGTGCAGTCGATGGTGCAGCGGGTTTAGGTATGGTGATACGCTTTGATGTGTTTTGGTGTGAAGCGAGGACCGAAGTGGTGGTGGTGTCGGTGTCAGTGGTGGGTAACATTGTTTCGATTCTGACCATTTTCTGTCAGACTGTGAGCAATGGCGATCAATCGATCTACTTTACTGTACGTACTTCTGACAGCCCTACGGAAATCACGAGACTAGATGGGATTGCAGAGTTTCAGCCGCTTTTCTAAATCGTCTGTTCGGTTTCCTCTTGCATCCTTCTGGAACGATGGCTAGAAGGAAAGTAGGAGTAAAAGAAACGGCATAGTTTGGTCCACCCGATCGGGCGATCGAAAATGACGGTTCTGTACGTACACGTTGGTTTCGAAAAACGACAGAACCCAGACGACTACTGCAGAGAAAGCTGCTGCTCTGCGGCACAGAAAATCTCACCAAACCACCATTTTTTACGATGACATAAGAGCTCCTAGGGTACAGCGGTGACCGTGTGCCTACGTACATGAGTGGAGGATACTTACTTATTAGGATTTTTACCTAAACTCTTCAACCGAACCCTTCTCAAGCACGGTTAACTTGAAAAGAGAAGAAAAGAAGAAAAAAAGAAAAAAAAAAAGTAGCGTAGCTTTCTTTTTTGAAAAGACGGCGGGAATACTGTATGACAGCATTATTCTGACTGCAATATTGCGCCTGGCATATTAATGCTAATATTGCATCCTCTTATAGTGTTACTCATAATACCGGAATCAAGGTATCATCGACAACTGCCTTTACCGGGTTTCTGCAGAAAGAAAAAATACAAGCTATATTAAATGAAATTAAGAGCTATGCATCACTTACGTGCTTCATATATGTCGCGGCGTTTTTCTTTCTTTTCTTTTTATTCTTTAACTACTATTTCCTATTTCCTATTTCCATAACAGACAGCCCCCGGTCTGTGGGGAGGAGGAGGGGCGGGATTGTTCAAAAGCAGTGATACTCTATCGGCAGGAATCCTATTCGTCAAGAAGGTGTCGTGATACGAACATTATCAAGTGTGTATTATTATATTTGGCGCTGCTATTATTTTCTGTGGCGCCTTATGGGCTTTCTTGGATTCTTAGACTACCGACGCCATTATTACTTTTTGACGAATTATCTCGGGTTCGGTTGCTCTTATGGGGTTGGGCTTTGGGTTCGTCGCTTATTCTTTATTTACATCCACGTGGGTTTTCGAAACCCGATCCGGGATCTTTTTATTTTTTTTTATTCCCACCCTTTCTCTTTTACATACGAAGTTCGCTGGGTTCCCTGGGTAGTGGATCATCCTTGACCTTGCCTTGACCACCTTGACCAACCCTGACCAACCTCAATTTCAATCAAGAAATATGCTTTGCCACTTATTCATGTTGCACGACATGTGCCGTACATACATACATCTATCTAGGTTAGGTCCCTAAGTCTAGACAATATAGGGGGGGGGAGCCTATCTATCACCATGTTTAGTAATCTATCCTCTCACCTCTCTCCTCTCTCATCTCTCTTCTTTACGTACCCTACCGTAATTTAAACTAAGTCGTTCCGCTCACCGCTGCCTTATGTATTGCTAGTCACTAGTTCACTACCTACATAGTCACTAGTCACGATGCATCAGCTGGGCGGTAATGATAACTTGCAGGGGGTCCCTCCCCCCCTCTCTCCCCCCCAATGATCTAACCTGGGAGTTCTCGAACATGCATTCCCAAAGATACACCAGATTTGGTCCATCTTTAACTTGAGCGGAGATAACATTCGAACGAAAACCGTTTTTTTTTTTTTTCAGCTGAGCTTAGCCCTAGGGTCCCCTACCCAGACCCTGACCAGACGCGCGTAAAAAAGATCTATGATGATACATACATACATTGCAGCGTCGTCCTTATCTAAATGTGATATCATGCGGTATGGTTGTGTTTCGATAAGTCGATGTGCGACGTTTCTCCCGTTAACGCTGTTCTCGGTTTCGGTTCCGGTTCTGTGTAATCCGTACACCGTCGCGTATTGTTCCTCGTATTGTTAATGCTGTACCCCCACGACGAGTAGTTGTAGGTGTGTACAGTATGATACCCCCCCCGGCTTCTTCATGCGTAAGCTAAGCGAACATGTTCGAGTGAATATCATGCTGTTCTAATCTGGTGTCTCTCTGCCGCCTTATCTACCTTCGTCGTCTTTAGGTATTTATATTTTCAACTGCGCTGTGGAGAAACTTATTCTTCATGAACGACGGATCGGGTTCTCGACTGTGATAAAGACCGAATCGCCCGTCTATGCATATTAGATAGCCAAGTGTGTTCTTTGGCGACTCGGTTGTTACTAACGTATGCGCCATCGAGAATATATATATCCTAGGTTGTCTCCAGCGACACATTCTAGTCAGTGAGCAATCTTGCAGAAAGACTAAGGCGATATTATCACATCCTAGAAGCTTTCGTTAACAAATTGCAAAGGGAGAGACTATCGTGTCGCATTGCCGACTATATGGCATTACATCAGTTCAGTCGAGCAATGTTATGTCCATAATGCTTTACAATCTTCTCGTATCGCTGCTACCAGCTATGGTATGCTAAGACGCGAAAGCACAATGATGGTTTATTAGGACTCAATGAAGTTGAATCGAGAATATATTTCTTGAGTAGAGTGGAAACCACTTACATACAGAAGTATGATGGAAAGGTTGGCACGTCAAGCACTAGCAAGAGTTCTCATCTTAATGCCTCATCGCGGCATTAAGAACTCTGCAGTTGGCGAGATTCATTGATATCGTATGTCTTGGTATGACATGATCACATCATGAAGAAAGATGAGAGGGTAATGATTCTGATCGAAGCCCCACGACTTTTTGAACGGGTCTAGGTGGGATCTCGTAACGAATTACACGCTACATTTGCTACACTGCTACACCGGAGGTTTCGTATTCGTGCCCACCAGCTATATCTTATTACTATGGTACTACTGACCTCAGTATTGATGTTTTCGTCGTCAGTTCTATCGCCATCGCCGCGGCGACTCCAGCCCAGCCCCAAGCGGGAAGAACAGAACAACATAGCCTGCTTTTACCGAGAAAACCGGCAAAAAGCGGTTTATTTCCACATGCAGACATGATTTATATTAGCGTTGGGGAGCCGCATGAGCCAACCAGGCTTCTTCAATTCTTTCATCGGACGTCTAGATCGTGTCGTTGACGCCGTCCGCGTAAATAGCATATAACATGAAACCAACATCATGCAACGCGGCCCCAGGGTAAGGGGGAAGGGGGGGCCTCGCCCAGGATAAAAAGCTTACGATTTATCCGCCGGCAAAAATCTGCTAGCGTTCCATCACGTCAATGATCGTGACCTTTCGACCCCCCCGGTTCGAACAAGTTGGCCCGCTGCCGGTAGAATTGGCCTTTTCCCCACGATGATCGCCGCAGACAAACATGCTAATTCTAATCCCCAACTTCCCATCCCAATCCCATCTTCTCGGGTACCAGGAACGGACTGGTGATTCCCCTTTTTCCACAACGAGAGGGCGAGAGGGCTGTTGATGACTATTGGCTGTTGGCTAAACCGATCGCAGGAAATAATATATATATATATATATAACCTGGGGCTCGCCAAGTATATAAGCAATCTTGTCCCGTCGCGGCGATCATTAGACCCTGAAGAAGCTTCTTTTTTTTTTCTTCTTCTTTCTTTAGTAAGAGCTAAAAAAGACAAATCTTCATCTTCGGTCAAGTCAAGTCAAGTCAAGTCAAGTTCATCCCGCTCATCAAAATTTCCGTTTGAACAACAACAACAACAAACATGCTTGGTTCATCCATCTTCGTTGCCCTCGCGGCTGCCGCCGGGGCCATCGCCTCCCCTCTCGACCTCATCACGCGGTCGACCCCCGCCGGCACTGGCACCAACAACGGCTTCTTCTACTCGTTCTGGACCGACGGCGCAGGCCAGGTGACGTACAACAACGGGCCGGGCGGGTCGTACGACGTGACGTGGTCGAACGTGGGCAACTTCGTCGCGGGCAAGGGGTGGAACCCGGGAGCGACGCGGGTGATCACGTACAACGGGACGTGGAACGGGGCCAACGTGAACAGCTACCTGTCGGTGTACGGGTGGACGCGGAACCCGCTGATCGAGTACTACGTGGTGGAGTCGTTCGGGACGTACAACCCGTCGAGCGGGGCGCAGAAGCTGGGCTCGGTCGAGAGCGACGGCAGCGTCTACGACGTCTACCGCACCCAGCGCGTCAACCAGCCCTCCATCGATGGCACCTCCACCTTCTACCAGTTCTGGTCCGTCCGCCAGCAGAAGCGCGTCGGCGGCTCCGTCACTATCAAGAACCACTTCGACGCCTGGGAGAAGGCTGGCCTCAAGCTCGGAACTCACAACTACCAGATCCTGGCTACTGAGGGCTACCAGAGCAGCGGTTCTGCCTCTATTAATGTCGAGCAGTCCTAAGGAATATGCGAGTGAGCGTGTTGATTGCTTGGTAGGAAAGGCGGAAATATGGCTTCGCGGAACGCACGGCTTGCTTGCTTGCTTTCTTGCCTTTCTGATGTATGCTACTCGATATCGTTATCCTGTCGTTAAGTTCGGATGTATATTTCTTGGTATTCGGCTTTTGCAGCTAGGAAATTGAGTTATGACCGATAATTCCGTCTTCGTACAAACATGCGTGAGTGGCTCGTGCCAATGAGAGTGAACTGTTTAATTGTGTTGTAAATTGTAAATTACTTGGGGATCCGTACATGTATTCCCGGGTTCTATGAGTTGCAGCTTGACGGTATTACCTCGAGATTGAGTGGATATATTCAATATTAACCGTATTTTCCCGCGCTCTTGGTTAGTCTGGATCTGTAGGTGTTATATTAAGTCCCCATGGTAGTTGACTATACTTGGACTTGGTCTGTAAAATAGTTGGCCCGTCCCGTATATGTGTAGTTAGGTGTCTAGGAAGTTGAGTATATGGATTATTTGCCTTGACATACATTTCTATCCATGTAAATGTCATGTTTATTTCAACTTTCAACCTGTAGTAGTATTATTTTAATAATGGGAGTATCCAAATCGCTTTCTAGACAGTCATTCTTTACTAGTATCTATTTCGTGGCCCCCTTTTCCAAGTAGCAACATCCCATGTAGGATACATGAGTATAATGACTTCTATTGACATCTTCTCAGCCTTAGACCTTGACTCGAATCTATTAGCCTTAGTTCCTAAGCATTTTCTGAAAACTAGAAAGGGGGCGCATTCAATGTAGTACTAGTAAATGGTAAAACAACACTGAATTAGGGCTCAACGGGTGGAGATCCATAGTATGTACTATAAGACAAATCGGTATTGTATCATGAGCCTCTTTCGTAACTTACAGCTGGACAACCCTTTAACAGCTTCGAAGGTTAAGGCTTTCGTGGCCTAGAAGGCTACATAGATGTGCGGAAGCCCGCTATATATGTAGGTACATATCAATATAATATAATACAACTGCAAATACTATATGGAATAGTTCAAGGCACTATGCGTTCTCTTAAATTTGATGTACCTAGAATATATGATGCTATTTGTTAGACGCTTGATCATTGAGCATTAGATAGTTTATGAAGGTCATTAGGATATGACACCTTATTTTACACCATTTCCATTCCCACTTCCATCACATACTTGATAGCTTTGCCACATACTTCTATTAGATTGATAGCATTGATAGTCGAGAAGTGTTTTCGAAAAAATAGTTCAATTAGGTCGGGACCATTATAAATCAAGCTTTTCCCTAGGTATATCTGTTCGCATAGATTCAACAACGATTACGTGGTGACTCTTGTTCAAAAGATTAGATATTGGAAAGAGAGATGCATCAATCAGGAGAGATTTAATTGTCAAAGATTACACGAGAGGGACACTTTGAAACCAGGGATACAACAAATCTTTTGTAGTTATTCCTGAGACATGATCCTCCCCTACGGAGATTCCCTAAAAGCCGTCATTTCTTATTATACATGTGGAGTTGGTTTTTCATAATACATCAGAGGCGTCATTCCTTTTCTCCTCTCTTTAATTTTTACTCATTCATCTATCCGCCCCTCTTCCGTCATTAGGTAGGTACCTAACCCATCCTCGCTAACCGTCTAAGCGTCGATGAATTCCTTGACGTCCTTTAGCCAGGCCTGGTACTCACGCTGCTCCTTGATGTCCATGTAGTCGGGGACGAAGACGCCGAGGGCCTGGGTGACGCCGCGCTCCTCGAGGTAGCGCTCCATGAGGATCTGTAGGTCTTCGTCGAGACTGCCGAAGGGTGGGCCGGGGTACATGTCCTGGGCGGCATGGGCGAGCTCAGCAGTCTTACCGTGCGCCAGCTTGGCGTCCTTAAAGTAATAGAAGTTCTCGACGATGATCTGACCATCCTGCGCCATCGCCTCGATGTTAAGTGCGCCTTTGCCCGGCTTCTCCACTACGACGTTCAGTCGGCAAGGTACCGGCGCATCGTTGCCGTCGATCTCGTCTTCAAGGGCTTCCTCGCCCTCCGCCGGTGATGTGCGCCTGACTTCTGGTGATTCGGTATCTTCATCGTCAAGAACAGATTCCTCATTGAATACGTCGTCGGGCTCGTAATTGGCAAGATCTGAAATGGAGAATGTGACGGTGATGCTGAAGCGGGGATGTTAGCTCTTGTAAAGATACGATTCGATATTATAGGATGCGACTCACGTTTCGTTTCCAAATTTGCGAACTAGGGAGACGTCTTCTTTCCCAGGCTCATCCTTCAGCTCGAATGGGCTGTTCTCAAGGAAGTCCTTGACGCTTGCCGGGAGCTGCTCATCTTCCTTCATCTCATTTTCGAACTGAAGTTCGCTTTCGAGCTTAACTGACAGTTCCTCATCCACCTCTGCCGCGGGTGCTTGTCTGAACTGCGATGTGGAGAATGATGAGGTGAACTGAGATGATCTGAGAGGTGTCCATGAAGACCTAAGTAGTGAACTCGGTTGAGCTAGTCTTGATGATCTGAGGGTTGTAGAACTAAGACGAGTAAATGTACGAGGCGCTGAGCGCGCAACAGCTCTGAGAGACATCATTTTCAACCAAATGTGCTGAATAGAATCAAGTAAATAAGAAGGAATGGAATGGCGACGTAGATATAAATTACAATTTTGTAATTTTGCGACTGGGACTTTGGAGGGGAAGATAGCTTGATATTGAATAATTTTTTTTGGATCTAGAAGCTCCAAAATTTTTATTTGACGATGGCGATAAAAGAGACCCGAGCTTTAGCCCCGCACGTATCAGGAACAGGGGATAAAGCTTTCATAGTGGATCCCAGCTAGGTATTAGATGCATTTGATAGGTACCTCATTACCTAAGGTATCTTAAGTACTTAAGATAAGGTACCTTTGTATAAAATGCAGGTAATGGGCATCATGGTTAGAAGTTTAACCCCTGAACTACATAAATAACACAGATCAACCTATATCATATAGGGAACAAATGCGCAATAGAAACCAAGCTCATTGTATTCGAGTCAACATATATGTCTACAGCGTTGATACATGACTAAACTTGACCTAAGACTCGTAGTTGGTTAGCATGCAAGTCTTATACTACGACCGAGAAGAGTCTGAGTCTGAGTTTGAGTCTAATTTATATTGTCATTGATGTATTTGTCCTTATTTCTCTTTTTCTGCTTATTAAACTTATGGTGCTGTGGCGTGTACAGTTTGCGTTCGTGAGACCAAGTCAGATTCCTCCTTGCATTTCCAGCATTTATACCGAGTTCTGCTAGATTTATTGTCGACATCACGCCCACAACTCCCAAATACGCCCCTCGAAGCTGCGATTGCGCACGATTTTTCCGAAATTAGAACAATTTCTTCATGGCCGCAGATATAGCAGGCCCTTAAGTGAGTAATGTATTGACACATCCCTAGCCTTGCGTAAGTGATGCAAACCGGCTCTAGAAATAGGGGTACATACTAGAGTTACGTGACGAAGCAAAGCTCGGTAAGTTGAAATTCGGTTCTGTAGTGAGCTATCGTATGAGGCAGAGATCGACGCCATTTTCCTTTCATACTGAAGTACGCTGCGCTTCAACTTATACTACTAGCAATAGCTCGTACTTTGCACTTCCAACAATGCTCGATACTCTCTGCTGTGATTTTTGCAACGTATGACCCACATCGAAGTTATAGCTTCCTCTGCCTTCTTGGACGGGCCAATCGGGTAACTAAAGGAGCGAGGAAAAACAGTTCCTACTCATCTACATCCATTACTAAAGAAGCCAGATGAGCCAATCGTCTCGAGCATTTCGGTCTGGGATAGATAAGCGTTTAGCTTAAAGGGCGTATTACAAGTCATGGAACTCGTCTTAAATAGCATGAATTTAGAGAGGACAATGCATTGAGTAAGTAGCCGTATCGGGACGAACGTAAAGAAAGCAGGAAAGTTGTGAGATGTCACACATTTATTAGTTCTGGGCAGGACGATCTAATTTATCATGAAGATAGCCGAAGAGGTCGGTAGGCTGGGAGAAGACAGAGGCTTGCGGCTTCGAAACTCTCGGATCCGGGGTGCAGTTGACAGTAACCACAAGCATCCCACGGCCTTTCGGCTACCCGCTTCCTTCACACGTGCAACAAAATAGTCTAAAAACAGGTACTGCAAACCCATATCTCCGTTGCAAACGATCGCGATCCCATATCTGTAGTGACACTCATGTTCAGCTATGTTAGGTGCACTAACTTCAACTGAGAGAGTAGATGATCCGCTTGGTCCAGAGGTGTAAAGGGGCTTTCCGATAATGCCAATGCTGCATTGTTATTACCAACCTGACATAAGCCATAAGCGCACCGGGTTTGAAACTAGCCGGTGTAACCTAGCATGACTGCATTATTTTCCGTATAAAAAAAATCCCGGATTACTGCCGGCATGTGTGGCTGGCTGCGGAGTTTGCAGGTTGGTGCGTGTCAGGGCTGTAGGTAACCGTGTGTTTGTAAACCAGCGGCAAAACCAGGTCAACTCCCCTGCCCGGTACTCCCCTGCCTGGTTTCGGAAACTTCCTACGTCCGTAAGTAAGGCCCCGTCTGATCTATGATGAACATAGAAACATCAACCGAGGGTACAGGGACTTATTACACACGCGTCCTCGGGCTGAGGATATCAAGCACGTGGGAAGTGGGGGGTATCTTCTCAATGCTCTCCTCTCGGAGGAAAGCTAGAAGGTTGAACGCTCCCAGCGGAAGATATTCTCACCCACTTGAGGCTAGTTAGGTAAGACCAAGAGCCTTCCCATCGGCTTAGTACCGTAGCATTTTCTTCTGTGTCGAGCTCCGGAATTACTATAGCCCAGGTAGTGTCAGACAATTATTTGCAATAAAACCGGTGGAATAGTATACTGACAAAAGCCGTTTTGGTACTCTTTCTGAAGCTTATCGATTTTCACTTTCAGTAAATCTTCTCTGGCGCTGGCAGGACGTCCGGGCCGTCGAGTCTTCTTTACTTCGCTCATCTCCTCATCGTGTTGGTGTATAAACCTGCAATGACGGTCAGCTTGAAAGAGATAGTGTTAAGTGTAGCTCTTTTAATAAAACTGACGTCTTGATTAGTTCATGGATCACGTCCATTTGTACAGGTTGGCTCCCATTTTGTCTCACGGCCTCTTGGAAAAAGGTAGCTCGTTCAACTAGATCACATAACTACATTAGTTGTCTAGCCCCAGAATCTAAGGTGCTCAATTAACATACGATAAGGCTTGTCACTTTTCTTTCTCGAGGCTGCAATTTTCTCTAGCTTTCCATCACGAACTTGGGCCCTATGTAGCCTCTTAGAATCGCGTGAGTATTGATGAAGAGAATCGACAGCTCCCTTCTTTTTGGCAATGGCCTTGCGAGTCCTCTCGAAAGTCTTCGGCATTGTGGAGACGTTATATGTAATTTAATTAGTGGTAAAAGTGAAGTTGTAAGTGACAAGGGCTGTAAAGTAGCCCGTGCTAGATATTCGATGTTAGATAAGACTGGATGAGTATTTTCGAGATTTTTGTTCGTCAAAAAGATTTGGTGGGGCTAAAAATGATTTCCAAAAATGGATAAAGTGATCGAATATCAGGGGTCTCTTAATTAAGGTTAATGCAAGGTCAACCTCTTGTAGTGAATACGTGACTAATGTTATATATACTGTATGACTTAAGGCGATATACTAACTTTTCCCAAGTAAATCTTACTTCGTTTGCTACAGAGCTAAGATGCTTATAGATTAGCGTATATCCCGAGTACAGGCTATTGGTTGGACCCACGTTGCTCTCCCGACCCGCACGGTGCGCTAGGTGAACTTAGGAAATCGCGGTGTAGCACTCCACGACGCGGTTTACTCTTTTATCGAATAATTCCTTGAGCCGCAGAGGCTGGAATTACCTTCTAATCAAGGATCCATTTTTACTATTTCACGCGTCTAGTCTTCCTTTATCAATCTACCAGACTTCCCTTAACATTAATTTGACATACTCTACTCTTGTCATACTCCCATCCTTTTCTATTCTCGCCCCCAGCATTTGGTCACCTTTGCACTTGAAGCTTTGGCCTACTCTAATTGAATGTTATTCTAGGCGTGTTTACACCTATTGTCAATCAATCATTGTCTACGACCTGAATTGCCTAATTGACTACGCCTAAAATTATAATCCCGTCATATTAGCTCCATTACTCCTTTGCTACATAAAGGATTGGATTTATTACTGCGCGGGCATTTCAACGTTTAATTTCTCTGATGGCCACGAAGACTCTATAGATCTGACAATCTGGGCGCGGGAGGAGAGCCCTCTATATTGTTCTTCGAAATGGGTATTCAAGGTATGCATCATACAATGGTCGTAGATAAATCTAAAGAGCACTGAGGGGCATGGAACTGACTTTTATAGGTCTGCTTCCATTACTCAAATCAATACAACGACCAACAGAGTTAAGAAAGTATGATGGCGAGACAATTGGCGTTGACGCCTATGGTTGGCTGCATCGAGGTGCTGTGCCGTGTGCAATTGAACTTGCTCAAGGCAAGCCTACACGAAAGTAAGTTTCAATAACCATACCCCGTTAGAATATCCTTCTCACAAACCTATTAGATATGTAGACTTTGCTATGAACCGGGTTAGGATGCTCAAACATTTTGGCATCACACCTTACTTGGTTTTTGACGGCGGTTTTTTGCCCAGCAAGGCCACAACTGAGGCGTCTCGTGAGAAGCGCCGAGAAGAATGTAGGAAGGCGGGCCTCGAACTTCTAAAAGCTGGTAAACCTTCACAGGCACATGCCGAGCTCCAGAAAGCTGTCGACATCACTCCCGAGATGGCTCGACATTTAATTGAAGAGCTAAAGAAAGCCGGCGTACCTTATGTAGTTGCACCTTACGAAGCCGATCCGCAACTGGTGTATCTGGAACGTGAGGGTCACATCAGCGGCATTCTCTCCGAAGATTCAGATTTGCTGGTTTTTGGAGCCAAGCGATTATTAACTAAACTGGATCAGCACGGTCAATGTATTGAGATAAACCGCAGAGACTTCTGTGCTTGTCGTGAAGTCTCTCTGACAGGTTGGACGGACGCCCAATTTCGACATATGGCCATTCTTAGTGGCTGCGACTATCTGGATAGTATCAACAACTTAGGACTGAAGACCGCGCATAGGATGATACGGAAGCACAAGACACCTGAAAAAGTGGTCCGCATGCTGCAGTTTGACGGCAAACATCGAGTCCCTACCGATTATTTAAAATTGTTTCAACAAGCTGAGCAGACTTTTCTTTACCAATGGGTCTTCTGCCCTAAGGCAGATAAGCTTGTCAACTTTACGCAACTTAGCCCCGAGGTCAATATCGACGAACTCCCATTCATTGGCCCCCCCATCGAGCCGGAAGCTGCCAGGGGAATTGCTGCTGGAGACATAAATCCAATCACTAAACAGACCATTGTGCTCCAATCCCTACCCTCGCCGAGGAAACGTACTGCATCAGGAACTGCTCGCAATATGCCTCAAACCCGCACAGCCCGAGAGCCTCCTGAGAAGCCGATCGACTCTTATTTTAAGGGTCATCGCCGAATTCCTCTAGGTGAAATGGAACCGAATTGCTTCTCTGTTGACCCTGCACGCCTCGCTAGCATGACTGAAAACGGTAACCGACCAATCGTATACCCGCTCCCGAGACCATATCTAGACGGAACTGCCCCTACCACATCCGCTGGCCCGCGCGCGTATATCACGCGACCTGAAAGCTCCACCCGTACTCTTCGACGTCGAACTGAACCAGTGGCCAATCTACTCGGCAATGGTGGTCACACTTTGGCCTCTGGGTCTCGACGCCAGACTACTGGCCCAGGAATCAACGCTCTAAACAACACCGAAAGCACAGGAGCCGCCCATCCCGTTCGACCACCTAAGAAGGCACGTTTGTGCGACGATGCTAGTTCGGGGCGAAGTCCCGGAAAGCAGAGAAGTAAATTTTTCCCACGCGGTAATGTGAAGGGCGCCACCTCCAAGAAAACAGAAGGCTATTTAATGTCGGATGATTCTATCGAGGAAGCTCTGCAAGATCTCCCGGACTTTGGTGGATGGAGTGCCTTGCCAAAGGGTCAGAAGGAAGTTATGGTTTATCAGGAGTCGCAATCAGTTTCGGCCGATGCCGAAATATCTAAGGATGACGAGTCATATATCGAAAATGACACCAGCGAACCCACAACCTTGATACAGCTTCCAAACACCCCCAGCATCGCCAAGCGCTTTAGCTACGGACAAGACCAAACGTGTAGCCAGAGCACCTCTACGTCTTCCTCGAGTCGATCTTCACTCGCCGGAATTACTCCGGCCACTTCCGTTATGTCATCTACGCCGTCTTCGTCCGTACAACTATCGACTGGTAAGACGACGCCAGCGACACCGCTTCAGCGACTCGGCATCAAGGCCTTGGGACGCGGTAGCCAGCCCCCTACGCCTACGTTCGCGGTCCCGCGGCCTATGAAGCGTTCCAGTTTAGGTAGGCGGAGTATAGACTCTATGCCTATTAACCCAGCTTTTGTTCCCTTGCCTCCTGTCGACTTAGAAGAGGTGGAAGCTTTACACAGGCCAGTGGGCAGCGAAGACCTGATAATACCGGAGAGCGAGAATGACGAGGTTCTAGATGAACAGGAGAACTTGGGCTCGGACAAGGGTAAGGCCGGACGTAGGCGGATGGACTTGTCAAGGTTTCTCTTTGCTTAGATGCGAAGTCTTCAGCACACGGCACATGTTTTTTTTTACCAGTCCCTGAGGAACTTGATGGCATCGGGCGGTCATATTAGCATAGCGGCGGAGTTTTGGGGTTACAACGGTCAAGCAAAGGCGTCCCGGTATAAACTATTTTATAGGCACAAAAGGGCCACAAGTGTATTTTCTCTTTTGAGGGGTGGCTAGGAGAATAAGAAAGTCAACTAGCTATAATTGTATGACAGGCAAACCAAGGTCCATGAAACGGTGTATGAGTATTAAAATTCTGCTTGCAAATGATATGTTGCATGTTGTATGTTAGGATAGTTAAAATATTACAGTAACTAGTTATGCTTTGTTCGGGCGTACTTTGTATAAGAGTATAAAAGAGTTAGTAAGTAAATATTCTTTGTCTATTTAGTGATATTACTAATTGAATAGTATTGTTTAAATTACCGAGTTATCTACTGCAGGAAGTAGTTTGTAACAATTGATGGTGTAAATGTTGTTAATATTGTACATACCTGATATATTAGCGTTGGCTCTTACGTCAAATACCAAGCTAGCGCATTTTTGAGATGCCCGTACGAATAACAACATTGGAACCTAACTAGACGGCTGCCTAGCGCTGTTTCCTACCTAGTTTTTTTTCCAAGGCAAATTTGATCACCTAACGGTGCTACTGGCAGGCATAACTTGTAAGTTCAATTAATAGGTTTTTTTTTTTTTTTTTTTTTTTTTTAAATAGGTACCTAAAGTTAAGGTACCGAAATATTGCCGGTACTCCACCTCTTGACACGAAGGGCGGAAGGGCGGACCAGCTGGCAGGAGGAGAGTGGAATAAGCGCAGGTACATGGCGCGAGTCGGTAATAAGTTGCGTCAGAAACCCGCGACTGCCGATGTTACTTAGCAAAGCCTAAGCAGGCAATGGCAATGGCAAGGCAGAGGTAAGCAGGTAGGCAGGTAGGCAGGTAGGCAGTAACTTACCTGATCTATCTCTTACCCAAACAGCGTAAAGGTAGTGTGACCTTGGCCCACTGATGGCCACCATCGGCCAGCAGCAGCTGCCAACCAGGTCCAACCCACCAACAACCATTCAGCGTACAACGTACCAAGTACAACACTCTATTGCCAACGCTTATTACATCTTATTCAATATTCTGATTTTACTACACTTCAACTTCTACCCAGCATTTTGATCTTTTCTGTACTTTGTCACTTTACAAAGTACGTCTAAAAGATTCCGGTTGCTAGGTATTTTACGACTGAGGCAATTTGTACATATCATATTCTCAAGCCGGGTCTAATACGCTCTCTTTTCCATTTCAGCCATTGCCATTCCATTTGAACCCCTCCTATCCAGCTGACGAGGTCACCTCCTCAATATTACATATCCGCCGCCTTACTTTTCTTTTAATTGCTTTCAAGTATTTTAATATATTATTATCCATTTTACATTATACCACATGCTTACATTACCTATTTAGGCCGAGTTATTCCCCCAACGGTATCTACTTGTCTAACCTGCGTATTCGTAAACGGACGACACTAGACGGTACCCGAATAAGCAAACCTCTAAATACGGGCGGTCCCGAATTACCAAATTATCGAGAACAAACGGTTATACTAGCGACATCTATTTACTGTTGCACGTCGTGCCTTTGAGCAACCTCCGATATCTAACCTCCGAGGCTCGTCCGCGGCGAGCATCCCCAAGCCATCATTACCAACCGACAAGATTCCTCCCACAACGAGGAAGCGGAAAGCCGCTGAGGCGAAGATTTCCGCAGACACCCCCGAGGTCCTTCCTATCAAACGAGTCCTCGCCTCAGCAGCTACTACAGACGCAGCACCCCCCACTCCGATCACCGGCATGGATTCGGACGAGGACTTCGTCTCGACTATTTCGAGCGGGGATGATATTATGCAGGATGACACCGACAATGATGACCTGTCGGGTGCCGAGGGTATGTCTCATTCCTTTTCTCTGCCGTTGTCCATTTCCCACATATGACTCGTGCACACCTGCTAACTACTGATATTCGATGTATTAGACTTCGATGTATTCGACGACGAACCCGATGACGTGCCCGGCATCCCTTCGCAAAAGTCCGATAAGAAGAAAGGCGTGGCTTTTGACATCAGCTACAAAGTATATACACCACACGACATAGAGCATCAACAAGAAGAAATGATCGACGAGGTTAACATGATCTTGGAAATGAGTAAAGAGGATGCTGCTATTCTATTGCGTCATTTCAGATGGAATAAGGAACGTTTAATCGAAGACTATATGGATAACCCGAACAAGGTCCTGGAGGCAGCTGGTCTAGGTCCCAGCTCCTCTGCTCCACCAAAATTAGAGGTCATACCAGGTTTTGCTTGTGATATATGCTGTGAGGATGAGGTGGGTCTTCTCAGTTTCGCTATGAAGTGCGGCCATCGGTACTGCGTCGAATGCTACCGACAATACCTTACGCAGAAGATCCGTGAGGAGGGCGAGGCAGCCCGTATTCAATGTCCCGCAGAAGGTTGTCATCGCATCATCGATGCGCGGTCGTTAGATATGCTGGTGACAACCGAACTCGCCGATCGATACCAAGAGTTACTCAACCGCACATATGTTGAGGATAGAGATGCCCTTAAGTGGTGTCCTGCTCCCGACTGCGAGAATGCGGTTGAGTGTGCTATCAAGAAAAAGGACCTAGACAGGGTAGTGCCGACGGTTGCCTGTGCCTGTGGCAACAGATTCTGTTTTGGCTGCATACTCAGTGATCATCAGCCAGCGCCTTGCGAGCTTGTCAAAAGGTGGCTTAAGAAATGTGCAGACGATAGCGAAACTGCAAATTGGATCTCTGCTAACACAAAAGAATGTCCCAAATGTAACTCCACGATAGAAAAGAATGGAGGTTGCAACCACATGACATGTCGAAAGTGTAAGCATGAGTTTTGCTGGATGTGCATGGGCTTATGGTCGGAGCATGGCACGAGCTGGTACAATTGTAACCGGTTTGAGGAGAAGAGTGGGACAGAAGCGCGAGATGCTCAGGCCAAATCCCGGGTATCTCTAGAACGATATCTCCACTACTATAATCGGTACGCGAACCACGAGCAGTCGGCGCGTCTAGACAAAGACATCTACCAGAAGACGGAGAAGAAGATGGTGCAATTACAGACGGCGTCAGGCATGTCGTGGATCGAAGTACAATACCTAAACTCGGCGTCGCAGGCGTTGCAGACGTGTCGGCAGACTCTAAAATGGACTTACGCGTTCGCTTTTTACCTGGCTCGGAATAACCTCACGGAGATTTTCGAGGACAACCAGAAAGATCTTGAGCTTGCGGTTGAGGCGTTATCAGAGATGTTCGAGAAGCCCATCTCTGATTTGTCGGCGCCCAAGCTCAAGGTTGATATTATGGACAAGACGGCCTACTGCAACCGTCGACGGGTTATTCTGTTAGAGGACACAGCAGACAACTTAGCTAATGGTGAGATTCAAACGACTCCAGCTTGATGGTAATTAGCTAACCATCCATTTTTCTCTTGTCGCAGGACGATGGACTTTTAACGTAGACCTAAAGAGCAATGCTCCGGGAGCGAGCGGGACCAGCTCTCGCGGATAAATTGTATTGTGTGCAAGGGCATCGATAGATAGAAGGTGACCATGGCCGGAGTTTGGGACGCGGTATCATTATTTTATTGCCAGTTTACTTTCAATTCACGATGAATCGCATTTCGAATACAGTCAATTTGTAGCTTCGGCTCTGATTGACAAGACGAGAATGATAGTATGGACTATTAGTACCCAGGCACATAGCTATTAGATACATATTTCCACGAGATTCTCTATCTGCTTTCAGCGGGAGTCTTGGGAACAATAGAACATTCGATGAGTTTATGAATAATATCTTGTAGGTTGTTATAGATGCCTGCCTGGGTGTATATTATGCCTAAGGTAGCCGTCACGGTTATTAACAAGTGGTATTAAAATGCTATCGTTTATAAGTGAGATGCTTATAATCTACAGTGCGAACCATGGCCATAGGAATTAATAATTTCAGGCAGAATTGGCGCTAAACAATGCTTCTTACCGTGCGGAATTGTCTTTGGAGAAAACTGTGCAGGTACGAAGTATGTATGTTGATTAATATGTATGTACTTCGTACATGTCGTGCGTAGGTTCACGTCATAGTTCCCGTTCCCGCATCTACTAGGTTTAGCGTATGTATCATGCAAGCTCGCATACGTAGTGTATTTCGTACATAGACCCGGCAATGGATCTCGACCTCCATCTATGTACATTTTGATGTACGTATTAGGTACGGTATTCCCCATATCATATCGCGGAGAGCGACTTCTTCGCATTTAGCCCCCAGACGCCAATTTTGTGGCTTATTGAACTTTTTTTTATTTTATCTCGACTCCGGTTTTTTCTTTTCTATCTATCTTTTTTTTTACTCCTCTTTCGCATTTTCGAATTGGGATATCTTATATCCTATATATCCTATATCTATCTATATACCTCTATACCTCCTAACTACCAACCTATATATCCACACCAACCACCGCAATGGCATTCCGCCTCGCCCTACGCCGCGGCCCCAGCGCCTTCTTCTCCCCCGCCTCCGCCTCTGCTTCTTCGTTCGCAGCGCGCCGGTTCCACGCCACGCCGCGGGCCTTTGTCAAGGTGGGCGAGCCGATCCCCAGCTTGGAGGTGCTGCAGGAGGGGTCCCCGGGCAACAAGGTCAACCTGGCGCAGGAGTTCGAAGCGGCCAACGGGGTGATTGTCGGCGTGCCTGCCGCCTTCTCGGGCGCGTGCTCCGAGAAACATATCCCGAGCTATATCCAGAGCCCGAAGCTGAGGGATGCGGGCAGGGTGTTTGTTGTTAGTGTTAATGATGCTTTTGTGTGAGTGCTGTTTTCTCTTCTTTGGGGGTGGTGGTGGTGTTAGGAGGTAGATGTGTGGTGGCACGAAAGGAGGGGAGGGGGGGAGAAGAGGGATTATGAGAGAATACGCTGTCTTGGTGGGGTTCTCGAAGATGGGATGGCTTGGGTGCGGGCAACGAGGGCAATCTAGTTACCTACACACACACCTATACGCCTAATTTAACCGGGACGGCACGGGACGGGAGAAAATAGTTCGGAGACCGGTTGACTAACGTTCAACAGCATGAAGGCATGGGGCGACCAGCTTGATCCCACACACGAGTCCGGTGTAAGTTCAACCAAAGCTACCTAATGTATGATCCAAGTGTTTCTAATCGCTAAACCCCCTATATAGATCCGATTCCTAGCTGACCCCGCCGGCGAATTCACCAAGGCCCTAGACCTGGGCTTTGACGCCCCGGCCATCTTCGGCGGCATGCGGGCCAAGCGCTATGCCTTGGTCGTCGAGAACGGCAAGGTCAAGTCTGTGCACGTCGAGCCGGATAATACCGGAACCGACGGTGAGTGTTTACTCTTTACTCTTTGCTCTTTGTAATTCGGGTTGTGTAGGGAATACTGACTCTGGCTTAGTTTCCATGGCCGACAAAGTTCTGGGTTAGATGTGGTGATGTGGATGAGATGGGCTATTAAAAAGATCTCGTTCCGAGGCACGTAGAAGACTACGGCCGTTTGTATATAAATGGATACGACGATTTGATGATACTTTTGGGTTTTAGTCACGACCTCGTTACCTGGCTGCTGTAGTCTGCGCTTGCTAATTCGTCTAGAATACATGCGTAAAATGTTATATCTTAACGGCTTGATACTATTGCTAAGGGGGCATATTGATTCGATGAGTAGTTCTAGCAGTACTACGCCTATAGCCCACCTCACTTTAAAATATGACTTCCGATCCTCATACCATACGAAACTACAAGTGAACGAACAATTATCAGTTGATTATCTAGTATCTGTCTAACAATGCCCTGTAATAAACTGATTACATAATGCCAGCAAATAAAGCCTACCTAGCAAGCCAATCTATAGGTGCTACCTCCTAATTACCCTCATCCGATTCCGGACGCCGATCCGAACCAACCCGTCATGATTTTACAACAAGTACAAGCCATTATATTCCTCCTATCGAAACATCACAAAGCCTTGACGGCGGTGAAGAACGGGTTCGCCAGGAGCTTCTCGTCCTTGCTGACGAGCTCTCTTAGACGGCTTACCATCTCCTCCTTACTCATGCTTCCGCCCTTGACCTCGTCCTTCCAGCGGACCAGCACTTCCTTCAGTCTGGCGCTACCTTCTTCCACGTCTTCTTTTCCGTAGTTCTGCTGCATGTTCTCGTGCTTGGCCGTGAAGTCTTCCAGCTCGTCTGCCTTGCGCTTGGCCATGCGCACCACCTTATCTGGGAATCGCACCAGCTCCGCGACGTGGATACCGAACGACTGGTCGCAGATGCCGGGCTCGACTTTGTACAGCAGCGTGACCTCGCGCTTGTCGACGCCCTCGCCGGCCGACGATATATGCGCCGTCACGTGTAGGTTGCGCACCTGCGGGTGTTGGTCTGCGAGCGCCGTCAGCTCGTGGAAGTGCGTCGCGAACATGGCGGAGCAGCCGATCTCCTTGACGATGTGCTCGCTGATAGCCCAGGCTAGCCCGAAACCGTCGTAGGTTGATGTGCCGCGGCCTAGCTCGTCGATGATGATTAGCGACTCAGCTGTCGCTGACTTGAGGATATTCGCTGTCTCCAACATCTCCGCCATGAACGTCGAGACTCCCTTGAGTTGTGAGTCACTAGCGCCGACACGCGCGAGTATAGAATCGAAGATAGTGAGCTCCGCTTCAGTGCAAGGAACAAAGCATCCGATTTGCGCCATGAGCGCGATGACACCAATCTGTCTGATGTAGGTTGATTTACCGCCCATGTTAGGTCCTGTGATAATTAAGAAAGAGGATTCGTCGCGACGGAGTTCGACATCATTTGTGATAAATTGTATATCATCTTGCATCTCCATACACGGATGACGAGCCTCCTTCAGAATGGTGGATCCCTCCCCTCGAGGATGGATGGTAGGACGAACGTAGGATGTGGGCGCGTGGACTGAGCAGTGCGCGAATGATATGATGACGTCCAGATGTGCTAATACGCCAGCAAGCTGTTCAAGCACAGGACTATAAGACGCGGCAACACTTACAACCTCGTTGACTAAGCCTTTTTGTGTCCTGTCGTAGGTCTGAGATAGCTGATCGAACTCCCGGCGATATGATTGTAGCGACTTCGTGGTGAAGTACACGCCGTTCTTCTGTGTCGAGCACTCCTGGTAATGGGAATTATTGCGAATACAGCCAGCTTCAGTTCTCGTTAGCCGCATGCACCAACCATGAACCTTGTGGTTTTCAAGGAATATCTTCTTGTTTTCTTCTTGGTTCAGATCGTCTGCCGCTTTTCGGAATTCGTTATCCATATTCGACCTGAGCTTGTCGAGTTTTCTCCGCACAATGCGCAAGTTATCATCGAACTCGGGCTTGATAATGAACTCGTGGTTATCAAGGGCATCGAGGTCAACAGTAGTTTCCACCATATCAGCGAGCTTTCCGAGACTATCAGAAAACCCTCTTAATTTGTTTGTATATGCCTCGTCTAATGGGTCTTTGTACTTCTCATCCATCACGCCCTCCAGTGTTCCTAGGAACCCGGGTAAACGAATAACAACCTGGTATGCTCGAACGACGTCTTCTAAGTTTGCCTTGTTTCGTTGAAATCGTTTTGCTAACCGGTAGAGGTCCGGTACAGACTTGAGGTGCTCCTCTTGCATGGTCTGGCGTAGTTCCGTATCATTAACGAAAGCTTCAACTAATTGTTGGCGCTTTTCGATCTCATCTTTGTTCATCAGGGGCTGTTTCAACCATTGAGACAATAACCGGCTACCGACCGGTGTCTTGCAGTGATTAAGCAATCCGTACAAGCTCATTGTCTTAGAGCCGTCCCTTACACCAGGCATTAGATTAAGAGCTTTGAGGGCGGCAGCATCGAGCTTCATAAATTGAGATAGGTCGTGCTGGTACAGCTGGTACTGACCAAAGTTGGATGGGTCTTGGAGAACAGCTAGATATTTGACCAATGCTGCCGCGGACCCCATGGCCAACTTGAGATCAGTCTGTGGAAGCAGAGTTGCGGATCTCTCATCCTTCAGCAATCGAGCAAGGTCCTGCTCGATGTCTTTTGTTCCAAAATCACCAGCTGGTCTCTCAGCCATTGCAACTCCACAGTTGTCTATAATCTGCTTAAGCTTGGCTAATTCAGGGTCTTTGTCTTTTTCGGCCCTGTCTATTTGGACGAGACACTCCTTAACACCAAGCTGAATAAGGAGGGCTTCGAAGTTTGAGTATTGGTCATTGTCAAGAAACTCGCTAACTCCAAGTTCTCGAACACTGGCATCAGCAAAACAAACGCCTACACTCCTGGCTTCAGAAGCCTTAGCCGAAATCTTGACAGCCAGTATCATGGGCGCAGACTCGAATTGTCCTCCGAGCTCCTCTTCTACATCCTGCAGATTCCCTGGTGAGGCTTGCTTGACAATCTTCCAATTCATTCGGCTACCGCTGCTAGCATATATCTCGACACGCTTTCCAAGCTTGAACAGAGCTTCTCGAAGGAATTGTCTGAATACGGTGACTGTCATAGTAACGGATGGTAGGCCGCTGGCATCATTTCGTCCTAGCTGTCGCACAACAGAGGTGGTTTTGTAGACGGTTCTCGCAATGAAATTCGCATCTTGGCCGTGGGCGGTGTACCAGTCGCCTCGGTCGAATATACGAACAGTTTCTTCGCCTACGGACGGCAATGATTTAAAGAAACGTATGAATCCGTGTTCGTCATCGACCTATCATTGGTTTGGTCAACTTTAGATTAAAAATAAACGAATTCAAACTCGATATAACTATACCTTTAACTCGGGTCGGGAAGACATTTTGTCTTGTCTTATTTTAAAGTATTAAATTCTTAGTCTAGTAACCCAAGTACTTTACTGTAATGTAATAGGAAACAAAATGGGGACTAGGAATAAAATAGTCTGATTGAAATTGTTATTACATTCTTTGAAATATAATGTTTCAATTGACATAGAGAGAAAGACATAGGGTCTAAGTTTAAGTCTTTAAGGGTCCGAGTTCCAAGTCGCGTCCAAAAATCAATTAAAGCTATGAGACGCGACTAAACGCGCTAAAATTTAACAAGCTCTTAACTCTTAACTCTTACCCCGATAAGCTCATTACAGCTGCGCTACTGCATGACCTAAAAGCCCCAGACCTTTCCCTAAGATTTTTGTGCCGCGGGGTTGTCTCGTTTTATTTCAGCTCTATTTTCAATTTCAACTTTCAACTTTTGACACCCCACTACAAAAATTGCCAAAAAAATTTAAGACCCCAGGAACCATGACAGACACAACAGAAACCGTCGCGGAAAATGGCGGTATATTAGAAATGACTACCAGTATCAATCCCGAAATCCAATCCCAAGGAAATCTAGATGCGACAACGGAAGTTCAACCATCCTCAACTATCATCACGAATAGTCCCGAAAGGCGCGGAGTAAAACGACCTTCCCATGGCGATATTAGCGAGGAAGAAGGTGATCATAACGATGAAGAATCCAAAGAGCCTACCAACGGAACTGATGCGCCGAAGTTGTCCAAAAACCAACAACGAAAATTAAAACGTCAAAAAATGTGGGAAGAGAAAAAGCAAGAAAAGAAAGTTCAGCGCAAAGAGAAGCGACATGAAAAGCAGGAAAAAAAGAGATTAGAAAGAGAGGCCGAGATTGCTGCTGCCGCTGCCGAAGGAAGAGAACCTGTATTCCAAGAACCATCTAGGAGACAGCCCAAGTCCGCCACCAAAGTACCTATCACGATTATATTCGACTGCCAATTTGAGAAGTATATGATGGGAAAGGAATTACCATCTTTGTCGAATCAGATCACTAGATGCTATTCTGATAATAGGAATGCCCAGTTCCCCGTCCATATGTTTATTAGTTCATATGGTGGCGTGATGAAGGAAAGACATGAGACCATCCTTCAGAACCAGTTCAAGGGTTGGAAGAACGTCCAATTCATAGAAGGTGACTTTATCGAGGCTGCTTCTAAAGCCAAGGAGATAATGATAGGACCGTCTGGTGGCACCGTAATCGACCTCCTTGCACAAGGCGATGACCGAGATTCGGTTTCATTTTCCGAGGTCAGTCAGGGCCCCAAAAAGAAGCAGAAGACTGCTCCGGTTGTAGAACCCGAGGCCGATGATGTAGACAAGTCCATTGTCTATCTGACTGCCGATTCACCCTATACGCTCGATCGTCTAGAGCCTAATACCTGCTACGTCATTGGTGGCATAATCGACAAGAATCGCGAAAAGGGGCTATGCTACAAGATCGCACGAAGCAAAAATGTCCGAACAGCAAAGCTTCCTATTGGCCAATATATGGTCATGCAAAGTCGTCATATCCTCGCTACGAACCACGTCATGGAAATAATACTCCAGTGGTTGGAGACGGGAGACTGGGGCACTGCCTTCATGAACGTCATTCCTATGCGAAAAGGGGGGAAGCTGAAGGAAGACGAAAATGCTTCCGATGCAGGTCTTGAAGGGCCGGAAACTACGCAAGAGGATGGCCAGGATCCCCAAGATCCCGTCCAAGTAGAAGGGGACAACGCCGAAGATGGCCTTGAAAAGAATTCATTGAGTCAACAACGATGGTCAGCGCCACCGATTGAACAAGAAGCAAAAGCAGAAGCAGAAGCACCTGTCGGCAACTCTCTTAGCTGACTGAAACAACCTACTTCGCTAACTAATACGTCTGGCAGATCAATCTACCCATTGACAAACAGCAAAATTACCCCCTTATAATGCTATATTCATACCCGCTTCTAGTGCCATTGGATAGACGTGTCGCTTCCAATAGCTCCCCTAGGTACCAAGCGGTTATCATCCTCGACGTATACCCAAGACTCCAAGTCTAGGTCTCCCCTGCTCTTGCATGTGCAAGTATCTGAATAGAATTTTAGAAAGCCAAGATGTATGCAAAGGCTGAACTAGTGCGTTACTATTTCGTAGTCTTCAAAATATTCCAGTGTCTATATTTCCGAGTCATCGAGTAACGGCCAACAGCGTTTCAACTTTTTACTTGTGCTTCTATATCTATTTCGAATTATACGTATACCGAATCGATTTACCGGCCTAGATAGTGATAAACTATGACGTCGATCTCAAGGTTTGGTCACTTCACGTACTGTTTAGTAGATTCGATCTCAGTGTGTTACTTAGGTAGGTCAGGTACTTATGTACCCTACTTTTATCTAAAGGATAACATATCAATCATAAAATCAATTCAAGGTATATGGAAGAAAGAAGCACATATTATTACAAATTACTACCATCGTATATACTGGTGCTATGGATATAGTAAGAAATGTTTCTGGCTTGAGTTCGGGTTCGCTAAAGCCTTAGAATAGGGGGCCCACCAACACCAATGGTTACCTACCTAGGTACATAAGGTACCTAGGAGGTAGCAGAAATATATATATAAGCATAACGAGACCCTCCTCGTCTATATATATATATATATATCCCCTTAAACTCATCACCCGGAACCTTCCAAGGTTACCAGAAGTCATGGATACTATCGTGATGCATGAAGCAAAGACAGTCTACTCGGAACCAGCCTTGTAGGATCAGCATAGGTGTCGTATTAGCATCAGCGGAAATGGAGTCTCGTGATTGTTTTTGAAATCCGGGTTTAAAATTCCAAGATTCTCGAGAGATAGGGGGAGAATTTGCTTTTACCCGTCCTAACAGTATCCATCCATTCACTATACGAGTTCGTCGGCCCGGCAGTTTTATTGGTCATCAAGTCCTGTCTACGGAGACCAGTCAGTATCTGGGCCGCCGAAGCGCGAAGGGAAGGGTCGTAAATCGCCATGCTCCGGATAAACTGCAAGTCCTTACTAGTCGAGGCGATATTTAGGACGGTTCTGCGAACATCGGATTGTCTATATAGTCTCCCTGTTTCAACCGAGTGGCGGAACAGCTGTTCGTTATAAACCCACAACATGGTCACGTACAAAGACCACATGTCCGCCCTAGGCGTCTGTTGCTTATCACCATCGTGCACCTCAGGAGCCATAAAGATTATGGTGCCAGCCTGGCTCCTTCCTATGTCCTGGAGGACTGAGAGGCCAAAGTCAGCTAGTTGGAAGACAATACGCTCTTCTCCCTTTACATTAGTTACATCGTAAAGAATGTTATCCGGCTTTATATCGCGATGTATGAGCTTATTAAAAGCAAGATAATCGAGCGCGGATAGCATCTGTAGTAACACAGTGTTGCCATTTTTCTTCAGGTCATTGTATGATGGATACTTGCGCACTAGACCGGCCAATGTTCCCTTTTTCATGGGCATGAATATCTCAACGAACCCCGTGTCCCAGCCTTGCGAGCCAAGATAATTCACGATATGGCGGTGGTTGAGTTTTGAAAGTATAACTGTTACATAGGAGGTCAGCATTCTCGTTATAGTATTGGAGGGTTAAGCTTTCGTTAACAAGGAAAAATAGAAAATCTAGAGGCATGCTAGAAAGAGTAGCATATAATACTTACAGACTTCTCGATCCCGGGTGGATACCAAGGTGTCCAGCCAACGACGATCTCTACGGTTAGCAGGCCGATGAAGTAGCTTAACGGCCATCACACCGCCAGAGTACACGTCAACGGTTTTCATAACTCTCCCAAACGCGCCCCTCCCAAGTTCAACTATCGGGTGGTGTTTTATTGGATCTGGAACATTTGACCAATGTGTCTGATCTTTAAAGGTCCAGATATGCTTACCTCCAGCCTCGGGAGCTTCTGACATTCTTCTCTTCACAATTTCCAAGATTTGGTCAGGCCCAAGGCTCCAGATAAGCTCGAATCTTACTGGATTGTCTTGAGGTCCTAGAGAAATTACGGTGTTGACTCCTTTCATAACTATGGCACGGTGGTACTGGCTAGAAGACGTGTTAGTTTTGGATTTGTTATCCTGGTAAATGCGAGTCTTCCCGGAAGATTCATCCTAGTTCGGAGTTAGTTTTGATACTTTAGAACCACGTAACAACTGACTGAAAGCTTGATAGGAGGGACTTACCTGAAGTACTACGACACCCGTCTCATAGTGAATATAGAAGGTACAGTGTACGCCTTCAATATCGTCTCCGCTTATATAGGCATCAGCCCTGCTTCGACTACTACCCATCGTTGCGATGGTCAGTATTTTATTATCGTGCCTTGTTGGAAAGGTACTTCCAAAATTAAAGCAGCGTTTCCCATGCCACTTACTCGAAGTGTAATCTTCATTATACTTGTGTGATACAACCTTCTCGGCTCTGGTATTGAGAGGTCTCAAGGAGAATATCAACTGGTTTACTGGCCGACGGTTATCCATGATTGGAGTTAAGACTAATAAGTGCGTTATAGTAAGAATTTTTTTCGTTTATTCACCTTCGTATTGATAATGATTATTCAAGTATGTGAGAAAAGATTGCCACATGGAAGATGATATTCATTTAACGATTATTTGCCGAGGATATATATTAAAAAAGACTGAAACAACGCAGAGATACGGCTAACGAGTTTGTATCTCGTCGTTTTGACTCAGATAGATTGTTACAATGTATTTGTATTATTGTGGATCATAAGAATGGCTTGAGAGAGGGTAGTTTACCTATCGTTATAGCTTCGAATCACATTGTGGAATAACATTCATGGGCTATTTAAACGCGGTAAGCCGCACTATGGGTTGTTTCATTCTTGATCACCATAGTTGAGAAACTTGACAAACTATTAGTATCTGCAACTAACAATTTCTACGTCGATTCCATTCCTTCTTCTAATAATAAGGGAGGGAAATAAACTAAGAAAGGACTACTGTATATTCGACCGCTTAATACGAAGCTATTAGCGACATGGAGGGCCAAGATAGGGGTAAAGACCCACTCACCCACGAGCAGGTCGCTGACCTGGTTTTTAAAGAAATCGATTTACTTATAGAAGCAGGTCATAAGGACTACGTTGAATCTAAAATCTTCAACGGTTCGCTCCACGAGTTTGCTACGGAAGTATCGAAGAAGTATGCAGGACTGCCGTATAAGCTCGGCCCTGACCCTTCAGCCAGTGAGCACACTCCAACTCGAGCGGGATTCAAAGAGCCATCTTCTTTTGAAGAGGCTAGGAAGCTTATTGTCGAACATATGGACCGCAGGCGTGAAAACCTCGCTAATACCACGCGGCCTAACGCTCGTCAAATAGCTCTTGCCCAGAACTGTGACATCTGGAAAGCAAGACCTGTTATAGGCGACAAACGAGGGGGGTTTCTCCCGGGCAGGACTTGGGAGCACAGGAGGGTAAATCCTGGACCTACTCTCGGCCCGTTATCGCAATTCAAACAAATGCTGGTAGTACCTCCAGTTGCTAAAGTTGATGCTTCGGCTGCAACGGAAACGAGAAGTGATGCGGTCGAACCAGTAGATGGCGGATCCAAAACTGATGATGATGATGGGAAGGAAGTAGAAGATGGGGAAGAGAGAACGACATCGTCTTAAGTTCTCTCGATAGTGCTCGTTATCTACCTCGTAGAGTCTTTCCTAGTGAGATTCTACTCAGTTTTCGAGACAGTCGTGATAAGAGAGCTGGCTATTTAATACACGCTGCCAGTAGATTATTATAGAATTTTCCTACTGATAATTTAATTAGTAATAAATCATACAACTATTATACCCTTTTATACATGATACTCCCTTTATATCCTTTGTAACATTGTTGAATACGTGAAGACAATGACATCCACATAAATCATTTAACGTTCATACAGTATAGAATAAGTCATTACCTACTTACCTACCTACCTACATCCCCTTTATGAAACATTCCCATACATGACATTCAAGCCACCAACTCACCACCACGCGAGTTCTGGACTTAAGCATGCATTTATAAACAAAGTACACCGACCCCAATCTCTCAGACGAGTCCCAGCTTCGACAAGCCAAGTAACACGAGCCCTCGTACGAGAATCCGGGGACACATGTACTTGCCGGGGAGAAACAGACGACGTGTAAGTAAACATAAGACACCTCCGCACGACAGTAGAGCCGCATCCCATCCCATCCCATCCCACAGATAGCAAGGCCAAGGGACCATCCTTCATCACCCACATCTCCCTCCTGGACGCCCAGCACCGTACTATCCCTCACGCGTACGAAGCTCCGAGTCGGAGCTTCGTAGTACATACCTACATACATACATACAAGAAAGAGGTACTGGCGAAGTTAGGTTAGGTTCGGCTCGGTTCGGAGAGCAGACAGGCAGAGATAGGGAAAGCCCACTTCGGAAGGACCCTTGAGGTCTCCCCATTCTAGGCTATTGCTCCCGAGCCCATCGGTTGTGGGCGATGGGTTGCGGGTTGCGGTTTGCTTTCGAGCCCATGCAGATGAGTATGATTGTCTATAATATGTATATAGTATGCATGTATGTATGTATGCTTGCTCGCTGCAAGCTATTTTAAGACACGGTAGTATATGAGCGAGCATGGATGGGAGCGCAATATATCTTATCTACGGTAGGGTAGCGTTTCGCTCGCGTAAGCGTGCGGCCTGGATTAGGTATCTATCTAAACATAACTAGACGAACTATCGCCTCGTGTTCACCCTCTCCTCTCCGCGGGACGGCGGATGGCGGGTAGCGGGTATGGCGTGTCGCGGCAAGGATTTGACGCACCGCACCGGCTAATTTGTCTCTGTCTCACTCTCTCTTTTTCTCCTCGTCTGTATTATTTCCCACCTCACCTGTGATTGATTCAACAGGAACAGGGCGGAGAAGAGCACGTTTCCCTGCATGAGAGTCTATATATATAAAAATTACCTAGCTGTGAGGGTTAAGCGGGCGCTCGTCTCCCAGACCCCCCGTTTCCTCGCGATGGAGCCACGTTTCCGGGATAAAGAGAGGTTGGCGCGGTGAGGAAATTCTAGGGGACTGGGACCGGGACCGGGGAGAAAGTGACGACGCTATCTTAGGTATTTAAAGCGTGAACACAACAGGGGGGGGATCTCTTCGCTTACTCGGCAAGCAAATACATTGCGGTTGCAGAGATTGTTCTATGAATAGCGTGGCGAGATGCGTCGGTTATATATGTATGTACATACATACATACAAAAAAAGAGTGAATGGGGTTTCTAAGATTACCTGTTTCCCTCATAACAACACCATCGTCCGCTTCTCGAGGACGGAGCTTGGTGTCCGTACTACTACTCGAAAAGCGTGATTGAAGGACTTGACTATTGCCGATGCGGCTTTGAATGCAAGACATAAGCTTAAACTAGGGGAGGGAGGAGGGGGAGGGGGTGTTATTTATAAATTCGGTATAAGTTGATGAGAAACCCGAAAGTAGAGCTGTAGAGAAGAGCTGTTATGTTGGTTGAAATATTGGTATTGATAGATTAATCTAACGATTGTGTATATGTATAGATTAACTAGGTATTTTCTGGGATGTTATTCAGCTACATACAGTCGTGGAAGAAGTGATTTGTTTATTTTGAATTCTTAGAACCGCTGTACGACGGCTAACAGGGGTCTTCGAACCCCTAAATGTGAACAAGTTTATGTATGTAGTACAAATTATCTATATGGAGGAATGCGTTGTTGGGCTTAATATCTGCATATCGTAAAAATAAGTAACTTTACCATGAGATACAGGAATTTTACCTTTTTATTTTATTACTTTCTCGCATAACACAGGAATACCTTGGTTTTTATTCATGGCGTAAGTCATCCGTCAGTCAGTCAGTCAGGGTTATTGAAGATTCCCCCGGATGACGGATCTGGATTAGTAGATCTCTGGATCTCAACCACAGGATCAGATCGGGGTAAAGCGATTGGACCAACTATTGGCCGAAGCAATGGAACGCGGGTGAGAGAAATTCATGTCTTGGGTCTTACCGCAGCTGCTGCTGACTTGCTGACGGAGTCAAACAAAAAAAAAAAAATACCTGGCTTCTTCGCCTCGACCTGCGGCCATACCTACCTACACTATCTAGGTCCCATATGTATGTATGTATGTATGTATGTATGTATGTGTGTATTACGCGGGTACCTAGAAAGAGTAAAGTAATCCGACTGGTCAGTTCTAATTCTCTCTCACTCTATGTATCGCCTCCCATAAGGAACAGAAAAGACCATCCCATAAACGATCAAGGACACGGACTATGTAGCAATTAAAAATAAGCCTTTCCGGAAGTCCTAAGCCGCCCCGCCGCCTCTCTCATCTTCTTTTAGTTCTTGGTAGCGGTAACTCCGCCCGCTCGCTCGCTCGCTCAGCGAAGCGTTTGCCCCCTGTTCCTCGCGCTGGAACCAAGGCATAGGTAACCCGAGACAGCGCTTACAATAGCTCGGGATTGGTTTTGCGGTGCGTAACCTAGATTAGGTAGGGTGCGGTAAATATGTATGTCTGTCTGTCTAGGTAGGTATGCGATGTGATGTGTGCTGATAAACTGGTGTCGCGATTTTCGTGCTTATCGCGGTATTAGCTGTCGATCACTTGCAGTTTTTGGGGTTGCGATCCAGCTTGGCGGGGAGCTGGGATCGACGTTCGGTTTTTTTTTTCTTCTTTACTCTCCTTCTCGCTCTTACCTCTCTCCCTCTCCCTCTCCCTCTCGATAGGACGAACTAGCGGGTTTAAAGCTACGTCTTTCCTTAGCTTATGTGAAGTATGGGAAATATGTAAAACATAGAGAAGCAAATCTACCTAGGCTTATCTGTGTCTAGGACCGGATGTTCCGATACCTTAGATACCTACCTACCTATGGAATGAAGACGAGTAGGTTGACAATATATACAAAATATTCTTTCCGTTGTGGTTTAGGTATGTCTTTACTCATAAGAGATATTGGTATCGGCCGAGTCCCGGGCATCGCTAGCCTTTCTTACTGAGGTATGGCTCCCTAATGCCATGGCCGGCATATCCCCGACTAGTTCCTTGGATGAAGACGATGATAAAGCGTCGTATCTTTAAAAACTAAAGTACCTATCTACTAGAAGTATACGGGTTAGGTAGGTAGTTTATCTCGTCAGCTTGACTATCTCAGGTAATATACATTTTACGCATCTATTTTTCAGCAGATATATCGATCTAGAATGGCGCCCGTCATCTTTTGCATCGTGGGTAGTACCAAGCCCATACTATGCAAAATAACGCCATAGCATCTTCCAGCTACGGTAATGCCGGCCGGACGCTCTAAAAAATCCCACGTTCCTGGATCCAAGCCGCTGGTGTTTCTGGACCGATTCTTGGAGACTGCCCGGTTTGTCCCCAAATATGACGGGACGGGACGGAGCGCTTGATTTTCAGCTGGAATTCTAGAAGATCTGTCTCTCTAGCAGAGAGAGAGAGAGAGAGAGAGAGAGAGAGAGAGAGAGAGAGAGAGAGAGACGACATGTTGTAGAGATTGTAGAGAATATCTATCGTGTTAGTTGATCGTCGGTCTTAACCCCGTAAATATTCTGATTCGACTGCGAATCCAATAAACTCCCAATCAGTGAATGTCGCAAAGCTAGCGCGCTTCTTTTCTTTTCTGACTTGGTACGACATGCAATATCTACATCCATCTACCTATACAATAACAGCTGAAAATTGATGATTGGCTAAATAGGGTAGGCAAAGACGGGAAGCGTGTGTTAGGTACCTAAACCTTTCATGTCCTACGCCGGAATCTTTTAGGCCGAGGCTGTTCAAGTCGGGTAATGAATGTATTATTTAGATTTAAGTACCTTAAGTAGGAGGTAGGTAACCTTGTAAAATAGTAGGCTGTTTTCTGTACACCTGCTTTCTTTGACGTTGAGAATTTAAAAGAAAGAAAATATTGAACTAGGAAAAGAATCCGTCTGATGCAGGCGAGTAAATTGATGGTAGCTGTAACGCTGTCATCCTATGGTGGCATAGTAGCATAGCATGGCATGGCATGGCATAGCATATCATAAAATAAAATAATACAGCCCCCATAAGGAGGATTGAGGGAGCATGAATCGTGCTACTCGTGACTCGCGAACATATCGTAACATGATTTTGGGTTGTTTTATTTTATTTTATTTTATCAAAGAAAAGATCAAGACTTGGAACAAGATAACTATCTCCTCTAGTTATTGAAGTTTATTAACATGTAAGGTAATCTAGCCACATCCTTGACCTTTTTAAATATTTGCTCACTTAGAGTAGATTTTTTAAAGAATAGTTACAAAATTTTGACGCTTTCACAAGGAACTAAACTCAACTAAAGAGGTAGTTGGTTAGATCTAATACTAGTTGGTTTATTACTGCTCCTATTGTTAACATATCACCGGTAGCGTCATGTACAATATATGGGAACCCATCATACAGTATAGGAGGTACCCATGATACGGATGGAATAAACTGCCTTCTCCTTTCTCCTTTCTTATTTCTCCTTGTCATAGGCCATACTGTACATAACAACACATGTGTCTTTGTTCGTAGTTATTGGCATCCCGTTGGCCCGTCCATGTTGATTCGATAGAATTTCCCCGCAGCAGCATGGCAGCCCTCCCGTATGTATGCACGACGTATGCAGTATTGCACAATACTATGTATGATATGACCGTCCGTCCTGTTTTTTTACTTACCTATATACTGAGTGAATAAGGACCGTTGCGGTTGTTGCGGTCGTTACCACATACCACGAGTTTGCAAATTAATAACAGAGCGTACTTAATGTAGAGAGGTATGGCGGATAGGTAGCGGATAGCGGATAGCGGAGAGGAGAAATAAGTGAAATAAAATAGGGGATAATAAGAAAAATAAAAGATGAAGGATTAACTTAGCCTGTAAAGGAAGTAGTACAAAGGTACCAAGAAGATGGTGACAGGGGTCCATAGTACTCCGTTCAATAGTAGACCATGAATGACTTTCCAGGTTGGATGAGAATGACCTTATGCCGTCACGCTTTCCCTAGGAATATTTCCCGTAGAGGAGAGAGGAAAGGAAAAAAAAAAAAACCTCCAAAAAAACAAGAAAGAGCTACCCCTTGGCTCACACCCCCGAGCTGCCGTCAGCCATATCTTTTTCTCTCTCTTTTTTTGGTACCTACACTTACACCACCAGTCCACCTCTTCTCCGCTGCCAGGATTTCTACCAGGAAGCCCCCCCCCATATTATGTATGAATTGAAGCATTCTCTTTTTTTATAATCTTTTTTATTATATTATTACTGTAACCTCGCAAAGCTAGCCTAGCCAGGCAGCCCCAAAAAAAATTAAGAGAGGTGTACCCGAATTCCGCCCACCCACCTTATCCATTCAATTCATTCATTCTCCATTTAGATAGTCTTTAAACGTTTCCCAGTTCGGGTCAGCTCGTCATGGTTTTTTTGGTTTTTTATTTTTTGTATTCATATCGAGTCCTAGAAACCTTTCCCGCCAATTGAGTGACACAACCTAATTCTATAGGCCGATACCATTCCTCAGTACTTGTTCTCAGTACTTGTTCAAGCACCAGAAGGAAGACACTGACAATTAGCTTGGTCGTCTGCTGTATTGTCCTTGGCATAGTCTATTGCCGGAATATCAACACCCGCGGAAAAGGCGACTGACTACCAAAGAGTCGGCTATTGTTATCGTGTGGATTGCGTGTCTGTACGGTACTTGGAGATACAGATATAACGGACAGCGCATACCATCACAACCTCCAACAGCTCGACACAACCAACCCCAGACGGGAAATATTCCAACATCACGAATCACGAACCACAAAATCCACGAACACGAAATTCAGTACGTAAACCCGTAAACCGTAGAGCAGCTGTCGTTCCAGATCAGGTTGCACCGTCGTCAACGTCGTCCTCGTCGTGCCACCGTCCGAGCTTTTTCCCAACCTCAATACGAGACCATCCATTTTAACGCGCGCCCGGCTATATATTTTACCACCTGAAGACAGCATCATTGCCAACTGGGCTTCAGGCCAATCGCCCAACATGCCCGAAGCCGACATGGCAGCCGTGGCGCAGGGCGCAGGTAATAACTCGAGCGACTTTGTGAGTTTTTGATAATCATGGTCTCATATTCGAGTCTGCATTGTTGTCGACTGTCGCATATGCAACACGCTAACCTACCTAACTCCAGGTTCGCAAATTATACAAGTAATTCGCGTCTTTTTCTACATAGTTACCGGCTAGCCTCGACCTTCTGTTATTCTGTACTGACCATGCATGTTTTAATTGTAGGATGCTAGAGGATCCGGCCTACAGTGAGGTAGTCAGGTGGGGCAATGAAGGCGACAGCTTTGTCGTTCTTGAGGTAAATACGCGATTTCTAACTCATGTCGTCTGTCGTCGGTATTAACTTCTAGCTTGTAGAATGAGAAATTTACCAAAACTATACTACCAAAACATTTCAAGCATAGCAACTTCGCGAGTTTTGTTCGACAACTTAATAAATACGACTTCCATAAAGTGCGGCATAATGAAGAAAATGGACAATCCCCATATGGCGCATCTGTAATACTTGCCTTCCTCGTTGTAGATACTGGCTCGGGAGATACTGATAGCGTATATAGGCGTGGGAATTCAAACACCCCGAGTTTCGGGCTGATAGGAAAGACAACCTCGATAATATCCGACGAAAAGCCCCGGCACCTAGGAAGGCTCAGGCCGCGGAGGAGCAGTTCGGGGTTTCTAACCAACAAGTCCTTGTTCTTAGCGAGACGCTGGCCGCGACACAGCAGCAGGTCCAGCAACTTCAAGAATCCTATCACGAGATTGTGAATGCGAATAAGATCTTCGTAGATGAAATACTTCACCTACAGAAGCTAGTCCGCGCGCAGAATCAGGTGCACAACGAACTCATCAACCATTTAAACAAGGCCGAACAGGAAAGGAAAGACACTCGAAATCCAGGTCACTCAGCAGGCGGATATTCTAACACCTCTAATCTCTTGTCAGATGGCTCCGAGTCGCCTCTCGAGCTACGCCGAGCTCGCGATATTCTAAACAGCCTCCAGGTAGATCATGTTGCAGACCGGGATCTGAATCGAATGTCTGTTCAATTACACCAAGTAGGCGGTTCTCCTGAATCCGCCGGATCTTCGGGGATGATGGGACCGCCTGGCGTAGGTGGTGTAAATCCATTCCTGCATGACCCTCTGAATGACATGCGGCATCTTGTATACCCCGTTGGTCAAACAGTAGGTATAGACCCCTTCGCCGCCGAACATATTAACAACCTTCCGTATAATCGGCCGGTACAGGACAATGCGATGGGCCCTGGCCACGAATTTAACGGCCCGGCCATGCACTCCCAAACCCCCCCGGGAGCTGCATCGCAAGGTGGTTCGCCTTGGGGGTCCAAGAAACCGGTCGTCCTTCTCGTGGAGGATGATAGAACATGTTCTCGAATCGGCTCTAAATTCCTTGCCCAGTATGACTGTGGTGTAGAGATTGCAGTACGTAGTTGTAGCTTTCGACTCGTGTAGCAGTACGTGTTTGGCTAACAGTTCGATGCAGCGCGATGGTCTCGAAGCTGTGAATAAAGTTAATGCAAAGCAGCATTACTACGACCTCATTTTCATGGATATCATCATGCCGCAGCTGGACGGTGTCTCGGCAACTGCCATGATCCGCGAAGTACAACCCAATACACCAATTATTGCCATGACTTCCAACATCAACCAGCAAGACCTCGAGACGTACTTTCACTGGGGTGAGTAGAATCCACTTTTGACCGTATGTTTTTGTTGCTGGAATACTAATTCCATACCCAGGTATGCGAGACGTACTTGCTAAACCATTTACCAAGGAGGGAATGATCGGTAAGCTTAGGAAGCATCTTGCCAATTTCTTGCGGAACCCCCCTCCGGAGAGTATGATGGACTCGATGTATCCAAATGGAGCTCCAGGCCAGCCACCGACACCTGGTCCGTATTCAAACCAGGGCATGGGAATGGCGCCATTATCGGCGGCGTCATCTGGCCCCGTCGGGAAGTTTGATACTACTCCGATACAGTCGCCAGCCACGAGTGCTTCGTGGCATTCCCCGGGCCAGATACCTCATGCTTCGCCGACAATGGCCCAGGACCAAGGGTATCTCGGCGCAGGTAGCGGTTCGCAGATGGTATTAACACCGGGCGGGACTCAGAAACCGCAGTATGCGAATACGATGATACCCCAGATGGGCGTACCTCCTCCGCAAAGGATGCCTGATGGTATGCAGCGCTCAGACGGGCCCCCGGAGAAGCGACAGCGACTGTACGCGTCGCAGACGAGTTATAACCAATAACCGTTTCTTTGGTAATCTCCCATCGATATCTTGATTCGAACTTGTATATATTCCCAGCATATTTTGGTCATTCTGTTACCAGGCCTATTGGAATACGGTCGTCGGTGTGTCAAAGAAACGAAGTGCCATTGGCGTCGGTATCGCTGCATATCTTATGCGTGGGAAGCATCTGGCTGGTTGCTGTGTCAAGTCTGTTTGCCGCAATCGGAGTGGAATAGAGCTCCGTGATAGATCATGGAATACCCCTTGAATGTTTCTAGAACGTGGTTGCATGTGTATTAGTAGCAGGTTGCCAAGATATGGCACCTAGGAAAGATGTTGGAGGATGTTGGAGAGTGGTTTGTTGGAGGCTAGATTGGGCATATCGGGGGGTTCCATGAGCATGAGCCCGTGCCTTTTTCTGTATGAAAGTCATGTGAGAACTGGTCATGTTCGGCATCTCAATTTTGCTTCGGCCCTAGGGTCCAAAAGCAAAGTTACATGTATCTCTGAGCTTGGGTACCTGTTTACCTGAATGATGGAGGGATCATGGATAAGGGGTTTCTACCTCTTGAAAGGTAGCGAGATCCAATGAAGCGACTCAAGGATAAAGCGTAGAAGAATAATGAAACATTCTTTGATCAACACCTAAGCATCAGTATCTGCATAGGCAAACACTATAATATCGCCAAGTATTATTGTGTAAGTAAAGGGTTTTTTTTTTCTTCTGTGAGAAGGTGTTGAAATAAAAAGTGGCGTTTAGGTTGTTGAGCGAAGGAATAAGACGGCGCAAATCCAATGCAAGTGAAACACATTGAACTGGGATCATTTGTACCTACTTCCTTGTCTTTTTTTTCAGGTCCAGAGTGCTTTCCCTTTGTGTTTGTTTAAATTTTGCACTTGCAATCTGCTGAGATCTAAAGGCAGGAACCCGCCCATAATACCGGAGTGGTACATACAGGAATAGAAAGAATGAAATCTAAAAGGAATATTATAGAAGGTAGGTATATGCCTACCTATTCCTCATACATTTATGTATCGACTGGAGGTAGGAAAACAAACGGGATTTAAACTTTAGGGAATTGAATATTAAAAGGTACGAAAAGCAAACCCAAATTATTGAGTCATCCCGGGCTTCCGTTGGTATTAACCTTTTTATGTGAACTCATACGTGATAGTATCTTAGGTGAGCTTTTAGTATTCCCATGGTTATTATGTATGTACTCGGGCAAACTTCATTAACCTGTGACAGCAAACAATCAAACGTTACGAGAAAATAAAAGAACATTAGTTGATCTTCAACAAATATATTGTGATGGACAACGTCTGGCTCAGCCTAGAATGCGATCGAATTCGCGTATGGAAATATTCGTTGCCAATACCATGGAAGGTAATAAATCCACTTAGTTTTAGAAGGGTCCCGTCCCTATCTCCCTGCACGTGGTAACATGATCTGCTGATCTAGACACTCGATCTTAAGGAACGAGACCCCTATGGACTAATAGGAAGATCTTATTAATGCTACTTTTGCGGTCTAGCCTCTGGGAAGCATGGGGAGAGCCCCTGGAAGTACATACACTACGATAGCTTTGGTACCCAGATCGACTTCCCTGAACCTTGTACCTTATGTGTTTGCGTTACAATTTCCCCAGGTTTATATATACACCTTAGGTACTCTAGTTGACGACGAGACTCCTAACGGTTTAACGCCTCATAAGCGGACTGGAGTATATCATATACGGTTAGACCTGCTTGGAGATATAAAACGTGATTTATAGGCACGATCCCGTACTTCGGCTCACAAGGGGTTAGTAAATGCGACTTGCTTTTAGATGTAACCGGGTTCTACAGAAGAACATACATAGGGCTGATGGGAATACATATGTATACATATGGACACCGGTAGGCTCGGCAGGAATGGTTCGATACGAAACAGATGAGGCCACTCATTCATAAGCTAGCAACAAGAACGCGGGCGAATCCCAAGTCAGGTAACTTAACTATATCTCCTATCTGAGCTAAGTCTACAAGATCGAGACCCTAATCGAGACCTTAGAACATGTCAGTACCCTACGTACATACATACACGACACATATCACATGCGTCTACATATGTATGTAGGCATGCAAGCCGCATGAAGTAACGGTCGGGCTGCGTCTGCGGTCAGGGGTTAGCTGACGAAGTTTGATTTGAGGTCTGGATTCTAGAATTCCAGCCTAGACCGTTGTCTGTTGCACGGCAGTCATTCCACCCTGGCCCACTCTTACTGCTGGTCCCCTGCGTCGCCTGGCCTAGACCGTCCCTGATCCATGGTGGACTACACACCTGGACATGTATGTATGTATGTATGCATACATAATTACGCAGATCAGTAATATATGTAACTACATACGTTTTGAGGCACGTCTTATCATGTAGCTTTTTCGTATCCTAACTCAGAAGTTGGCTAGTAATCGGAAGGTAAATTCCAACATATACAAAGGAACGCATTAGTTGATAGGACTGTCTAGAGATGCCGAGCTGATAACTGGGATCTAATATCATCGTACTTCGTACCTTGATATTGTTTGCTATTCTAATAACACAATTAGCTTTTGACGAACCTAATTGTGTCCTCAATCTTAAGCTTAAGTCATACGAGGCAATATTTATACCTATTTAAGCTATAACTCTGCATAACAGGTATATACATAGATATTAATCTCACGGTTAAACTATATGTAACTGAGAGATTTTGTTCGAACAAGGCGTAAATTGAGTGGATACCATAAGGTTAGACTGCTTCGGTATGCTCTTCAACTTGTCCCTAGGAAAGATGGAAGAGTCGATGCTTTAGTTAATTAGAATAAGAATCTCCAGGATAATTATGTTTTACTCGATGTGTATACTGTATATACTCATATCGAGAGAACTTTAACGCTATTAAACCTCGAGTATTCCTAGGTACGCATGGTATTTTGATGATTGCCTCGAGGACAAGTCATAATTCTTCGGTAGCGTATATATCCGATTATGCGACCTATTCTTCAGCTTATTGACAATAATGGGCGTGTATGACTAATATATAGTAGGAAATGTTAACTACGAGTAAGGTTACCTAACATGCTTGTATACATTACATTAAATGTTATATTTCAAGTCATAATTGTATTTCAGATGATAGTCAAACGGAACTGGAACTGGAATAAGTTGAGCAAGCACTTACCTAAGTGTAAAATGCGTTATAACGATAGTACTGGATACCCACATTTATGAAAAATTATAAACCGCTAATGCTATATAATAGGATATCATAATAATCAGTACAAGCGGAACTGCCCCTCCATCAACCTTTTGACTCATTGCCCAAAAATTAAAACCGAAATGAATATTTCCAAGTTCACCATCACAAAATTGACGACCACAGCGCGAATTGGACGATCATGTCGCAAAATAAAGCCGCACGAGGCGGCGCTGCGACAAAAGGGAAAAAGGCAAGCAAACCAGGAGCTGAAGACAAGAGAGAAGACGTTCTTCAAGCGGTGGTATGTATTTCCTAAGCATCGCGGGGCATTGATGAGAGCTATCATAAGGCTAACGCGGTTCATGCGCTTCTGTCCATCTAGCTCATAGCAGATTCATTCCAGACCCGGTTCCTCCCATTCTCTGTAGAGAGACCAAGAGTATGTATATTCTATTAGTTTTGCTTGTTTCTGATCATTAACTAAATCTCGTAGTGTCTGCTCCCACTTGCCAATACACCTCTCATCGAGTACACCCTCGAGTTCCTCGCCATGAACGGCGTGCAGGAAGTCTTCATATACTGTGGAGCCCATCATGATCAGATCGAGCGATACGTCCACGACTCGAGGTGGTCCCCTAACTCAAGATCCTGTCCGTTCTCTACCCTTGAATTTATCCGTGTTGCCGATGCTAGGTCTATCGGCGATTTTCTTCGAGATCTAGACAAGCGCAACATCATTGGAGGGGACTTTGTACTGGTACATGGGGATCTTGTTTCCAATATTTCTCTTGATGCAGCTTTGGAGGCGCACAGGGCTCGCCGAGAAGCGAATCGAGACTCGTGTATGACTCTGGTGCTGCGAGAGGCTGGTGAAGGGGAGCACAATACTAAGACCAAGGGACTAACGCCGGCATTTATAATCGACCCGAACGCTAAGCGATGCTTACACTACGAAGAAATACATCCCTTACAAACTGATCGCTACGTCACCCTCGATCCTACCATACTTGAGAACCGCGAAGCAGAAGCCCGGACAGACCTAATTGATGCCGAGATTGACATATGTACACCGGATGTGCTCGCCTTATGGTCCGAAAGTTTCGACTACGAACTCCCCCGGGCCAACTTTCTCCATGGCGTACTGAAGGACTGGGAGTTGAACGGGAAGATGATTCACACAGAAATTGTTAATGAGGGCTACAGCGCGCGTGCCAGGAACCTTCAGATGTATGATGCGATTAGTCGGGACATATTGAGTGGCTGGACCTATCCATTCACACCTGAATGCAATCTCCTACCAGGTCACTCCTACCAGCCACAAGGCGATAATGTGTATCAGGAGGATGATGTCGAAATTGATTCTGAAAGCGAAGTATTCGACTCAGTCCTCGGAAAGGAGACTCATGTTGGGTCCGGGAGCGTTATACAAAACAGCATCATTGGACGAAACTGCAAAATTGGTAGCAACGTCCGAATTACCAACAGCTTCATATGGGATGATACTACAGTTAATGATGGGGCCGAAGTGGAGCATGCAATTATAGCTGAGAGAGGAGTGTTAGGTAAGAAAGCCTTCGTCCATGAAGGTGCGCTGATATCGTTTGGAGTTCACTTGGGTGATGGTACGGACGTCAAGCCTGCTACGATGTTATCCCTTCTTTCTCCTGGTGGACAGCTCGTATCAGCACAGCCCGAATTCGTCGGTTCTGGTGGCAAGGGAGCACTCTTTGAAGATTTTGAAGATGACGAGACGGACCTTGATGACCCATCGAGATTGCAAAAATCACTTATATACTCTCTCGAAGATCTTGACCTCTCTGATTCCTCTGTCTCGACACTTGCGGATGACGATGATTTGTCTGACGACGAGTCGGGTCCGTTATCGCCCAGTGCTAGTCACCGCACCTCGAGATCCCGACTTTCCTCCTTCGCTTCCGATGATTCAGGAGGCCCGTCATTTTCCTCTTTTCACTCGGACGCTGTTCATGGGCTTCTGGATGTTCTCCGTGGGATATCGGGCAACTTTGAATCGGAGAAACTTGAGTTCATGTCACTACGACTTGCCAACAACGCGTCTGATGCGGCTATGAGGAAGGCGGTTGCGACGGCCTTCGTTCGTCGCGCGGTCGAGCTTATAAATTCCGAGAATGACGCTTTAGAACCATCAAAAGCTGCTAAGCAGGTACTTACTTCACGAGAGGGTGCTACAAGCTTTGTCTCGGAGGTTGGCGTTGGTGATCACTCCGTATCAGAACAAGTCGAATTCGCGCTGGCGGTGCAGAAAGCATGCGTAAGTAGTTCCAGATTTGTTGAAGTTGCCAAAACTGGCAACCTCCTTGCTGCTATGTTGCAGCAGATGTACGATCTTGATATCCTCGAAGAAGAGGGTATTCTAGGTTGGTGGGAAGACGATAGGGGTAAGGAGGATGGGTTGATGTCGGAGGTACGAGGAAAATGTCAGGCACTAGTTGAGTGGCTTGAAAACGCCGACGAGGAAAGCGAGGAGGATGACGACGACGACGACGACGACGACGAGTGATGCACAGAATCATAATGGCATCATAATACTATGTGAGACGAGTTGGGCCGACGCCCTATTTATCCTCACGCCGAAATACCTTACAGCGCCAATAGTATGCTATACTAAGCGACGGGTTTCTGGCCTGGGATTGCCTGCCGCCTTCGACATCAACACCTTTGCTTTGGGGGTGGTTATGAATCCTACGAGGACACGGTTTAGGGTCATCCGGGGCAATGGCTAGATGGTTCATAAGGGATTTAGGATTGCATTGAAATATATGCATGGGATGATTAGTAGCGAATTACTATCGGTAGTCATAGTAAGAATTTGGCATAGGGTTCTTCTATTCTGAACATAGATTGAGCTATAGTGAGAATAGAATAGTAAAATTGTAAACTTATTACCTTAGGTGTCTAAGTAACTTAGATGATATAAGAGGTATATTTACATTGTGGTTTCTGAACTTGAATGTTCTGAGGTTAGAAAAGCGCTATGCTATTGGTGGGGTAGGGGTTTTACATGCCCCTCCCCCCTAATTTTTGGTACGCGTTATGCGATTAGCACGAAGACGCGTCTTAACGCGCTTACATCCAATCTTTCAATTAAACAATTATCTAACAATTAAACTTGCCCCTCCACCCATCAATCTAAGATATCCTTATTAGACAACATTGCTGATTAGAATAATGGTCTTGTTGAATTAAATTTATAAAGTGTCGTTCAATTAATTCTACTAAAATGCCTCACTCAATATCGCCTGAGACCGATAACCAAAATCCCACCGACGAAGAGACCATGGCCGATAGAATTGACGAGAGTCAAGATACCGACAATGATATCACTATGGGGGAAACAAATGCATTACCAGTTCCCATAAAGGAGGAGGACCAAAAAGACGTCAAGCTAGATGAGCTCTTTGCAGATGTAGACTCGGACGACGAATTCCCTAGTTCACGGCCGGGCGAAAATAAATCCTCGAGCTCCCCCGACACTCCAGCATCACCCATGTGAGATAGTCGAAATCACACTGATTAGAGGGACATGTGTTTTAACAGATAATACCGTGATAGGACCGTATCTATGAAGGCTTCAGATCCCGAGATCATGCGCATGTTCTACCAAAGATTCTTCCCTTGGCGTTATTTGTTCCAATGGCTTAATCATAGCCCGACTCCTACCAACGACTTCGGTCATCGCGAATTTGCTTTCACTTTACAAGGTGATATATATTCGCGATATAACTCATTTCCCAGTGCCGACTTGTGAGTAGCTTTCAATATCGATTTATCTTCATCTCCATCCCCATCTCCCACACTGCGGCTCATCATGTCTACTGTAGACTTCGAAAAGACGTACTACGTCTGTTACCGTCTCGTTTCGAAATCGGTCCTGTATACACCACAAACCCTCGTGACCGCAAGACGTTGCGGAATTTGAACGCGTTTAAGCCGCTGGCTAAAGAGCTGTGCTTCGATATCGATTTAACAGATTACGATGATATCCGAACGTGCTGCGATAAGGCGAACATATGTAATCGCTGCTGGCAGTTCATTACTATGGCTATCAAAGTGGTGGATGTGGCCCTACGCGACGACTTTGGATTTAAACACATTATGTGGGTTTACTCGGGACGGAGAGGTGCGCACGCTTGGGTATGCGATAAGAAGGCGCGGATGATGGACGATCAAAAGCGTAGGGCTATTGCGGGATACCTCGAAGTAATCCGGGGTGGTGCGCAGAGTGGGAAGAAGGTTAATATATGGCGGCCATTACACCCCCATCTAAGGTATATCTACTTTTATCCTTCTTCAAAACTATAGTGAGAGACTCTACTGACACTTTCCCTGCAGTCGGAGTTTAAACATTCTGGCGCCCCATTTCCAAGAAGACGTCCTAGAGGCACAAGACCCATGGGCATCTCCGGAACGGGCAGAACATCTCCTTTCCTTGCTCCCTGATAAAGCACTGAATGATAGCTTACGCAAGAAATGGGACTCTTCGCCCGGCCGTGCGAGCACTTCAAAATGGGCCGATATCGACTCGCTCGCCCGTTCAGGGAGCGGTAGTAAGAACCTCGATACGAAAGCGCTGCTAGATGCCAAGCAAGACATAGTTCTCGAGTACACTTACCCGCGCCTCGATATCGAGGTCAGCAAGAAACTAAATCATTTACTGAAATCACCATTCGTTGTACACCCCGGCACGGGACGAGTGTGCGTGCCGATCGACACGCGGAAGCTAGAGGACTTCGACCCGCTCGGAGTGCCGACGGTGCAGGGGCTACTAGAAGAGATCGACACGTGGAAGGCTGGCGACGGGGAGGATGGCTCCGAAGACAAGGTGAAGAACCTTCAAGACTGGGAGAAGACGAGCTTGCGGCCTTATGTCGAGTATTTCCGGAGCTTCGTGCTGGCGCTCATGAAAGACGAGCGGGATCCGAAGATTAAGCGCGAGAGGGAGGAGAGCGATGCGATGGAATTCTAATAGGTACCTGTTATAGGAAAGACTGAATATTGAGGTTCTTAATCATTTTGGTTGTTATGGTTTGTTGGTATACACTCGGTACTATGACATAGGCATGGAGTTTAGGCATTCTACATTATTTGAGGCCAGGGCATGAATCATACTATCAAGTTGTTCGTCCTTTCAACACCCTTGCTGCAGCTTGTGTTTACGATACTTCCTGGCCGAGGAGCTTCTGCTTTATCATGGCTACTAGGTCCTCATCGCTCTCTCCGTCCTTGCCGCGCCGGAAATAGGCGCTCGCGACACTAATGGTCTTATCTCTTGTCTTCATCCCATGAGTTATCTGCAAGTCCGATTTTGGGACGCCTAGGATCTGGAGACGTGTTGTTAGATGGAATCTTACCTGGGTATGAGGTACAGCACGTTCTATATCGATGTAGGAAGAAGACTGTATTACAGTCTAACTAGGGAATACGATAGTCCAAGACGGCTTATAAGCTGCCTAGGTAGGTATGTGTACTACATCTCTACATGGAGGAAACAGATAGACATATACAGCATACATAAAAACAACCTCGATATTGCTTACCTCGCTTAATATCTCAATAACGGCCTTGTTTGCCTTGCCGTCCTGCGGCGGCGCGGATACGCACAGCTCAACGGACTCGTCTGTGACGGCGGCAACTCCCTCCCGTACTTTGCTTGCGCCGGGCCGTATGTGGCACCGCAGCTGTAGTATCTCGGGCGAGGAAGACTTGGACTTTTGGATCAGGGTTATGGCGTTGCGGGCGGCCATGTTTTCATTGTGGTGGATATTGTTTTGTTGATTATTGCTTGGATAGAAAGGATTTAAATTAATGTTGTTTCCTATATAATGATTGTGTTAGGTACTTATGTGATGAACCAATGATCGCGATGTAGGACAATAATTGTTTAAGTGAGGTACCTTTTAAGGAGCTTGGGCCATTTGGTTTATTAATATCACGGCTTGGCGGCTGCAAGGATAGTTCCATTTAAAAGAATGCGATAAGATATGATAGTTACTTGTACATATGTACCTAAGATAGGTAATAGGTACCTACTTGATAGTCCTTGACATAATTGCGATAGGTCAAATATCATTTCAAGACTTGGAACTGGCAACAACTTCGGTTGATTGCATTCAAATAATCGAAGCATCTCACTTCGAGATAATTTTTTTTCTCGAGTACATCTTTAATTACAAAATTCGAAAATGCGATCGTCACTTTAATTAATTGTGTATGCCGCGCAACCTCCGACTACCTACGCGCCTACTACTACGCTTCAACATGGCGCTCGAGCAACCTGGCCGCGCTGGTCACGGCTATACCCTCACATCTCTTAGTCGATGGTCTATTCAAAATAAGAAGCTGCCTCGTATGTCTACAAGATGAACTTTATTATAATACTTCCTGCTAACAGTAAACTCTAGCCGTTAATGAAATTACTACTGTCCATGTTTACGACTTTGACAATACCTGTTCGTCTTTCCATATATTTACCCCCCTTACCCTTCCACAACTAACTATAAACGACTCTAGTATTCCAAACCCCTCTACCAAACCCCAAGATATGGAACGGCTCGACTCTAGGCCTCTTAGGCACCCCTGATGTTTTCGTCAACGGTGGCTGGTGGCACGACTCGAGAATATTAGCTGCGACTGGCGAAGGAGTAGAACATGAAGAGAAGCGAGCTTGGGATGGCTGGTGGAACGAGAAGATTGTGGAGTTGGTCCGTCTGAGCATGAAGCAGAGCGACGCCCTCTGTGTTTTACTGACGGGACGTTCCGAGCATGGGTTCTCCCAACTCGTAAAGCGAATCGTTGCGAGCAAAGGTCTAGAATTCGACTTAATCGGTCTGAAGCCTGCTGTTGGTCCCAACAAAGAGCGATTTTCAAATACTATGAATTTCAAACAGACTTTCCTTAGAGCGGTAATGGGAACCTACAAAGCGGCGATGGAGATACGCATTTACGAAGACCGCCCAAAACACGTTGCCGGCTTTCGCGACTTCCTGGCCGACTACAATGCGCAGCGAATCAGTCTTGGACAACCTTCGATTATCGCCGAGGTCATCCCAGTTACCGAGCTGTCTACTACTCTCGACCCTGTTGTCGAGGTGGCCGAAGTCCAGCATCTGATCAATGTTCACAACGAACTAGTCAAAACCCGAGCGGGAAGTGCGCGCAGCGGACGTCTAGCTATCAAGAAGACCGTATTTTTTACGAGTTACATGATTTCACCAGCCGACACGAAACGACTTATCCAGCTTCTGAATTCGCAGGTGCCGGAGATTACAGATTTGAAGTATCTTGCTAACACCATCCTTATCACTCCGCGTCCCTGCCCGAAACCCATCCTCGACAAGATAGGCGGCATGAACTCCAAGATGAAGTGGGAAGTCGTTGATATCGGTTCCGTTCACAGCAACATCTGGGCCGCGCGCGTAAGGCCTGTACCTGCCAATGCTACTTACCACACGGACAACCCATCCCCCTCTGTCGTCCTAGGCTTGAGAAGAGGAGCCCGCCCACCAGACGTGAATAAAATCCGGAACTGGCAGCCAATACCGCCCGACAAGTCCTTCGTCTTCGAGACGACGGTGGGCGAGAAATACATGCTTCGCATCGAGCGCGAGGACCAAGACGGAGAGCAGTACGACAGCCAGCACGAGAGGTTCTCGCACAGGGGCTCGAAACGCAAATTCGCGGGCGACGAGGATCGCCATCCGCGCCAGCACGGTGGGAATTTCGGCAATAATGCTCGTGATTATCATACTTCGGCCCATCAAGGACGAGGCGGAGGAGGTGAGAACCGCGGTCGTGGCGGCTACAGGGGTGGTGGTGGTGGCGGTGCCTCCAGAGGTAACCGCGGCGGTGGTCGAGGAGGTTTCAAGGGCTCTGGAAGAGGTGGTAGAGGTGGAGCGCACGGTTATCGCTCTCTAGACGACGTGGAGACGCGCGAGAATCCTCAGAGTGGCTTCAACTCGTCGACGGTCTCGTACGATGACAATTTCCCCTCGATGCAAGGCGGCCCGTCTCAACTTCAGCCTCCCCTGCCGATTGCTCCGCAGTACGGCCAGCCGTTCCCGCAGCAGGGGCAATGGTCGGCTCCAGGAGGACCCCCGACGCAGTCACGGCCTGTGGGCGGTCCCGGACCGGATTTACAAAGTTTCTACTAAGTATATCTCAAAAAGCTCTTTACAATGCGTACTTCACGTGATTTCCAAGTGTTGTTTTGAGCGATTCATCCAAGTCAGGCTACATAGAGAATAGTTATTCTAGTTAGGTAACTATACTGATTTCTGGAAGTTTGACAACAAGTCGCAGGACCAAGTGGTTCTGTAAGGTTTGTATGACGTGCAGTTATGTGCAGCAACATATGCATAATGGAATTGGCTTTTTTGGCTTGTTTTTTTTTACGGAGTAGCTTGTACATAGAATTTGCATACCCTCCTGGAATTGTCTTACGAGGACGCTGGACTAGCTAGGATTTGGGCGTTTATTGTTTTGCCAGGGATTCCCTAAAGTCGGAATGTGAACAAACCAACCAACAAGCAGGCAGGCATTATTGAAAATTACTATTATTTGGTACCGATATACGAGCACGAGAGATATGAGTGATCTAGAAATATACCTGTTAGTCTTGGTTCCATGTAGCAGCTTCGAGTAACAAGAATTTTATGTGCCAGACAATAATCAGGTAAGATAGAACAATGGTGTGTTGGATGAATCATATTCGTGAAACACGAGTCATAAACAGCCTCTTAAAGAGAAATTCATCATAGAAAGGCGGGATGGTAAGAGAGAATGAGAGGGATGATTGACTTACCACAGGGGTCAAAGGTCTGTGTCTTCGGCGAAAACTAGTTCACCAATGTACCATTTTGTATGGAAGTGGGAGTTGGTTAGAACACATGAGGATATGCAATTCTATATGTACAGGTATCCCTCTTCTTTGTGGTCTTCTATACTTACCGTAGAGCCCGTATAATAGTTGTCGCTTTATTAATAGGCGCGACTTGTCAGCAGTGTTTTCATAAGAGCTCCTCAGTAGGCAATATCTGCTCCTAGACGTCTGGCCTGAAAATAGGATTGCAGGATATCTCTGCTTATTACGCGTTTGCTGAAACGGGGTTGATATCAACGCCATACTTCTCCTTTAGACGCTGTCGCCTGCGCTCCTCGTAGCCTGGAGGGTTGATGCCTATGAGGTTGAATTTGTTAGCGTGCTTCTTCAGTGATAGTTATCCTATGATAATATAGCAAGGTATGACATGGTGTGGTGTAGGTACCTCTTCCTTCTCCAATCTCAGAGATGGTCTCCTCAATTGGCCGCCGTCTGTTCTTTCGTAAGTACTCCTTGCGGTCGTACTCATCCATACTGGAGACCTCGGCGCGGGACCCGCCGCGTAGGCTGCCACCTGTATATTCGAAAGCCGACATGATGATAGAGAAAGCAGCACCAAAGCCGAGGATTTGAGGCATGCGACCGGCTAATTATTTCAGCAAAAATTAGTATGGAGAGGATGATAACTGCAAAACAAGGTTAGATAGTAAAAAACGTACTCTTAAGACCGATCGTGGCACCACCGAGAAAAGAGGCGATCGTCACGTTTAGTGTGTCATCCTTCTCTCTTAAATTGGCAGCAGCATCTTTGGAGAATGTGTACACAGTACCGAGGGCAGCTGTGGGGGAGGGTTACAAGTCAGCTTTCCCAGTCGCGACAACAGCTCTCTACCATCTTCAGCTTCCAATTGGACCAGAAAAAGACGTACTGAACATAGCAACAGTGCCACCAGTCCTGCTAAAGACGCCCCAGACACCAACGTTGCGCTTCGCGAGGGAATTCTGCACGGCCGAGGTAATAAGACCGGCACCTCCGCCGATCAAAGCGCCTTTTATGCCCGACTTGATGGCATCGTGCTGGTGGAAGTGGTGCTCCTTCGGTTCGGCCTGGACGGAATGTGGATTCGCCATCTTTGACTCAAGCCCGAAGGAGGCTGGTTTTCGAGATGGAGGGGGCTCGAGGATGTAGGAATTAGTTGGATATGTAATTATTTGAGTGAGGGAGAAGACCTCAGATTATGTTATGTAGGTCAAGTCGTTGACTTAGCGGCTCTAAGCTTTTGAGCTTGATCGGATTGGAATCTTCCAATTGTTCCGGGCCTTGGTTTTTTTGGTTCAAGTGGATCACACGTGACTACTTCTGTAAAATCGATATGTTAGGTACTTCGTAAAAGCCGAAAAGCCGCCGCAGCATTGTAACCGCCCAAAATCGAACCAAGAAGTAAACGATCCAAGTTCCCAAGACGAGACTCCCCAGCTTTACAAATATACTCTAAATCTTCTTCACTAAGCTCTGGAAATACTTGACCCTCTCTCGCTACCTCCTACAATAGCCATCGAAAGTCATCAACCTCACCATCGCTCCCACGATCAACCACCGTCATGGTCCTTAATCTCAACAAGTCCAACTTGGACGCAACAGACCCCTCGAAGAAGGGTTCTGCTGCGTGAATCCGTTCGATGCAACCGTTACCGATCTGGATAAGGTCGATTCGGACTCGGAAGCCTTGCGGCGCATCGAAGGCGATTTTGCCGTCGGACTCGAAACTAAAATTAAGGGCGCCGGCCGTGATAGCCTCCCAGATGTCTATTAATGCTTCGGGGGGAGCCGCAACATCCACGTCTTCCGTCTTCTATACTGAAGAGTGGGCAATGCTGGCTGCGCCGCCAACTAACACTAGTTGACGGCGCCGTTCGGGCCGGATTAGACGGGTGGTCGCGCGAAAGCATTGGACGAGTGCCTCGCGCAGTGGTGCGGCGATGGCGATGTTGGACTTCGGCATGTTCCGGAGGTAGCAGTTAGCAGTCAAGAGAGGTATGACAAAACAGGGTTCCTACAGGCATGCAGATGATTTATTAGTAAGTATACTTTTGCATTATATAACTAAAGACATATTGATAGCTCAACTCACTAGAGATAAATATAAAGCCGAGCTGGGAGCTGGGGAGGTCTTGGGTAGATGGGTCGTTGGGTTAACTAAACCAGAGTATGAATACATCCATGAATGATGATGTATATAGAAAGATAAAGGTAAGCATCGACGAGGAATACAGGACTATAGCTAGCATATAAATAAAATACATATATCGAACAAGCTGTTTAGAGAAGCTTGGGTTGCTACTACTTTCTCATATATTCTACGACTTTCCTTCGCTGACGTGTAGAGCAACGCCTGAGCGACATGTTCGCCAGCATGTCCTTCCTGTGAACTAGGTATACTTTAAGAAATTAGAAGGAGCGCAAGACTGAAAGATTGACTATATGTGCTTAGGTATTCGACATATATATGTAAAGTACCTAAATTTAATATTACATGTATCTACGTTTAAATCTTATATGGGTTTTAGCCACAAAGCTTCACGATATCACGCATTATAATTGAATATCCTTTATTTCGATCCACAATCTAAGCCCAATTCCTATAATATCCTACCTACATATAGTAAGCGTTCGGAATGGATGGCTTGTAAATGTATAACCCAAGATGGCTATTGCAATAATGTCTTTCATTTCAAAGCACATATAATCTTGTATGAACTACGAATAAAACATGCACTTATATTTACTCTCACATATTGTTAGAGCACCAGGATTCAAGCGGCTGAGTGGTTGGTGATGACGATAACGTCAACATCTATTATTGCTATAAGCTTAGGTAGGCAGCTACAGCAAGGGTATCTATAGCGCCTTAAGACGTCTACAGTCCTTCCTTCAAGGGAGACAGGGTTAGAGTTTTGCCCGTCATAAAGAGGTCCTCCACTTCCTGCCTGCGCATTCCATCCCCTCCTGCCTACAGCATTACGCCACCTAGCGCCGGTGCCAGGTAACCGACTTTTTGATCAGGGAAAAAAACCGTCGAGCACCCCCGGGAATCACCTCCGTTAACGCCCGGCAGTGCCCGAGGAAAAACCTGAGTCGGAGAGATCCTCCACTTCCTGCCTGTAGCATCCCACTGCCCCTACCTGCCCGTGGCATTACTCGAATCTACTTTTGTGAAGTACGTTTAACCACTGCGCGCCATGTGTGTGGCTGCGTGGTTGGAAGGTAGTTTATGTAGCCGGAAGTACCTATTTTGGTTCTGGTGAATTATTCGGAATCGGAAATATTTGTATTCTTGGGTGTTGTATAATTTGGGTGTAGGGACCCTTGCTTTGGTTGAAATAGGAACTCGCTATTGCTTGGAAGGTGTAGTTCATTTTCAACGAAGTGTTTGTTATGGTCAGAGTTTGTGAGCGTGGATTGTTGTGAACGCTAACCGAATGCCGAAATGATTCGATGGTCGGTGTTATGTAGGATATAGGGTATCGTGAGTGTTTGGCTGAAGGCCTTTTGCTGGCGATAGTGTTGTAGTCCCAAGTGATAATATAGAGTTGTCGAGATGAGATTGAAGGACTATACGAAGTGGTTGTAGATGTCAGGATTCTAGATGAAACGTCTAGAACAAAGAACAAAGAATAGGTTTAGTATGTATAGACCTAGAACCTCATCGGTAGTTAGAGTTCCTTGCGGAACAACGAAGTTGTTTCCAGGCTGTTTGGTTCCACCTCGTGACAGTAGACGTTGTGGTCGTGTTACTGACGAGGGAGTTGATAGCTGTCGTCTCAGTCATCTGGTGTTTCACAGCACCATTCCGTTTTCTCTGATGTATTAGGATCTTTCGGCGTTTGTGAAGTAGAATCGGTGTGCTTCAGATTCTGTTAGATTGATTAGTTGTCCTCGTTGTCCGGTGGGATATGTCTGGGATATCTTGTATACCCCATATTTATAAGAATGACTCCGGCATTTCAAGGTCGACCAGCCATGGTGCATGCATGGGATATTCTTCCGTGGCTCCTTGGATTGCCGCATTCACAAAGAGTGTTTGTGAGCCGGCCTTGAGCGGGTTCTCGTCGTCAGTACAGTGGCTAGTTTTGATATATCCTTCGTGGCTAAGAACCGCCCTTTTCTTCGATTTTTCCTCCATTATTTCAGGCGTGTCGAATTTAGAGTTAATTATATTTGACAGTTTCCCGATTACTGTCGATCTTTCATTGTCGATATCGGTGAAATGTGATGGTACTTGGCTAATGTTTTCTCTCCAGGTGACTAGTTTTGCTCCCCATCCTTCGTGGATGTGGCCAAAGCAGTGTAGCTTTGGGCGGGCTTGAGCAATAGATCCGAAAAGTTGGGGACACCCTGCCCTGCGTCGTGAGTCGGTAATATCCATTATCCCGTGGGGTGGGCCGTGAGTTATTGCTATATCAACCCCTTTCTCGATAGCAAAGTTGTGTCCTTCTTGAGGACTGTATTGGAAACCCCAGTCACTTAGTGACGGTGTATAGGGGCTAGCGTAGACTGTTAACTTTGCTCCATTTCCCAGCTCGAAGCGGTGTGTGCCTTCTTCCAAGAAGATCACTCCGTCGCTTTTTGAGTCCTCGAAAAGCTGATGTATCTCACCGAAGCCGCCATAAAACCTTTCTACTTCCTCAGGCTGTAAGTCTGGGTTCGAGGCGACTTTGTTCTTAAATAGGGGTATGTCGGCAGTGAAGTCGTGATTTCCTGCAATGACTAACTTGAGTGGCGCATCGATGTTCCGAAGAAGTTGAAGAGTTGTTTTGAATTCGTCGATTTTTGATTCTTCGGTAAGGTCGCCGCAGTGGATAGCCACATCGGCGCTGATGTGTTGTATGTTGGATACCTTCTCTCCGTGTGTGTCGGAAAGTATTAGGAAGCGAGTTTTGATAGCCATGATGATATGATGTTAAAATAGTAACTAGGTATTTACCGTATTTTCGAATTGAATAGGTAAAATTTTAGTGATTAATTATGGTAGTAAATTAATTAGTTGAAGTTGACGTGATGAATAGTCGATGTAGTGTATTGTGCTACTGGTTGTAGGGGGTTGTGCTAAATAGATAGATGGACACTTAGAAGGTACCTAGATAGTCGTTATTTGTAGTAGGTAGAAAAGCGATATTGATGGCCGATATATTGATAGCTGATCCGTGTGAGTAATGATTTATGGAAGTTTTACACAATAGGGGATCGAGAGGGGATTAATAGGGGATGTGTCTTCGGTATTTTTTGAGCTACGCGTTACGTTGGCTTTGGTAATGTGTAAATCATAAATACGAGAACCCTGTTAGTCTCTTGGATCTCTTTACCAAAACTTTGTCTCTACTACATGTACCTTTATGAAAGTTACCTGTCTATGTTAGGTTTACAGCTTGGTTGTGTTGCTATAGAGTTTCTATTTGGAATAGTTACGCTTTTGAATATTATATATTATCTTTTCGACCGTTCAGCACAGATATAGTAAGCACTTCCAAGTGAAACCTAAAATCCTAAATGTTAGGTAGGTAGCTTTATCAAAATCATATTCTGGTTAGGTGTTGATCTAGTTATAAGGTCCGTTGCATAGAATTGATTGTCTTAAGGGATATATTATACTTTAAATATATGCACACAGATATATCTAGTTAATAGATATATACTGGTTTTGCTCAAGCCTTCTAAAAGTCCTTTATGTTATAGACGTGCATTGGGTAATTGAGTATAAAAGGGGTACACTTACTAGATGTAAACCTTATGAATTCATATCATAGGCCGTATGTAACTATGTACTTAGTATAAGGTAGGTTAGGTAAGTTGACAGCTCTGTATTACCGGAGATTTACCGATTGGTTCAATGCTTCATGCGGTACGAGGGTGAAACAAAAGACGTCAGGTAGACTCGCCTGATTGATTGTTTTGGTGGCGGAAGATTCTGGCACCCGAGATAAGCGATAAGCCCCCCAGTTTCCCAAGCAAAACCCCAAGGCAAGTGCACAAGGCAAGCGCACGGTCTTCCGGTATAGTTAATGTACCTTGGAGTTGCTTTGGTAATTCTCAGAAAGCTTACTGCACTGCCCAAATGAATGATCCTAACCTA